CACGTGTTTTTTTTTTTTTTTTGTTTTTATTTTCCTTAGAGATTTGGAGTTATCGTCTTTCTGTGTAAGTAAACCAAGAATAAAAAGAGTGTCTGGAAATATACATATCCTTCATATATTTATGTACGTTTGATCATTTTTAGTCTATTGTTCTTGTATTTCTTTTATTGTCATCGATTGAAATTTTCATTTTGCTCTGTATGTAGAATAGATGATGGTGTAATAAGGGGAACACAGGGTACCGGAAATATGCATTGGTTGAATACACATTTTAATTAATTTAGACTTTTAGATCAAAAGTTTGGAAGTGGTAAGTTGTGGCGGTGTACTAACATCTAACTCTATTATATAAGTCCCTGTATTATTTTTATGTAAGTGAAGAAACCGTTGTTGATATAATAATGATGTCATGATTTAAAATTTTAGACTTTTTGGAGACATTTCAAAATGAAATATTATAATTTTATCACCCCGTCCTTAAGTGGTTATGGAATTAGGGCTAGGGCTAGGTATAGGGCTAGGTATAGGGGGTGGGTTTCACTTCCTATCTTAGGAATAATTCATTATAGTGTTTTGTTTTAGACTAACCAATTGAACTCTGCTTGTATGTGTAATTTTCTCTGTTATATAAGCCAGTAACTGTATATAACTCTCTCTTTTCAAAAACTATTTAATTTGTTCTGTTTTCACCTTTGCGCAAATTTCGTAAATTGGGTATTACATCAACACATACTTTTGTTTACTTAGATTTGTTTATTTTACAATTACATTATCCTTTCCTCGAGAACTGTGCTGATATTATTTTCCTCAATTCGTGTAAGATCTTGGGAGCCAAATAATATCTTTATATCGATTATTCTCCTTTTTCAACCTTTTTGCCGTTCTGATTCAAGGAACATTTGATCAGGATACACAGCGATGGTTTATGTTACAACTACATCAGTATCCTTTGCACATAATTTAGAGTATACATTTAGTACGTGTATATGTACATACGCTTATGTTTATGCACAAACTCTTACTGCATTTTTGAAGGACTTTAGAAAACAATCAAATGGTTTTGAATCTCAAATCCGTCGAAGAATAACAATAAGAAAAAGGAAAGGTCTAGAACAATTTCTTTTTTTTTCTCTTAAATTGAAAACAGTAACACACAATACATCCTCCTTTTGTTTTTCCTTTCGTCTGAAAATGATGATGTAATTACTTGTATATGCAACTTTCTTTTGACACACATACACATTTAGAATGAAGAATAAAACATCTGTTTCAATTGAGTTTGTCTCAAACATCCTGGTTTCAGCTTATTGTAAGGGGCTGGAAACGCGTCTAAAACACTTTGGAACCGAGCTATTCCAGAGCGTAAAGAGAAGACAAAGTGAGGTTAGAAGGCGACAAAATTTGTCAAAACTGGAATTCCATCGCTTACAATGTGCCATAAAATAGGAGTTTCTGCAGTCGGAAAACCACTGGCGATCTTGGGTTAGTAGTCCCTTCTTTTCTTCCGTTTCTTGTTTCTTTCTTTTCTTCATTCGTCTAATTTGTGGCAGAAATGTTTTTTGGAATTTTAGACGTCAACCAAGTGTTTGTGTCGTGGCTAATGGTTTAAGGGTTAGCCGCTTTCTCTAATTTTAAATTTTCCTTTTCAAATAGGGAAGTAGAGATGGATGGGAAATTAAACTTGTCCACAAAATCTATTTCTGTTGGGGCCAGAAGAATTCTAGACCGTTATCTTTATTAAGTATTACCTCGTAACATTGTTTACAAATGGCGGCTTTTTCATAGATATATATCAGTGGTTAGTATACAATGCATATCTTTGGTTTTCGTCATTACGTCATCATCTATTGGAAGCGTACTCCTTAACAGTGGAGCTGAAATGATGAAGGTTGTCTATACTGTAGCTTCTTACATTCTCATAGCCTATCAAGGGCACAACATACGTTGGGTTTCTATGAAGAAAACAATCGTATCAAAAGAAATGTAGGTTAACCTCATCATCATCACAGCCACAACTATTACAAAACAACCAAAACAGGAGAGAACTCAAGAAAACAATGAAAATCAACAATATAAAATACTAGTTTATGCATCGGAAAACGGCATGACCGGGAATAAGCCTTGCTTTATTGTTTCAAATTAAAATGAATAATATACAAAGCAGATGGTGGCAAATTATTACCAGATTGAGGATTAAAAGTAACAACTCTTATTGCAATAATAAAAACATAGTAGAGCAAGAGGGATTAACGGAGCTCGAAAATCAAGTTTTCAAACTATTCCTGGTTCTTTGCGTATCAGGTGGAAGATACAGTCAACTTACTTCATCGAGTGTGCAATTGCCTTTAACTTTAATAATTAGTCTCCTCTTTTTATGTTTTGGTTAAGTTCTATGTTGTGCTTCTTTCGTCTCCAGAGGAAAAAGAATCTTTTCCATGTGTGTTTATATGTGGCGGTGACAACGTCTTCGTAGATATCAATTCATTTTTTTAACTGATGTTTTGACACAATTGGATAATACTAACAATTTGTAACATGCAGATGACGTAGACAACTAAAGAACTACACATTTGTACAATTAATTTGTTTACGAAAAAATACACACAACAAAAATAACAAAAGAAACAAGATAATTATTTCCAACAAAATTTGCAACATTGAGGGGAGAAGGTTGTCAAATCTTGCAGTGAAAAATTATTTTCTTAAGTTCATGAAATTCATCAAAGTGAAAAAGAGGTGAATCATTTGGGAAGGAGAGCCCCCGTAGGGGAGAGAATACAACACTTGCTAAGGTTTGCTGTGATTTGTATTTCAGAGCCGTGTTCTTCTGCATGAAACGGAGAACAGAATGTAAAACTGAAACCAAAACACACTTTCAACTGTAATGGAATTTCGGAATTCAAATTTAACTTTTGATCAAATCCGAAAGATAAGGTAGTTAAAAATACAGATTGAAATCAGTTGTAACAATATTAGATTCCTGTATAGAAATGATCCTCAATGTGTTATTTTATGCATAAGTGCTTTTTTTCTTCTCCGCTCAAAACAATGAACGGAGAAACTGGGAGAACAGAAAGAACAAAGAGACAAAAAAAGAAATTCTAGAATCTTCTTTTACTTTAAAGTTTTGTAATTCACGCGGGGAGAACTTTAAGAAAAATAGAAAAAGAAAAAAAACACAATTACGATATATATACTTTATGCACAATGGAATAAATCTATATTTCCTTTCTTTTAAATTTAAATTTCAGTGTATTACGTAATATGCATGTATATAATTATTAGATATATTTTTACAGTATCGAAAAAAAAAATAAAAAAAAAAGCTTAATTCCACTTTAGCATCTTGTACATTATGCATAAGCAAAAGGTGATACAGAAAAAAGGGAGGCAACTTACATACCTCTCCAAATTAGGCATATATCAATTTCAAACTTGCATTGCTTGTAGGCACATTGTTTTGTTTCTCCAATTTCAATTGAGGCGCATGGGTCGATGGAACAATTTAGAACAAATTATATCATCACGGGAAACTTTAATTAGGGAGTAAACTCCTTCCCTCTAATGTAGATTTACATTTAATTTCGTTTATTCTTTGTCTTTTCAACTATATGGGCAGTAACAGATCTTTTGTTGAGCGAAAATGAACTATTAATTGCCACAGCAAAAAGAGGAGACAACACAAGGCATTTGCTTCTCGTTTTGGTTTTCAAACTGAGGCGTTTTTTGAAACCGAATCAGTCCACACTTTAGTTTGACGGTGACAGACAAAGTTGACTCTATTTCAACTGCACATGCACGCACCCAATCGCCTGTGTAACACACACACTCAGTCGAGAAAATTCTTTGTTTTGTATATTTGTCCATTGTTTTCCAATGAAGCGGAATTGCGTCAAAGTTGTGTTTGTACCTCTTTCTCTATTTTCATTAAAATTTAATTTTTATTTTTAATTTTCCACATTACACAAATATAAAACATATAACTCAACGTACATATTACGTATTGCATTGCATAATATGCATAGCTGCTAAAAGTAAAATAAAAATGTAAGAGAACATTAACAAGATTTGAACGGGTTAGAAGCATATTACTACTTCACAGTTACCTTGTCTGACATCACCACCCTTTCCTACATATGGCATAACTACACACTAACTCCTGTCTCGAAAGGTTGGTTAAAGGAAGTGAAAAAAAGATTATAAATACCAATTGAGATTTCACATTTTCCGAAAAACCAAAAGACCTACTCTCTATATACAAAGAGATCTACTTACATTCAGTACACATATATACTTTGGTGAATACACATACACCTACACTAATACACTAATAACTCAACTGAGAAAAGAAGCATAGTACTATCACAAACACTACTATTGCTGATACAACTGCTATAACTACTGCTGCTATACTAAAATCAGTTGATTTCAAATAGTTGGCTCTGTTTACACTTCCGAAGCCAGAACCACTACAACTACAACTACAACTACAAACTAATCAGATTCGTTATTGTTATATTTTTATATCACTGCCTCATAGGAATAAAGAAAAATAGAGAAAAATAATATTTTGTTAAATTGTTTTTTAATTATTTTATTATTTTTGGACCTTTTCACACGACTTTGTTTTTATTATAATTAGCTCATATTACACAAACCTAGAGCGAAGGAACATTTCGAGGAGAACCAATACACACACTACACATAAGACTGTGCTGCATTGTTACTTAATATATTTAAGTAACATTATTATTATTATTACATCAGTGGCACCACAGAACGAAAGGTTTAACAATAAATTCCCATTCACGGAGTACACAAGAAGAAGAGAAAGTGCGTCACTAATTTAAAGTGAAACACACACACACACGCACGCCCACACATATATCTTATTTAAAGGACAAAGGATTTCCCAAATTTCATCACCCCCTTGTCTTAATTAACACTTTTTTCATATTTTACAACTTTCAATACTTACATTACACACATCACACATCACAATGGTTTACCAAGCAGAATCAGCTAAATGGAAAGCTTATCAATTCAGCGACCCTTTTGCTGCAGGATCTTTTTTCGTTTGTAATAAACTAAATCGATTCTTTTGTCGTCCAGACTGCGATGCTAGACCTAGAACTAACTTGAAATCGGAAATTAAATTCACGAACACCGCCAACGAAGCAGTCCAATATGGTTTCATACCCTGTGAATCATGCGACCCAATGCACAGCACTGCCATTGATGTTGGTTTACTCATCAAGTGTGTATCGTCAGTAAACACCAAGATTGGATTTATGCCACCCTTGTTGGATGAAAATGAGGATTTAAACTCGAAAAGGATCAAGGAAAACATAATGGAATCAAAGAGGGTTAACGAAGTACAGATTTTAAAGACTATTGGTGGCGAACACGCTCTTGGTTCATCCAGACGTGCTTCAATGCCTGCTGCCGGTCCAACCTTCAATGGTGGTAAAGGAGTGAAGGATGCTGAATACACTTCACTTTCAAAGAATGACTCCGATCATTACCGTTTAGTTGATTTGGCATGTCGTCATTTGGCCCTTGCTGCTGCAGTTAATGTGTTTCAGCCTAAACCACTTGCACCCACTCCGGAGGAAAGTAACTCCCCCGCTGCTAATGGTTCTTCAAGCAACGGTGGCTCTAAGAAGAGGAGAAGAAGAGGTGGTGTGCTTGGATTTAAAGAATTGGCTGCCAAGTCCAAGTTGAGTGCATGGCATTTCCATAGAGTTTTCAAATCAGTCACTGGATTGACACCAAAAACTTATGGTGACAAATGCTGGGAATTTGTCAAGAAAGTCAAAGAAAGTGGAGAATACACATCATTTGAAGCTTACAACTCTCCTCAATCACAATCGCCAAAATCCACCACACCAAACTCGCCAATGGTGATGTCGTTGCAACAACACCAGCCAAAAGAAGCTAAACAACCAGTTAGCAAGAAGGTTAAATTGGAACCATCGTTGGAATCGTCATTATCGCCGTCGTCGTCGCCTGCATTGTTTACTACCCAATCGGTTGCTGATGAAAAGAAGTTGGCTGTACAATCAATAACCCCACCACAATCCGCTTCGATAACGGGTCAATTTCCACACCACCTTCATAATCATCAACAACAAATGCAACCAATTACTCCACCAAACCAATACACTTCACCATCAGTAAGCCAAATAAACACAGTACAATCAGTTATACCCGATGCCTTTTACTCGGGAAACCATCAACACCAACCATCGCTTGACGATCAATTACAAGCATTGCCTAACTTGGACTTTGATTTGTATGAAGGAGGGGATTTGCAACAACAGCAATCACTACACATGAAGGCATTTTCATTCCCTGACTTGTCTAAGTTCCGCACTGAGTCGTTGTTTAGCAATAACAACAACAACAACAACAACAACATCGGCCACCAACATCATTACTCAACCAATTCAGCCAACCCATCATTGTTCCAATCCAATGAAAATAGTGATAGCACTACTGCTGTTGCTGCTGCATTACAAACTGGTTCGCTAGATTTAGGCTTTGAAGAAGATGCTGGTGCTGTTGGTGCTGTTGACTTTAGTGACTACATTAACAATACTGCCACTACACAAGGTAACTACAGCAACCAATTACAAGCACCATTACCTTCATCATCTACCGCATCATCCACACACATTCCAAGTCAAAGTCTAGACTCTATAGCATTACCAGAAGATGGTGAATTTGATTTTACTGATGCATTTACACAAGATGTATTTACTCAACCTACTTCGGCTACTGATTCTACATTTTCCCCATTTGATACCACTGCTATTAGTGCACCAGGAACTGGCTTAACTTTTAATGATGAATTGGATTTCACCATGAATCCACAATTGGTTTCAAGTATTATAGATTAAATTGGAGAATACCTTTCCTTTCTTTTTATTAATTTTATTTTAGTTAACGTTTTATTATTTTAATTTTACGACTATTTTTTAACTATTGAAGAATGATCTTTATGGCGTTGTATATTGGTAAAGAGTGAGGTGGCTAATTGTATTGGTGTGGCTTTTATAAGGTGCAATTGGCCATTGATGACAAAAGGGAGTAAAATCTGTTTCGGAAGCTTGACTGCACTAAGGTACTCTCACTTACTTGACTTCTGATGTTGCAGCTGTTGCTCTTTACAATGTTGATTTTCTCCTCTCCTATCCTCCTCTCCTATCCTCCTCTCCTATCCTCCTCTCCCCACCTATTGTTTTCTGTACACAGAAAAAGAAAAAATAGCTGTGGAGAATGAACGTATCAGGGGTAGAATTTTTAAAAAGAAAAAGTAAGAAAAATTATACATCTTTAACTCCCACTCAAGAAATCGGTGACTGGGGGAGGGGATTCTCTGATTAAACTGACTGACCACATATGTTTGTAAATACATTTTTTTCATGTGGAAAATGAAGAACGTTTTGTGTGGAAAATGGAGGGATTGAGGAGAAGTTTACTTTTGAAAGGAGGAAAATGACTGAGACAAATAAATTTTTGTTGAGTGGTTAAAGAAATAAAAAAAAAAATGTCTCAGATTTATTTGATGTATTATAATTTTGGTAATTGCATTTTTAGTCATCCAAAACATGATAATAGAGAATGTGATGGGATGAGAGGAGAGGAGAGGAGAATGAGGAGAAGAATATACCGACAAAGGATTTTGTATAAGGGATATTGTTTGTCGTTGAGAGGAACTGGAGACACTTTGTAGAGGGAGCGAGATAAAGTTTTGTCCCTTTTTTTTATTTTTTGTCGCACTCGCCCCGAGGAAAATAAATACCTTCCCCATTGCCTCGACTCATCCAGGCCGCGGAGTTGAAGTCGGCCAAATTAAATAAAACTTTCTTTTTTTCTCCGACGCACAAATTACAAATATTTCCTGGCAGTCTAGACTCATTTGCTTTTTGCGTATGTTGTACATCCAATTACACAAATAACTTCTGTGTATCTATGCATACATGAGTTGTGGCGTGAGGAACTGTGTTAAGAAGAGAAAGGGAAACCGGGAGACGTGGAAGGTAGAAGGGGGGAGTTTTCAAATAATGTGAGCGGGGAATATCATAGAGAAAAAAACATACGATTGTGGAGAGGAAGAGTGAAACAGACCCACTTGTTTATTCTCTTTCATTGTGTGTTTCTCCTCTGTCTCTTTCGGTTTTAGTCACAATGGTTCTCCTGTTAGACTACACTTGTGGCTGTGACTGTGGAAAAGTGTCGTAATGTGATGCTGTGATGTATGATGATGCTAATATGCAACATTCGGAAATATACGTATGTATGATATGTTTGTAACGTATGTGTTGAAAAAACGTATGAGGAAAAGAAAAAGGTGATGTACAATTGAGAAGTTTTTAACGAGAGTTGCATGTGAACTAAATTGAAAGAGACCAAGAATAGGATAGAGTTTCACTTCCTCCCCCCTTCTCTAAGTTAACAGTGACAAAATAAACATGACCAATTGTTATTATAGCCTTTATCTTTCCTCTTTTCCTTTTTGTTGTTTATGGTTGACTCGGGAATTGCGTTAATTGAACAAGGGGGAGAGGAAGTGTGTAATGGTTAGAAGAATGAAGAAAAAGGGGGTCAAAATGAAAGAGAGAGAAAAAAGAGAAAATACGAATTGGGTAATTAAGAAATGGTGCATGTTACGTAATAACTACTTTTCTTTGTGCATGCCAACTACTTCTTCTCAATAAATAAAATATTATCCCCAAAGATTTCCGAACTCCGTTTACGCCAAAGGAAAAAATAAAAAGAGATCAAGAAGCCTGGGCATCAAATATGCAATTGTTATGCACAAACTAAAATACTTCAAGGTTAATAATAATAGTTGAGAGGAGGAAAATGAAGAACCTTTTTCAAAACCATAGAGAGGAAAAAAGAACAATTTTGATAGTTGATAGGAATTGTGAAAACTGGTGGGGGAAGAAACATTGTTTGCAACGAACACACAACCTATCTGCTCTTTTTCTTTGTATTCTGGATGGGCTAGACTCAACTGCACAATTTGTTTTAGTATAATGCCTTTAGATGAGCTGAGTTGAGTTGGCATACTTTACTACTTCTCTGTAGTATGGTAGTGCTGATGCCCTGCAACTGCTAAAAATATTTATAAAATAAAGTTCAAAAAGGTAGTGCATATTGGCAAAATAAGTATAATAATTATAGCACACTACTATTCTAATCACAACTACTCTACTACTCTACTACTACTACTACTACTACTACTACTACTACTATGGCTATTATTACTCTATTACTACCATTACTATTATTAAAGTTCTCTTGTATTGGCATATTTTGATATTATAGTGTTTATAAGAAACTGTCAACTTCTAAAGGTAAAAAGAAAGATGATAAAAAACTAGCACCTTTCTCTTAAATGACGTCATTGGTTCCATATGTACAATTGACCAATTGGAAAGGTAAAAAAGAAAACAGGGGGACCAATTGTCCACTAGTTCAGCTCTTTTTATTCTTTTGGTAAGAGAGGGGACGGATATTGCTGTTGTTGTTGCTTTTCATAATGATAGATAAATCCAATGAACTAATGTCATTCCTTACATTTTAATTGAGCTTTATTCCGAGGGATTTTCTTTTTTTTTTTTCTTTGTTCTTTGTTCTTTTCAATTTTTTTAGTTTTTAAAATTTTACATCTCTTCTTTTATGCTAAATGCACAAACAAATGTACAATTGTTAGCCACCACATGCATATATATATATATATAATTTAACACTCCACTCTATTCTGCAAAGACTAAAAGTCTAAGCTCATGAACAAGACGCTTTTTATCTTTACGTTTTAGTAATTACAATAAAGGAAATTTTAAGCTCATTACATTTTCAACTAACTAAACCAAAAAAATTGTCGAATGATGATGCACATGCTTTCTACTATGTCTTACTTTAACTCTTCTGCTGTTTTCGACTGGTCTCAATTACACTTACTTTTCCACTGTCTTGGCGGTGTGTACCAGAAAGTTTAATGCTGTTCAGCTTTTGCATTTACGCACCAGAAAACTCAAAGTTCATAAATGTCTAATTTACGGAAAATTTCGGCACTCTACCTAAAATAGTAAACTATTATCCATTCCAATTAAACGAAAACTGAAAAACAAAGGGAAATGAAATAGGTGTGTTCTTGTGTCCTCAGTCGGTGAATATTCTAGATTCAAGAATATCATTTCCACAATTCACCGAAGCTTGTGCTCCTCCAAAATGCGTATGATTGCGGATAGAAAATGCAACAGTTGTTGTGGTTACAGCGAAGCCACTTACCGTTCGGTTGTTAACTGATAACAGTTGTTGTAATTTTTCAACTTTTCTGTAACAGGTTATGAGCCTGTTTTGGGCAAATGCGTTAGCAAGAGTTGGACGATGATTAACATCGAAATAACCGTTGCATTTTCCCGAGTTTCCGCATTGGATTTGACTAAAATGTGTTTTTTCTCTAGATTAACCGTTTATCCATTGCAATGATCTGTGCATTAAATCCATTTTTATTTAGTATCAGTTGAGTTACTTTTAGACATTACATCCTTTCATAGACAGATATGGGCATCAAGCCTCTTTTTCTCTCTCTATGGATGCATAAAAGCATCTGTCAAAAGGAAAAATATGCAACGGGAAAAAGAAATAAAGGTGTGCAATGCAAGATTTAAATCGGTTATTCTAATTACAATTGACTAAAATAATAGTGTTGTGCAGTAGAGCTTTTCTTTTTTCTTGATTCATATGCAACCTGTTTATGACTCTATCTTTAGATTTAAATGTACTGGCATTGCAAAGAATTACATGTTAACTATTAGTCGTTTACTATTTTCGATAAAAAGGACAAGCAAAGCTGTGAACAATATAGCATGAGTAAAGGAATTCTTACAATTGTCTTCATTTTCAAATAGGATTGATGGGGAGAAAGGAGGAGATAGTCAACATGAGCGTTCTTAACGTTACCACGCACTTCCCTTATTTTGTTTTGCAACTGATAGAGCCAAGATCGTAAAAGTGCTTGGAAAGCTTAAAAATAATCTATAAACCTCCCCTACCCGTCTCATGTGTGACTGAGAAATTGTAAAAAGAAAACAAAGTTGAATTTTTTAAACCAAAGTAGACACAAAACCTCGAAAAGAATTTGGTTAAATGTGTTGTAGGGTTGCGAAGTTTCTACATCACCTGTTTGAAACTAGCAAACTAAGAAAACACATACTTTTTTGCAATATGACCTGATTTTAGAAAAACGAAGGCGAATTGCCTCACAATTGGGAGGGTTTAAATCGTATGGTTGAACCATGTAATTCAATGACCTTCAACTTCGTTGACTAAGTAGCGATGTAATGCTGAGACGAGTCCAAATGCCAAATTATGCCCAAAAAATATGCAATGAGTAAATACGAAAGGAAAAAATTACCCTCATTTAGATAGATATGTACATTAATTGTACATCTGGGTAGAAGTCGCATACATATATATGCACAAAGGAGCCCAATTCCAAACGTGGTGCTTTAGATGATATCTCTAATGAGCTATGTTGGTGGGCCACGTCTAAAAATAAGACGACATGGCGGGTAAAGGAAGAAGATTTAGAGCGGCAGCCTTACCAGCAAGTACAGAAACAACTCCAACAGATATTTAAAAACAATAAAAGAGTTTAATGAACTTAGAATAGTAGGAATGGCCTCTCTTAACATTAAAGGTTTGAGGGATGATGGAACAGAATGGTGACAAACTCTTGGTTCAACAAAATTTGTACAAAGTTGGCACATTGCAATTTAATGAAATCTAACACAACTTCTAAAGCCAAACATGAAGTATAAAAACTTTAAAATCATAATTTTTCATTCTCCGTCCTACAAAAGTCTAAACCTCCAAATGTGAGCAAGGTTTTTCTTTTCAAGTTTTTAGTATTTGAACTTTTATCCTTCTCTCTTTTTATGTTTAGACTATTTTGACACCTTTGGCTCTTTTGGGACAAAAATTCAACTCGTTTTGTCAAGTACAGGCTGACATTTTAGTTTTAGTTGAAGTTTGTAGCACTTACTTCCCCAAAATAAAAGAGAGAGAGATATGAATAATCTTACATTAAGTTCAAATAGTTTTCTTAAACTGAAACTCAATTGAGTCTAAAAGATGTTAAAAAATTTCAAGCAAAGCTTGTTTTTAAGATTTGAAAATTTTTCCCTTTAGTATAGCATTAAGTTCCAATAAAAAAGGAATTCTTCTCCTAAGCGAAAAGAATCATCTACTGCGGGGTGGTGGGGGAGGAGGCATAAATTCAAACTAACCATGTCCACTGACATTATACTTTCCACTGTAACAGACATCCATCTTCTTTCGTCCTCTTACTTTCTCTTTTTTGCGTTTTGTCTGCTTGCATTTCCGTCTCTTTTTGCAATGCAAGCAGCACAAATAGAAGCAAAGATATAATTTTAGCTTTTTACATTCTTAAGAATCAAACGAAAACGGTAATAAACAAATGTACAGTGGATTCACAACCTTATACATCACCTTAATCATTATTCATGAGTCATTTCCAAGCTCCTCTACGCAGATTGTAACAAAGAGAGTTACTAATTGAATTGAATCAACTCCACTAAAGTGCCATCTACATTCTCTACAGAACTCGCTTACTCCAATTTTATAATTGTGCAACCAGTGCCATGTGTATTACATTATATTAATCTCGTTAACTCTCCCTCCTCCTCCTTCTCCTCCTCCTTCTCCTCCTCTCTTCTCTCCCTCTTCTCCCAATTTCACTCAATTAAATCAGCAACTAACCCTACCAACTTTTCATGGAATTGCTTTCTATCCATTTGTTTCTTATCATTATGCAATTGCTGTTGAATTTTAAACAATTCATCAATTTGAAACAAACTTGATTCTATATGGGAAATTAGCCGCTTATCGCCAACACACTTCAATGGCGAATAAATTTTGTGGATCTTAGTCTTGTATGACGTTGATACAGCGCCACTACCATCACCACCAGTAGCTACGTTCCTTTTAATTTCTGCTTCACTTACCATACCTGAACGCCCTCCTTTGTCCGAACAATCAAGCTTATCTTGATTACCTTGTTGCAAACTCAACTCATTATTTATATTCATTTCAATAGTCTTAATCTCCCTCGCACGCAAGCTGATGAAAATCGTCCTCGTGGTAATCTTGCTATACTTATAATTGTTTTGATAATAAATTAAATCATTTTTCATTGAGCTCATAACTTGTTGCTCTAGTTTTGGGTTTATGGGACATGATTGAAGAATAAACTCTGGCCGATATTCATCACAATACCCAACACACGGTAGTAGAATATTGTGTTTGAAAATAGTTGGATTTGATGGATTGGCATCATCACCAGTAGATAATGGTTCGGATCTATTTCCACTGCATCGACGACTATAATCCACTTCAAGTACACTGTCCAATTTTTTGCATTTGGGTTTACTCTCCATAACTTGTTTACATTTGGCCTGAATTGTAGATCGATTGTACTCAGCAATATTTTTGACAAGTCGATCACTCACAAATGGAGTGAAAACACTCGTCTTTGATCGTTTCACTTCAAACACACTGCCGTTGCCATTATTGTTCTGGCTGTGGCTATTATTATGATTCGCCTGAGAGCTATGATTCTCTGTTGACGATGATGACGAGTGAGACGAGTCCGACAATTGTTCCTCACTCATCGAATTCATATTCAAATCATACAAATCATACAATGACTGAGTGCGAGACATTTTACTGGGCGTCATTGACATTGGCGATACAATTGAATTGGTATAACTTGACGACTGCCAGTTGAAATCGTCATGTTCAAATGCTGGTGACGGCGTTCGTAATGACTGGTGTGACGATTTTCTCATTCCTAAGCTGGGAGGTTCATCAAAATATCCTCCCATGTTGTTGGATGTATGCAGTTGATTGCTAAATGAGTTTTTCCACTTTTCCATAAATGAACCACTTCCGCCAAATTTGGACAAAGAATAGTTTGATTGTAACGAGGAGTATGATGAATTTAATGAAGTTGAAAGTTGAGCCAACGATGCTGATTTCGATAGTGATGATGATGCCTGTGATGTTGTTGGCGTATTTATAGGAATACCCACGACTGGTGTTTGTGACGATTTAGGTCTATTGATGGGGATGCTGACGGCAGATGGCTGTACGCGTGATATTTCATGCAGATGTCCATTCAGATTCGCCTGTTCAGTTACTATGCTATTAGTCAATGTTGATGGTGAATTCCAGTCATCGTCAGTAGAATACTTTTCATCTTCGTGATTATCATCGCCATGAGAGACGTCACTACGTGAGACATCACCAACACCACCACCATTGTGATGAAGAGTGTTGTATATATATTGGCTTGTATCACCACATTTGACAGACTCGGTATTAGCAATCAATCCATTCAAAATGAAAATCAATCGCTTGGCCACAGCTGGGTTTCCCGTCATTACAACCACTCGTGTCACTTCGCGGGTATCACATGAATTGTTATAATACGGTCTCAGACCTAATGATTTCCGGTGCCGTATCAATAATGACATCAAAGTAGCAAGAAATGAAGGATTCTTGTCAATGTTATTATTGGCAAAAGACAAATTAGATTTTCCATCCTTAAACTCGAGCCAGTTCAAAGTTTCCAAGATCCAATTCATTAAACTTGAATTATAGCTTGTCTTGTTTAATTTCATCAAATAGTTTGTGTCTATTAATCTTGGGGTATTGTTATCGTAATGTATCAACTTCACCAATTTCCCCAATTGTGCATGTAGTTCGAAATCGTTTTGCAAAATATAATGGGGGAACTGTAACCTCTTCTTGACCAAATATTCACATCCATTACCATTGTCAATTACCATATTCAACTGCAACACCAACTTTCGATACACTGCCTTTTGCAACAAGGTTAAATAATGCGATATCTCACTCCATTCATTAATAATGTCTTCATGAACAAAATTGCCGCATTCTAAAGGTATTACTACTCCAATCGAAAATCTGCTATTGATCTTCAAATCATTAAGCTTCACTCTTGATTCCTTTGTCGTTGTTGCTGATTTAGGCTTCCAATCGCCACTACCTTGTTGAAAAGTGGCATCAGGCGTCGAAACTTCTGCATCACTTATTGAAAATAGTCGTGTTATCAATACCGCATGGTATGGGGTCGATGAGTTGGTGATTGGGGGCAATGTATGCAATTTAGTTATTGTTTGAACTTCATTAGTAGGTAGTCCACATCCAAATGACAAATCATTCAATTCAGTGGTGTTATGATAGATTCGCAGGTTGGTCAGCTTTTTCAGCAACGTGCTACGCCTCAGTTCCTGGTGTTGTGAAGGCGACTGAAAATTTGGTGACGTGGTTTGCTGTGTCAGTTCAAAAGCAGTGTCAAATAGAATTTCCTTTGACCGTAGATTGCCTCCATCTTGTGATATAATGATTCTAAAGTATTTGCTATTAAATTGAAACGGTTTCAACAGATTAGCATTACATGTGCCATAAAAAATTTCCCTCGAGTGCGAATCTTCAAATGGAGTTGTTATTGGTGGGGATGCCAGGGATGTGATTTGTGGAGTATGTATCTGAGTAGGAGGATTATGTTTGAATAATCTACCGAGCATTATTGATTATTGTGGTGGTCCATACTCTCCCACTTTTTTTACTCTCTGATCCCCCTATTTAGCTGTGCGAGGTGTAGGTTTATGTGTGTCTGTATATATTTATGTATATATATATATGTATATCAGAAAGTGAGTTCTGTTCTGTTAATAAAAGTGGGATATCCTTTGCCTTTTGTCAGACGGTTTTCAAGTCTAAAATTTTGCCAAGCTATTTTGATGCATGATGCAAACAAACAAAAAGAAGAAAAGAAGAAGAAGAAAATAAAATTAAAAATAAAATTAAAAATAAAATTAAAAAAAGAATCAACAGACTGTTCTGGATTCGATTAACTTTAAACCGCCTTTTGCTAACAATATATACCAGAAATGAGACAGTATTAATATTATCAAAGATACTCTTATACAGGTAATATAGACCCACTCCTGTGGCATTTCTATCTGATAACTTTGTTCCATTAATTTTTAAAACGGCAAAACGCTTTGCTTTTACAACAGCCTCAAAGGAGTCTCTTTGTGTAACACAAAAATAAGCAAGAAGAAGTCTCTGGGGAAACCAACAGAGAGCCCATGAGATAGCTGTTTGGGTATCATCGACGTGTAAAGAGTTAGCAGATCCTAAAATTGTGAGAGTGGGACTAGAGACCCGTCTTCACTTGTAAAGCGTCGATTACGGCGGTGTTACAATGACATCTCGTAAACAATGCAAAACGGTTTGATGGTTACAAGTGAGAGAGTTTCCGGAAAAGGAAACACCAACCCTTCCGAAAGTATTCTCGCTAGAGGAGGCTTATTCAGATACACCTCTTTTGTTTGACAACTTCTTTGTTGCACCACCTGTTCTGATTAGAGCTGCAGCAACTTCTATGTCACCCGATCATATTTCTAAATCACTTCAAACCTTATGGGATTTTTGTTTTCGGAAAGTGTATTCCTAAAAGGCGGAACTCTAATTCGGTGACAGACAAAAAATGCCTAAACGAGACTAAAAAGAAATAGAAAAATAAAAAATAGCCGCTCGGACTTCATATTCCTCCAGGCGAATCTCTGATAAGAGGAAAACGTCTAGCAAAGCTTAAAGAAATATCAGCCGTGGTACCTCACCCTACAGTTAATTGATCTTTGTATAGTCCCACATATTTACTCATAGGATGTTAATAAAAAAGATTACTCGTATATACATCTCTGTCTCCTTATCACAAATCCTTAACCACATCTTCCAACACATTCAAAAATATATCAGCATGCTTCTTTTCAAACAACAATGTTGGTCTCAATCTGATGGAAACATCACCACATCCACCCATGTTCACCCCATGAGCTCTACATCCAAGCAACACCTTATTTCTAAAGTCTGCATCAACACAATCCCAAGCAATAAAAGTGCCGAAATTCTGTCCTCTCAAATTGGAAAACTTGTCAGTTTTGGCAACAATCGTCTGTAAACCCTTGTACAAATAATCACCAACTTGTGCCGTACTGGCAACCAAATTTGATTGGGCAATCTCTTTGTAGATTGCTTTAGCCAATATAGCTTTGGATGGATCTCCACACCAAGTATTAAATTGTCTGTAAGGTTGATTTGGTTGTAATTCAGGATTACTAAAATAAAATCCAGCAGCTTGGAATTTCTTGGAAAAAGTAACCATATCGGGTGGACTAGACAAATTCCAATGTTCATGAGCCCAAAACCTACCAGTCGCACCAACACCAGTTTGGACCTCGTCAACAATCATCAAAATGCCATGTCTCTGAGTCAAATCTCTAAGACCTTGGAAAAAGAATGGAGTAGCATGGTTGTCGCCACCTTCAGATTGAACGGGCTCAACAATAATGGCAGCAATTTGCTTGGGTGAATTTTCAATAATTGATTCAAATTGATACAAGCAACGTTCTTCCTCGTCTCTATTCTCAGCTTCAAACTCTTCTAATGGATACTTCAAGGTAGGGAAAGGTGCCTTGGGCCATGGGAATGCAGGAATATCCAACTTGTGGATAGCTTTTGATCTAGTGGTTGATAATGAGCCAAATAATCTTCCATGGAATCCTTTATCAAATGACAAAATCACCATATCTGAAGCACCTGGCGTTTCATTATTCATAACACTGGTCAACTCTTCTTGAGTAAACCCATCTTTTTTCCTCAACTTGGCATGTTGGTACATGAACGCCGCCTTGTATGCGGTTTCGTTTGCATCTGATCCACTCAATGAGGTCCAAATCTTGTCCATTCCTGGTGGAGCTGCAGCCAATAACCCTTCTTGAAGAATATCTTTATAATCAGTCGAGGGGAAACATGCCAATGCTGGACGATTAACAATAGCAGTAGTCATTTCATCGGACTTGGCAGCTTCAATCAATTTGGGGTTATTGTACCCCAATGCAATTGATGAAATTTGACAATAAACATCCAACAACTTGTTTCCATCTGCATCGCTAATATAATTTCCAAGTGACTTGAAATAATCAGCAACAAAGTACGTAGCTCCGTTATCGAAAACTTTTCCTAATTCATTGTTGATTGCAATGGATTTAGGACCTGGTATGGATTCAGTTTGAACAATGGGAGCCTGTGGTTCCGAAGGGAAATATGTTGTTGAATTGTATCTAACAAATTTCGAAAATGGTCTGACTCTTCTCAACATTAATTTTACAATAGGGAGATACTAGTAATTGAGAAAAGTAGGTTTTCAACTCCTTCTTTTTTTCCTATTTATATATATATTCATGTTGGAGTAAAAACGAGATACTTGGAATTCGTTTCCCGCGCCTAACCATAAAAGAGAAAAATAAAATGGCAAGAACTTAACGCGCAATTGGTCACAAAAGGGGCAAGATGTGAGGACAAAGACGAGTCGTTGTGTTGTTGGCACATTTTTTGTAAGCTAGACGGCAAACCAATCCCATATTCTAAGCTGTGGCTGTGAGTAATCGCTATTGAAGAATGTAAGACACGATCAAATTGAGCCAATCAAAATTTGAAGCCATATTATGTTACAATTGAAAAAGTTTAAGTTACGTTGCGTATTGGAGTATTTTGGTTCAAAATTTTGCAAAAACTTTAATCCACAAAAGTAGTACCAGTGAATTGAAGTTTGAATCACCATTGTTCCAGGCATGACTTTCGTAGCCCTGAAAACCACAAATCAGTGATAACTAGGGCCAGTTGAAATCACACTTCTTAGCAGAGTATTCGAAACAATGATGAAGCTCTAACGCACTTCCATCTTCAGTCATACTAACACTTGTCATTTCCACTTCTTTGAACTCATCTACAAAGTTGTATTAATCACATTAAGATAACATGCAATAACGTTACATATTGCTATAAAACCCAGGAAAACCCTCTAATTTACATCAAAAGAATTTATAAGCAAAAAGTAGTAATTTAGTGTCTTCTTGATTCAGCAATTATTTTGTTCATTTCTTCAACCTTCTTAGCAGCTCTCTTGTGAGTACCCAATCTCTTTTTAGCCAACTTCTTAGCCCTCTTTTCACCAGCATTTCTAATCAATTCAATCAATCTTCTTTCGTATGGAGCCAATCCGGAAACTTCCTTAACGATTGATCTGACGAAAGCAGCTCTTTGCGACAAAGCACCCTTTCTGTATGAAACTTTTGGGGCAACTTCTTTTGAGGCAACCTTGTGACCTTTGTTTAATCCTACTGCAATTCCTATAAATTGTAAAGTTAGTAACTTGATATTCAGTATTGCTCAGTTGACGGGCTGTGGGATAAGGGGATTTTGAAGAAAATAGTCCAGTGGTAATCACCAGTGTGGTCTGTTTCAATCGATGTTGTAGATCCTTCTGAGGTTGTGAATGGACATGGATCTTCTAATATATCATGCTCTTTAGTGATGTCTACTTCTCTCCACTCTCGTTATCTATCCAATATGTTGTCATATATTTCGTTGTGAATTTGATTTTTGTTTACTTCATCTCATTTGATCATTTTCTCTTATTCTCTCTGGAACAAACTCTTCTGATTCTTCCGTTCTCCCAGATACTCTCGTTCATTGCCACGTCAACAGTGGTTCAATCGTGTATAGTCCACATACCTGACTTAGCCATTGTGTGTTGATATCTATAGTTGTAGAAAGACTCTCTCAATCAAAAAATTTTCAAAAAAGCCAATGTTCAATGCGAGAAGGTGAGAAGGAGAAAAAAATTGAGTGAGGGTGCACTGGAATGGTAGTGCTCATAACGCTATAAAGCTGTACTTGACACAAAAATGTAACAGGAGAAAAGAGCGTGCGTATCACGTGAATATCTCCATATTAGGGCTACAAAACTTTTCATCATTAGCAAAGGGTTTATTCCTATTTACACAACTTGACCACTAAAGTCGTATTCGTAAGCATCCAATCTATTTACAATCTCCTTCATTGGCAACCACGAATACTTCTTGTCGAACTCAGCTGGTTTGATTGGATAGTAACTATCTCTTTGAACCAAATCATACAAAGCAGACAACAATTCTTCTTTAGTAGCAACAAATTTCCTTCCATCCAGATGAATATGCGTCACTGGTTTCAAATCTCCTGTTGATGCTTGTAAATGACCTCTTTCATTTTGCTCTAGTTCATTTAATAATTCATATCTCAATTTCCAACCAGCTAATCCCATAGTCTTGATTCTGCCTGGTGTTGATTTGAGTAAATATTGATCAATGCCACCTTCTTTAGTCAAGGTTCTCAACACTCTAGTCGAAACTTTAGTGCTGATCTTTTTGTTTAAAATCTCAGACCATAATTTAGCTCGACGAATGTTTGGTCTATGTGCTCTAAGGTTCTTGTTGAAATATTCTGAACATGTTTTGGATCGTTTACGTTGTAAACCACCATATAAGCCCCTATTTTGTCTTTTGAAAAAGCGGGCTTCATACTTGTATTTAGGAAATTGAGGAATTTCTTTGGGGATTCTTAATCCCCTTGGATGTTCTTGGCCTATTTCATAATGTGTTTCATCAATTGGTTTGGTGTATTTTAAAATTTTGTAGAATTTATCATACTTTTTCGTGGCCCAAGCAGGCTGTGTTGAGGAGAATGGTCTTAGTGGGATCTTCGGTATAAGGAGCGATACACAGGTACGTGCTATGGGTACATTATTGACCACTTTGAAGAAGTTCATGACGGATTGCTAACCTTCACTTGGTGATACAGCTTTTTTTGTTGGTTAACGCCAATGAACGTGTAGTTTTTTTTTTCCAGTTACAACCAAATGGTATTGCGGTCTATATGCAGGATAAACTTAGAAGAAGTTCACTATGAATGGAACTGGAGATTACCAGAAGCAGGATATACATCTCGTCCATTGGAAGAGCTGGTGATATTTAAGTAGTATTTGCTAACTGTGCTAATATGGAATGGAGAAAATATTTACTTGCTTTAACTGAGAAGAATGGTAAAATATACACCAAGGGACAATCAGTTGTATGAACCTTTCATATGAAAGAGAAGATGTTGATGTTTATTTGACTATGAGGTTAGAGAAGTGTATGTTAGTATTTAGATAACTTAGTCACAGGAGTTATTGACTACTCCCTTACGAAACATTCATGATGCAAAGCCACTCATGAAGCACTTTGAGTGATACTGGGACAAGTCACCACCAAAAAAAGGTATTTTCAATAACACAAGTTTATATAGTTCCTTTCCCCCTATGTGTTAGTCCTACTCTTGTGTGTTGCAAAAAAGGAATTATTTTCAATTACAATGATTTTATAGATTTTTGCGCTTTCATTTGGTAGCGACACGTAGACCACTTCTTTTCTCCCAAAGAAACGGAAAAAGAAAACAAAAAGGAAAACAATTAAAATAAAAATAAAAATAAAAAACGATGAAAGGATGACGATGAGCTGATAAGAAAAACAAAGTCGTGTAATGCCCAATTTTGACATCAAAAAGGGTAACAAAAGCGGCGTATCAAATCACAGCACTGGTGATTGTTAGACCAGAAGGTTATGATACGAGTGAACAAGATATATGGATTCAGCTTCCTCTCATGGGACTCAAAGATTTAATATCACTTGCGGTAGTTAAAGCGTAGAAAATTTATAGGAATTGACTTTCTTAAGGGTCTTTCTCTGATAGGCTAATTCTTAGGCTTAGTTTGATAAGCTTAGACAATTTATAAAAGTAAATGTATGTACGTATGTATGTATGTATGTTTATCAAAAATAGAAGAAAAATGAAAAAGGGGAGAGGTGGAAGGGGAGAGAGAATGACCAACGTAAAAGGAAAAAGGATACATCTGCATAATCAATTTTGGGTAGAAAAATGTATGCACATTTTTACAGCCAGCAATGACGCAATCAATAGGCAACAGTTGAGGTAGTTCTTTTCCCATAGTTTATATCACTGAGCACCATCAATTCAATGACTTATTATGTAGAGCATATATGTACTAATGGTGATGGTGATGATGATGATGATGATTGCCGTTGAGTGAAACCAAAATTGGATTGAAGAAAGGTAAAATAGAAAAAAAAAACAGAAGAAAAAAATAAAAATAAAAAAAAAAAAGAAATTAATAAATTAAATTAAATTAAATTAAATTCTCTCTGTCTGACTTAGAATTTCAAGGGAGAGAAAGAAAGAACGTCAATTATCTTTAAACAACCCATTGAGATAATAAGAACTTTCAAACACGCATATATATATACATACACGCAGGGTAACAGGTTATCACCTACTATACAGCTCTATTTACTCAACCACATCAACGATTCCACACTAATTGCTTTTAACTAAAGCCACATCCAGTTTGAAACCCTTTGTCCTTTTTTCTTATTATTTGGTTTTATTTTTTTTTGTTTTTTTTTGTTTTTACTTTCAACAGTCATCTTCTCCCTTCCCATTCAATTTGTCAGTCAAATTGCAGTGTGCATTCATACGTTCAACAGAGAACCAACTAGAGAAAGAGAGGTTGAGATATAATCAAAGCTTAGCAGATCTTTAACAGAAGCTATATCACACAAGTTACTTACCTAAACACTAACAAAAAAAAATAATACCTCTGGGTTACTCTGTAACCTCTTCCTTGCATTCATTTTAATAATACGTTATGGCAGATTTTGCGAAGTCTATATTCGGACTTGTAAACTATCATAAGAAGGAGAACAGTCAATCACCAACACCTCCACCTAGTTCATCTTCCAACACAAATCAATCAATTCACCACCAATCACAAGAGTTTAAACCAGGGCAGTCGCCCAACGACTACGCTAGAAACCAGCAACAACAACAACAGCAGCAGCAGCAGCAGCAACAACATTACAGCCACCATTATGAAGACCACGGAGTCAATAAATTAATGCCAAAAGGTTTGGTAAACGTTGCACCAACAACAGCCACAGCCGTATCAACTACTTCCTCGGTTTATGGCACGACCTCGTCAAACATCAACAATGACCCCGGAGCATACTTAAACCAAACATTTAAAACCAACGGTTTACATCCACAACAACCATTTCGCAACAGCTCTCAGTTCCAACCTTCATCTTCACAATCCCAATTCAACGAAACCCGCAGACAAGAACAAACACAAGCACGTGCGACGATGGATTCATCGCCAATGATTATAACAACTGACGAAACTGGCCAAACAATCAACTCCAGTGGCAACAACACACAACCAAAGGGTAAACTTAAGGTTACTATAATAGAGGCTAGAGACATTCAAGCCACACAGCCTTATGCCGTATGTACATTCGAAAGTTCAGAGTTTGTCACCAATGGGCCAGACTCATTTGGCAAGTCCCCAATGACAGGTCACGCTGCTGGTGGTGGTCCCAAAAACATGTACAATGCAAACCATGGACTGAAAGCATTACCTATGAAGAACCAACGACCACAGTTGTACCAAAGGCAATTGTCGACTCCTCAGTTGAATCTAGGAGGTGAATCGACTAATCCCATATGGAACCACCAAGCAACATTCGACGTGGTGGGATCTAAATCTGAACTTGATATTTCGGTTTATGACGCTGCTAGGGACGATGCATTTCTTGGCCATGTGAGAATATTTCCATCCACTGTAAAGAATAAGAAAAGTCCTAGCGAATGGTTGCAGCTTGGAGCAAGAATAGTTGGAGAAAGAGTATCTTCTGGTTCCATTCAAATACAGTGGGAATACACCTCATACGATGGAAAAAAGGCTTATGGCCCAGATGATTTTGAGTTTCTTAGATTGTTGGGTAAGGGAACCTTTGGGCAAGTGTTCCAAGTAAAGAAGAAGGATACATCGAGAATCTATGCCATGAAGATTTTATCAAAGAAGGTTATAGTGAAAAAGAAGGAAATAGCCCACACTATAGGCGAAAGAAATATTTTGGTTCGTACATCTGCTGCCGCATCGCCATTCATTGTGGGGTTGAAATTCTCATTTCAAACACCAGCAGATTTGTTTTTGGTTACTGATTACATGTCTGGAGGAGAGTTGTTTTGGCACTTGCAAAAAGATGGACGTTTTTCAGAAGAGCGGGCCAAATTTTACATTGCTGAATTGGTCTTGGCGTTGGAGCATTTGCATGACAATGATATTGTTTATCGTGATTTGAAGCCGGAAAATATTCTTCTTGATGCGAATGGACACATTGCTTTATGTGATTTTGGTCTTTCAAAGGCTAATTTGAACAATGATGGAACAACCAACACATTTTGTGGAACGACAGAGTATCTTGCACCCGAGATTTTATTGGATGAGTCAGGCTATACCAAAATGGTTGACTTTTGGTCACTTGGGGTGTTGATTTTCGAAATGTGTTGCGGCTGGTCACCATTCTACGCTGATAATACTCAACAAATGTACAAGAATATTGCTTTTGGAAAAGTTAGATTCCCCAAAGAGATCTTGAGTTCTGAAGGGAGATCTTTCGTCAAGGGTCTTTTGAATAGAAACCCAAGGCACAGACTTGGTGCTACTGATGATGCGAGAGAGTTGAAGGCTCATCCTTTCTTTGCTGATATCGACTGGAATTTGCTAAAGGCAAAGAGTATACCACCACCTTTCAAGCCGCACATTACATCCGAAACGGATACGTCTAATTTCGATCCTGAATTCACTTCTGAGTCCACTTCAGCGTTAAAGAAACAGATGGAGATGGCATCTACCCCATTGTCTCCAGGAGTTCAAGCAAATTTCAAAGGATTCACCTATGTGGATGATTCAGCAATGGATGACCATTTCGGCAGATCATACCGTATGAACACCTTTAAGAACCCCGGTTCTTTTATTCCAGGTGATCCAAACTTGCCACCGGCAGAAGATGCTGTCGATGACGATCAGATAAATGAAGAAGATGAAATGGAAGTTGACGAGGACCACCAAATGGATGACGAGTTTGTGAATGGTAGATTTGACTTATAGATTTGATTTGATTTGATTTTTTGTTCCTATTTTTGATACTTTTGGATTATTCAGATTTGCTGGTGAAGACGTTCTCCTAGGTTCATTCTGGTCCAAACATCTACTATTTTGTTAATTTTTTTTTATTATTATTGCATTTTTATTAATTCATTCTGGTACTGTATAATTAAGTAATTATAATAGGTAATTTATTAGAACACATATATTTTGAAAGACTATCGTTTCGTGAGAGCTTTGGTTTTAGTAAACCTAAACTTGTATTACAAAAGATTCAACATTCGTGCGTATTGTTCAAAAAACTACAAAGAAAACAAAAACAACAACAGTCGGAATTAATGAAAAGAAAAAAAATAGAACAAACCACAAGCAGTTGAAACAGATACAAACGGTTGCAAGTGTAAATCATAGATTAGCAACCCCTACCACATTAGTACATCATCCGCTACAGCAAATAGAAATGCCGCATCCAGGAAGACCGAAAGGTCGCATGAACAAGAAAACACAAGCAGCTCAACAGGCAATGCAGCAGGAGGCTCTTGCTAGACAACAAGCAGCACAGATCCAAGCAGCACAAGCACGTCGAACGGCACAAGAACAACAGTCAAGGCATGATTCGAGCATCATAAAGGAGGAGGCGGGTATTCAACTCCATGACGAAGCCGACTTGATAACTTATCGCAATGATGCATTAATAAGATACATGTCTAACCACGAAAACATTGAAAATGTTATGGCCAAACCAATTCACAGTTCAAAAATAATCCCACCCTCACTATATCCCACAATACCTAAACGCAATGCCGATGATTATTCTAAAGTGAATCTCGAGGAAATCTACTATGGAGATTTAGAATACATGAAATATTTTGACGAACAACTAGCCAAAAGTCTATCCATAATGCACCAGGAGGATGACCCTGGGTTCGTTAAATACTTGTTCAATACGGCGAATTACCCATATCGAAGAGCAAAGTTTTCTGAATTGGAAGCATTACAGCAAAAATTGCATGATAAAGCATCGGTTGAAAAACTTGAAACGGAATATAAAACGATAATTGAAGAATGCAAGGAGAAATTCCACCACGAGTACAAATTTCAATCTAATACTAGGGTGTATGCTATACCATTGGAGAAACTAGCCCCCAATGTGGATGTGAAACGGGCGCCTGATGGGTACAATCCAAAAGATTCTGACCCTGTTGAGCCGCAACTACCACAAGAAAGTGTTGCAGGCTTTGAAAACAAGACAAATGAAGAGCCACCTATCGATAACAGTAATTTCAATTCTAACGATATTGACTTGAATCTTGATGATAATTCCAACGACATGTTTCAGTTTGTAAATGAAGACAATGATAATTTCGATAACATTTCATCAGCAATAGTGAATGAAAATAAGATAGGTCTGGGTGCACAATCAGAAGCAATTGCCGTAAAACTGCAAGTTGAGGATAACTCCAACACCCAGATTCCTCAAGAAAGTATGAGTACTGGATCCAATCTAAACGATGAAAACATACGACTGGGCACTAATGCTCTTACTAACGAAGAGCCACCACAATCACAACAGTCCCCTGAGGGTCAGCCGATGGAACAAGACGATGACCACCTCAATAACGCAATGGTTGCTGAGATTAACGATTTGTTCAACGATAATGATCACGATATGGACCACCTGGCTATAGTAAACGACGACATTGAAGATCTTTACAATTTTGACCAGGGCGACAATGGTGATCTTTTGGGTGGGTCCGAGTTTGAGCAGGACTTTTTAAGTCAAATTAACCAGAGCATGGAATAGGATACAACTTGTGTTCATAAACAATTTTGTAACAATATGTAAATGTTTAAGTTTCTTTTTTTTTAATTCTAGAAAGATGTATTGAGTTATCAGCAAGTTTAAATTAAGGGACCAGGAGAGGGGAAGATGTAGGTTTATAATGTATAACGTTTAGATCGGAGATAACAGCAAAATAAGTTTCGGCCCTATCACGTCTGTCAGAGCGGAAGATCAAAAGAAAAAAAAAGTACTAAACAGCCACTCGCATCAAAATTTCATCAACTGTAAACATCTTTAATCAAAGAAAAATCTGTCACTTCACATCTATCATATTAGAGAAAAAATACGGCATTCAAAGTCGTTCAAAAATAATATAATATTTCTGCATCGTCCCCCCGTTGTCAACAGGATTACCCTTGGATTCAGTTGCCCTCCATATCTTGCGGAATCTGTGTTTGCTAATATATAATGCAAGAGCTAGACTATGATCTAAATAAGTTTAGAGCACCACCGCGAACAGCACAACCTCCAACAAGGTCAAAGGTGCGACAACAAAAGCTCAAATATGCTTTCATTGGATACATCGTAGTGCTAGTGTTTCTAGCAATCACGCAGTTTATTGGTGTTGGATTTTTCACCCTGGGTTTCTTACTATCAAGAGATGTGCTACCTAATATTGCTGATTGTGGTGACAACTCGTGCGTACAGCCTCGGTTTGAAAAGGCGGTGATTTTAGTCATTGATGCTTTGAGATTCGATTTTGCTATACCCGTTGCTGATTCTCAAGAGTATTATCATAATAACTTCCCCATTTTATACGACCTAGCCCAAAAGGATAATGGAGTTTTGCTAAAATTTATTGCTGACCCTCCAACAACAACTTTACAACGATTAAAGGGTTTGACTACCGGCTCACTCCCTACTATTATTGATGCTGGCTCCAACTTTAATGGAGATGCCATTGATGAGGACAACTGGTTGTTACAATTGCATAAAATCAACAAAACTATTGCATTTATGGGCGATGATACTTGGACGGCATTGTTCAATGCATACATCCACCCCGATCTCAACTTCCCTTATGATTCACTTAATGTATGGGATTTTCATACTGTTGACAATGGTGTTATCGAGCATTTGTTTCCATTGATGGAAAAACAAAATTGGGACGTGTTGATTGGTCATTTCTTAGGAGTCGATCATGTAGGCCATCGATATGGGCCAAAGCATTTTTCAATGAAGGAGAAACTAAATCAGATGAATGATGTGGTTGGAAAAGTTGTTGAGGACTTGGATGATGACACATTGTTGGTTGTGTTTGGGGATCACGGAATGGACTATACGGGAAATCATGGTGGTGATGCACCTGATGAATTGGAGAGTACTTTATTCATGTACTCAAAAAAGCAAAAATTCCTCAAAAAGGAGAAGGGTTCTTATGATATTACAAACCAGGGTGCTAATTATAGACAGGTCAATCAAATCGATTTGGTGCCCACTATATCTTTACTTTTAGGACTCCCGATTCCATTCAATAATCTTGGATTTACTATAGATGAAGCTTTTGGAAGTGTTAAGGAGGCGTTAGTTGCAGGAAAGCTAACTATTGATCAAATAAAACGATTTAGAGACTTGACCCCAAGTTTGTCTGACTCGTTGCTACAACGATATGATGATTTAATCAGTGCCTATAAATCGAAAGCAAGTGATTTAGATTTGATTGAGCAAATGAAACAATATCAATTCCAGTCGTTGGAACAATGTAAAACATTATGGGCAAGATTCGATTTGAGATTTATTGGGATGGGGATTGTGGTTTTGTTCCTCTCATTAACATTTATGATTACTTATGCTAGATCGATACCAGCTGTGAGAGTTCTGACGCTTTCTTTTGAATTCATTGGTTCTGTTGTGGCAATGTCGATAATTGGTGTCGTTCTCAGCTTTTCCATCTACATTGTATTAAAACCGAGTGACTTTACCTTGAAGATATGTTTGTGTATTGGAGCTGTACTAGGTATGGTTGTTGGATTTTGGGCACCTATAATGGACAGGTTTAGCGTCGAATTTATTTGGCAACAAACGGTTGATTTTTTCCAATTCAATTTCAATAGCTGGTCATTTATGGGGATTGTTTTTGTGGCTTTGCATTGTCTTATGTTTGCTTCAAATTCGTATGTGGTGTGGGAAGATAAGATGGTTCAGTTTTTCTTGCTTTCTTTTGGAGGAAGCTGTGTGTATGCATTATCTGTGAAAACTAATGTGCCCAGAGAAGTTAAAATACTCGGCATCAGCCATGCAATTACGTTTCTTGTATTGACAAGACTTGCGTCAATGGTTACGGCATGTCGTGAGGAACAGAGACCATATTGTGAGACTACATTTACTACTCTGTGGTGGTCAATCATTGTGCTACACTCTCTTGCTTATTTGCTTCCTGCAGCTATCAAAGCTTTTTACAGGTTATCGGACTCATATTATTCGGCAGCGCCATTGTGGATAAGCACCGGACTCAAGTTTCTTTTATTTATGAATGCAATGTACTGGACTTTTGAGTACGTTCAGAACAATGAGTTTTTCAACAGCGCCCGCTTTACCATTAGTGGGCCTTTGCTAAAATCGTTAAAACTTGCAATTGCCAGACTAGTGTTGTTCATATCGTTGGTTTTAGCAAACTTCAGCTGGTCAAGGGGCCCACTTTGTGTCAAGTTAGAGTTGGTCGATACTAAAGACTCGGAAAGTCTGAGTGATTCGGATGATATGAAGAGTCAACGATCAGCATCGATATTAGGATACGGCAACGTGTATGGATCCTCGTACTTTTTGCTTGTGTTAAATTTCACAGTGGCAGTAATGTTGACTACAAAGCCATTGGGTGCTGTTTCTATCAGTATTTTAATCATACAAATACTATCCTTGCTTGAAATGATTGATGAGTTGGGCTTGAGAAGAAACTTGATATCTCCAATAATATTTGGCTTATTGGGGTACCAACACTTTTTCAGCACCGGTCATCAAGCAACGATACCTTCAATACAATGGGAATTGGGCTTTATGACGACAGAAACTATTGTTTTCCCCTTTACCCATTTGAATATAGTTTTGAACACATTTGGTCCCTTCTTTCTCGTTGCTTTGGCAGTGCCATTGATTACAATATGGAAAATGGTACCTTCTCCAAAACCAATAACGGTCTTGTCACAGATCATCACTAACATAACTACACTCAGCACCTATCTTTTATTTACGGGTTTAAGCAGTTCAATCTTTGCTGCTCATTTTAGACGGCATTTGATGGTGTGGAAAATTTTCGCACCTAGATTCATGCTCAGTGCAATGTTGATTATATCGATAAACATATTCCTAATAGTTGTTACATTATGGGGCTCGGGTAAAGTACTAAAACAAGTTAATAGAATTTTTGGTAAATAGTTTTCAAACAATTGTACATTATTTATTTAGTTAAAACAAAGTAAAGACTAGCTGGTGGCTTTTACAATATATAGAGCTACCATGTGATCTTTTTCAGTCCTCTGACAAAGTTTTGTTGCACTGATAGGTTGAAAAACTTTGATTTACGATGTGCCCCAATACAGCAGTTACGTCACCGGAGGTCCACATGAGATGGTCATTAAAGCAGTGAATAAATCCTTTCTATTCATATGGACGCTATGTTGTGTACTTAGATTTTGTGTTTCAGATTCGCTATACAACTCATCGTTTACTCCAAATCACGTACGATATCTAAAGAATGAAACTAAACAATTATTTCAACATGCATGGAAGTCGTATATGACCTATGGGTTTCCCTTTGACGAAGTTCGACCCTTAACTTGCGAGCCATACGGGCCTGACTATAGTGATTACACTAATACTGTCAGAAACGATGCAATGGCAAATATATCCCTGACATTGTTGGACAATATAGACACGTTGATAATAATGGAGCAATGGGATGACCTCGAGCTGGCACTACAACATCTCAAAGATAACCAAGTTGAATTCTTCAACCAAGACTCCGTCGTACAAGTTTTTGAGACGACAATTAGGTTTTTGGGTGGGTTATTGAGTGCTCACTTGATATTGACCGACGTTACTAATAGAGATATTTCATTACCGCCATCATACAACAGATTTAAGGACATTTCTGCCAATTACAATGGGTTTCTACTAGAAATGGCATATGATTTAGGGCTCAGGCTTATACCTTCATACCAGACAAAGACAAACATTCCATTTCCTCGAATCAATTTGAAATCGGGGTTAAAGAAAGTGCCACCGGCTTTACAGAAAGATGCATGCACTTCAGGTGTAACTACTCCAGTGTTGGAATTCACCTTGCTTTCCAAGTTGACGGGTGATTTCCAATTTGAATACTACACCCAACAATCATTTTGGAAACTTTGGTCTTCTAAACTGGCTTTGAATCTAATGCCCATGTCTATAGACCCATTTTCAAACCAGTGGAAGGACTCGATAACGGGGATAGGAGCGTCTATTGATTCTTTTTATGAGTATGCTGCAAAATCAGCCATAATATTTAATGATAATGACATGTGGTCGGTCTTTCACGCTTCTTACAAGGCACTATTAACCCACCTGGCCCAAGAATTCCATGGCACAATGATTTTCCCCAATGTTGGGACCGAAGATGGGATTCTTTTTGGTGATTGGATAGACTCATTGGGAGCTTTCTGGTCTGGTTTGCAAGTATTGACTGGTCACTTGACTCATGCAATCAAAACGCATGTAGTATATTTGAAAATTTGGGATTATTTTGATCTGATTCCCGAGAGATGGATTTATGTGCATCACAAAAAGAACAAGAGGAAAAGATTTAAAACTGAGGATTCTATTGCATTGGAATGGTATCCGTTACGACCAGAGTTTATTGAGAGTACTTATTACCTATACCGTGCAACTAAGGATCCAATGTATTTGCATATCGGAGAAAGGATCCTTGAGTTGTTCAAGACTAAATTTAGAGCACAATGCGGGTTTAGTGGAATTCAAAACATCAATACCGGTGAACGACAAAATCGAATGGAGACTTTTGTTTTAGGGGAAACTTTAAAGTATTTGTATTTGTTATTTGATGAGGAAGAGAAGGTCTTTCTTCATAGGCCTGAGTTGATGGGTTCAAAAAACTGGGTATTCTCCACTGAAGCACATCCGTTGTGGTTCCACAAGGGATTAAAAAGTTTGCAAAATTCGAAATTTAAAGCCAATTCAGCTGGTGTAATTCCCGCTGATATCACTGAGGACCAGTTTACGCCAGCTATCATTAAAAATACTACGCTACGAGAACCTCGTGTGTATGAAATTCCGGGTCATGATAGTATACCTCATGTTGGAAAAAAAGACCCGTTTGGTGACCGACTCCATACTTGTGAATTGAACCCGTTGACAAAAAGCACAACGGGACTTCTTGAATCAAGTTACTACAGTTGGCAGAATTTATTTGGGGCAGATTATTTGTATGCCAAGTCCTTGATCAAACCTCTTTATTCCAACCAAACTAACTTGGATGGCAGTTATATCGAATTGAATCCTTCATTCTTTGCAAAATTTGCTGCTTTTGATACGCCGTTGACCTCCCAAAGGATGCCATCAACAACGAGCTATGAGGTGTTTTGGGGAGATATAAAAGATTGTGAGTTTGCCGAGGTGTCAGAATTGACATTTGTTGGGCAAAACACCACCGAGTCCATCATTTTACCGGGTGACTTATGGATTCCAGCTTTGCTGGGATTGAGAATTGTTGTTGAAGAATTGACTTTAGGTTCGATCGATTCAAGAAATGCAGTGGTTACGGATGAGTACATTCTGCGGATTAAGGATGATAGCTTTGATGACAATTCCAAGCACATTAAAGCAAATGAGATCTTGAGAATCCTCAGAGTTAATGGTGTAAAGGTGAGCCAGGGGGCTGTGATTTGGACATTGCCATTTGAACCAAGTCCGAGGGAAAAAGGTGCAATCAGAATCACAGCTGAAGGACGCGTCGTTATACAAGGCAAAGTTGTTGAGAATTTGATTGTATGGTATGGATAAATCACTGTGTGACTCTCGTACCACTATAAATGTGGAGGATGTATAGGAATTATTTATTGCATATAGAGTAAATGGGGAATGAGTATTTATAGACTATTGATCCTTGTCGCACCAGTGTCAAATTGAAAAATAGACTGGTGGTTGTTGGCGAGAACGTGTAAAAAATTTGGACACCAATTAGTAGTACCCAAAGTGCAACGACCTCAAAACAAGTACATGATAATGAGCTACGATCCAATACACGACACATATACGCCATCAAAGCCAAAGGACCCTCAACTGTCGCCTCCAAACTCGATACAAAGACTTGATCAGAAACAAGAGCATCGTGGTGATCCATTATCGATATCGAGTCTAGTTTCCGAAGAGGAAACTCTGCCTAATGACCCAGTTGTATCCGCCACTCCATCCCGTATATCTAACGCACACAAAGTTCTGGCTATATCCAATCTAATTGAAGCACAAGTGGACAACGAAGGTGAGGATGAGGATGATGATACTGATGTTAATTCGACAATTATTGGTGATGATGATGATTATACTGCGCCATCAGCGTCAAGTCACAAGCCGAAGAAGAAGTCATCTTCTAAAAAGAAAAAGAAAAGCAATATTGCCAACTCTAAGCTATCATTGAAGAAGGGGGATGGAGAACCATTTTGGCGTAGAGATATACAATATGATTTGCTAACGGCATTGTTTGACGACAAAACTGCTTGTTTTACAAACACGTACCCTCAACTGAACTTAACCGGTGTTAACAACAATCACAAAATTACGTTTGCCGAGTTGTATATTCGAACATTGGCTGAATCGAACAAGAGTTCCAAAGTTTTAAAGGAGAAGTTACTTCGCGATTTTGACTTGGGAAAGGCGGTATCGAAAGTATGTGTGCTAGTGAATGCAGGTAGGATGAATACGACAATCAATTTTGTTCATGATATGAAATCTACGTTGAGAACGTACCATTCGATACCTTGTTTACAAACGGGGCCTCTGGGAGGCACGATAAGGCAGTTACAAGATACACCAAGGTTGAAATCAATCATCAAGGCAGTTAATGAAGGACAAGAGAATAAAGTGACAAGCCTTGAGGAGTTGGTAAAGTTGCCACCGTCAACTAAGCCAAATACAGATATTGTCCAGTTGCTATTCCTTCTTAGTGAAGCCAATAATGGAATACCCTTTATCAAAGACAGCAATTTCCATTTATTGGACTTGTTTGTCAATACAAAGGTGACCCCTCAAAGTAGGGCAAAGAAACTATTGTGGTTATTCTATACATTCTTGGAAACTGATTTTACACCAGAGCAACTAACACAAAATCCGTTTGGTGGAGCTACAATACCTACTGAAGAGCAAATACCTGCCTCAGCGGTCGATGAATATGATGTTGATCCGCAGTATGAAATTGATTATGCTTCGGAAATGCTTCAAGCTAGGAAACAATACTTGAGTGAGGACCATTCCAACGATGGGGCTCATGTTTCTCAACGAACGCAAGATACTCGTGCAGGTTTGTCTTCGAGCACTGGACCCAAGGTGAATAATCCAAAGAAAAGGGAAGCTAAAACTGAAGAAGCTGAAGAAGGGGAAAAGAAAGTGAGCAAAGTTTCACAACCAAAGAAGAAGCAAAAGAAGACCCATCCTGAAACTTCGTCGTCATCGTTGTCAAAGAGTATTGTTAGCTTGAATATGAGGTCGCTGCAAGCACCAGCCACAACCGATGGAAATGGGGAGGAGAAATGTTATTCAACTTCAACATACAACGTTGAATTCCCCATAAAAGATATTGCCAATTTGGCAAGTAGATACACCGTATCAGAATCTGTATCTACAACCCCGGATGAAGAAGAGTCGATTGAATTTAAATGTGATTTAGTCGAAGTCACAAATCCAATGGTTCAGGAAGTGCGAACATCATCGAAAGCAAGCACTGCATCATTCAATAAAAAAATCACTATTTTGGGCAATTGGCTTTATCGTTATTTCAAATACAAGAAGTCAATTGCTAATAAATTTGTTGGATTGGAATGGGAGGATATAAGACATGATCTCGTTTCCGGTGTTGAAACGTACTTGTATGAAACTTTTGGCAAGTCGTTAAATACTAGCAAGATCTTGAATGAACTTGATGAAGACGATGAGGGTTCCAATGGCATAGGGACTGCTGACGAAGTATATTTCAACTATATTTCAGTCGGTGACTATGATAAAGCCAATGAGAAAAAGTCGTTTCTTTTACATTTGACCACATTTGCCAATGATTATTTTATAACCAAGTTGGAAAAGAAGTTGAAGCATGACTTGACAAGTAATGTCAGATTTGATCTTGAGAATGAAGCAATGTTTATTTGATTATGTACATTGGTTTTTGTAGTTGAATATATTACAAAGAATAATTTCTAATGAATTGACAACTCCATACTTTGGAATCAACGATGTGAATAGTGAGCCAGCATCTTTTAAAGTTGCAATACCGTCTCTGGTAACGCACAATTGTAATTTGGATTGGCAAGAGCCTGTAAGATGGTCATTGTTAACGATACTCCAATCCAAACTCAATTTGTAATTATTAACCATCAATTCGAGGCATTCAAGCAGTTTGAGATGGGCATACAACTTCGTATAGTCAGACACTTGGGCAGAAATGTTGGCTAATCTATCATTCTGTATCAACAGTTTATATTTTATCACCAACTGGTGCCAGATTTTTGTCCTTTTCTGAATCAACCTTGTCAATGAATTTAGCCCATACATTATGCAATTGATTTTCCCATTCGGTGTATAATCATCAACCAATGCGCGTGCAAATGAAGATGATAGCATGTGTAAAGTTGTCAAATTTGTCACCACGGAGATCTGAAACACTGAATCGTCCGATGTATTTATATCTAATTTGAGTCTTAAATTCAATACTAGTGGCGACAAGATGGTAAATTCAAAAACTCGAATGAGCTTATCGTCAAAATATTCATTATAAGTTTTCAACTTATCAATATCCAAAAATGGGATAAATTTCTTGGCCAATGATAGTCGTTGATCCCAGTCTGCCGATGGCAACACATTTAAATGTTGCAACATGTAATCCTGTTGCTGCTGATTTCGACTTTGTAGTCTTTTATAAAATTCAACTTGACTCTTTTCGAGTAATTCATTCAATTGATTCTTGATATTGGTTTCTTTTTGCACTTTGCTTAGTTGCTCCACTCTTGTTTGTAGAGTCTCGATTTGATTTAACTTTTCTGCCTTGATTTTCAACAATCGCTGCTTTTCGTCAACCAATTCTTGTTTGAGTCTCAATTGCGCCTCGCGAGCTCGTACTTTATTGTTTTCAGTCTGTGGTGATGTTCCAAATGTAGACGAAGTGGGTGCGTTGTTGGGTGTGTCAAAAACCAGTCCCAAATGCGGGCTCGTGGCCGTTGCTGATGTTGTAGTTATATCATTTTCTAGGCGATATCTTTCTTCATCTCGATCTGTCATATCATTTGTTTTACCATTTGCAAACTGATTTCAACTTGTGTGATGTATTGTTATGTTTTGAGTTCATAATTGGGTTTTTTTTTCTGTAATAATTTTTTTTTGCAAACCACAGATTCTTCAAAGATTTAGATAACCTACCACCACAACGATGTCTGTGACAGAGCCTGAACTTAAAGCTGTATGTGATTTTCACCAAGGTTATTTATAAACGTTTAATATACTAACAACGAATTTTTAGTACTTGGACAAGAAAGTTTCCGTTCAACTAAATGGATCACGTAAAGTCATTGGAATATTACGTGGTTATGATGTATGTATCATCAACAGAACCAAAACATGATATATGAGTGGTACTAACAGTGACATAGATATTTTTAAATGTAACGATCACAGATGCTTTGGAAGAGAGGATAGATGGTGAGAAATTAAACATAGGTGTAACGGTATGTTGGGTGTAGCACAATGTCAACAGTTCATTTACTAACTATTCATTTTAGGTTATCAGAGGAAACTCAATCGTGTCATTAGAAGTATGTATAAATTCCACCGAAAGCTGTTTGCAAATGGGGACCCCGCATACTAACATCAATTTTAGTCATTGGATAAGATATAACATGTGTTTGTTATCCACCTTCGTCAATATATCAATATGTCAATATGTAACCTTTATATTTATACTTTAAATACAAAAAACGTGTGCGTCTATGATCACCCATGTATATTCCATCTAGAACCGTTGTACCATTTCTATTCCATCATTTTTGTAGCCGCATTTTTCATAAAATCCAACATTGTGAGGAGAACAGTCCAAAATGACCTTATAACAGCCGGCTTTCTGAGCAAGTAAACTCAACGATCTAACGAGATAATTACCCAATTTCTTTCCTTGTTCAGTGGTAGCCACTGATATATCTTCAATGTGACCAACTTTGCCACATTCATGTATAAGTTTTGCTTCTATAAATAGCATCCCTGTAGCCACGATTGTCCCCGTAGAATTGACAATGACATGTGGTTGATATATGTCCGGGTTTTTGGACCAAGTGGAGAATAAAGAGTCAAACTGTCCTTGACTGACTTCTCCTACTGTTGTTAGCACTTTTAATGTTTCAATGTAGTTATTGGAGTAATCGGTTGACTTTAATTTTCTAAATGAGTAACCTTCTGGTAAAGACATCTTTGTTTCCTCTTGTGTCATGCTGTTACCTGGGTCGATGGAATGTATGGGGAGTGAAGTATATAATGCAGCTACTGTATGAAGTCAAAGCTTCGTGTAAGCTAAAAGTAAATGAATGTGTTACGAATGAAGAAGGGGACTCCGAGATCAAAACAAAGTCAGACAAGGTTTTGGAAGAATGTTTGGTAAAGAGAAAAAAAAAAATAAACAAAAGAATATTGAGTGTCGTGGTATTTTGAGTTGCGTCAAGTGAGGGTATTTGATTTCTCGACATTGAAATTAATGACATTCGCTACCGACTCATTGACGCTGAGACATTTACAGTTTAGTACAGATATTGACGTATATTAACAAGAATTAGGACCATAATATTTTGCTAGGCATCGGATGAGTATAGCAAGAATAATAACAGGGAAGCATTTTGTTTTGCTCGTCTGCAGCTTCACTTTAACTTTTTCAAACACTTTGTTTTTTTTTTTCTTCATTTTTTGCAATAATTTTAGCTAAATTACTAGTCATATGATCATAGAAAATTAAATGGAACTACAAATTAGCTAATGTTTAACATTGTTAATACAACTATTACACTACATAGTTTTAATCATGAAATACATACAAAATGCTTATCTATTCTGGCTTCATCTACAAAAATCAGTTTCATCATCAGTTGAGAAGTGAGGTTTATTAGTTTCAATATATATCACGTGACAAGCACGTATATGTGATGGAAATAAAAAATTAATTTGTGTGGCGCGGATTTAAGCAATTTAATAAAAAATAAAAAAAAAATAAAAATAAAAATAAAAAGAAAAATAAAAAGAAAACCAGGAGCGGATAAAAAGATAGAAGGGGAAAGAAGGAGAAGAAAAAACTTACAAACTTAAAAACTTAAAAGCTTAAAATTAAAAACTTAAAATTAAAAACTTAAAATTAATAATAATAAAAGTAATAATAATAAAAGTAAGGCTAACCATCTATCCGTGCCGCACTTTTTGTCAACTTAGGTTTCATTTTATAAATTGACATATATTTTGTTTGACCTCCCCCTACTTCTCTTTTTTTTTTATTTTTATTTCTTTAATATTTATTTTTTGCAAAGTCAATTCTACACAAGACTATTCATAATAATGTCATTGCCTGAACCTAGAATCACCTATAAAGCTTATGCTTACAAGAATGGTAACAGTCCTATTGAGATTGTCACTGAAACCATTGACTTGGTTAAAAACCCCCTGGGTCAAGGATACATTGCTCCTCCTGGACAAATTTTACTCAAGATCAATTACGCTTCGTTAAACCCGGTTGATTACAAGTTGTATAAAATTAAACCATCATTTTTGAGTCTCATCAACTCAAAGCAAGGGTTTGGCCGTGATTTTGCTGGTCAAGTTTTGTCAATTGGTCAGGGAACAAACACTACTGTCAAGGTTGGGGATTATGCTGAAGGTATATATACTCCTATGGTTGGTAAGGGATCTGTTGCTGAGTACTTGTTGGTTGATCCTAAGAAATCACCCATTACCTCTAAACCAGCCAACATTAACGTGGCTGAAGCTTCTGCATTCCCATTAGTGTTGGGAACAGCTTTGCAAATGTGTTCCAGGGGTGGCATTAAATTCGCCAACAGTAAAGTGTTGGTGATTGGTGCTGGAACTTCAGTTGGTAGATATGCTGTTCAATTGGCCAGAAATGGCGGTGCAAAAGAAGTTGTAACTACAAATTCAGCAAGAACTTCAGAATTAATTGAAAGCTTGGGGGCTACTTCACAAATTGATTATAGAAAAAACCCCAATTTATTAAATCCAACTTTGGAAAGTGTCAAAACTTCAGGTCCATTTGATTACATTATTGATTGTTGGGGTGGAAGTGACTTGTTCCCCCAAATCAATACCATTTTAACAAAGGGGGGTGTATACAATACCATTGTTGGTGATGCACCAGGAACCGGTTTGGCTGCATTGATTGGAAGTGTCAAGTCAATTACAAGAACAATTCGTTCAAAATTGGGCTTGTTGGGCTACACCTATGAATTGATGTTGTTGGATAACACTGCAGGGTGGATTGATGAAGCTAGAGATTTAGTAGGCGAGGGTCACTTGAAAATCTTTATTGATAAGATTTATCCCTTCACTGAATTGAATGAAGCCATTGAGAAGTTGGAAAGTGGTACAGCTCAAGGAAAAATTGTATTGGAAGTTGCTAAACCTACTACTTCTACTTCTACTTCTTCAGGTGCTGGCTCTGTAGATGGATCTAGTAACAATCCATTTCAATAATTTATATAATTGAAAGAGAAAAAAAAAAAACAGTGCTAAATTTGACAGATGTTTCTTTCTACACTCTTTTTTGTAATTTGTTTTCCCCTCTTTATATAGTAAAATTATACATTCTCATTCTTTGTCATACTCGTAAATTCATTTTTATTCATGTAAGTTTGATAAATATAAACTACTCCTCTCTTCATAACCGGTTCGGGAAAGCTAATACCCCATTTTTTTTTTAATTATTTCAATTTAAATAATCATAAATCATTTGCGTATCCCATCTTTTCGTTATATTCGTTTCCAAACAACCAACAACAATATCATAAATTTTAGTAAACTCGGGAAATGCTTCACTCAGCTTATACATTTTCCAATCATCATGCAACTTGTTCAACTCTTCTTTTCTTTTTATATCAACCATTGAGGGCGATTGCAACATCAATGCCGCCGGTATACTCTCCTCTTCCCCTTCTTCTTCTTTGCCTTCTCGCTTTCCTTCGTCAATCTTATCCAAGGACTCTTTTGAACCCTTGCCACTTTGGGAAGCACCTTTGCTCTGTCTCTCCTCCTTCAATACCCATTCCAATAGGCACGCCTTTTTCAACTCAGCTTTGTTATACTTGCCTGCAGTAATCATGGCTCTTAATCGTGGCTCATATTGATGTTGGAACGGTAGCTTACCCACACACATGGCATAAATTAAAACACCCAAAGCCCATATATCGGCCAGCGGACCCAATGGTGGTGGGCTTGGTTGTAACAATTCTGGAGATGCATATGGCAACGAACCAATATGCGAGTGAGGTAACTCAGAACCAACGCCCCCATTATCCCCTTGGTGATTGTTCCCACTATCATTGTTTGCTTGCGTAGATAACCATTTTTTGCTGAATTCAAAAAAGTCGTTGTTGCTATTATTACGTTCTGTTTGATTTAGCTTGTGATCAGATGTCGTTGGTGATATACCATCAGACGTCACCGGTGTTAAATGGACTGATTGTATAGATGGGCCATGGGTCTTGAAAAAATTTGATATTCCAATTCGAGAATCGTCATTTACTAGAAAGTCCAATGTTCTGGCATTGGCGCCGTCACCACCACCAGGGTACGGCTTTCGATTTTCTGTATTTGATGACTTGCTTCTAATCATCAATGCATCCATATCATCATCTTTGTCATCTTCAGGCGATAACGTCTGCGATGATGAATTGGGTGGAGATGTTCTTCTTTTGCTTAACTTGGGAGAATGCTTCATAGAATTCCTTCTGCTAATTCGCATACTGTAAATTCTCGCCATTCCAAAATCACACAAGATCATCTTACAATGTTGATCTAGATCTCTTCTCACCAACACATTTTCCAATTTGATATCTCCATGAACAATTCCCTTTTCTTCATGCATGTATAACAAAGCAGTAACTATTTGTTTACTGTAATCAATAATGTCGTTCAATCTTTGCCTTTGTTTTGCAATCAGAAAATTAATTGGACCCGAATGGGTGAGAAGCCCACTATTGAATTGACCCCACATTGTAACTACATCAAACAACGTTCCGCCTTCAATTCTATCCATTAGACAGAATATCGTGTCTTCAGTTTCACAATGATCAATCAAGGGAAGAATATTTTCATGATGCAACTGCTTCCAAATGGAAATTTCCTTTTTGAATACTTCCAACACCTTTGTATTGGTAGTTAGATTTGGCATATCGACTCGAGAATTTCTCCTGCTTCCAGGACGACTAAAGTCAAAATCTCGAGTTGACTTGACAATCTTCATAGCTCTAATGTTTCCTTTCTTGTCCACGCACTCTCTTATCGTACCCCAAGCACCATATCCAATACATTTTCCCAACTCATGATCCAACACTATAGCTCCTCGCTCATCAACGTTGTATTTCTGATTCATTTCCTGCAATTTCTTGATGTCAGTGGTTGATGCTTTGGCTAGGAGTCTACCAGCCAAGGTGTTTACACTCCCAACTCGTTGCTTCTTGGTAAAACTATTATCATTTGATCCAAAGCCTCCATCACTCTTTGGAGTCTTATTGGACCCAAAAGATCCAAACCCACCATTCATATAATTTTTAGCAAATAATGAAAATTGGGAATAATCAACGCTTTCGGAAAAGTTTCGCACAACCTTTTTACGTTGGGAATAAGGCATTTCATTGAAATTAGGAGGTAAGCTGTTTAAAATTGTTTCAAAATTGACATCTCCGCCGCCGGACTGAGAGTTCAGCGCTGTGGATGACGCTTTTTGCTTCTTTGACCTTCTCATCTGTAATCCAGTTTCAGACTTTTCTCGCTTGGGGCTATGACTAGGTGTTTCTACTTGTTCAGCAAGTTGTTTAAGCTTCAAAGCTTCAGTGTCTTTTGGACCTATAGATTGACTTTCATGTATAGGTCTCTTCATCTTCATATAGTCATGTAACTTTGAATATGATAGTTTCGAAGGTAATTGACTATTGTGCCGTATTGGCTGTGGGGCAACCTGTGCATGCAAAAGGTTCAAGTCCAAGTATGATGCATTGTTACTTCTAGGTGTGTTTGACTGCGTTGTATAAGCACTCATGGTACTGGTGGTGGTGCGGGTTCGTGCCAAGTCTAAATCGGAATTGTTGTTCCATTTGTAAACCATATCAGAAAAGTCTAACCCTGGAATATATTCGTCTTCTAGGCCCCGAGTATAATTCATCACATCTATGCTACTGTCATGTGAAAGTGAATGCAATTTATTACTACCACGGTTGTTATCTTCATTATCATCATCATGTTGTCGTTGAAGCTCATTTGAATCTTGTGTCACAGTCTGTGGCCGTATTGTTCCATCTTGGTAAATACGATGACCAGTTTCCAGATCAAAGTTGTTCTTTTCAGTTTCAGAAAATCCTCTTGATCGTCTAAACTCGCTTTTGTTGAAATCTGTTGTAGGAGGCTTTATTTCTTGTTTGCCAAATGGTCCTGCAACACTTGCGTGGCGTGTTTTCAGATAATCCAAGCCAGATTTATGAGGGTGGTGCTGCTGGTGGTGTGGCTGCAGTATACCATGTGGATGATGATGGTTGTTATATGTTTGCAGTTGTTGCAGTTGTTGCAGTTGTTGTTGCAACTCCCCCTCGGTTACCTGTGAATTTTGCTTCTTAGCTGAATTATCACTGTTGCCAATATGGAATTTTGAATCATCAATTAGATTTACCGTTGAAACTTTTGGCTGGGACTTTAATGGGATTTCCATTAATGTAGAAGCTATGCTATAAGGGGGGATATTACGAGGTGAATAATATTAAAAAAAAAAAAAAGAAAAATGACTGATGTGGTGCAAGTGCTGTATGTGGTTATAAGTTCTGACTGACTAAAATTCAGATACACGGAGCTGTTTAGATTGTAATGAATGCAATATTGATATGATGTTACTTATAACTGCCACAATTAATATTATATATTACTATTATAAGTATATATTGCAGTTGATGGGATATTTTTCTTACTTAAACTGGATGGATGATGATTGAGTGGTTGGATGATGATGATTCATATGCACACTCACTTCTCTCCTTTGTTTTTTTTTTCTTCTTTGTTTTTTTTTTTTCTGTCTTCATTGTTTCACAAAAATAAGAAAGAAACAAAGAAGAAGTAAAAATAAAAAGAGGAGATGTGGCCTCATGTCGTGTCATAACAATAGCAATCATGACACATGACCCAATTAATGTATGACTATAATTAATTCCCCACAGTTGTACAAGAGACAAAGACTTTGTTTCTTTAATCTGTTGTAATACTGATATGACAATTATACGGCTGATACTTTTAGAGATTATAAGTATACACGATTCACTTGGGTGAAAAGCTAAGGAGTCCAATATTTATTCATACGTGTTTTGTATATACAACAGTGCGACCCGGAAAACCCCGAAAATCTGCCCCACTACACCCCACCACATCCCCCCACTCCCGCCTTTTCTTCATCTCTGCTTTACAGTTGTTTTGACATAATCAATGCATTCAAGAATGGATCATTTAACAACTCACTAGCATGTGGACGCTTTGAATAATGCAATTCAAACGTCTTTTCCAAAAATGATCTCGCCTCTTCAGTACACCATTCAGGTATTGTTGGGGGTACATGATTTCCAATTTTAAACAATGCTTGCATTTGACTCAATTCAGGATATGGGTGTTTCCCGGTAAACATTTCGACAATTAAACTACCCACAGACCAAATATCCGCCTTTTTGGTGTACGTAGTTTGTTTAACCACCTCTGGTGCCATCCAAAACACTGAACCTTGCAACGATGCTCTCTTGCCATTCTTTTTCAAATTTTCATCTTCTTCATCAATAGTGCTAACTTTTTTGGATATTCCAAAATCACCGATTTTAACTGTTCCTTTTATATCAATTAGAATATTGGCCCCCTTGATGTCACGATGAATAATATCTTCTCCATGAAGATAATTCAATCCAATCAATACTTGTCTAATGAAATTACGTATCAATGGTTCTTCAAATGGTCCATATGAGTTCAACATTGTTTGTACCGAGCCACCAGGGACATATTCAAGGAATATATTGAGGTAATTCTCATCACTTGAACTGCCAAAGTACCGTACTATATTTTCATGGTTCAAATCTTTCAACAACAACATTTCTCTTTCCTGATCAGCAATCTTTTGCAGAATGGGGGTAGGCGTTGATGTATCCTTTTGTGGTAGAGGAGGAGGTGCAGGATAATTTGGATCTTGCGGCTGTTGAGAGCCAGCTGAAACTGGGGTAGTTATTCTTGACGGTGTCTCAGAGACATCATCTCTGTAAACATGTTTACTCTCTTGTGGCTGGTGATGATTATGGTGTTGAGATCTCTCTTTGTTTTCAATAGCATTGACCTTTTGCGTCAGTTTCTGTTGCTGTTCTATCAATTTGAGCTTATTGTTATGTAGAGGTATCTGCTTAACTGCCATCAATTCACCTGTAAATGGATTCATACCAAGATAAACGGTTCCAAAACTTCCAGACCCAATCTTTGCACCTTTAAGCCAATTGGCTGGGACCCCATTTTCAAATCCATTAGTTTCCAATTCTTCAGCAATGATGGCATCATCGTCAAGACCTTCTAGCTCGTCGTCAGACATATGGGCATCCAATAGTTGTATAGTTGAGTGACGACGATCTTCAAATCCATTTCCTGTGCCACCACCTTCAAGATCCATATCTGGAGAACAGTAGGATATCCTATGCAATGCAGTACCATTGGTGGTACTAAGCATCGAACGGGCATCTTGATTATGCGAGTCTACTCGTGAAATTTGCGGATTCATAGGAGGCGACCCAACGGCACCAACACCGGCCACGCCCCCAAATCCCAAATGTTGGTGTTGGTTCTGAAATTGACTTGATGGTTTACTAAACATACTGGCTGTGTCACTGGTCACAACTGCTTCATCAATTGCTGATATGTTGTTTACCATTATATCACCAACAGTGCGATGATAGGCATGTTCTCTTCTCAACCCACCAAGTCCAATCCCACTATTTCCAAAGCCAGATTGGTCACCTGAAGATATACTCATTGCGCGGTGGGATAATAAGCCTGTAGAATTACTCATCATAGAGGCTCTAGGATTTAATGCCACTGAACTGGAAGAGAATGTACCTACTGGTAAATTTAGTCTTCTGCTCAACCTCACACTGTGTCTTACTGAATTTCGTACTGTTTTTTCCAAGTCCCTTTGTTTTGTATCGGGGAAATATTCAGCTAGGTTCGACGAAATCAATTCACTAGGAGGCCTTTGACCGAAAAAGTTTCTCATATTCGTTCTTGGATTTACAGCATCGTCAGACAGTAAAGCACCTCCTTGTTCCTGTGCCGTACTATTTCTGCTTGTGCCTTCATACTTTTGCATGATTAAGTTCGAGGTTTCAATAGCTGCCTTGGTTGGCGTTTCCCCCTTGGGGACCAAAATTATCCGATGCTTTTCCATTCGATCTGGCGAGTAACAAATGGTAACCAACTCAACATCGTACAACAATACAACTGAGGATTTATCACCATGTACATCTTTGCTCTTATTATCGTTATATGGTGAATGAATATAAGTGTCAAATTGAGTCGTATGTGATTTGAATCCCAATTTCTTGGCAATCTTCCTTTTGATAGCTTGTGCATTGAAACAACCAGTAATATTGACACGTTTAATACTTCCATCCTGCAAAATGAATGTGATTGTCTTTTTAGAGTCCTTATTAGGAGTCAAGGGTTGCTGCAGTTGCAGTTGTAGTTGCAGTTGCAGCAGCAGGAGTGGTAACTGTTGCTGGCTCAAAGTATTCAAGTTGGCACTGCTCAATTGTGGTAGAGTTCCCTCACTATTTGGTCCTGGTAGATTGGCTGAACTTAAGTTGTAAACATCATTTCCAGTTGTTGGCGTAGAAGTGGTGACAATATCCAAATTTAATCGTTTGTATAACTCTCCAATATCGATGTATTCTTTCAAATTGTCTACTCTCAATGCATTTATAGCTATTTCTAACCGCAAGCGGTCTCCTAACTTATTGACGCCAATTTCTTTCAAACTAAAAGAGTCCAATTCCGGTAGGAGGTCAGTGGTAATACCATTATCGATAAATTTTTGTAGTAGGTGCTGGCAATTTGACTTGGCTAACCATGTCTTCAACTCTTTGATGTCATTTTTCTCAGTCCCATGAATCAGTTCGTCGTTTGAGTCTATGATTGGTGTGCTCATTGTTCCAGCAAGATGTATGGATTTTTTTTTTAGTTAATGGTCGTTGTTTAGTAGATCTGATGCTTTCTTAGTAACTGTGATAACATATTGCTGATAACTTAAATCAGTTTCTGCAAAATTATGACGCGAGGTAAACGTATTGGTCATTGGTATCGCAAAATCAAATTTTTTTTTTTTCGTTTGTTTCAACGATGAATGTTTTAATTTCTGTAATCTACTATTATTGTGTTCATATCCACAATTTTTGCAATCTAGATTTACTACATCAGACGAGAATAGACACCACTAACTCAAGTGGTCTTTCAAATACAAAACCATCATTCTACATTCTCTAGATTTATAATACCTCTTCGCAAGAGGACCACATTGTTACTAATTCCATGCATAGCATCTAGTCTAGTCCCAATTTCCAACTGTACCCCCAAACACCAAGATCTGCTCGTCAATCTTTTCGTCGGGTTCATTTTCAGCCCTCTTCCAGGATTTAATCTCTCCCTTAGCTGTATTAAACACATACGTTCTCATTCTTCTTTCATATCCACTACAGCCATAGCCACCCAATCCGACTCCTCCAGCATAGCACAACCATATTTGATTTTCTTCTGTAGGAGACGATTGACGTTTATCCAACAAACAAAAGTCATTACAATGATCATGTCCAATGCTAATAGCTTTAACACCGATTTCTTGGAATGCATCACGGGCACCCGAATTATACAAAGGAGAACCGCTTTCTTCTCTATGCCCACCAACCAATGTCTCTGTTGTGTTTTTGAACTCAGGTACAGGAATATGGAAAAACGCCATTGATAAATGTTTTTTGTTTGTTGTTTTGCCATTCTGCTCCACTTTTTCTTTTTCAAATTCCGCAACTCCACCCTTGATTGCTTTGGCTTGCTCTTTCATGTACTCCAACTGATTTTCTTTGATCCAATCGTAGCCGGGATACTCCTGTTTATTTTGACTATAGTCATGCGAATCAACAAAGTAGAGAGCCAAAGCCACTGACGAGTTTGATTTACCTTGTACTGTGGTGACATAATTTCCATACCCATCAATTGATTCGGGTCCAACAACACCGACACTGTAGGGAAGATCAGCAAACAACTGCATCAACTCTTTGGCTGCTAATGACCCTTCGGCGTCGTGATTTCCCAATACGGCAGCAAACGGTATTTTACGTTCAATAAAAGGGCTATAAGCTTTCAATGCAGCAGTCTCTGAATCAGGAGCAGTTAAGCCAAATATTTGGTCCCCGGTTAATACAACCAAGTCTGGTTGTTCAATGTCAAGAACTTTATTCACAAATTCCAATGTCCTTGGATCAGCACGACATCCAATTGTGGACGAGGGAGGCTCGGCATTGAAACATACCCCATTACCGGTGGAGAAATGCAAATCGGCAACTTGAAGGATCTTGAACTCGTCATTCTTATTCATAACCAATGGCTTATTGTAGCGCTTTTTGTAATCGACTCTAGGTCCTCGACGATACGTTAAAAAGGCCGAGTATCCCACTAAACTGCAAACATCTTTGATCGAAGATTCGACAAAGTTCCAGTTGGGTCTCGGATCAACTGCATCCAGCCCGAATAATACATCAATTGCCGTGATTGCACCCTTGCTATCATGAGGACCGTACTTTAACCAGAGTCCATTTGAACTGTGTTCCCAACCGCTCTTGGATAATTCTTCTCTAGTCGGAATGGAGCCAACACCACCACCTTTGTTTTGTTTAGACAGAGCTTTCTGAGATAGTTCATCACTTGTCTGCAGTAGCAGCTTCAAATAGTCTTGTACAACATAAGCAGGCACTTGCAATTCCTGACTCCCCTTCACGTTAAAATCAGCCTCAGGATCCAGAGCCGCAATTTCGATAACCACCTCATCTGCTAACTGTGTCCTGTCGAGCAATTTCTGATAATTGTCACGATTAATTGTCTTAACCCACAATATTTCCCTTCTGAACCATGATAATCCTAGACACAAGTCCTTGTCCAATCTAGTCCAACCTCCGTCATACTCAGTCAAGTCACCAAATTTTCCATCGCCACTGCTGGGTTTTCCACAGTCGGGTTTTCTGTAGTTGTAAGCTAAACAGCTATTTATCGAGATATCGAGAATATAGGGATCGTCCGATTCTTGGAGAATTGTTGATGAGGAATTATTAAACACACTGTCTGAATTAATAATTCGGTAATGATGAGCAAGAAATAGTAGGTTAATTGCCATAGTAATCGTCAGGAAAAAGAAAAACATCCTATAGGGGTGCCCCCTAAAGCTCAAGTTCTTTAAAAACAACATTGGGCTTTGTACAGTTAGGACTGGTGGGATCTTCGTGATAAGAACGGTGGATGAAACTGGCAGATTTTAAAAATGCTTGCTATCGAACTGCGCGCGATAAGAGGCGATAATGGGGATTTTAAACTGTGTACTGCACAAAAACACCCCACGTTCCTTTTACCATTGACCAAACTTGGCAACCACCTGATATGTAGGTACTGATAGCTTCAAATAGAAGAGATAGTTGTGTTACTTCTACTTACGAGAGACTCAATACTTTGTAAATGAGAGTTGGATGTATATAAAGGTGCTTTAAACTCGTGTTTAATCCCGAGGTTGTCGTATTTAACTATAGTCTTTGCAACTTCGTCTAGAGTGGCGTCAAACGAGTTCCAGAGTGTAAAAGGAGCTACACCAGTAATAATCACTATACAATGGTAAATCTTCAGGAATATGTCTCTGCAACAACCGTCACTCTCACCAGCCACACGCACACACACTACACGACAAATCACACACAAACAATTTTGTTTATTGGAAAATTACCTATTTAACACTCACATCCTCTCATTCATCCTTCTTTGCACGAGCTTCTTCCAATTCCGCTTCCCTCTTTTTAGCCTCTGGTTCCACGTCTGGGAAAGATGCAGCATCAAATTGTTGTTTCTGATTACCTGGATCCAAAACTGCTTGGTCAAAAGCCTTTTTATCTTCCTTCTGTTCAGCTTCCTTCTCAACTTTAGGAAAGTTTTTCGGATTAGGATGAATTACCCTATGTGGTTTGTTTATTTTGGATAATGGCACCTTCTTTCCATTAATATCAACTATAATTTCATCGGCGGTCTTTCCCCCAGAAGGGTCTTTATGTTCATTTGAATTAGACATTGATGTTGTTGATGAAAATGAGGAGGCAAATGCTAATCTGTAAAGAAGATAAAGTGATATAAATAATATGAAACTGCGTAACAATCGATTCATCAAAGAACTCAAACTGGATTTAGTGTGTGTGTGTCTGTGTGTGGAATCTGGTGCGCCTTTTATATTTCTGGGGCCGTTCTAAAAATATATATATATAGAAGGGGCGTGACACAAAATCCTTAAAACAGCAAACGAAGAAATAATGATCCGATATGGTTATGTCAAAACATGATCAAATATTGACATCGAAGGTCTACTCTTAGTGTAACTACTATGGAAGAACACTCCATCTCACAGTGCTCCTTGCAATGACAACTTGAAAAGAGATATTTATGACGTATTGAAAGAAACAACTCCGAGAATTTGGATGGAGTTTCCTTTCAGAGCAATTGTTCTACATCAGATCAGTGCATATGAACTATTAAAATGCAAATTGATCGATTTATTGATTCTATATAAGTGCATCATTTTCACCTATCTGAGGAGACCCAATCTTGTTTGTCGTAACACCGCCTGTACTACTGTTCAAACCAACCTCAGGTATCAACGAAGTATGTATGTTCATGGCGTAAATTGTGATGAACATAACGATTATATGTAGCCCTAAACAATAGGCAAAAAATATCATCCGAGTGAGTCTGGTTGCCAAGACAGCCCTCGTAAGAGATATAAACAATCTCTCCAAAGGTGACAATTTCGAGTTGATTCTCTCTTGTTCTCTAATTCTAAATTGTTCCATTGGGTGCAACTTTTTTTCATAGTTACGTTGGTATTCGACATCATTACGTTCCAAATCGACATTGGGTTTGGGGTTGAGGAATTTTCTACCCGATGCTGTAGTGGTGATGTTTTTTGTTCCTGGGGTTTGAAACGAAGCCAAATAGCGACCTCTTTCATACAACTCCTCATTGTCTTGTTTTAAAGCACTTACTTGACGCTTAAGGTCATTGACCTTGTTTTGCAGCTTGCGAAGCTCGTCCTCGAGCTCATTGTTCTTTTCTCTAAATCTATCCCTTTGCTTTGTAATGATTGGTAAAATAGATGAATCATCAGATCCGTTAACACCCTTATCTCCGGTCATGCCAGAGATGATACTTCCGCTTCTCATATGCGATGGCCTCGTAAACCGGCTCATGCCAGATATCAAACTGGCATTGTCATTGAACCTATTTTGCCCATTTGCTTCTTGCAAATCAGCCAAGTCATTTTCCAATTTCTCGTTCAATTGCTTTAATGACCCTATCGTTTTCTCAGAAGTATCAACTTGCTTCTGAAGATTGTCTATTCTGGTGACTAAGTCGTGATGTTGTGACCTATACTGAGCTAGCTCTTGTGTCATGGCCTTATTTCTCTCAATCACAATCGAGTCCAATTTGACACCCTCTCCTTGGCCATTTTCACCATCCTCGTCATCATGGCCAAATTCAATTTGACGGAGTAGATGAAGTTCATGTTTGATCTCCTCATAGTCAGAAGTGTTGCTTAACTTCAGTTTCAAGTTTTTAATTTCCTGAATCATTTGGGAATTCTCTCTGTTTATAGACTCAATCTTAGTTTCATAGCTCTTTGAGGCCTCGGTCAATTGTTTCCTCACATGATCCAAATTGGCAACGAGCAAAACATTTTCACTTTCAACTTCCTGGACCTTTTTATCACATTCATTTCGTACCACTTCAGCATCATTATCGGTTTTGGATTTTGAAACCTCTCTCCTTAAATCTTCGTTCCTCTTTTCAAGTTCAAAGATTCTCTTCTTTGCCAGCTCTGAATCTCTTCTGACCATGTCAAGTTCAGCCAACACTGATGCAGAAGCTTCTTGGCTGTTTGTGTTTCTGTTTTGGTTATCCAATTGAAGCTCCGATACTTCTTTAAACGCCCTCAATTCTTCAATTTGTTTCTGCGCAGTAAGTAACTGATTCTCAAACCGTCTTTCCTTCTCTTTCCAGTTATTCTCTTTCTCATCCGAAATAGCTTTAAACTCGTTTTCTTTGGCCTTGATTCGATTGCTTAAAAGTTCAGCTGATTTCTGTTCATTGGAAAGTAATCTCTGTTTCAATTGATCATAGTCTGCCTTTTTTGCCAACTCTTCTTCCAATCTAGACACCTCTGCCCTAATATTTGCTGCATCTTTACTTTCTATTACAGAGTCTAATGACATTTCCAACAATGGCCGAGGATCAGGAGCTTCTGCAATCAATCGATACACGCCAAAGAAACAATTTTCAACATTTTTACCCTTGTTTGTAAGGCTGTCAATTTCATTCTGGTATAGCTTCAAAAGAGACTTGACCTGATCCAACTTCTCGGCATCCTCTAGTTTCTTAAACTCCTTAGTTTTCGTGGCCAAGTTCTTTCGACTCAATACAGACGATTTTTGATCTTCTTTTATTTCCAAGCCCTGTTCATCGAGCTTCTTCTGTAAGGAGGGCAAATCTATCTCCACCCATGTTTGTAACGCGTGCTCAAACACATTCGGCGTAGCTTTTATTGTAGTCTTATCGTCCGACATGGTATTCTGTGGTTGTCTTCAACTATGAGTACCTCCTCTGGTGACACGCTTGTGACAAAGAAAAAAGAACAAAAAAATAAAACCATATTAACGGCTACAAAGTACACGTCAAAATATGACGTGTGTGCTACTACCATTCTCCTCTGTTAATCAACTCTACAAGTAGTCTCCCACTATATAGCTCTACAATATACGTCCAAGTTGCGTCGCTTTATATGTGCATTAATTTATATCGTATAAAAATATAAAGAAATAATGAAAACAGGGTTGGTTTTTGTTTGCTTTGGTGGTAGAAAAGATTAGATAAAGGTTTCGTATGGAACTGGAGCCAAAGTTTGAGGAATGTTTTCTTTAGCAGAAATAACAGTAGCTCCTCTTGGCTTGGCAGCGTCTCTCTTCAAGTTAACATGTTCACCTTTGGCCTTAGCTTCTCTCTTTCTAGCAGCGTTTGACTTGACTCTGTCCAAGAATTCTTGACGACAAGCAGAGTGCTTTACGTGTTCGATTCTCAAGTTTACTCTCTTTTCAATGTATCTGTTACCGACAACCTTGTTGATGATGACACCTACAGAAGACTTGGTAACGTTGTAAACGATACCGGTCTTACCGTGGTAGTATTTGTGTGGCATACCTTTTTGGATAGCACCATTGGCTTTGATATCAACAATATCACCAACTTTGTAGACTTTCAAGTAAGTTGACAAAGCAATAGTACCATGCTTTTTGAAGTCACGTTGGAAAGCGTAACGAGTACCTGATCTGTAACCGTGACTAAATAAATAGTTAGTAACTCGACTTATTCGAAGCTAGGGAGAAAGGCAAATTCGTGGTTTTGAGACGTGGGACTTGCGAATGGACATATAAGCTGTGTTGCACTATGTGTGTATCATGTCATTGGAGAGAAAGCTCCCAACAAATAAAACACTACCATACAACTGATCTCCCTTGGTATTGGTAATTCATGTCTGAATGTTGTTGAATGATGTTCTCCATGAAGACATTTAAACTGTCTTGAAGCTTTTCATTATCTTTCATGGTCGATTCCCCTTTTGTTCCTTATACTTAAGTACTTGGACAACTGCTGTTATTCACATTCCTGTCAAATCTTCCCACTGCACTCTTTCACGAATCTTCTCCTGTAATTATCACATACGAATGACCCATTTTTGTATACTATAGTTGATGTTAAAAGGTTCTGCTTAAGATTTGGTAATGAAAAAAAATTTCAGTATTTTTTTTGGGTTAGTGAGAGAGACACACACTGGTTGCAGAGGCAGAGAGCACTACCAAGTGACACAAAATTTTGTACTATCAAACTTTAACTGCGAACGAAAAAAATACATCCTTTTGTTAGTCGATATGGTTATAGCCCTAAAAATGAAGAACAGAATATTTCTTTGTTTTTTGATTCTTCTTTTGCAACCAGAGGGATATTCATTGCACACACACATACGACTACGATAACCTCAGGGTACTTTTCCCGAACCCAATTAATGTATATTGATAATGTATTATTAATTTACATGTAGATAAAAAACAAGCTAACAAACAATGGCTAAACCGTTTATTCTTCTTCTTCAGCTTCTTCACCACCTTCGCTCTTCTTGTTTTGAGATCTTCTCTTAACTCTACCTGGTCTTCCACCACCGTATGGAGAAGTTTGAGCAAAGTCAATGTGTTTTTGAGATTCCAATCTGACAACAAAAGATGGAACATTGACAATTTGTTTACCAACAGCAATGTGTCTTTGGGTGATCAAGACTCTAGCGTGGTGGATTGATCTGGCCAAACCCAACTTGAAAACTTGAGTTTGCAATCTTCTTTCCAAGAAATCTTCAATTTGCAAGGCCAAGACATAATCCAACTTCATCTTGTCTTCAGACAAAACACCAACTCTGACCAATCTTCTAATCAAAGCATTACCTTCGAATAATCTCTTGGTGTCTTTTTCGTCTCTGGTCAACAAGTTACGAGCAGCTCTTCTAATCTTGGACAATTGGAAACCAATTCTGTAGATTTCTCTCTTGTTTTTCAAACCGTATTCACCAGCCAATTTCAATTCAGCATCCAAACGAGCTGATTCGTATGGTCTGGCAGGGGTGGAGTAAGTCTTTGAGTAAGTTCTTGGAGCACCTGTACATAATTTTGTTAGAATTTTAATTGTTCAAAGTTTTTGGGAGAAGAGCTAAAGAGATTTCAATAGAATTAGGGTCAACAACACACTCCCAACATTTAATAAAACTCGTTCAACAATCGCACAATGCATTTACAAAACCTTTCATGATGGAGTTGGATTCAAAATGACAGCAAAGCAACAATCTGACACAGTTCCAGTGGCTTACTGGATGGACAGCATTTCACCAAGCAGTTTTGTCATCTGCTTTAAGAACAACAACATCCATCATGTTCTTTTGTGACTGAAGTGTCGGGAGTTCAGTCACATATAAAGATAAAGGTTTGTAGCATTCAATGATTGAGTAATGAACTCGTTAAATCAAAGAAAGGAGGACCCGAACCTCAACGACCAGGAAGCAAAAATTGTTTGTCAAACCTCGTAAAAGAGACCAACTAAAGGATCCCAAAAACCTCGTGAGGGGACATGCTATGAAATCGTTCAATGAAGTAGTCTATCAAAATAGCTTTAGATTAGTAAATAATAGTCTTCTAAAAGTGGATAACATACGTGGCATATTGTATCAATAGGACTTTGCTGGTGGTTGAAGAAGAAAGAAAAGTATCTGGTTCAAGATGTGAAAAATTTTTGAATTTTTTTTTCTTCACATTACATTGTCTGTGTGTGTCTCTGTGTGTAAAATTTTTTTCTTGTCCCTAACCCAAGAGAAAATGATTGTATACAGGAATCAATTAAATGGTAGCAAGGAATCTGAGAATTGGAAAATGTCCATATGAAAGGCCAATAGTGTTAGCTACATCTCCATGTATGAACTATATTGATGAAGTTTGTTGCGTTAATCTCCGGCGGTAAAGACTCGTTTTTCAACATCTATCATTGTTTATCACAGGGTCATGAATTAGTTGCAATTGGGAATTTGTACCCGCAAGATGAATCTATCGATGAAATTGATTCATTCATGTTTCAAACCGTGGGGCATGACATCATTGACTACTATAGTCAATGCCTCGAAGTCCCACTTTATAGACAAAAAATTGTGGGCAAATCATCAAATCAAAATTTGGAGTACCTGCACACGCAAAACGATGAGATTGAAGACTTGTTCAAACTATTATCAACTATCAAGCGTAAACATCTGGACATCGAGGGAGTGAGCTGTGGAGCTATTCTATCACATTACCAAAGGACAAGAGTGGAGAATGTATGCGACAGGTTGGGCTTGACGTCGTTGACATATCTTTGGCAAAGGAACCAAAATGATTTAATGTTGGAAATGTGCGAGAGTGGGCTTGATGCTAGGCTTATCAAAGTTGCAGCCATTGGGTTAAATGCAAAGCATTTGGGAAAACCATTGCAGGAGGTATATCCCCATTTGTTGAAACTTAATCAGATGTATGATGTTCATATTTGCGGGGAAGGCGGTGAGTTTGAAACAATTGTTCTTGACTGCCCATTCTTTAAAACTAAAAAACTCGAAATTGTCGAGCAGAAAGTTGTGACTCACCCCGGGGACGTGTTTTACTTGAAGTTGAAAGTCCAAATAGTTGATAAGCAAGAGTCTCTGTTCCCTCTTTTACTGCCACCGCCTTTACTTGAACATGGGCTAGCAGATGCAACGCAATCCGATCACTTGCACGACGATGTGGCTGCACCAAGTCCAATGTCAACTTACAGCACCTACACTCCACTGGTGAGTGTTGTCGACACGCCCAGCAAACTCTTTGTTAGCAATATCACATCAAATGTTGGAACAGTAGAGGGTCAGACTGAGGGTATTTTTAAACACTTGCATTCAATATTGAAAGAATACGCTCTTACGTTCAATGACATCCAACACGTCAATGTATTGCTTTCCGATATGACACTATTTGCGAGAATGAACAAAATTTATGCTACCTTCTTTGCTGACATTTACTTACCACCGTCGAGAATCTGTCTTGAGACTGAGATATCCACGACAATCCAAGTGTCTTGTATTATCCTTAAAAAGATACATCCCAAAACTGGGATACATGTACGGTCAAGGTCCTACTGGGCTCCACAAAACATCGGCCCATATTCCCAAAGTATAATTGATTTGCAGAGGAAGTATAAGCTCGCCAGTTTGTCGGGACAGATTCCGTTGATACCAGCAACTATGACTATTTCGGAAAATAATATTGCATTTAATACAGCACTATCGCTTCAGCATTTGGATCGCGTGGAGGAGGTGATTGGAGTAACCAATCCAGCTCTGATTATTTGCTTTGTTACTAATAGTGCATTTGTACCTATTGTGGTAGATTGTTGGAATCATTATGCAGACACGAGGGAGCGTGTATCGACATCATTGCGAGAAAACTTGGTAATCGCAGAAGTGAGTGCTTTACCTAGAAGCGCAGATGTTGAATGGGGTGGATTCAGTTGCGAAGAGTTATGTGCCAGCTATGATGATGATGATGATGATGATGATGATGAGGCAGCCACCATCTTTGAGGAACCAAAGTTTGATTCTTTTGAATACTACAACACTTGTTCTATTGCAAATGGATCCTACAGGTTTATATCACTATTCACTTCCGACATCAATGTGGTTCAAGATTTTTTGAAAAATCAACTGTCGTTTGTTACATTGTTGACAAGTGAATTTTTGCAACACTCGCAATTTGAGTACTTTCCTGTTCGCAAAGTTTACAATGTGGAAGGCAAGGAGTACAAATTTTGTCTCATTGTACGGCAAGAAGAGTCGTCCAAGACATATGGTGGTTGAATTTCATTAAGCATTATTTTATTTACGTAAAAATGTAGAAATAGCTATATAGCTATATCACTGCCATCATTTTGGGGACCTTTGTAAATCAATTCCTCTGGTACTTCGATTCCTTTGGCCCGGCATAGTTCAATCAATTTAACATTTTCATCCTTCAACTGGTCAATATAATCGGCACTTTTAGTCAAAATGTTTAATTCTGATCTATTCTCCAGCTCAGTCAAGTTTGGCGTAAGCGACACTATTTTATCAAATTCGGCACGAATATTTTCCCTTCGCTTTTGCTCCGAAGCTATATGATGGGCCTATTGTGGTCTGTAGTTAGTACTTTACTTTCCAGCAAGCTCTCGTTTGTTTCAAACATACCTTTTTCTGTTCGTCAGACAAATTGGATGACTTTGTCTTCTTCTTTCTCTTTGTAGTTGATACATTATTTCCAGAGTCATTGTTTTCAGTGCCTGTATCGCTTGTCACAGCTTCTTCCTTTGGCGATATACTAGATGACATTGAATTTATGTGGGTTACTGGTAGCTACTCTCACTCAATCTCAAAGTGACAAAGTTTTGGGTTTTTTTCTGGGGGAAGTGAAGTTTGTCGTCTCTGTGTGTCGTATTTAGAACAAAACAGAAATTCCTGTATATAACACACAAGTAATACCCACGTCCCCCAAGTCTGACCTTACATCAAGACAACTAAACGAAATCAAAATTAACAATATATATTTATATTCTCTGTATAAACCCACAAAAGATAGAGTATTTCTGTAAATCGACTTCTTATACAAAAAACCCTTTTCCTCATAACAATATAGCTCCAACAGCCAATGCACCCACGGCCCCAGCGATATTCATGCCTCTAACCGCATCACCAGCTTGAGTAGTAGTAGTTACAGTAGCAGTAGTCAAATTTGAAGTTAAATTAGTATTGTGGGAAGTTGCATTATGTCTCCAGCTACCTCCTTTGCCTTTGCCTTTACTTTTACCTTTTTTGGAAGCGGCTGAAACCAAGCAACAAGCACTTAGTAATAAAAATAATGTTTGAGTTTGCATTATTATTTGCTGCTGAAATGGCTTTGTAACAAGTAAACAAAAAAAAAGAAGGAAGTTTTCATTTCGAATGTTGGATATGCTTGAACCTTGCCTGGTGTTTTATACTTGGGTGGCGTTTAATGTGTAACCTTGTACTTTCCGGTTTTAGAGCAGTTTTTGCTGATATTCTTTGTGCATAACATTTAAATATTTTTTGCATCAATTTTTGTTGCAAGTGCAACACTACATAAAGAACATACGGAGTCTTTTTTCCCTTTTTTTTTTAGAAACTCGGGAAGTCACAATGTTGTTTAGCAGATACCTTCTTTATAGTCGATGATGCAATACATTTGCTATAACTTCCTTAAAATATACGCTGCCCTTGTTAACTATAATTTGCCAACACGTTGCACATTCGGTATGTGTACGAGTTAGGGAATATAATCAACTAGAAGAGATACCTGAAGGCATAGGTAATGCATATTGGGTCCTGAATAACTCAGAAAGGATAATTTGTACGTATTCTGATGTGGAAGGAGTGGAGCTATGCATGGTAAAACTAATGGTAAATGCGGTAGCGCGCTCTTATTTGTTCCAAAATCAAAGATAACACTCCTCTCCAAACCAAACGCATATTAGCTGAAGATCTACAAACGTCAATTATATGCCGTGTTTGCTCGACAATGTTCAACCCCCACCACCAAACAACATAGATCCTACCCTCACCCTCCTCGCAAATGAGTTATTTGATAAACTCGATGGAGTAAATCGTCATAATTTGCAAGAAGCATCTACAATCACTGAACGCAAAGCACAAATTATCAATGAATTCATTACCACTTTTCGGATTCATATCGGCAACGATATGCTTTTGTCGGCCAAGCTTATATTCCCAGAAAAGGCTAGTAGACTTTATTTCATAAAAGAAACGGCCTTGGCGCGACTCATTATCAAGATGTACAAGATTCCCAAGGATGCTGAAGAGTATAATTTACTTCATTATTGGAATCGACAGTATCAGAAATCAAAACGATTTGCTGTTGATGAACGCAAAATAAGAGATTTACCATTACAAGCAGCAAGAGTTATAGCTACTCGACGTCCATTTATCGAACGTTGCAAAGAATATACCGTACCCAAAATCAATTCCATTTTGAATGACTTAACCATGGCTAAACAATCACAAGACCAATTGGAGATTTTACAACCATTGTTTGATAATTTACGCATCGAAGAGATTCGGTGGTTTATACAATTTATATTAAAGAAGCCCATCCTAATTCATATGGAAAAGTATTTTTTCAATAGTTGGCATCCTGATGGATATAGGCTATACAGTATTTGCAACAGTTTGGAAAAGACATTCAACTTGCTCATTGATCCAGACAAACGATTGACGAGAGAAGATTTAGGGATTCATCCGGGTTACAAGTTTAAACCGCAGTTGGCTGAAAGATTAACTTCCAATTATAATGTTGCTGTTCGAAAATTGCAAAAGAAGCAACCAATGGATCCACAATATGAAGATAAATTCAGATCATTGCAATTGGAGGATAAGTTTTATATTGAGGAGAAAATGGATGGTGATCGTATGTTGCTTCATAAAGAAGGGAATCGATTTAAATTTTTTTCAAGACGATTAAAGGATTACTCGTTCTTGTATGGCGAATCATTTCAATTTGGATCCTTGACTAAATATATTCGTGATGCATTTGCTAATAATATTGAGTCAATAATTCTTGATGGTGAAATGGTGGCGTATGATTACAAACGACAAGCGATTTTACCATTTGGGACGTTGAAATCACTGGCGGTTCAGGAAAGTGTGCGACAATTTACAACTATTGATCATTATGAATTGCAGACTAGTTACCCTTATTATTTGATCTTTGACATCTTGTATCTCAATGGTCGTGATTTAAGTAACTACCCTTTGTTTTTCCGGAAAGATTTATTGGATCGAATAATTAAACCGGTGCCGTATAGGTTTGAAGTTCATGATGTTCGCTTGGGCTCTGGTGTTGCCGACATTGAAAAAGCCATACGTGAAGTTGTAACCAGCCGAAGTGAAGGTTTAGTTTTGAAGCATGTTCAACTGAGGTATGTCATTGGTGGGTTTAGAAATCCCAATTGGATCAAAGTGAAGCCAGAATATTTGGAAAAGTTTGGCGAAAATTTGGATTTGGTAGTTATTGGGAAAAACCCGGGAGTGAAGAACTCGTACATGATGGGATTAAAAAATAAAGAGGGCAATGATAGCGATGACGGTGGTGGTGGCGCCTATTATAGCTTTTGCATGTGTGCCAATGGATTTGAAATTGAAGAATTTGACAAGATTGAGCGATTGACCCACGGCAGATGGATAAATACACTGCAGCAAATGCCACCAGAACTGTTGATAAAATTTGGTCGCAAGAAACCTGACTTTTGGATCGATCCCCAATATTCACTCGTTTTAGAAATTAGAGCCCGATCAATTGACGTTCGACCCGAGGCCACATTTGCTGTGGGGACAACATTGCATAATATGCATTGTCGATGCATTCGTGAAGATAAATCAATTGATGAATGTATTTCAATGCAAGAGTATTTTGAATTGAAGCAGGATTATATGCGCGACTTGAATTTAAAATCACAAGCTGCAACCACCAATAAACGCGATAGAAATAAATTGACAGATTCATTTAACGAGCCGCTGAGTTTGATCCAAGTGAAAATAGAACTGGATTTATTTGCTAGTTTTGAATTTTTAATATTGAGTGATAAACATGACCCATTCAATGGAGGACAAATTACAACTATTGAAGAATTGAAGACTTTAGTTAAGCAGTTTGGAGGCCATCTAGTTAATGCCATTGACGGTAAAACGAATTTACAAATTATCATTATAACGGAAAAGAATTTACCTACAAGCCACCGATACTTGGCTCAGGGTTTAGATTTGATCAATCCATCATGGATCTTTGAGTGTATTAAACGCCAGCATATTGTTCAATTGGAATCTTGTTTTATTTTTGATTCACCAAATTGGGCCATGTATGATCAGCGAGTTGATAAATTTGGTGATTCTTATACTGTGCATTTACCAATTAATGATATCAATGCCCCCAAGTTGACGCGCGATGAAGTGGATCAATTGAGAAATGAATTTGAATGGAACGAATCGATTAAACCAAAGCTATACTTGTTTGAAGGAATTGCCTTTTATGTAATTGGGAAATCCATCGCTAGTCAATTGGTTAAGGAGCGAATTGAACGGTTTAGTGGTGAAGTTGTTAATGACTTTATTCAGTGTGGGTATATAGTTGTGCCCAATTATGAAGAAAAGGAATTTCGAGATGAAACACTTGCAACAGTGAAGGAGATTTATCAAGCAATTAATGACAATTTGCGATTTACTCCTGAAGGAAGATTTATTCCCAGGATTCCATTTACTGTAATGGAAGATTTTATTGGTGCTTCAATTAAATCCAACAGTGTTGTTGATCCTGACGACTATAAATTTTATTGAAACTATGCTTACACACACACACATATATATATCTAATGAAACATCTAGTTCTTTACCTCTCACCTCCTGGCTCCTCCACCGCCTCTTCTTCTTGTCAATTCCGGCATTTTGAAAGGAACTTTCAAATGAGCAATCTTGTACGTACCCACACTACTCTTTGGTATACCCAACGCTTCAGCTTCACCCACCGTGGCCGATTTAATAATGGCGCCCACAGCTCTAAACAATGCCACCAATTTAGTGGGCTTCAATTTCAAATCCCTCGCCAATGGATTCAAAGCCACCGAGAAATTTGATAAATGTAAAATCAAAATGATTAAATAACAAAGTAATTTATCTTCATTATGAGGATCAATGGTAAATGAACGATCTTTAGATTTACCAAATTTGGAAGTACGTGCAATAGTAAAGTTTTGTAAAATGGTATCGATTAGAGCTTCCGATGGAGTATTGTTTAACTTGGTCATTAATTGATCCTTGGAACTAACGCGACGATTTTCATAAATGGCAAATAATAACGATGTATAGTACAAGATTTGTAGTTTTTCCAAATTGCCCTGGTCAATGATTGTGGGTAATTGTTGCTTGATGAATTCAGGCGATGATGGGAAGTGGGAGATTGGGTCGGAATCGGTTAATATTGATTGAACACGAATATAATTCCAATCTTTTGCTGGGATGATTGATTTGATTGGATAAATGTATTCGACATTTGTGGCATCGACATTTGGTTTAGGGATGGGACTATTGGAGAAATCATCAGCTTGTGGGCCAGTGCTATTCTTGCTTGTGGATCCCATGTTACTGCCACTATTGTTACTAGCAGTGATTGATTCCTGAACACTATCAATAATGTCCATTTCCATATCTTGCAATTTGTCAGCATCAATTCTATTCTTTTCCAAATTAGTAATTGCTTGCTTGGCTTTCTTGGTACCAAACGCTTCACCCAATGCATTTCTTTGAGTCACATTCTTAACTCCAGTAGATCTAACTGATGGTCCTTTGTAGACCTTGTACTGTTTGGACGTTACTTTAGTTTGGAAATAAGGCGCTTTGAATAACTCAACCGATTTGGTGTTGGGATCATACATGGCCACCACATAATCATTCAAGTCTTGGTTAGTGACTGAGTCACCATTATATTCTAAATGGTCCGTTTCTCCATGGAGTATGTAGTTGTTGGTTTTCTTGTTTTTGTAAATGTCAAATTCAGTTGATGATGGGATCGAAAGTCCGTTGAAAAAGGAGCCTACTGCGGCAACTGGCTCATCGGTATACGATGAAACTTTAATGTATGAAGATGAAGAAGAAGAAGATGACATGTCTAGTTGAAGAGTTCCTTCTTCTTAGTTAGTGACTGAAAAGGTATAATAACGGTGATGCTTCTAGATGTTTGAGAAAAAAAAATTATTCTGATGAGATGATTGATTGATGCGAAAGAAACCAAAACCTGTAGAGACCGCCGCCTCCTCTCTCTTAAACACATATAACAAAATAACACCTATGATTCCACTATGGTACAACAACAACAACAACAACAGCAGCAGCAGACATACTACGAAATACTAAACATCCCATCAACAGCCACCCAAGACCAAATCAAAACCGCCTACAAATCAAAACTACTATCAACTCATCCCGATAAATCATCATCATCAGTAGTCACAAAACCCATCACTACCAACGTCAACACCACCTCTCTGCTGCTACCCCTGCCCGATATAAATCAGATACTAGCAGCATACACAACCCTCTCCTCACCCCAACTACGATCGGAATACGATACATCCTTACAAACGCAATCCAAAATAAATGGATTCAACTTGACGGGTGATGGGTTGGATTCATTCACCTTGGATGATTTCGAGTGCATAGAACTAGATAGTAATGACAAAAACAATACCGGTGCTATCAATGAGAGCTTATCTGATTCCAATGCCGATTCTCAGACAATGCAATTTGTCAAGCTGTGTCCTCGATGTCAATGCGAACGAGGAATGATCTTAACTGAAGATGATTTGATTAACAAGGGAACAAGAGCAAGTGATAATGGAGGAAATGAAGAAGAAGACGATGGTAGGTTTGATATTATTGTTCAATGCAATAGTTGTAGTTTATGGATTCATGTTAAGTATTATGAAGAAATTGAGTAAATTTAAAAGAAGACAGCAAAAATGGCATTGGGGTTGGTTGTAGAATTTTATATTTCCATTTACATTATATATATATATATATATTCTTTCTTAACTAAAACAACTAAGTTAGTCCTAATCATTAATGTTTTGATGCAAAAAAAAAAATATCTCCTTTAATCATTCAATCATGTCATTCAATCATGTTTTCAATTTTCCATTTTTCAAAATTTCTACTCTAATGTAACTTTTAATTCCTCTTTGGTCATTGGTACAAATTCTTGTAAATTATTTATAGGACCCAGCTTCAATTGTAAATGGCTCCAAGCCCATGCTGGAATTAAATGAGAATTTAATTGTGGGGCAACACTCAATTCACGGTCATCAAAATCAAACAATTCGGGCAAGTCCTTCATGTCGGGTTGAGAATCATACAATTGATACTGTGCTGCATTTGAATGTGAGGTGGGGCCACCCAATGAACCAGCAGTACTATGATGAAATTGTTGCGAAAACAACTTTCTATAATTGGGTAATTTGGTTGATTCGTTTCTTAGTTCATCAAAATATGGATCAACCATTGCTTCAATACAACTAATTCTTTCCAAGGGACTATATTGCAACACTTTGATCAAAAATTGTATACAATCTGGTGCCATCTTTTTGAAAATTTTGTGCAATGGTATTGGCTTGATCTGCGGGAACCTATGCTCCATATAGTTAGGATTCATGCTCTTGATTTGTTCTTTTGAAGGTGTTCCCAAAATCTTGATTATTTCCACCAACTGATCAATACCCGATTCACCAGGAAACAATGGCTGGCCAAGTATCAACTCTGCCATTACACATCCAGCACTCCACACATCAATCTTGGTTGTATAATTTGTAGCGCCAAAGATTAATTCTGGGGCTCGGTAATACCTTGAGCAAATGTAGGACACATTTGGTTCTTGTGGGTTTAAAATCTTGGCTGAACCAAAATCACATAATTTCAATTCGCCAGTGGTGGGGTTGATTAATAAATTCTGTGGTTTGATATCTCTATGACATATTCCTTGTGAATGAATATAGTTTAATGCTCTAAACATTTGGTACGTGTATAACTTTATTTCCAATGGTGGCATACTTAACCTCTTGGAAACATAGTAATGACTTGCCTTGTAAAGGGTTTCAGGAACAAATTCCAATATCAAATTCAAATACAATTCATTCTTGTCGTTATTGGTGTAGAAATAATATTTCAAGTCAGCAATATTTCGATGATGAACCAACTTCATAATCTGCAACTCTCTATTCTTGAATCGCTTATCCTGAAGTACTCGTTTCATAGCGCATATCTCATTACTGGGCATAATTTGGGTTTGGAAAACCACTCCAAACGACCCATGACCAACCATCTGTGATTGTGTGTACTGTATCGTTTGGGTTTCACCAGTATGGCCATTTGTGACATTTTCAGTAACAACTTCTATTTTAGACATGATTCGTTAGTATAAAATCCGTGGAGGTCGTGGCAAAGGCAGTGTTATATATAAATAAAACGATGCGAATTTGAAAATATTAATAATAGTGATCCTTTTAATGGGAGGGGGATTAGGAGAAGGAGGAATGGATAATGGACTGAGGAAAATGTTGTATAAGAAGTAACAGTTTCTTGCTAACTGGATGTGTGGGGGTTGGGGTTCTATAATTGAAAAAAAAATGAGAACTTTCTCAACAACTGACCAAATGAATATAATCCAAAAATAATAAAATTGAAAAAAAAGAAAAATTTGGTTCACAGAAATAAAATGAAAAGAAAAATCTGGCTTGTTTCCTTTTTCTATGATTCCTTTTTAATTTATTTTTTTCCTTCTTCTGTGAAAATCGCGACTGTTTTTGAAGTATGTGCAATGATGTAATAACACTGACAAAGATCAATCAAAAACAACAATTCAAATGAATGAGGGAGACTGGATTAAACCCCCAAAAAAAGGAGTGACCGATGCTTGATGAAGTAGACGGGGTAGTGTTAGCAAAAACAAACAGACAAACAAACGCACAATTCTTGTAACTTATTAGAATCACCAACTTTCTTAAACCAAAAGTTGCTATAGTATGTGCCAAGTCAATTGATCGTTGCTGTTGTAGCAGTAGTTGTTGTAGTCGTTAATTTGATGAGTAGTTTGTTTAGTTGTCTAGCGAACTAATAAACTCTGGTTGACTCTAGCGTGGTGTAGTGTGGTAGTAAACAGCAATTTGTGTCTAGATTGAAGTAACCAGTTGGAATGATGTTGAACTTTTGCTTTGTGATACGTGTGTGACGGGGGATGTGTATCTACCTTTTTTCTCTGTGATGAGATTTGTATGAGCTATCTGTTGGTTGGTTGATGGTGGTAGTCTATGCTGTTTGTCAAAAGTAGGAAAAGAAAGTAAAATGAAAGAGGATTTCTTAATTGGAATCTGATTTTTTTTTCTTTTGGTTGTTGATTGATTGATTGATTGTTTGGTTGTTGATTTGTTTTTTTTTTTCTATTCTTTTGCTGTCTCTCTCTCTCTCTCTCTCTCTGTTCCTCTCTTACTTTCTCTCTCTCTCGTCAGTCTTTTTCCTCTCTCTTTATAACAAGTAAACATATTGGTGTATGGATTTTTTTCTCTCTCTCTCTCTTTTTCAAACAGACACAAAAAAAATAAAAAATAAAAAATCGATCATTCAATTTCAGCAGTTTGTGTAACATTCCTCCGGTGTATCAGACAGACAGACAGACATACGGACAAACAGACAGACACAAATGTCCTTTCATAAACAACCAAATCATAAAACCACAACGGGTAGTGAACAACAAATTTATCATTCAAAGCATAAGAAAAACAAAAGTAACCCTTATACTCCCAATGTTGCAGATGATAATACGTCAACGATTAAGGAGATTGCCAAAAAAAAAAAAAATTTTTTTCTCATTTAATCCCGCCTTGTTAATTAACAAAATCTCTGAGTCTTTGTGTCGTGTAGAACACAAAATTGATCCCCACCTTTTTTTTTAACATCTTCTGCGGTTATTTTGCTCATTGTCTATTGTCATCACCATCGTCATTATTGGTTGCTTTTGTAAGACATTAGAATTCCTTTCCTTGAGATTAGAATGCATTCCATTACCGACTGACTGATTGGCTTAACCACTTAAATCCACACCCCCATTCACTAACTAAACCAGTAGCTAAATTGATCCAATGTAAATAGACAAAAAAAACTTTTAAATTGCTGACCAAAAAAAAATAATTTGTTCTCTTTTCTTCTCTTCTCTTGTGTGATTGTGTGATTGTTTTGGTTTGGGTGGTGTCTTTTATTTTTGTGTCTGTAAATCCAATATATCCCCACTTCATTTGTGTGATTTTGTTCAATCGTACACTACTTCATTATTTCCCCACTTTTCTCATTTGCCTTGAAAAAATATATCCCTTGTACACTACCTGTTTCGTTTTTGCAACCAATTTTTCCTATTTCTTCATTAACATAATCCTTCTTGTTTGTTTGTTTGTTTGTTTGTTTGTCTTGTAAAGTGACCCTAAGTATTCTAATGATCCATTGTTCCTCGCTCTCCATTTAAGAATCACTAGAAAAATATTTTCAATTCAGTGAAAACAAACACCCACACAGGCACCCACAGGTACCCACAGGCACCCATAGGTGTGGGTGTTGTTTTACATCATCATCAAATTAGTAAAGTAAAAGTACTAGTAGAAGTCCCCCCAAAAAATATAATGTCATACCATTGCCTGTATCTTGTTTCCCTTTGTTGTTATACATACCAAATTGTTCACTAAATCGTCTCAGTTCATTAGTAAATTTCATCTTCAATTTATTCTTCAATGTTGTTCGTTGTGATTTTGTTTGATCAAAACTATTTGATTTTGTCATTGGATGTCCACCAGGGTACTCCATGTTTGGTAATGGACCTGCTTTAGGTTTAACATGGTTGTCATTGTTGTTGCCAACTCCATCTTCTTTTAGTTGTGCTTGTTGATTATTACCAAATAGACTTTGTCTTCTTGACCTACTTATGTTTTGCAGTGCAGCACCATTAAAACTAGTTGTTGGTCCCATCTTGTGCAGTTTAGTAGATCCTCTACGCATCATTGTCATTGACGTATTCTCATCGTGGTTCTCCATTATTTCATCATCATAGTCATTATCGTAATTGCCATTAGACAGATTATTTGAATCTTGACTATTGTCTCTAAACATATTCATAAACTTTGTAGCAATTGAATTGTTTCTCTTTGGTTGCGATATATTATGAGTTCCATAAGTATTATTATTGCCACCATTACCAGCGGTGGTATTGTTGTTTCTATTTTGAGATGAATTTTGACTATTATTTATCAATGTCACTGATGATGATCTTCTTTGAGGCACAGCTGCCGGAACTGGATGTCCATCAGATAATCCTGTCATTGGACCAGAACCATTTCCATTTCCATAACCAACCATGGAATTATTTCTCGAATTGGTTCTTGAACTGTACAAATGAGAATACTGTGGATTGCTAAATAATGAATTTTGATGGGTTTTGGTGACCCCACCGTTGTAATTATTATATGACGATGAATTAGACATCATGGTGGATGAAGCAGGAGCTATACCTCCGTCTTCTGAGGCAGTGGTACCGACAGCTGACAATTTTTTACCAAAATCAAATGGATTATTAAATGCAATAGGGTTAAATTCATCATCAACTTCAGTCTTTTCTGAATCATATCCACCATTACCATTGCCACCCTTACCCATGGAGGGATCTAATTCTGCACAATCAGGATCATCGTCTGAGGTTGATGTAGAAGAGGAACCAATCCTTTTCATCACCATATTAGAACCAAGGCCATTATTGCCACCACGACTAAATTGGGAATTAGTTCTCGACATTGGTTGGTTCTTATTCCAGTAGTAGTCTTCTCCTCCATTAGTAGTATTAGTAGTATTGTTGCTAAACTGGGTCTTCATTTGATAAGGATTAACCCCGTGAGTGGCTCCCACATCATTACTGCCACCATTGGCACAACTCAAACTATTGACTTTATTCATATAGTGACCAGAATAAGTCTTTTTCATTTGTGGTGCATGCAGTTGTTGCAGTTTCTGTTGTTTGTGCATCTGTTTCAACTCGCGTCTTTCATCTCGTTGTTCTTTTCGTAATTCCTTCCTCTCCTCTCGTTGTTCCTTTCTCAATTTTCTTGACTCACGTAAAGGGTCTCTTCCTTCTTCATTGCCAATACTCTTCAGTTTCAATTTAGCACTAGTGCTCTTCTTCTTCTTGTTCCGCTTCACATGTTTATTAGCTTCATTGTAAATTGGCTTATCAACAATTAAATCCTTTAATTCAGGTGTTGTAATATCTCCATTGTGAACATACACTGGATAATATTTATAAATTTGAAATTGCTTTTCCAAATAATCATAATCAATACTCTTCAATACTGAAGGTGGTGGTGTTACGTCCAATTCATCAGTGCCTATCCCTCCAAAGAATGCTTTATTGGTAACTACTGGGAGCTTAGGTTTGTTTGGTTTGGAAGGATGGGCTTGATTATTATTGCTTCCAGGAAATGGCAAGTTTAAATCTGGTGCTATTGAATCCAAATTTAGCTTGTTAAGACCCTTTGATAAATGCATGTTATTTCCAAGTTAGATTGTAAATAAATAAGGTTGGGTAAAGTTATAGTTTAGTTAGTTAGTTAGTGCTTGAGCTAATGTGATGGTGTCTTTTTGAAAGCTGAGTTTTGGTTATATGTATACTTTATAAAAACAAATTCAAATCAAAAACTTTTTTGGTGGGAGAACTGCTGTGTGACGTGTAGTGACGTGTAGTGTAGTGCGAGTGACGTGTAGATTGTGGGTTTTGTTGAGATGTAGATAGTTGCAGATACAAGTACAGTATTTGTTTGAGTAGATGCGTTTAGTGACCAGTAGTTGCAACTCTTGAAGTGTTCAAACTAAAGATAAAAAGCAGCTGTAAGAACTAGTTCTCGAGTATGTGTATGTATATGTATATATGTATGCTCGTAAAAATTGACCAGTAATTTTGACGATGTGTCAGCTTTTTGAAACCCTTTGTTGTTTTGCTCTTTCTGTTGTAGGTGTATATTATAAATATATGTGTGTGGTGGGTGTGGGTCTTGAATGTGGGATGTAGAAGTAAGGTGTGTTGTGATATGTATATGTAGTTGCTGTGTTTGTAGGTGTTTATAAGTAAAGTGTAGACATTTGTCAATGAATGGAATATAAAAAGGGTTTTGTTGATTATATATATATAGCATATATACTATATGCTATATATGCTATATATGCTATATATTCTATTTGTATTAAAAGTGTATTGTATTTGGAGCGGAAATTTTTATTTTTTTTATTTTTATTTTTTTATTTTGAAGTATTTGTATTTCTTTTTTTTTTTATTCTATTTTTTTATACTACTTATATGCAGGATAAGCTAAAACAGACCAGACATAAAAAATATATAAAATTTATTGTCCTTAGTTTTGCTACTTTTATATTTTTAATGTTGTTATAGTCTCCACCACTACCAATAGAGAGACCATAACGATAAAAGGCCATCTACATAAACTTGATAAAAAAACTCATTAGGAAGTATTTTGACAGAAAAAAGACAACAGTGATCTCTTGGCTTTAATAGAACACGATGTTGAGTTGCTTTATATTACTAATCACTGTGTAGAAAAGAAAATAAAAAATACATGTCAGACAGGTAATATGTATACATCAAATACACTCGAGCGATCTGGATCTCAAGTTAAATGGGAGATCCACTTGTAGTACTCTTTGAGACACGCAACAGTAACACACAACATACGAAGTAGTAGTGTACATGTTACTAAAAACAACTATGCACTAATAGCAAACGTATATCAGTAGATATATATATATATAAATACCCCCCCACAAGTTCTACTTTGAATTACCCCACACACACCCTTTGATACAATAAATACATGTTTGTGTTATTTTTATATTATCATCTAAAGAAACAATATACATCAAAGACATATAATATGTGTATTTATTTACCGCTTTGATTTTGTGTACTTGAATGTGTTTATTTTTTATGTTTTATTTTCCGTTCTTCTTCATCGAGACACAAACTTTTACTCAAAAATATTATCTCAGTTTCTATATGCTTATATCAATAGATCAACACTTCTTTGAAAGAGACTCACGCTTACGACTCTAGTTCTCTCATATCGCTATTGTTGTTCATAATGATACAGTTGTATGTGTGTATGTGAAAGAGCGTTATCAATAGTAGAAAGCGCTATATTAAAATCAAAGATTTACACCACAATACAATCATTAGATCAACAACCAAAGATAAGCTCATTTCGCATCTCTTATCTTGTCCTTTTGAGATCTCTTTCCCATAAATGTATACTTCTCTCCTGCTCTCTAAAGACATACACACACCGAAAACACATATATAAACCAACTTACACAAAACCTCCTTAAAGAAAAACAAAATAGGACTTAATGCACAATGCACTAAAAATAAGATAAAATTTGTCAGCTCCGTTAACAATTACTCCACTTTCTCTCTACGACAACACAAAACTAACTTTCTTTTTCGCTTTTCAGCTACCAAAACAAAATATATAAATTTCATGACTATACGTTCATAACCATTAAACCATAAACGTACAACACAGTACAACTTAAAAGACATCATCGTTCTTTTTTTCTATTTTGCAGTAAGGTGTCTCTCGCTTCTACAATGCATGTATAGTCTCATGTAGGGAAACATTTTACTTGTTTTAGATGTTATCTATATTGGCTGTGTTGGCTGTATTATACACAAGCAAAAACATTTTGTAATTGTTATTGTATTATTCTTTTAACCGTTATCCGGGGATTGTTTTATTTTTTTTCTTTAGGTGGGGATGGTGGTGGGGGTGTAAGGTCAAAAATACAAGACAAACGTTTTTTTTATTTAAGTCACTCTTTACAAAGAGAGTATACATATATATATATATGTATATGTATGAAGTATATGTATATGTACATACATACATATTATTGTTATTCAGCGTGGGATAAGTCCATATAGAAAGAAGAAAAAAGAGAATGATGTGGCTTATATTGTACATAGTATATATGCAGTAGTGACTCTTTACTTTGACTCTTTACTTCTTTTATCTAAGCGAAACGTCATCATGCGTAAATTTCCTATGTAATTGGTATACATCTTTTTAAGAATAATGTCTACAAGAGAAACTAATTGGAATGAAATTTGTACACACTAGTCACCCTTATCCGCACACAGAATCAGGATAGTTCAAAGAAAAGAAAGGTGTCTATTATAATACTTTCTCTTTGAAGTACTTGTAAAGCGACGCATACCTATTCTATTCCAGGAGTCAGCCAGTGAAATTGACAAGAGGCTGTGTCTGGATTTTGAAAATAAAAATACGCGACCATTATCAACACGACCAGCCTCGAGAATGTCGAAAAAAGGGACACTGTTTTAAAAACAGGATAAAATCCCAAAAAATCCTCTTCATTTGCACCAGAATCAAGGAAAGCGTAATAGTAAGGGCAAGAAATACAAGAAACATATAAAATTTCAAAGTCATTTTCAAAACCAAAGTGCTTATCTACATTTGCTCCAATATCTTAACCCTTGCCAATTGACTGAGCCCAGTTGTAGTCTTAAAAATTAATGACTTGCTTATCTGATTTACCTCATGAGGCGCTACAGGACGTGTTTTGTCACATAAACCAACACCAGGCGTTGCATTTAACTCCTTTACATTCACGGTTTTACGTCATCGCAAAAGCAAAAGTATACAAAAATATTACACAAGTAATATAGTCACCATCCCCATGAAAGTATTGTGAGTACCCCCTAGAGTAAATCATTTGATACTACCATACTTCGGGAGTTGGCTATAATGGGGAGTTTTGACTTTTCAAAGGTTTTCCCCAATCATATTTGGCCAAAGACTACCCCCAACTCGGTCAATTCTGCATCAGAACGCGGAGCAGGTTTAAGGTACCATCTTATGTTCAAAAAACCTGGACTTTTGACACACGAAAATGTGAAGATGCTTGTTATCTCACATACTGCCAATAGTCATACAATTGCGAGAGTAGTATGCCGATTATGCTTTAATTTTCTTCATGCTAGTATAAACTGGTGGTGCGAGCCAATTGAAGGGAGAACTGATCCACCATTTACAAAGAAAGTCCTCGATTTTAGTTACAGTCTCCTTTTTGGAGTTGTGGGCTATTATTATCTTGATTATTGCAACATTTGTGTCGCCAGACCCAAATTCAAAGTCGGCTACAGACATGGAAAGGTGGTATTTGGAAGACTTCAAAAATGCTACACAGACCGTGAGTTGGTTTCAATCTACAAAGATCATCCATTCTGAGTGGATGTATTGTTGCTGTTATGTCATTTTAGATGTATATAAAGCTGATTAGTTGTTAATTCATTAGCATATCGCGACATTGTATTTCACAATAAGATAGTCCAAATCAATTAAACCTTTCCAATTGACTCTTTCCTCTATTAACCCCGGTTGTTGAAAAAGCTTCTTAATGTGAGGGCTTGTAAATGTGGTTAGGATATAAATATCAATAGTTACTTTGATTTCTAAATATATCAGATAGCTAGTGATTACAAGAACATACTTTTCTCTACCGCAACCACCAGACATCAACTTTGGCAAACCCTTCACTCAAGCAGTCGTTTCTTCCTATCATATTGAGTCATATTTTGAAACAACAGTTTTACCTCTTCATCGTCACAACGAGGTATAATTTTGGCCAAACTCATTCTCTTGAACCTTTTCAAATTAAACTTTTTAAAATGCAATTCATCATTATCCAATTCGGGCCAATACAACTGCTGCTTATCCTCGTCAGTCTCCGCTTCACTTTTATCATAAACTGGCGTGCCAAACACTTTGAAAATACAACTCAACAAATGTAAATCACTTATACTCGACTCATTATTCATTTCTTCACCGTCATCATCGCCACCACCACTGCCACTGCCACTGCCACTACCGCCTCCCCCATCTTCACGTATCAATATACTTTTGAAATTAGGCGAGTACAAAATAGTCAAAATTATCGCTGCTGACCAAATATCAGCCTCAAACGAATAATTAGTGATGCCCAATAATAACTCAGGCAGTTTATATATCCCAGTACATACATCAGTGTACTTTTGCATCAATGGTTCGTCATCAGGTGGATCCAATAGATTATAACATATGCCAAAATCAGCCACCACAGGGTGAGTAATATCATCATTGATGAATAATATATTACTTGGTTTCAAATCACGATGAATGATATTGTTTGAATGAATAAATCTGATTGCTGAAATCAATCGAGTCAAAAATTGCTTCACTTGTGATTGAGGAATTGTATTGGATAATGTATAACTCAATTGACTCGACCCTTCATCACCATCACCGTCAAGATTATATCGAGTCCGTTTACGACAGTACTTTTGACTCATCATCAACTGATTCAAATTAAATGGATAGTAGTCCATCACCAATACCACATCTTCAAAGATTTGGAAGTCTCCAATGTACTTTACTATCCCATCATGATCTTGTAACGCTTTAATGACGGCAATTTCACGTCTAATTGAATGAGGTGGGATCTTGAAATCGACATCAACAATCTTTAAACACACATAACTTGAAGCTGATGACGACGAAGAAGAAGAAGCATCTTTTGGTTTGGCCTTGCATATATCTGATATCGGACTATTATAAATCAATTGCTTATCCGTGTATAATTCATCAAGTTTCATTCGAAGGTAGTTGAGTGTTATGTTGTGTTTGATGTGGGTTTTTTCCGTATCGGAGTTTTTTATGATCACGCCGCACATCCCCCTACCCATCCACCAAATTATTCTTACTTTAACTCACTACTCCACTCCTCTAAATGATAAACGTATATAGATATAATCTATGAACAAACGACTGTACTTTAATAATCTCCACAACTTTTTGTCTCTTTTTTTTTATTTTTCTACACCCGTTTCCTCTTATTCCCACCATCGTCAAAAACAACATTGTTTCGTTTGAAATTATGACCAGCATTATTACCGCCATTCTGACTGATATCATTATCATCAACATAAATCTTCCGGTTGGGATACTTCAAGTTCAATCCTTCAAATGCATTTTCAGTGACTTTGGGCAACTCCAAAAAGAAATTATGCACCAACGCTTGATCAGCAGTTAACCTGACTTCGGGGTCATACTTCAATAGCCCATACAACAATTCCAAGCATTGCTTATTATCCCCACCAATCATCTTGTACCATTGCGATAAATTTGATGAGTAATTCTGAGTGATTTGTTGCGTAAATGAAACAAATTCAGGATACTTGTTTAAACTTGGCCAGTTCTTCAAATTGGGGGTACCCATAATTTCAATAATCTTTTGAAATTGGTTTCTTTGGAATGGAACCAGTTTCTTATTGTTTATATCTATCTTGGCCTCTTCTCCTTTGAATATTGGTCGCAATGAGAGCAATTCCGCCAATATACATCCAACGGCCCATAAATCAATTGCTGGGGTATAATGTCTAGTGCCCAAGAGCAATTCAGGAGCTCGGTACCATATGGTAACCACAACTTTATCTCCAGTATAAAGGCTCTGCAAAGGGTTATTGAACTTACGCGCCAACCCCAAATCACCAATCTTGACACATCCATTCGACGTTACCATAATATTGGCCGGCTTCAAATCTCGATGAAATATCCAATTCTTATGTAGGAAAGTAACACCATTAAGGATCTGCCATGTAAGCGATTTTATCGTTGGTAACGGTATGGGTTTCAACTCGGGGTGTGAATGATAATGGATGATCTGTAGTAGATCATGTTCACAGAATTCAAAAATCATATAGATGCTCTTGTTTTCCAAAATTATATCTGCTAGTTTGGTTATGTTTTTATTGTTCAATTCCCGACATAGTGACATTTCACGAATGGCACTTTGACTAATACCAGTGTATTGCGCCGCCTCGTTGGCAATTTCACGATTGAGGTTCTTGGTGGCATTGCCGGCAGTGTTGTTTTTACTATTCGAACTTTGATGGTTATCACTTTTAAACTTTTTAATGGCATAATACTGTATCGAAGGAGCCTGCAATTCCACCATTTTTTCATCAGCTGGAGCCGACCCTTCTTTTGGCTCTCTCTCTTGAACATGGTTATTCACACTTTCCTTATTAATGCGACCATTATCGCCAAAAGTAGCACCATCACTTCCCTCATTCATACCTCCATTATTCCCATTCAATTTCCCTTTTTCTTCGCCATCTTTGGCATTTACATTCGTGGTTCGAAGCTTGGCCTTGTACACCTTTCCGTATGTACCTGCCGCTATGTAACCCAATATTTGGTAAGTTGAAAGAACTGATTCACGTGTTAGGTCCTTTCGATGCTTGAATGGCCCTATTGTTAATATTGAACTCGACGCCATTAGGGCTGGTTGGGGAACCGTTGGAAGTTGACTCAGCTGATGTGGGACGTAGTTGTTCTTGCTATTCTGATGCGTTGGCCCTGAAAAAGGATTATTCGCGGGCAATGTGTTTGTCAAAGATTGTGCAAAAGACTGTCCTAAGCTATGTTGTTGATATTGTGTCGATGGATGCAAATGCTGAGATTGATTCGTCCGTTGTTGAGGTTGGTCACGCAAAGTTTGACCTTCACCTTGTTTCTGAGACATATTCATTGATAATCTGTTCATAGTCTAATGCAAAGGCTATATCTCCATGGTATTGCCTAGACTGATATAAATGGGCTAAGCTGGTAGAAACAAAAAAGAAGTACCTCTTACTTTAATTTGGTCTCTCGTTAAGTTTAAAAATGCCAATTGATCGATCATTGGAAAAGATTCTCGCGCAAAATTACGTTTCATCAAAGAAATAAAGTGGATGCAAAAGTTGAAGCTAATATGTCTATGTAATGTCTATATATTCAAAACCGTAACCCTTCTAAACCATTTAGCGAGTGGATGGTTGAGTGTGATGGTGGATTACCAGCTGCAGGTTTTGGCTGTTCTACTACTGTGCCAAACTCATACTCGGGATTAAAGTTGAGCAAATTAGAAGCTTGCGAGTTTTCATACTCATTCTTCAAACTTTCTGTAATCTCTTTCTGCTCTTTGACAATTTCGTTTTTAATCTGTTGAATTTCCGCCAAGTCCTCCCATTCAGAAGTGTTGTACGCAAATTTGTTAACATAATAAAAGGTTCCTGATATGTTTTGATCTAAAACAGCTTGTCCTGAGTCGATAGATTTGTCCAACTCTTCCATTGTTACACTATATGACCAGTTTAACGCATGCGATATCTCTGATACAGTAGCTCCATAACAACCCCTTTCGTGGTTTAGAACATCGTTTTCACCTCCATCATCATCATCATCATCATCGATTAATTCTGCCCTTATTACGTTTTTCTTATACTTGTGCTCTTGTCGCTTCAAGAATTCAATGATAAACTCACAATATGAGTCGGCATGAATTTTTGGTCGGATTACAACGACCCCGGTCTTTTCGTACTTATTCAGTACCACGGGTAGATTCAAGATTTCAAACAAATCAATCAGTCTTTTAAAATCAGCAACATCTATTAACTCAGTGCCAAATCCCGAACACTTTACCAAGAATCTATTATATTCCGCAAACAAGTCCGGTAAAGTTATCATGGACGATTTCTTGGTAAGTACAAAGCTTGTCAAATATTCACTCATATGCCGGCTTAGCTCACTATGGTATAACTTTGATGTGCGGCTTATATTCAATGGTGGAATGCTATTGTACACGTTGTTACCCTTACTGGCTAATAATCTTTTAAATGACGATGAAAGCTTAATCAAGTCTTCAAATTTAAACATCAATTGCTCTAAATCATCCAATGACGAGCTAAGTATCATTTCGTTGTTCTTTCTTTGCTGTTCACCAAAAACTTCCAACGCATGGATCCCAGCACCATTTGGCCTAACTTGTTTCTTCTTTGTCTCCAACTTTTTGGAATTCTGATTAATGCCACCTTTGATTCGCAAATTTTCCCACTTGATCTCATCAATCAAGGTTGCGACTTCTTGGAAAAATTGGGATTCACCACCTTTACGGAAACTGATTTTTATATACGGTTGGTTATTAGTATACTGCTCAGCACCTTCAAGATGCAAGTTGAGTGGGTTTGATTCAATCGAGATATCCTGCAAAGCTTGGTTAATTTCAAATGTGGAGGATGCCAATTCGGTGCCACACATTTCGCAAAATTTCAATGATTTATGATTAATAAACGTACAGGTTGGGCATTGACCAGCAGGAACTTGATTAGTAGAAGATACTGGCTCTGGTGTCAGATTAGCTGGTGATGGAGAAGCTTCCACCAATCCACTGCTTTGGCCAGAAGATGCTACCGTTAAAGGTGCCACGATAGCGCTCTCAGAACTAGCTCTGTCAGATTTGGTCTGCAAGTCTTGTATAAAGTTCATATTAGGCACCCCACATGCAATGCATTTAGGGGCTTCCATTTCCGCATCTATCTCACCAGATACATGATTCTTGAAAGAACAAATTTTGCATACCCAATCAAAACCACTTGAAGATTTGAGTTTGGACTTGTTTGTATTCTTTTGAGTTTCCACTTTTAGATACAACTTGACTTTGGGCGAAGATCTCAAGAATCGGTCAATTAGCTCTCCTGAAGTAAACTGTTCGATATTAATAGCTATGCTGTTCTTGACTTCATTGTTATCAAAGTATATCACTCTTTTGTTTGTTAAGTATAGTCTACCGTTTTGACGGAGAAGTATCTTTTGCTTTCCTTGGTATAGGCCGACGTTATCCTTGATGTAGACATTAAACTCCCCTTCCTCAAGTATTGGTCTGTCACTTCTGTTAACTTTTATAGCTTGCCATACTTTCAACCAAGACATCTATTGCAATCTGAATGGGGGTTGATAATATTATACTTTCCGTTAGGGACACTGTAACTAAGCTATCGCCAGTTGTACTTCAATATCATACAGTTTAATCCGCGTGAGTGGTGGTTAATCCTAGCCTGATCCCGTTAATTTCTCTGATAGTACTTTGCTATGGTTTTGCTTGTCGTTGTCGTTGCACTTGAGTTTATGGATCAAACGAAAAAAAATATCTTTTTGGGGATTTACTACTTTTGAAATCAAACCCACACAAGCATCATCTACACTATTGTTAGAAGCATCATCCACCACTGCTTTAATGGAGACAAGAGAGAGGATTAATCACCCCATTCTACTGTAGTCTAATTCTTTTGACAAAGCTGAAAAACTTGATTCAATTTCAAAGTGTCTAGATCAGACTGCTGCGACTACAACACCAACTCTGTTACACGTCTCCTTGATCCAGTTAAATTCAGAGAGCCTACCACAAGTAGAGTCGACAACTATACCAGGCCATGGCGTTTTTATTCAAACGAGATCCCAAGAACCCTCATGAGTTAGTGAGAGCTTTGAACGAACAACTAATCAAGCTCGATTACACCAACGATCCATCGAGTTATAAAAAACACCAGGATGAACTGGGGCGATATCTAAAACAAATCAGAGCCATTATTTATGGCGATGACGAGAATGAACCTCAACAAGACCAAATCCAAATACTATTAACTGAGATCCTACAATCTAATAACTTGTACTTGTCAACATTCAATTTGAGTAAGTTGGATTTCGATTCCCGAAAAGACGTGGTTGTCATGTATTCAAGTTTGTTGCGACGAAACTCATTGAATGGTATTAAACAATCAAGCACCACCTCATTGTCCCCTCCACCTGTTGTGGATTATCTAGTTCTGGTGCAACCTAAAATATTGGACTACTTATTGAGAAGCCCTGAACACCCTGACATAGCGCTTGTTGCAGGCCAGATATTGAGGGATTGCTTAAAGTTTGAAAAGATTAACAAGTACATCCTATACAGCCCCAATTTTTGGAATTTGTTCAAATATGTCGAAAATCCAACATTTGAAATTGCATGTGATGCTATGATGACCATGAATGACGTGTTGACTGTTCATAAAAAGTTGGTTTCCGAGTTTTTGGCCAATAACTACGAATCATTTATGACAAGGATGAACGGATTGATCAAATCGAACAATTATGTCACGAAACGACAAAGCGTCAAGCTTCTCAACGATCTAGTGTCTCAGAAAGCCAATCTACAATTTTTGCATAAATACTTTGCTGATACTAAGAATCTTAAGTACACAATGTTGCTTTTAAGTGAAAAGCTGAAAAATCTTCAGTTAGAAGGGTTCCATCTCTTGAAGTTTTTTGTTGCCAATCCGAAAAGGACTTCCAAAGTTAATGAAACACTAATAAAAAATAAGTCTAATTTTCTTGAATTTTTCAAAACATTTGACATTGCTAGTTTTCATGATTCCAGTTTACTTGAGGAGAGAAATTACATCATCAAGCAGATTGAGGAATTACCCGATAAGAATGCACTTAACTAAATTTCATGTCTATATGTTCATAAAGTCTCAAATAAAGAAATAAAATAATCTATTTTGCTACCCTCGACCAATCCTTGTACTCCTCTTCACCATACTGTATCTTTCTAATCCATTCAGCTACTTGGGCAGTCAATTCTCCAGAATTTCCAAAAGACACTGGAACAGGGATATCTTCACCTTTGAAACCAATGTTTTTTATAGGTGACACAACAGCAGCAGTACCTGCTCCAAATGCTTCGACCAAGTTTCCCTGTTCAGCAGCTTCCTTCACTTCGTGAATAGTAAATTTTCGTTCGGATATAACCCATTCATCGCTTGGTAGTCTGTTTTTGGCCAACTCCAAAATCGAGTCTCTGGTTACTCCTTCCAAAATTGTACCATCAAGGGGGGCGGTAACTAACTCCTTCTTGCCGCTAATTGGGTCGCTGAATACAAAAAAGGCATTCATAGTACCAACTTCGGTAATGAAACCTTCATCACCAAATAACCACAAGTTTTGATGGAATCCCCTTTTGGCAGCTTGCAATTGCGGCAAAACACAAGGAGCATAATTTGCTCCTAATTTCTTATCACCAACACCTCCTGGCCATGCTCTTACAGCATAGTCAGTGGCCTCCAAACTGACAGGCTTAAACCCACTGGAATAATAAGGACCAACAGGCGATGCAATCACGTACAACAAAGCTTTATCCGGAGTACTGACACCTAAAGATGCAGAGGTTCCAATCAAAGTAGGCCTAATGTATAGCGAGTATCCCTGTCCCTCAGGAACAAAATCTTGATCAAGAATCAACAATTGATCAATCAATTTTTGCAATTCTTCCCCTTCAAATTGTGGCAAAGCAATTCTTTCAGCAGACTTGTTCATTCTTGTCATATTTTTATCCCCTCTGAAGGTTCTAATGTTGCCTTGTTTGTCCTTGTACGCCTTCATTCCTTCAAATAGTTCGAAAGCATAGTGAAAGACAATAGTAGATGGATCAAGTGACAAATTGTGGTATGGCAAAATCTTGGGAACTCCCCAGCCCGATTTAGCATCCCATTCAACTTCTAGCATATGATCAGTAAACGTCTTCCCAAAAACCAACTCATTTTTAGGAATTTTGGCCTTGGGTGTAGTTGTCTTTTCGATGACTAACTTTGACGCATTTAAAGGAACCGCCGACGCATACGTGGAATTGAAACGATTAAAAGACCTCAAAGCTAAAGCTCGAGACAAGAAAGGGATGCCCCTGTTTAGTATCTGCATTCTAAATAGATAGTGTAGCAAGTAGCCTGAGTTGGAGAATTTTTCAATGAAATGAGTCAAAATCGGTTCCGATTTGAATTAAAATGAAAAAAAAAGTAGATATCGGACAGCGCTACCGCTTGTGCTATAGGGAGGACGAAACCATTCTTCTTCGGTTACGTTGCTTTAACGGGGAGACAATGGTTGGGAAAGAAGGAACTGGGTATGGGTTTAAATCCAGAGACTCGTTGTTCCGTCCTTTTACAAGTTTCCAAAGGCTATTCTATGGCTATATCACGTTCTCGGGCCATTATTCTGACGCGTTAGGCAGCTGGAAGATATGTAAGAACAACCAAAGCCATTACAGGGAAGATCCAGAATCAACATTGTTTCCCCCTAGTTTTATATGTCTCTTGTGTGTTTTAGGTGGCTCTTGAAATAGAAAGAAATTGAAAAGTCTCAACAACGTGAGCGAAGAAAAAATTCGTACGAAAAAGAGGTGTTGCACTGCCAATCGTCGTCGACAAACAACAACGAAACAATATATCTCTGTTCAAAGCCTAGCTGAACCCAATTGAAACTGGAATAATTTCCCATTTGAAGGAGAACTCACACCAATCGTTGCCTTACTTTTACACTTTATTGAGTGCCCAACTAGAAACACAACTTTTGAATCTCTTAATTCACCAGAGATATAGCCACACGGGTACATTCAACAATCATGTCTGAAGTATGTATTCAAGGCCCAGCAATTATTTTTCTTCTCTCTTAAAACTGAGTATTGCCTTTGGAGGTGCCTATTGGTCATCCCACTAAATGCACTTTTTCCATTAGCATGTACTAACAAACTATCCTTTTAGGTCAAAAGAACTATTAGAATAACAACCGAACAACACATCTTACAAGATGTCCCTCCAGTTGAGAACTACCCTATGAGAAAATGGTCCGTCCAAATAACAATGCTTGATTCGGAAGGAAAGGAAATCCCGGCAAAGATTTTGGACAGAGTTACGTATACTTTGCATCCAACTTTTGCTAACCCAATAAGAGTAATCAAACAACAGCCTTTCAAAATTGAAGAACAAGGTTGGGGTGAGTTTGATATACCTATCTCTATACACATTTTGGGTATTAGTGGAAAACCAGGTGAACGTAAATTTCAACACGATTTAAACTTTTTGCAAGAGAAATACGTCAACGATCATGTGATTTCAATCCCAGTTGGACCAAACAAGAACCCGCAATTAAATAAGATCCTAACAGAAAGTGGACGGTTGCCTTTTGATGAAGCTGGCAATTCAACGGCAGGTGGTGCTTCTGCCGCAGGTGGCATCAAGAGGAAGTTAGATGCCTCGAATGGTGGCCAGTCACCAACCAATGCAGCAGACAAGAAAAAAATTAAAGGAGCAATAAAGGGAAATGTAGATTTAGAGAAGTTGGCCAACGGATTAAGTAAATTGAGTGAGGATGATTTAATTGTCGTGGTTCAGATGGTTACCGACAACAGAACTAACGAGATGAACATCAAAAATGACGTTGACAATGGAGAGTTTACAATGGATTTGTATACCTTGCCCGATTCATTGTTGAAGAGTTTGTGGGACTACGTGAAAAAACATATTGGCGAAGCTTAGGAGAGAATAGTTGGTGTATAAATTATCAAATTGTAAAACAGTATTAATTTTCTTTTAAAACTGAAATGTCTCTCTTTATACACTCCATACTTTTACTGTTGCATCCCAGGAACCAGTTGCCAAAGCAACGCCATCAGGACTAACTGCCACTTTGTTTATTTTGTTCAAATGCTCGTTTCCCAAAGTGCCAATAATCTCGTTTTTCAAAGTATCCCACACTACACACCCGTAATCCAGGTAACAGGAATACAACAAGCGTCCACTTTTCCCAAAATCGAGCGAAAACACACCTGAATTCTCCAAGGTTGAATTTCTCGAGCTTATACTAAGTCCATCGCTAGAGGCCAATGTTGCATTGATGGGAGCACTTGATGGAGTTAGCATAGTGTAGCTGTTGCCAAGACTATACGTTTTTCTTTCAAAGGGTGTCGCTGGTGACAATAATTGCAGTCCCATGCCAGTTTCATTTAGTCCTTGCATGTTTCTGATTTCCAGAATTAAGGAATAGTGTGCGACCTCACAATCACTTCTCAAATCAATCAACCTAATCTGACCGTCGTCAGATCCCACGGCAAATGTATTCCCATCTGGAAATACCCTTACGCAATTGACATCGCTGTTGGATATGCTGAAACTTTGGGTTGGTGTTTGCAGTCTCAAATCCCATACCTTGGCATAACCATCAGAAGAGCCGCTGATAAAAAGATTATCCAGCAAGATATTTGGTGGGAAAACAGTAAGACACAACACATCTCCAACATGGTCGATAAAGTCACGAGATTTGAATCCCTTCGTAATGTCCCACAACATACATGTCATATCGCCACTGGCGGTTACGATCGAATTATTGCCGATGAACTCGCACTCTGAAATGTACGCCGTATGGCTCTTGAAAATTGACTGGACAGATTGGGAGAAACCTGTTTGTAAAGGGAAAATGTTGCTTCGGAACTGTTGCTGCTGCCGCATTTGAACGGGATTGTTTGAAGTGTCAGACTTGATTTTGTAAATGGTGCAATTATTGTCCAACCCAGCAGAAGCCACTAGATTTTCATTGGGTGACATGCTACAAGTAAGCACCCACGTGTTGTCTAACTGAATTGCCTGCTTTTTGAATCCAGTGATTGCATCCCAAATGATCATATAGCCATCTTGAGATGCTGATAATATCTTTGTTGACTCTGCATTCCAGCACAACTTTGCCACTTTGTTTTGGTGTCCACGCAATGTGTTATATAGTCTTAATTTCCATGAATCCCGAGGTATGGTTAAGACGTTGGCGGATACCCTTTGCAAGTTGGTGTCTTGGGTGTGTCTTTTGACGTTGATTATCTCGTCATACAATAATTTTGCCTTTTCCTTTGCAACTTCAATTTGCTTCAGGAGAGGCGCTTGGTCGACTTGCTCTTGCATTTTAAGCAGCTGCTGTAACTTTCCTTGGAATACCAGGCTATCTGACTTTTGCACTGGAAATGGTATTGTCGAATTTCTACTTTCAGGATGCATCCTTAAGCGATAAATTGGAATACTATGCGATCTAGATTTGGTAAACAAATGCTCAGTGGGTCTCTGGCTCTTTCAATAAATATTCAACACTGAGGCTAAAATATGTTACACAAGCTTTGCATATCCATCTTGAAAAAGCACAAGTTTTCTACTTTCAAAACTTTTTGCCACGGGGATGTTGAGAAAAGGGGGATGAAACCAGAAACTTTCAGAGAAGGCTAAACAGAGGCGAATTCTTGTCAAAGTTTATTATTATTTAAGATGCTATGGTTTTGGGAGTATTATTATATAATTTGATACAAATATGATGCAAAATTTGTATGTGACGGCCAACGACAGTATGTTATTTTTTAAATCATTTTTGGAGATTAATGCCTAAAAGGGTAGTCTGAAACAATTTTATGGCAGATGCAGATTTTGTAACTTTGATGGAAAACATTTAAAAAATTTACTGATGTGAGTTGACAATTTATAGAAGCAGATGACTCTTTAAGCGTATTGCTGCTTTAAGTATCAAGAATTTTGGTTCGCCCAACCTTCAATGTAAAAGAAATCATCGTGTAAACGATAGCTACGTTATTATATGCTCTCCTTCCTTTGTGGCTACCCTTGGAAAATAGGTTTGCCAGGTTGTTTTCATCTCTGCTCCAAAACCATTTCAGGCGTTGTGTTTTTGAGAATAGCGGTCTGAGTTCGCAATTACAAAAAAAAAACGGTTTGAGTACATATTTCGAGGAATGATAGCTTCTTATTCAATTTGAATGAACAGTTCTCATATTATACGTATTATGTCTAGAGAGTAACTATACTGTCATAAATGTTTCACCTGCATTACTGAACATATAGAACATTTTGCCAATTTCCATACAATTAGTCGCGATTATAACAGTTCCACTGCAAAACTCGGGCTCCAGCTATTCAAAACTAGCCACCGGAAAGTAAATGGATGCTTCGCAAAACAATAATCTCACGACACATTTCCCAAGATACACACTCACAAGATGCAATTCAGTAGCTGCAGGTCAGAAAAGGAGCACCTGATGCCAGATTATGACTTTGACAGAACCAAGCAGAAGAAAACCACTAGATTAATACTAATGGCAGTAACAAAGGCACGACACTGATTTATGTACTATGTCGTTAAATCATCCATATAATCATTATTTAAAACTGGTATCAATGTTGCTATCTTCACCTTCTCGGTTTGATAGTACCTGCTGCCTCTCTTGCTCCTTAGCTTGCTCCTGTTGTTGTCGTTTCTTTTGATTATGCACATTTGGAACAGGCGCTGCGGCTGTTTTTTCCTGTCGGGAAATGCTTCTCTTGACTCGATCCTCCAAATTACCCGTTACCGTTTTCAAATACAGGGGCAATTCCATTCCATTTTTCAAATAAAACACTTTCCAATTACGCGCCTTATCCTTAAGTTGAACTTGATTCCTGTTTTTCAATGCTTCATTGATTTTACCACCTTTTCCAAACAAGTCGAGGATTTTCGACCAATGGGGGCCGTTTAATTCCAAAGCGTGTCTGAATGCCTTTTCCTCGTCCCGAGTCCATGGTCTTCTCTGACTAGGTTTATGTCCATTGACATGTATTTGTTGCTCTCGTATCTCCGAAGGTAAAAGCTTAGCTGTGTCACCCGAATCACTATCGTCACCACCAGCTCTGGGTGGTCGGTAGTTCATCCTGGCATTAATTTGGTCATACATATCCGGACTTATTGGGGTATGTTCCTTCTTGTCCCTAACGGGCTTTCCGCCCTTGCCCCAGATTAAGTACCCCATGTTCTTTGAAACATAATCAAAAAGATCTCTTAAAAAGGTAAACCATTTGAATTCGTCACTTAAGGGTGTTTGTGTTTCCTCCTCATTGTAGTTGAGCAATAGGGATTTTCTTGATTTGCACTTTTCCACAAAATCATCCTCCGAAGGTAATAGCAAATCAACATGTCTTCTGGCCATCAATATCTGATCCATGTTATCTGGTAATATATCTTCTAAAATATCCTCCCTGGACCGTTCCCCTGCTTCGATAGCCGATATGTAAGCTTGTGTCTTCAAGTCAAGATATAACATAGCCTGTGGCTTCAACAATTTACCGATTTTACCACCCACAGAAGACCCTATACCAGTTTGGATACTCGTACCTAAAGTGCTCGCCGTGTCCAAGTAGCTAGTGTCACTTAGATGGTACTTGATGTCCAAGTCGTGAGCAGGACAAAATATATCTAAAAACGATTCGTTCAAATAAAAGAATCCAACTTCCATCGTACCCAATGCAGCTGCTAGGAATGTCGCTAAATTCACTTTTCTAAGAGTCGATTCAATACTTTGCTCCTTGGTTTTAAAAACACGAGGTGTTTCTTCACCAACATGCCACATTCCCGGTGCTATATGATCCACAGTTAAGAATGGATCCTCTTCAGAGTACAACCTTTTCGTAAATTCAAACAACGAAGTCAAGTCACGATATGTCGCACCTTCAGGTGTTTCCGGATTGGAAGCGATGTCGATGATTCGTTTGTAGGAAGACTTTGCAACAATACGTAGCAACTGCGTCGATAGATTATCCAATGTCGGTAAAGTGTTGATCAAAAGTTGAATTCTTGGTGGTAAAAAATCGGCTCCTATAATTGGCAAAGGTAGCACTGACAAATTTGCCAGTGTAAACACAGCATGGTTGGAGTCGACACTCAGCGGCTGATACTGTGACGACAATGAAGAGTAAGCGACATGTGCGGCATTTGTGTTGAAGAGCTCAGAGTCTGAGGGGATTGCAGATAACGATGAGCGATTCGTATGTTGCCCATTCGGCCGTTCCTCCTGGGATTTGCTGGGTCTATTGCTCAACTCAAAGGGAGGCGATCCATTCAAGACTTCTTCCTTCATCTTACCGTGACCTTCTGAACTTTCATGTTGTAATCTTTGTTGTAATTGTTGCAGTCGTTGCTGCAGTTGTTGCAGCAGTTGCTGTTGCAGTTGTAAATGTTGCAACTGGTCGTGAGCTTGTTGAATCAAATCTGCTGTACTCTCCTCAGAGTTTTCATCACGTGTTGATTGGACGTTTGTATTTCCTCCCTGAGATACATCATCGGTGAAATTGGCTGTACTGTTATCCTTGTGTGTCTGGTTTAACACTTCAACTGACTTAACTGAGGCATCAGTTTTCTGTCTCTTCCGCTCCTGTTTGTCTTCCGCTGAATGATCAAGATTCTGTTCTTCAAAAACCAGCAGTTCGTGATCTTCTGTATCTTTTGTTAACTCATGTGCAATAGATGAGATTGCTTGTTCGGCAGATAACTCCGACGGACTTGGCTGCTCGGAATCTTGCCTCTGCTGCAAGATATCATCAATATTGGAATCATCCATACTCATATTATAGATTGATGAATGATGTGTGTGGTTATCCGGCAACCTCTTCGGTATTACTGTGTAAGGTTTAATGCTAGTCGTGTATAATTTGTTTACATTTTGTTAGCACCAAATTTTTGTCTATCAATTTCTTTTTTTCTTCCTCTGCTGCTCACTCTATCTACTATTAGTGAAGTAGAATTACAAACAATGCTCAACACTAGTAGGTCAATGTGAACTATACTAAAGATGTACGTAGTTAGGTCTTCATTAGCATTATTACAGCCTAACATGCACCAGCTTTTTGGTTCATATGCTGGACTTACCAGTATAGTGATTTAACAGTTTAGTGACTTAACCGTTTAGCGACTCAATTCGAATGAATCGACTCATTGATCAACATAACCGCCTATTGAGACTAAATACGTACAAACACAGCAGTGCTTCGTAAATGCGCTTGCTAGAATTATATTGGAACAACCTTCAAGTGACAATTCAGTCTGACCCTCCCCATAAAAACACAAAATCTACAAAATTCGCTAATGATTTCTATTCATGTTAAAAGAAAGATTATTTCTCTAGCGGGACCTCGTCCCAATTGGGAAATGCGCCATAGAACTACACGCTAAACCATTTTTTTTTGCCGCTTCTTTTTTTCTCCTTAATTGAATCATCTCTTACAGTGTAAGCGGGATCCTTCTACGGAGTTCTATTTAAACCCAGCAAAGTTCCTCTTTTTTTTATAGATTCTACTTTTCTGAATTCAGAAATAAACATTCACAAATATTCTACAAATATGACTGTTCAATCAATCTCTGCCCAATATTTCCCAGAAGAACCAAAAGGACCAGTTGTTAAATCCACTAAAGGCAGCAACTCTAAGCAAGCAATTGAAAGTTTAGGAAAAGTTTTTGATGCTCGTGCAGCTTATTTTGTTGCTGACTATGGTAAATCGTTAGGAAACTACATTACCGATGTTGATGGAAACGTGTACTTGGACGTTTATGCTCAAATTGCTTCCATTCCTTTGGGTTACAACAATCCTGCATTGCTTGAGGTTGCAAAATCAGACAAAATGCTCAGGGCTATTGTTGACAGACCAGCTTTGGGAAACTTCCCTGGTAACGATTTGGAAGACATTGTTTCGGATATTTTGAAGGTGGCACCAAAGGGACAAGATAAATTATGGTCGGGATTGTCTGGTGCTGATGCCAATGAATTGGCCTTCAAGGCTACATTTTTCTGGTACCAAGCTCAAAAGAGAGGTTACCACAGTGACTTTACACCAGAAGAAATTGCTTCAGTGATGCATAACCAAGCTCCAGGTGCTCCAGAATTGGCCATTCTTTCGTTCGAACATGCATTCCACGGTAGATTGTTTGCATCCGGCTCCACCACTTGTTCCAAACCTATTCACAAATTAGACTTGCCAGCTTTCAACTGGCCAAAGGCCCAATTTCCATCATATAAATATCCATTAGAAGATAACATTGAGGCCAACAAACAAGAGGACGAGAGATGCTTGAAGATTGTTGCTGACTTGTTCAAGACTTGGTCTGTTCCAATTGCTGGTGTTTTAGTTGAACCAATCCAATCGGAAGGTGGTGACAACCACGCATCAGCCGAGTTCTTCCAAGGCTTGAGAGATATCACTTTAAAGCATGGTGCATTGTTAATCATGGACGAAGTTCAAACTGGTGTAGGTGCCACTGGTGTCATGTGGGCCCATGAAAGATTCAACTTACAACCACCACCAGATATTGTTACTTTTTCCAAAAAGTTTCAATCCGCCGGTTACTTTTACCACAACCCAGAAATTACTCCAAACTTGGCTTACAGACAATTCAACACTTGGTGTGGAGATCCAGCTAGAATGACTTTGGCTGGTGCAATTGGTAAAGAAATCCTTAAGCATGATTTAACTGCAAGAGCAGCAGAAGTTGGTGACTATTTATACAAGAAGTTGGAAAAATTGCAAGAGAAATACCCAACCCACTTGCGTAACTTAAGAGGTAAAGACAGAGCCACATTCATTGCTTGGTCAATGGAAAGCGGCACAGCAAGAAACAAGTTCTTGAGTGACATGAAGGAGACAGGTGTTAACATTGGGGGATGTGCTGAAGACTCGGTTAGATTGAGACCAACTTTGGTTTTTGAAGAAAAGCACGCCGATATCTTGGTGGAGGCTATTGATAAGGTATTGTCAAACTTTTAGAATCCTGAATGAGGAGAGTGGATAATGTATTTGGTTATGAAATTAGTTGTGTCTAGATAATGAAATAACATGGTAACGAATGAGTGGAGTGTAGATCTACTTAGATTTAGCCGTTGAGGCGCTAGCGCAAATAACGCGACACGTTATTTTTACTCCAGATTTTGGACCTGCAAAGTTTTAGAAAGAAAGAAAACAAAAAAAAAAGAAAAAGAAAAAAAGAAACAGAAAAGACGTCAAAATACATTTAGCCGATAATCAATTTTGATAAAATTTTCACAAGACCCCCCACCTTAAAATCATTGCCGTGTGATAACATCAATATAGACGGTACTAGACCCTATTCTTGGCAGCCCATATCAACTCACATCATTTGTTTTTGAGTATTCAAGCCGGTTTTGTTTTAATCAATGATAGCGGCTTTTTCGTACCCGGCATAAAAAATAAATCTCAACAATTCACATGGAAGGGCTCAAACTCCCTATGGCAACTTTTTCGCCATTGTATACTGATTTCAAATATTTTATCAAAAATGATTCCAACTCGTCATTTTTAGCTGGTGGAATCGCTGGTGCGGTTTCTCGAACTGTGGTGTCGCCATTTGAGCGTGCTAAAATTCTATTACAGTTACAAGGTCCAGGGTCCCAGCAGGCATATGAAGGCATGTTTCCCACGATAGCAAAGATGTACCGTGAAGAAGGGTGGAGGGGCCTCTTTCGTGGGAACACACTTAATTGTATTAGGATTTTTCCGTATAGCGCCGTGCAATTTGCCGTGTTTGAGAACTGCAAGGACTTGATTTTGAAATACAGGCGACGTGAACATCCTGATGACTTAAATTTGCTTAGAAGTAACGAGTTGAATGGATATGAGAGGTTGTTTTCCGGTTCTATTGCTGGAATTGTGTCTGTAGCAGTCACTTATCCATTAGACTTGGTACGAGCTAGAATAACAGTACAAACCGCATCCTTGAGTAAGCTTAACAAAGGTAAGCTAGCCGAAGCTCCATCGGTAATGCAAACATTAAAGGAAGTCTACAAAAACGAGGGCGGATTCCTCGCTTTATACCGAGGAATTATCCCCACCACATTAGGTGTGGCGCCGTATGTTGCTATAAATTTTGCATTATATGAAAGGCTTCGTGAGTACATGAATAGCTCACCACGGGAATTTTCAAATCCTATTTGGAAACTTTCGGCTGGTGCATTTAGTAGTTTTGTGGGAGGAGTTTTAATATATCCTTTAGACGTACTAAGGAAAAGGTATCAGGTTGCAAGTATGGCAGGAGGTGAACTAGGGTTCCAGTATAGATCAGTGGGACATGCCTTATACTCCATTTTCAAAAATGAAGGCTTTTTTGGAGCTTACAAAGGGTTGACGGCTAACCTATACAAAATTGTGCCATCCATGGCCGTCAGTTGGTTATGCTACGACACCATTCGTGAATGGATAAAAATTTGGTAACCGTTTTGTTTAACTTAGACAATATAGATAACAATATAGAAATGCTAAGTAGCTCCCTACTTTTTTATCCACACAGGATGGCATATATGCATCATATCTTGGGATTTAACTTCTACACCCAATAACTTGTGCCTTTTTTTTTTTAAATCGTATGGTTAATCCTGCATACAAACAAAAATTCAACCAACCAAATTTATTTCAAATAAGAGAAGAAAGAAACGCATTTGGAAAATTTATTTTCTAAAAGTACGAGTGACAAACCACCACCCCATAAAAAGGAGAGTCTTACAACCTATTCAAGCTCAATTCAAATCACAACCATGCTTCCATCCAGAGTTTTGTTAGCCCAAGCTAAGAATGTCAAGCCAAAGTTCACCTACCCAGTAGAGATGACTCCATTGTTTGCTGCTGTTGGTATTGCAGTCGTTTCCGCAACCTATTTCACATACAGACACTTTGCCAATGATAAGGAATTAAGATTATGGAAGAACGCTGACTTGTCTGAATTGAACAAAGTTTTGGACAAGGCTGAAGATGAAAAGAAATAGACTACTAGCTGTTTCAAGATCGATTACATTCATTTTATTAATGCCAAAATTAAAACAAAAAAAACATTAAAGATTTCGTCATGACATTTTTTTGCTATCATCAGTTGATCATTCTTAATATCATGGCCAATGATGGAGCTTAACCATTTTGCTATTTATTTAGTTAATTGTTACATTTTATAGGAAATTAAACCGTTGGTTGTTTTGGAATACAAATTTTCAATTTACTATATATATATATGTACATGGTCTATCTACCGTCATGCTCAGTTGATCGAGGACATAATTCTGCTCTCGTGTTCACCTTCAATGTTGGTGTAGTAGTCCAAAACTTCGGGAGTTTGGTCCAAGTTATCAAGGGCTCTATAATATCCTTTAGAGTACTCTTCGGGGAACTCCACTTGTCCGTCCTTATTCGCCAAATATCTCACCGCACTTTCGTGCAATTTATATCCTTTGGCACTAAGCTCATTACTAATGCGATGAATCTCCAAAGGATCAGAAATTATGCGATAAAACTTGTACTTCTTGTCAGGGACAAACTCATCTGAAAACTCAACCTCTTCGAAATCTTCAGCACCCAATTCTAGTGCTACTTCAAACACGTCGTCGAAGGATTCATTGGCATCGGGCTTAGGCTCAATGAGTATTTCTCCCTTCTTTTCAAACATGAAATTACAAGGGCTTAACGATGCTTGGAAATATGCCATTGCTGATTTAACTCTCATAACTGTACGTGCCTTGTTATCAGTAATGGCTGAGACTATAACAGCAACACCACCGGGCCCCATAAACTCATAAGTCACCTCAGTTTGATTAGCTGCACCATCATTTAATTCTCCAGCACCTCTCTTTATCGCATTTGTGACTACTTGCTTTGATACGTTGAGTTTCTTAGCTTTATCTAATAACTGATCCAAGCTCGCATTAGACTCTTTACCTCCTATTCGTACACAACTTTCTATCTTGGTTGCAATTAATGTTGCTTCCTTGGACTTTTTGGCATCGTTCTTGGCTTTATCATGCTTGATATTGGCCCACTTAGAGTGACCTGCAAACCTTATAGGCATAGAGCGCCAGGTCAAGGGATGCTGATAGCGACAGAGAGGACGAAGAATTGGTCGTATCATTTTTTATGGGTAGCTGATCGGTAGAATGAGTAAGTAGGTGAATGAAAAATTATGTCTTTTTCAAAAACTTTATCAGCGATTGTCGTTTTTGTCCAAAAAGAAAAATAAATAGACATCCACTGATCAAAGTCCAACAACAGTCACAACTCACACACACACACAAGGAAACAAGTCATAAAGATGAGCTCTGGAAGTGAGGCAATGACCAAGCGTAAATTGATTGCTACAATTGCTGACGAAGACACAGTAACAGGATTACTTCTTGCTGGAATTGGTCAAGTATCCAACGAACCAGGCAAAGAAACCAACTTCCTTACAGTTATCCCCGGCAAGACATCGGTTGAAGACATCGACGAGGCCTTTGAGACATTTACCAAAGAGCGTGACGATATAGCCATTTTATTGATAAATCAACATTTGGCCGACTTGATTAGATACAAAGTTGATAGTTATACAAATGCGTTTCCAGCAATATTGGAAATACCTTCAAAAGACCATCCATATGATCCAGAAAAGGACTCCATATTGAAAAGAGTTAGAAGGTTATTTGGAGAGTAGACAATTGAGCACGTTTATGAGAAATATTCATAGATTAGCTTTATTGCGATTTTTAATACACATTGCAAAAATCAACCGTCCATTGATTCATCTACGGCCTATTTATTCTTCTTGTTCTTCTTTTTCTTCTTCTTTGAGCCATTTCCATTTGGGGCAGGCGAATTTTCTTTTGAAGTTGAATCATCGTCAACGTTCACTTCGTCGTTTTCAAGGAGGTCACCCTCCTCTTTCTCCTTCTTTTCATCCACTTGCTGTCCTCTGACTTCGTTCTTTTCCTTCTTGACGTGCTCCATTTCTTCCTTCTGCTGTTCCTTCTCCTCCTTTTGTTCAAATTTTTCCTCCTCAATCGCTTTTTCCGCTTGCTTTTCCTCCTTTTCTTTCTCATTTGTCGTCTTTTCCTCTTCTAATTTCAGCTTTTCACTTTCAGCGTCAGCCTCTTTTGTAGAAGGGGTATCAGCTGACTGTTGAGGCAACTCGGTCCCCCCCTCTAGGACAGGATGATCACTTATCTTTGTTTCTACTTCAATTATATTTTCCTCGCTGATAGGTACAGTATCAAAGGCGTCATCAATATCCTCTTTTAATGCCACCGAAGAAGCAGTAGCATTTGGTTCGTCTTTGTCAAGAAAGTCTTGCTCAACTTGAGTGGGATCATTACTTTGTTCGAGATTGTCAATAGTCTCGTTGACAGCTTGCGCTGAGTTGGGAAGTGCGGTGGAAATCTCTGTGTCATCAACTTCAAGCTTTGTTGAGTCACTCTCCTGCTTTTCAAGAGGTTCATTGTCATTGGATGTAGGTGCAGGTTGCTGCGCTCCGGTTGTTTCCATGCCCTCTGACTTCTCCTTTGGCACCTCTTCCTCCTTCGTTGGTAGAGGCGGTAAGTCTGACTTTTCTGTCTCTCCTGGTGCTTCAGTGTCGTCCAAAGGCACATCCTGAGAAGCAGCTGTAGAAGCATCAGCTAGATGATCCTGTGCGTTACCACCCTCATGAGATGCACTTTGTCTAGATCCATGACTGTCACCCCAGTAATTCTTGGCAAACAAATCAGGCAAAACACACTCCTTGACGTAAAAGTCACGAACTCCAACAATTCTCCTCTCACGTTCACATGCCTTTATCCATTCAGGTCTGATTATAGGGATGTTCATATCATTCGCTTTGGTATATTCGGGATTTTGTTTATTCTCTCTGGTACATAAAAAGTGTGTAGTATCCACTTTTACTTGATGCTGGGCCGGGTGTTTTGCTCCAATATTCACCAAGGTCTTTTCAATGTCTTCCGCAGTAAATGGGTCATTAGGACTAAAATCACCAAGGCATACAGTTATACCAGAAAGATCAGTCATTTTGTGAGTACTGACTTCAACCTCATTACTCCAAAAGATACCAGCAGTGGTATCCAATCGTAATTGGAACTTGAAGCTCTTGTCCACAGGCAATCCCGAGAGCTTTGATGTCTTGTTATTCATTGGCTGTGGAATGGATCCCAACTTTTTGCCGTCTTTGAATAATATCAAGTTTTTCAAATTAGATGTGCCTAAATCCAATGTATCCCACTCCAAGACACATGACGTTTGAGTCGTGTTTCTAATTTGTAAAACGGGAGCTTTTGGTGGATGAGTGGCAAAAGTTTGATAGATCTCATCCTGAATGTTTTGAAAATTTAAGACCTCCTCCTTTTCACTTTCATGATCTTGGTCGCATTTTAATTTAACAATTGATCCAGCTCTAACTCCATTGGGCAATAAAATTGTCGGGAACTCAATCAAGTGGTGATCTTTTGTTAGTAAAAGCGCTAATGAAGCATCTAGTTTACCAACTGTAAGCGAAACTTCTACCATATTAACTGTCTCAAAGTTGTTCCTAGTTCAATTGAGTGACGTCAGTAAATGTGGTTGTTCTTACTTGCCTTTTTTCTTTTTATTTTTTTTCACCATCAAATCAACGATAAAAAGTTGGTAGCATTGGCATAGTAACAGCACAGCCAACATCTGGTATTTCCTATAATTTTCCTTCTATCAAGAATAAATCGTATTAATTAATGTTACAGATATAAAGTATACAAAATACAAGTTCTACGTCGGTATGCCCATGGCTTTTAAATCCTCATTTATCTCTTCCTCGCTGGCTTTCCGCAAAAGCAACTCCCGAGTCGCTACATCATCTTGATTGATCGAGGAACTAACAGCTGAGGGGAAGCCATGAAATTTGACTAGTCCATTTAATATTCCCAATTGCTCATTCAAGTTGTTTCGCTGCTGCACCAATTCAACAATTGCACTTTGTTTAATAGCTTTCTTCATCTTTGGTGCAACTGGTCCCATAACTTCGGTGACGATGCCAGAGCTCGATACAGGTAGCTCCTCTTGAGCCAATATCGACAGTGGTATTGCTGCATAGTTGAAGTCGGGCACAATTTGATCTAGCTGATTTCTTTCTTTGTTGATCTTGTACCACATTGACGTTGTTTCTGTTATCATTGCATTTTTAGTGTCCATAATATTTCTGAGATAGTTCTGGTGTATAGATGTGCGTGTTGCCATCGTTTCTTTATCCACGCACTTCAATCTGTAAGTCAAGTTTGCATTGGCCAAGTTTAAGCTGTCTTGGTAAAACCCATTGATTTTCTGATATATTTTAGATAGCTCAGGGTGAGATCCATCTAAACATAGCTGCAATTCCTTCTCCAACAAGGACAATTTATCGTCATATAGCTTATCGCGCACTTCAGCGAAACATTTTTCAATAGCTATTAACCCTTTTACCGCTAGTTCTCTTTGTTCGTTAATGTCTGTGTCATTTTCCTCGGCAACGACTTGTTCAACACTCTTTTCGAGAGCTTCTTGTGCATCTTTTAGCTCTTCCGCATCTGTAATTACCTTATCTTGGTGTTCTTGTTGCTCTATGGATGTCAATTTTTCTCTTCTTCTAGATTCTCCTTCTTCATCCTCCTCTGCGTCATCGTCTTCTTCCCCCTCATCTTCGGCTTCTGCTTCGTTATCCTCATCATCGTGGCCAATCTTGTCGGTAGACTTTGAAGCTACTTTCTCGGGGAATTCAACCACGTCATTACTATCTTTGGCCTCATCTTCCGCTTTCGTATCCTCTTCTCTGGTTTCTTCCTTGTTTTCTGCACCAACACCGCCAAGACTAGATTCAATTGGCGTGTCCGTCTTTATCTTCTTATATCCAACTGATTCATACTCATCGTTAGCTCTTGTGGCTGTCCTTTTGCGCGTTATTGCATCTTCTGACTCTTCCATGTCCTCCAACTTGTTGTTAATGGAGGAACTTTGAAGGCCATCTTTTGCATTCTTAACTGTACCTTTGGCCTCGGCAAACTCTTCATCTGAGTCACCGTCAATCTCTTCCAATCTTGCCAACTCTGTCAACTCTGACAACGTTTGTAAATCGGTTGGCTTCACTAGGTTTTCTCCATCCCTTTCATCCAAAAAGTCCATCTTATCAGTCTCTGCTTCTGATTCGTCATCGCCCAAGTCACTCAATTCAGAGCTTTCATAACTATCCTTTCGCTGGCGAGAAATTTCACCTAGTTGAAAGTCATTATTAGTTCTCAGTGTTGGTCGATCCTGTGATGCATCTAAAATCTTCTCGTTGACTTCCTGCATTGCATTTTGCTGATCCGCCCCATGGTTGTCGCCACCTTGGGCGTCGGGGTTTTCATTCTTATTGCTTAAAAACTCTGAATTTAGATCCAATTCTGAATCTGGTAAAGCCAAGTCAAATGGTGGAGGAGAAGTGGCAACATCCGAGAGTGGTGATTCTTTGCTGATAGTCAAGCGAGTGTTTTCGTCAATGACATCGTCCACCTGGTCTCCATTTTCTGCAACATCTTTCTTTGATAGTACCAGATCTGTTGTTTTCTGTAATGTATCTTCGTTAACAGACATTGACTGTTGTGTTTCTAGTTGCTCCATTGAGTTTCGAAAAAGTGTGTGTTTGTATGTGGATGGTAAATGAAAATGTATGTAGGCTCCTCTGTTGTGTGTAAATCTATACGTAATAAGTTTCTCTTGTTGTCGCCTTGATGAATGGTTCTAGTACGTCTTAATCGCTTGCTTTTACTTCGAGTTCAAGTGCTGTACGTCAACGTATTGAAAGAAAGTCTTTTACTGGATTATCTGAAAAAGTCTAAGTTATGAGTTGTGGTGTTTGTGATTCGCACCAATTTGACTGATTTACTTAGTAATAATACAAACCAGGATGTTTGAAGTGATTATGTTGTTGAAGATGATAGTGATGGAGATTAGTTTGTGAGTATATTGTTGCTGTTTGAAAGGGTTTTAAAAAAATTGTAGAAACTTTTGAAGATTGAAATTCAAATTCAAATCTTTTGTGTGTAGTAGTAGTAGAAGAAATGTCAACAATATTAAAGTTTATATGCAGGTATATCAGAAAATACAAAACCTATGTACACTGTTTATATAGTTTGTATTTAGTAAAAGACAGTATTCAACTATGTAAACTATTTATTTAGATTTCAATTAGTTTGAAAAGCTCTTCTTCTTTCCAATGGAAGATCCTACCATCCTTCTTATTTTGTTTGTTTTTGAGGGGCTCATTGAAGAGCCGCACCATCGCACCAAAAACGAAAAGAATTTCCCCTTTTGGAAGTTTTTGTTGAAGCTTTTTTTTTCTCTCTCTTCTTTTACATTAAACATCTCATCTCATTTAACAATTCATTATATCTGCTCCGATACTCATTTGTTTCAATACTCAAACACACAATTTCAAAGATATGTCTGGGTTTTCTTCACTATTTGGTAAGTCTTCTGATAAGTATGATCTGTCTATAAATGAGTTGTTCAATAATTCTGCCGACGGCCCTATTTCAAAAGATCAACTCATTGATAAAAAGAGAACTGTGGTTAATATTCCCCATTCCAAGGAAAGAAAACAAACCGAAACAAATGGTGATGCAAGAGAAAGTGATGATAAGGAAGAGGAGGACGGAAGCAAAGAAGGGGATGACAATGAAGAAGAGGAAATTGAAGAGGAAAGATCAATCAAGAAAATCAAAAGGAAGGACGAAAATGACAATTTAGAAGCCAAGTATTTTGAAAAAGTGATGCATTCGGAAGAGAAAGAGGATTCTACCAAAGATGAGGGATCTAAAGACGAAGAAAGCTCAGGTGATGAGAATTCGCCGGTCGAGAAAGAATCGAAAAAGACTAAAGCAGCTAAAACAATCGATTTTAAAGAGGAGGAGTTGGAAAAAGCAGAGAGGACGGTATTTGTGGGAAATGTTCCAAGTGATGTAATAACGTCAAAAGTGCTTGCCAAGAACTTCAAGAAGCTATTCAAACAATATGGAAAAATTGACTCTATTAGATTTAGATCCATTTCTTTTGACGAAAATTTACCTAGAAAAGTGTCGTTTGCCAAAAAGAATTTGCACAAATCGAGGGATTCGGTAAATGCATACGTTGTTTTTGTTGAAAAGCAGTCATCATTAGCAGCAAAACAATTGAATGCAACTGTATTTGAAAATCACCACCTTCGAGTTGACCATGTTGCTCACCCAGCACCCAAGGATAACAAGAGAACCATATTTGTTGGTAATTTAGATTTTGAAGAAAAGGAGGAGAGCCTATGGACCTATTTTAATGATAAATTGGACAATGACGTTGAATCAGTTAGGATTATACGTGATTCCAAGACTAATATGGGTAAAGGATTTGCATTGGTTCAATTTAATGACACATTAACAGTAAATAAAGCATTGATGTTAAATGATAAGCCAATGGCGGCCACCTCAGGTAATAAGAAAGCTCGTAAATTGAGAATATCAAGAGCCAAATCAAATGCCAAACCTTCGTTGATGTCACCTAATCATTTTGAAAATGTAAAGAAAGCCTATGCGTCAAATAAATCTCGTGACCAACAAAACTTGACTGACACCCAAAAGACAAAATTGGGAAGGGCACAAAGCGTATTAGGTAAAGCTGATAGATCAAGAGCTGGAAAAGCCAAGAGAGTTATAATCGAAGGTGAAAGGGCGACTAAGGGTCTGAAAATTGCCGGTATTAAGGGACTAAAGAGTGGGAAGGTAAAGAAACCAAGAATTAGAGATAGGTCGACCAAATTCAAAAATGAAAGAGAGGCTATGAAGAAGGAAGCGAAGAAGTAGAGTAGCAGTAGCATATATAGTGATCATAATCTCAGTATTAATACGCAAGTTATTTTCCAATGTATTCTAGTCACCGGTGGGAATAGTATGTTGGAGTTTCACAAGTAATGTGGAGTTGTTTAGAAAGTCGAGATTGGCGTCAAAGTTTGAGAATAATTTGCAGCAAAAATATACCAAAATATTTCTCTGATATGAATGTGGCACAGCTTGTCGTCTACAAAGCAGTCGAACGATAAAGCAAATACTTGTAACGTAAATACATACTTGCCTTAAGTAAGCTCAAATAGATACCATGCAAAAGACTACTGAAACTGCTAATGCTACTCTCTGTTATTAATTATGGCGTGTCTTCAAGTCAAAACGGTAGTGCGTTGGCAGGATTATTTGTGTGCCTTTCCTTCGCGTGGCACTAAAATGGACAAAACGATAAAAAATAAAATCAAAAAGGGAAAATTACAGCGAGTGCCGAAACCTCTCATCTTCGTTGGGAATAATTCAGATATGTAGTGATAACGTATACCCTTTGAATATGTGGGGATGTAGCTTTACCTCAAGAGTAAAGACAAACCCTATGTAAGCGGAAAAGTGTATCAAAACAAGGGAGGAAATGACACAAAAATGGCCATAAAACAATTCCGCGCTCAATCAAAGCGCCACACCAAACGGAGTTAAATCCTTATTTAGAATCACTGTCTTGTTGGCCATAGCTTTTGGTAAACTGTCGTGTGGGTTTACTATAGAGAACAGTACGTTTGGGAAGAGGAAGAGCTTGAAGCAACACTCATGGTGTATATTGAAGAGCTGTTGTACAATTTATGTTTCTTTGTCTTACTGGTTATATTCAAGTGTGAGAGGCACTAAATTTATTTTATTTTATTTCTATTTTATGACTGATAACCACCACATTACAAAATACAAATATATACACATGCACATATACAAATATATTTACACATATAAATAGACACCTTTTATTCCTTCCCACTTCCATAAAACTTTTATTCTAACTTTGTTTTTTTATCCAAATCTCCCTTTTACACATCTTTTACACTAACATTCTTCATCCCTCTTTTCAGAATCTACCATTGTCAACTCCATATGTCTTACTTGAAGATTCTGTTACTTGGAGATAAACCACAAAAAATGTCCACTACTAAAGATCAAATTGAGCCTAAAATTACCACCGAATCGTTTGACGAAGAGGTTGATAAATTTGCTGCTGTTTTCAAAGGTCTCGAAGACATCAATTTGGAAGCTGATAAAGGTGAAGTCAATCCAATATCTCAAACCACTTTGGAATCCTGGGAAAGTGATTTCCAAGCTCTGGCAAAGAACATTTTGACGCAAAATGCATTGGCCAATACAACAGTTGACAAGGTTATAGCCAGCTCTGACTCAAAAACAAGGTTGAAGGATAGGTATTTGTTTAATGTCACTGTTGACACTATTGGTTCACCATCATTTGCCAACAACCAGAAATCATCAGGAAGATGCTGGATTTTTGCTTCTTCAAATGTTTTCAGAGCTCATGTCATCAAAAACTACGACTTGAAAGATGATGAGTTTCAGCTTTCACAAAGCTACTTGTATTTCTATGACAAGTTGGAGAAAGCTAATTTCTTTTTGGAAAACATTGAAGATACCGTTGATGAGGAATTGGACTCAAGATTGATTCAATTCTTGTTACACGATCCGGTGGGTGATGGTGGTCAATGGGATATGATTGTCAATTTGGTCAACAAATACGGGTTAGTTCCTCATGAAGTGTTCCCAGACAACAGTCAATCGACCGGGTCTGCCAAATTAAACTACATTGTTACTGAAAAGCTTAGGGAGTTTGCTTTGAAAATTAGAGAATTAAAAGCGTCAAAAGCTTCCGATAATGTGCTTCGCCAATTTAAGTTGAGAGCGATGAAGACAATTTACAAGACATTGTCCTTGACTATTGGCTCACCACCAAAGCCAACTGATGAATTTGTATGGGAATTCTTGGACAAGGATGGAAAATACAAGCATTATAAGACAAATGCGTTGGATTTCTACAAGACCCACGTAAAGTACAATGCTCAAGAACATTTCTCCTTGATTCACGACCCAAGAAACGACTATGATAAATTGTACACTGTTGATAGATTGAACAATATCTACGGTGGTAAACCAATTGAGTATGTCAACACTGAAATCGATGAAATCAAGAATGTTGCTATCAAGATGTTGAAGGATAATGAACCAATTTTCTTTGGATGTGATGTTGGCAAATTCAGTGACAGAACAACTGGTGTTTTGGACAATACTGGTTACGATTATACCACTGCTTTTGATTTTGATTTGGAATTGTCCAAAGCTAATAGATTGAAGACTGGTAGTTCCTTGATGACCCATGCAATGGTTATAAGCGCTGTCCACATCGATCCATCCACTGATAAACCTGTGAGATGGAAGATTGAAAATTCTTGGGGGGACGAAACTGGTAAGAAAGGTTGGTATATGATGTCTGACGAATGGTTTAGTGAGTTTGTTTATCAAATTGTCACCACCAAGAAGTATGTCAGTAAGAAGACGTATGATATTTGGAAGAACAAGGAGTTCAACACCTTGCCATATTATGACCCAATGGGGTCTTTAGCTTAGATAGTACGTAGTTGATTAGATGTGAAGTAAAGAGAAACGTGTGAAATTTGAATGTAACCGCTACCGAATGTAGACCAATTTTATTTTTTTTTTTTTTCAAGCCTTCTGTTGTAGTGTCCACCAACGTTAGACCCTATGCGAACTGTTCGCTAGTATGAGCCATAGAACTAAGAATGACTCGAACTACCTGCTAGATGTAGATAGTCTATCCCAGGGTATGCAAGAGATCAAGGTACAATTTCACGACTCAACTTCACCAAACGATTTACATGATATAATTGATAAGATAGACAATACAATAACCACCATTGATTCCAAGTTAGAAAGCTTTGCCATATTAAACAAGAAAAAATTACAACAAGATGTAAGCAATATCGACTTGCTACGGGTCAGTAAATTGTCTACAACCATTAAAAATGCGTCGAGCTTGACCCAAGTACTAGCCACTGCTGATGAATTGGGACACAACTTGACTTACAAGATAAAATCGCTAGATCAAGAGATTGGCAACGTCAATGATACCTTAGACTATGTGGAGAACATTCAACTATTAAAGAGCAACATCAACCAAATTAACTACGCTATTGAGGATCACAATTGGGAGTTAGCGGCACAATGTATACACACGGTAAACAACAAGATACCGCGTGAGCTAGTTCACGGCGAATATGCTTCAGCCGTGATTCCATCAACCAATGTTCCCGAATTGCCTCAAGTCAGCATCGAAAACTGGGCTAAGCAACTTGTCGTGGTGTTTCAAAAACAATTTAATGATGCAGCAGCCAAAAGGGATGTTGAACACTTGACCAAGTACTTTCAATTGTTCCCCTTGATAGGCCAAGAAGAAGTTGGATTGAACTGCTATGCAAAGTTTATATGTGAGATTATTAGCGAATCGTCGAAGAACTTGACCCAAACAATCAATAGTATTACGTCAAGTGACTTGAAGCCAGGTATCTTTGACACAGTGGCAATGCAATTGTTTGAAAATGTGTCCATGATGCTCTCTCAGCATGGACCCTTGATTAAACGCTATTATGCATCTACTTATCCAGAAGCATTAATATACGTGGTTAATAAATTACAGCGTGAAGTTGATTTACAGATTGGGGTTATTGCTGATACGTTTTATGATGCTCGACGATTGGACAAAATGTTCCAGGATATTCACTTGTACAAATTTCCTGTGTTGTCGAAAAGACTTGTTGAGTTGCACGAGCATTCGCAAGACCAAGGACGTGTAAGCGAAGACCTTGAAGGTTTGGATGATCTTGTATCTATTTTATATGTGGGAGACTTAATCCAGGAATTGTCATTAATTCTACACAGCTGGGCTTTATACTGCAAGTTTATCACCATAAAATATTTCAACCGACCAGATTCATCAGAGTTGAGTATGCCAAATATTATCACGAAATCCAACTTTTCCAAAAAGATAAATGAAAAACTTTTGCCGGCATTTGAAACCTTGTACCAATTTTACTTTCGCCGATCTTTAGAAAAGTCAATCACAATCGAGGAGGTGCCCAGTATGGAGCTGTACTTGAAACCTGTACCACAGTCGAAGTCACCAGACCATCCACCTTGCTCATCGGTGATTGAAGATTTAACTTTGATTTTGAACAATACTTTACGAAATGTAATTCAATCTGGATTCCCAACATCAGTAAAAACTTTTGTAACAGAGAGTTTCCGCATTATTCAACAAGATTTGATCAATGGATACTTTATCAAAAATCTCAATGACAATCAACCAAAGTATAATCAATCTTTGTCGTTATTGAGTGGAGATTCAGGACTTGTCAGCCCGAGAGCTGCCTCAAGGAGTGGAACACCAGAGCCACATCACGGAGCGACAGCATCAACAACAGCTAGCTCTTCTGCCGCCAATGGTGGCTTTTTTAAAGGAGCATCAAGCGCTTTTGGCAGTGTTGTTAGCGGATCAGGTGCAATTGTTGGAAGCTTACAAACCACATCGTCAAATAGTCCCAAGTTAATGAACTTTGTCATATATTTGAATTCACTTGGTATTGCTCAGGAATATTTCACCAAGATTATAAACAATATCAAGTCACAATCATCTGGTGCCGGTTTCATCGATGCTAATTTTCCTTTTGGCAAAGATGCAGAAAAGATTAGAACCATCTTGAATCAAGACTTTTTGGATCCATTTATTTCCGTTAGTAACAAGATTCTAAATGAAAGCTTAATCAACTTGTACAATCAATCAATTAGACAGCGTTTAATTTCGATGGTCAATGAGCTAGTGACTGATATAAATGAAAGCAACTACATTTTATACTCTTCAAACCAAATTAATGATCCATCGATACTCATCAGGTTCAAGTCTAATTGGTCTTCACTAACTAGGCCGTACTTGCAAACTTTACATCAGTCAGTTTGGCATAAGCTATTACGTCTAATTGTCGTCAACTTGGTCAATTTAATCGAAAGGAAACTACACTCAACATTGAAAAAGTTTAGCATTAACGAATTCGGGTCGGTCAAACTAGAAAAAGATATGAGCTTTGTTATCAATGAAGTTTGTGAAGACAATTATCAATTGAGAGAAAAATTTGTCAAATTGACACAATTGGTGTTGCTTGTCGGTATGGATGACGATGAATACGAAGAAAGCAATCATCCTATGCTTGAGCATGTAAAAAGTGATGATGAAGCTGAAGAGGATGAAGAAGAGTTTTCAGGAATCAATTGGATTTTGACCCCTCAAGAAAGAGAACAAATACGTAGTTATAGGGTATAAAAGATTTTTAAAAAACCATTATTTTTATATTATATCTATTAATCTATACAGTTATTGCATTCCTCTCATTCAAGTTAGCGTCGGTTTGATCATGGACGCCATTGCTCCTCTCAACATCCTCATCTTTTTGCGTTATTCTCACAGGGTCTGGTTTTATTCTCAAATACAAGTTATGATGATCAAATTTCGAATGTGTATGCTCACACTCGGGACCTTTTGGACAAAATCCAGCCATATAATACGGACATATAGTTCTTCTCACGTGTCGATTCTTGCAATTTGGACCCTCAGCACAAAACCCAGCATTATAATTCATACATTCAGGAATCTTCAGTTGTGGGTCTATATGCTGATACAAGCACTCACTAGCTTGCGTACAGAAGCCATTTTTAGAATAGAATAGACATTCGGGCATTTTCCGTAAATTATATTCGTGCAAGAATTCACAATGATCGCCTTTTTTGCATAACCCACGTAACCAATGTTTACACACGACTTTGTTGGAATACATCTGTGGGACATGCTTGTTGGGACAATTGGATCCTAGTGGGCATGATGTTTGAGGGTTGTGGGGGTTATAAAGTGGGCATATTGGTCGATCTGGATTGAGGCCAAAGTTGTATTCGTTTCGTAGGAAAGTTTCAAATTTGAATCGGTGGTTCTGGTAATTCGGGTGGATGACAGAATTCAGGCTAAACATGATGATTGTGTATGGGTTCAGCAAAGATGGGGTTGCTTTATAATCTCTAAATAGTGTGTAGCTTTGATAGAGATGGATGAATGATTTTGATTATTAATTGCAATCTGCACGCAAATAAATATCAAAGTGAGGAGATTATATGCAGGAATATAGACTGATCATACATAGACGTGTTAGAGAGGGTATATTTACAAAGTCATTGTTTTACAGTATTAGACTAGTATCATTTCTTTCCTATTTGGCATTCTTCAACTTTTGTCCACACCCGTAATGTACAATAGTATCGTCATCGGACACGGTAAAGTAACTGTAACCCAAACGTTCATTACAAATTGTGCACTTTTGTTTACTGGAATTGATCTTATAGCCCTCATCTTGTAGATTTAGTACCTTATACTTCAAATTGGTGGAACCCACTTTGTATAATTGAGAGCACATTTTGGAATCGTGCGTTTTGTTGTCCACTTTTTGGATCTGATTCGTGAGGAATTGTGACAATTTCCCCAATGGGAATGAAGAAGGGAGAAGTTTAAAGACCTTGTGAATTGACATCTTGGATCCTTGTTGGGAAAGTAATATAGCGATATCATCGATGTTTTCTTTGCAATTCACGAGTAAATCTTCAAGCAACTTGTGAAACAAGTTTGTTCCCACGGTGGTCCCATTGGGCTTCTCATATATTTTGGAACAATACTTCATGGAAGCATTCAAATCATTTAGTTGATTGTACAACACATCAATGGCTTTTTCATGCTCTTCAAGCTTTTTGTAAACAAATACAGTTAATCTCAACATTTTATCCTCGGTTGTGGGTATATCTTTCAACACTGGCCATGGATCGTAAAAGCCACTCAGGGACAATATTTCAGAAAGTTTGCGGTAGTACTCATCCACCTTCACGTCGTTTTTAATCTCTTTCAAGTACAAGCAGCAAAGCTTTGTTTCGAAAGTACTAAATAGTTTCGTTCTTTTCAATTTTTCCTTTACATCACTCTCATACAACAACCATTCCAAATATCTGATCGCAGTAGTATAATCCTTTCTCTTGATAAAAAACTGGTATACTACTTCAGGGTCATAACTCTCACATTCATAAGAGTCATTCATAAATAGTTTCTCGCTATTCAGTGCATCAGCATCAATAACCCACTTTGCATATTCCAATATTAGCAGTAGATGTTCATTTGTTAATTTCAGCAAGTACTGGACCGTCAATTGAGGGCTTTTTATAAATTCATCATAAGTGTTGTCGTCTTCATTCGAATGATTAACTTGAGCGCCATCGTGGGCCAAATTGTACATCATATCCAATGCCTCCTTATGCAAGCCACGCCCATAATAAAAATCAAGTAGCTCCTTGATAAAGTTTGGCTGCTTGAGATTGCGTTGTTGTATATGGTTATGTACATTGCTCATCAAACATTGATGTACAATCTTGGAATCGCATTGGTTATTAGGCAAACGAAGCAAAGGGCCAAGAAGCATGGGTTTACAATAAAAGTAACAAAGGAACAATGAGGTGTCGATAATGATGGAAACCAGCTCCAATTGGTTTTCCATTGGAGGGTAAATATCAGTCGGTTCGAGCCCAATATTTCTCCACTGAATTGTCCGCTTGTCATGAAATTGCCACAATATCCGTCTTTGTTCAGTTAAATAAATAATCAAGTTATTAACCGCTTTGGCAAATCGTCGGATAGATTGTACTTTGGGCGACCTTTTAACTGGCCGCATTGACTTTCTAGTGGTTGCGTCTGTTTCGTATTCGGACTCCGATATTGGATTCAATTCCAAGTCTTGTGTTGTAACTTTTTTGATGGGGTTGACTGTCTTTAGTGCGGTTTCCTTGGCGATTTCCACCTCGTTACCGCCAAGTCGGATTTCAGCATTCAAAAAGTCTGGGAATAATGAAAGAATGTCACGAAATGAAAGTAGCCACTCCGAGCCAATTTCAACTAAAGATTCATGGTATTTTGAGTATGATTCAAACAAGTAGATTGCTTTTAGCTTATATAGCTCGCGAAGCTTCAACTCTTTTGATTTGATGGTGTTGAAAAAATCACCGCTTTCAGTTGGCAATAGAGTCACGAGCTGGATAGCCTTGTCCAACCCTGTGAGCCTCAAATCATTACTTGACTCTCTTGAGGTACCCAGTAGTTTGCCACCTATGCTCAAGTACTGAGTCAACTGCTGTTGATATGCAACGATATTAAATTGGAACATATTTGTTCCAGATGCCAAGATCAAAGTTGAGCCATTAAAGTCAGCCGCTATCAGATTGGAATTAATATGGTGCAGAAACTTTTGGATGACAGACCCTTTTAAATCTACTACTTCCATTCTTTTCGCATAGACAACTAGCAAATACATCGGGTCAATGTATAACACAGCCAATGGGACTGTTGTCAATTTAATAGGAGATGTGGAAATGGTGTTGGTATTCTTGTCAAGTTGTACAACAGTGGTGTCTTTTATGAGTGTTATTTGGCTTCCTCCTGTAGGCAAGGTCCAAACCAGGGGACCTGATGACGATAACCCAAAATATGTAAATGACGTCGCATTGGTGAATATTTCCAGAGACCCGCGTCCTGAGAACAGGGAAGTTTCAAAGGTGTCCTTGTCCAACAAAAAATAGTCGCTTTCAACTCCAATCAAAATTCGATTCTCATCGTAGTTGTTGATAGTTCGTATTCTATCCTTCAATGGAAGCTCCTTTACCTTGGTAAATTGCAAAACATTACGAGACTTGTTTGTTATTGATAAGAGCACCACTTTCTTTTTATACCCAATTGTCAATATACGGCTGCTGTTGTGTTCGACATACAACGGATTGGCAAATTTGGTTTCGTCAAGAGAGTAAATTAGATTAGTATGACTTCCCACAAGTTCGTAAATTTTTAATGATGATATGCTAGTTATTAGGATAACTGTTTTCTGTGAGTTTGGTTGCGAGTTTGCAATTGGAAGTAATTGAATGGTTATGATGCTGGAACTATCCACTGTGATATTCTTGAATGTGCCGGACAATGTGTATCCATGACTGTCTGCGAACAAGTTCCGAGTATCAGTGTAGGATTTTGTTGATCGGATAGATCTCGTCGCCAGGGATTGAAGTGTGGCTGCTGTGCTACTGATGGTGGGATATTCGAGGTCTTTGTCTGGTGTCGATTGTCCTGTAGTAGAACTAGTGAAAACAAGTAGATCACCATTGCTGCATCCGACGTAAATTTGGTTTTCAACTTGAAGAATCGATGTGACCTTACTATTACTATGACGTAGTTGGGATATTCGTATCCTAGTCGAAGGCTCAAGAATGTCTATATTCATTTCATGTTAGGGACTACTAATAAGGTCTTCTGGTAATTGCAAATGCGAGAGCCATTCAAAAAAACAAATTTGTCGTTTACATTTTTGAATCTATAAATGGTAGCACACTATTATATCCTACATTATAAAATTAATCACACTTGAGCAATACTTGACAGCTTCATCCATTCTACCATTGAGTCCTTCATTTACTTGGGAGTATTCATCCAATGCGATGTGCAAGTCAGCAACATCTTCACTTTGATGGATAATATCACCGTGAACTTTCAAAAGTAATGAAAAGATTGTCTCAATAAGTTCAAAATTTGTATTCCTTTCCAAACCAACAGTCAATGCTTGTATAAAATTAGTAATCTCTTTGTAAGGTGGTTGTGAGTTCAAAGATCTGATTTCAAGGTCCAACGTTGAAGGTGGCAATTTAACAAGGTAGTCCAAGAAAGAAGTAAACTCATTTCTTTCACTAGCAAATCTCAACAATTTTGTAAATTCACTTTCAAAAGAGTGACCATTTGCTTCCTTCAATGATAACAACCTGCTGTCATCCTCTGTGGGCTGTGTCGCCTCTCTGTGTTGTGCACCTTCTGCAACTGATGCTCTGTCCCCTACTGCTTCACCACTTAAACTTAAGAAAAATGGCGCCTTCTCTGGCTTCTTTACTGCCTCTCTCGGTTTGTTATTTTGCTTGATTGTGTCTAGATGAAGTAATGTGTTGAATTTTGTTCTTGGTCCTACGGACAAAGTTACCAAACTATCATCGATTTGTTCCTTAGATTCATATTTCCCTAATACGTATTCTTCTCCGTCATTTTCCTCATCCAAGGCCCCATCAAGAATAGTGGATCCGCCATCGCCCGCTACATTTGGTAGTAAAATCGTAGAAAATTCATCGTCTTCAATATGCCTTGTTGAAACAGGCTTAAACTGAGCACGGTTTGTCCACAATGATATTCCATTACCAGAAACATGAGTTGTAGCGATTAAATCACCAATTGGCGAAAATTTAACTGAAGTAGCAACCACCGGCAACACAACACCATCAATACAACCGCCAGTAGGAAGATCCCACGTTCTCATAGTCGAATCCAAGCCAACGGACACAATCCATCTCCCGTCTGGGGAAAAGTCCAAACCAGAAATTCGATTTGAGTGTCCAACGAGAACCCTGACAACTTTTTGCGTCGTAACATCAATCACCACAATTGACAAGTCATCCAATGCACATGCTATCAAGTCAGACAGCTTGTGATACACCATGGTGGTAATGGGGGCTTCCAATTGCAACTTGTTCAAGTATTTTGACTTACCAAAATCATAAAACCCAACAATTCCGTCTAATCCACAGCTCACCATCTTTCTATTCATACCATCTATTGCGAGCCCGGTCACGGCTTGCTTATGCAAGATATACTTTTTCCTCAATAAACCAGATTGCAAATTATAAACACCAATACCTCCTAATGAAGACCCAACAAGTCCAAAGTTACCACACTGAGAAATGCAAACCGACTTACAGAACCCTTGGTCTACAGTGTTTAAAACGTTTCTTCCAACTCTTTTTGTCGATGAGTCCCAAGTTCTGGCAAAAGCCTCATCCTTATGTGCAGTGATTATGTTTTCCCAGTCTCCAGTTCTGGCCTCTGATGACGAAATAGCAATGATTTCGGGGAATTTCTCTTTCAATGAAGCGACTACACCTGCTTGTCTTTTCCCATCCTTTGACTTGTGCATTCTCTGAGAGAACTCTTGGGCTTGTGCATCTTTTCGTAACGAAAAGCTCCAAAAGGACCGGTCTCTTGAGGCACTTAATAGAAAATGAGTCTTGTCTTCTTCGGGGAATGTAATTGCTACTGGTGGAGCCGAATGGCCTCCTCTTGATCTTAAATGACGCGGTGGGGTTATTATAGATGAGTTTGTTGAAGTGAGACTTGGATCGAACACAAACTCCTTCAAGTGGTTGTCACCACCATTTGTTAAAACAATAGGTTGCCCATTTAAAAATTGAGCCTTTGCAACACCTCCAAATGACTCCTTATGTGCGTTTCTCAATATATGGACACGACTGTTTTTACCTAAATCGTGAAAATACAAGTCCCCATTATTCAAACTGGCAACGAAATGCGGTTGACCATCGGTTCTGAACGAAACTGATGTAACCTTAGCAGAGGTCTCCGATCCTGATGTGGTGATTTTGTCCCCCAAAATCAACCCCTTTCTCAAATTGTAGATAACCACATTACCGGTAGCAGTACCAACTGCTACAATGTCAAGTGCTGGAGCACATTCAATACAAGAAATGCTCTCCTCGCCGAATTGATGCTGTGGTGATTTGAACAAAACTTTTCCCAGGCGAACATTCACAATGACAATTGAGGTGGTAGTTGCTACCGCAACCTTGTTCAAATATGTTGGTGGATGAACAATCCCAACTATGTCCCCATCAACACTGGTATTGATTGCTTTGACGACGGAGTATAACTCAGCTGAAAATTTAGACCCTTGTGATTTTTTAAATATAAACAAGTCTCCGTCGGAACTCCCTGCTACAAGGTACTCTCCGAAATAGCATAAATTGCCGATGACACCTGTCGTTTCACAACTCAATGTCTTTTCTAATCTTCCTCGTCTATAAATCCCAATTTCGTTGCCGTAAGCAGCAAAAACATATTGGTGATGAGTAGCAAAACATGTAATCTTGGACTTTGTTTGAGTATGGGATACAAACAACAAGTGCAAAGTTGCCAAATCATAAATTTGAAACGTTCTTCCTGCAGATGTAACGGCATAAAATGTTGATCCCAAAGTACCTATGGCAAACGGAGTTGAGTCAGTTACATTTCCCAAAACCCTGAATGGACTGAAGATTTTGGAAGGTCTTGGCGCCCTCTTCACAGGAGCAGATACTTCTACCTTTCTCTTCTTGTCAAATAATTCAACCATTACTTGGACGTGATCTATTGCAGAGAAGACTCTTTGTTTCGAATGCGATGAGTTTTTCATTACTGCAAAAAAAATAAAACAAAAAAAAACTGTATGAGCCATTATTGAAGTGCAATTCCCCCCCCCATCCAAACATAAAACAATGGTTGTTCAGGAAAAGAGACCAGTTGAAGAAGAGCCAACCAATGATGATCAAAAGAGACAAAACACAGCCCCATATGTCAAAGGTATTGCTGCTATAAAACCAGAGTTTATAGTAGCCAAATCGTCGCAATCTGCAGATGCAGTAGAATACGACGATGATGAAGCCGAGGGAGGAGACCGCACATCTGAAGATGCAAGAGATGGACAGCTGCATAGGAAAGGCAAGAAGAAAAGAGGACAAAACCATGGTCGTGACTTGAAACAGAAGAAGGACACCATAAAACTATGTCCATCCATCATAGATCCTGACGATGCCAAACCGTGTTTTCTGGGTGAAGACAAGTGCAAATATTCGCATGATTTACAAGCTTATCTCACATCAAAGCCAGAAGATATTGATGGTGTCTGTCCTGTTTTTGAGGCTTTGGGGTACTGTCCTGCAGGTATGAAATGTAGATGGTTGAAATCTCACTACGATAAGGAAACAAACAAGTTGATCAAAGACTTGGCCAAGATTGACCTAGCAAGCAAGACAAACTACGAAGTTAACGTCATTGATAAAGAGGCCAAATTTGCCTTGCAAAAGAAAAAATATGAATTCAAAATAGCCAATCCCGTGATAAACTTTTTAGATTCGAAAGTACAAAATGAAACAAGAGAGGAACGTAAAGATAACGCGGCCAACTATGTGGAACAACCTTTCAAAATTTCTGAAAAGAAGCGGATAAATTTGAACCGGGCAAAGATTGTGTCACCATTAACCACGGTCGGTAACTTGCCATATCGTCGTCTCATGAAAACTTTGGGTGCTGATGTAACATATTCAGAAATGGCATTATCTATACCCTTGGTGCAAGGTCACAACCCTGAGTGGGCTTTACCTAAAGCTCATGTAAGTGAGTATCCGGGATTTGGTGTTCAAATCGCCAGTTCCAAGTTATGGTCAGCATCAAAAGCGAGTGAAGCCATTTACGAAAACACAAGCCATGTTAGTGAATTGAACTTGAATTGTGGTTGCCCTATTGACTTGTTGTACAGACAGGGCCAGGGATCAGCGTTGTTGGATCAACCACCTAGATTGCTTAGGCTCGTTAAAGCAATGAATGCGTCATCGGGTGACATTCCTGTAACCATTAAGATCAGAACAGGGGTGAAGGAGAACAAAAATACTGCTAAACAGTTGGTAGACAGAGTTTTATCTGAGACACAAGTTGCTGCAATTACTCTTCATGGTAGGTCGAGGCAACAGAGATATTCAAAGGAAGCTGACTGGGAATACGTTCTGGAGGTTGGTAAAGTTGTCAAAGATTGGAATGCCAAGAGAGAGGAGGACAAAGATACAGCAGACTTGGCACCAACTTGGTTTGTAGGTAATGGTGATGTATACTCGCATGAAGATTGGTACAACCATGTCAACACTGAAGGTATCGATTCTGTTATGGTTGCCAGAGGTGCATTGATCAAACCTTGGATTTTTGAGGAGGTTGAAGCACAGCAATACTTGGATAAATCTTCTTCTGAAAGGTTGGACATGTTGGGCAAATTTGCTAAATTTGCTATCGAGCATTGGGGATCCGATGAGTATGGTGTTAACATTGCAAGAAGATTTATGTGTGAATTCATAAGTTTTACCCATAGGTATATCCCTGTGGGCATTATGGAACGATTACCACCAAAATTGAACGAAAGACCACCTACATGGGTTGGTAGAGACGAAATGGAAACCTTTTTGGCTTCGACAGATTATAGAGATTGGATTAAGCTTACTGAGATGTTCTTGGGTAAAGCTAGCGATGATTTTCAATTTGTACCTAAACACAAAAGTAACGCGTATGAAACCAAGGGTTGATGTAACTGGACTAAAATAAATATACAGCGAGCAATTTATAGGTACCACATTAAAGCAAGTTTCTTTATCTTCTCTCTTTCAATTCCGATTCACCTTCGTAATCCTTACCTAAAGTGCTAGCTTGGCTCTTTAAAGTTTCCAAAGTTCTCTCTTTTTCAGCCAATTGGGCCTTCAACTTGGCCAACTCCTCGCTATCTTCAGCAGTGGCGGATCCAGCTTCAGCATTGTTTTCCTTCAATGCATCAACTTTATCCTTTGTGGCAATCAATTCCACAACCAAATTGTAAGTTCTAGTCAAAATCAAGGTCAAAAACAAAGTGAACCCACAAAGATACATATTTCTTTGAGCATAAAATCTCCTAGCTTGAATTTCAGACCTGTCATTCATTATTGATGTGCCTGGATGAGCTTGAGTTGCTGAAGTCAATTCAGAAGTGACTGCATAAACACGGTTAACCGAATCAACAAACAAGACAAACACAAATCCCAACACACACTTTAAAGCAATTTGGAATTGCTCGCTTCTAAACGGCGCTGAAACTGTTGCTAAAACAGTTCTTCTAACTTGCCTTGGATATGGCAAGGAAAGAATGGCAAAGAATACCATTTCAATGACAAGTAAGCCGAACACTAAGTTGTAGTATAACGCCATTCTATTTTTTTAACTGTAATATTTGTAATAATATAAAATCAATTGACTAAGGAAGGTAAACACAATTGAGTGGTGTATTGCAAGTGGTTATTAAAAAGCTGGAAAATTTTTGGAATCAATTTATATATAAAAATATGCATTTCCTGTTCAAAAAAGGTGTATGACGTATATATATTGTGCGGCTCTTACTGGATTAGGTAAAGCATCTTGTTTGCTAAAGTTGCTTTTACATAAACAAATATGAAATTCCTTTTATTTTGTGGCACAGCAGAGAGATCTAAGAAACAGACTTTACATTTAACGCGCTTGGCATTACACTCTTTGCTCATGATTTCGTGTCTATTCGTAAAGACTCTATAAAATCATCCGTCTCATCACATACCCATTGACACTTTTAGCGTAAATGTAATTAAAAATGGCAATGTGAACCACAATATCAAATACTGAGTAATCAAACAAATAGCCAAACAGTCCATTTGTAAATGTTCATCACTGGTTGGGTCAGTGTAGAATGCCGTAAAGTACACCAATGACGTGGCATTGGGCAATCCAAACTCCAATACACTAACAAATCGAACCAACTTATCGTCGCCGTACCAACCACCATTGTTGAACCCAGTGGTCACTCCAACTCCAAAAATAGGAAGAATCACTAACCGAGTGAAAGTTATCAACACTGCCGTTTTCCAGAACCCAGGTGGCATTCTTTTCACTTGCAAACGGGCTAAGGTGGCACCTAGTAAAAGTAATCCTAGTGGAACCGAGGCATTTCCGACATAGCTTACCAAGTCGATAATGAACGATAAGGGCGGTTGCTTGTCAGGCGCATTCGGAATATGCTTGCTGAATGTGCTTGTTACAAACAATGCTTTCAATGGTGGTGCCATGCAAATGGCAATGGAAGTAAGTAGAGATACCGAAGTAGGTGCCCGCAAGTTTTGTAGCATTTTCTTAACAAATGACTTAAATTTGGACTCCTCTGCTTCAGGGGTATCGGGTTCCGGCTCGGCTTCCTCTTCTTGTTTCGAGTGTGATTTCTGCAACTCGTGGTATTTCAACGATTCAAATTCCGAGTACTCATGGATCACATCTTCAACATTCTGCGACTGTTGCCGCCTCAAGTCATTTGTTCTGGGTGGTACCAAATCCAAAGGGCCGCTTGTTGCGGAGCTGTCTGACCCTCGTCTTCTCCTCGACGTTCTTCGACTCAAAGTTGCCGACCCTGATACTGACAGCCCTTCCTGCCTTTTAGATTGTGCTCGTAAAAATTCATTATGTTGACGGTCCTCGTCCATTATGCTTCTTCTTCTTCTCATCCTCCTGCGTTCCTCTTCACTCAGCTCACTTGAAATTGAATCCGACGACGAATCAAGCGCTTCTTCATCTGCAGTACTATCACGTGTGTGTGCAGCCGCTCTGATGGTCTCTCTTTCATCATTGCTTGCTCTTCGTGTTGATTTCTCTTCCAGGTCATCTCTTTCGTGAAACAGTTTATTGGATTCATTTGTTTCACCACTAGCGCTTCTTTCCAAGTCTTGCCCTTTTAGTTCATCCCTGAAATCCCACTGTATTAGCCTAAACAATCCAAAGGAAAATTGAAGTAAGGTCATACCCATAAGGAAGATACAAACATATGCCACACCCTTATTTCCCTCGGCAGAAGTGAATATTGTTCCTCCTTTGGCAAATGTTTGTAAATATGCAATGGGTAAATCACTGATGTTTGGAAAAATGCCCACTGATATTAGTCCCCCTAGCCATCTTTTCGGGGATTTTGTAATTAAATGTATTCCGTATGCCAGAAATCCACCAAATGTAAATAATAGGCATGAGGTGAATATGATTATACCTACGTTTTTAATGTCAGATGATTTCAAGTAACTTACCATATTATTGAAGATCAAGCACGGCATAATTGCCGTGACTATGGTATCTGATATGTCTCTGCATGTAGTCACTGTCAAGATATTTCGTTTGGCAAGGATAAACCCTATTGCAATGATGAAATAGATTTTGAAAATAGGCTTGACCGCAGAATATATTACCAAGCCCAACAGTAGACTCTCTGAATCAGACATGTTTCTTTCTAGAATGGATAGCTTTAGCCTTGTATAACGTGACTTGAATATATCATATGATGATGATAATAGTGACTGAGTTGACAGTGGTTTTGGTCTAAAGTAATATTCCTGGTAACTGCCCTTGGCTTTCTTTATATCTATATCGTGCTGTTGAGTAATACAACAACTTTTGTTGTGGGAAAAGACTAGAGTTTATTATATTTAAGAAGTCAAAACGCAAATTTCCCAAGACTAGTAAAGAAAAGAAAAGAAATTTTCGCAGACTATTGAGAAAATAGAAGTCAGAATAGCCGTGTGGGGGGGAAGGGGGGGTCAATCATTTTTCAGCAGTGAATACGGAAGTCAAAAACTTTCCGTTTTCATATTCACAAGCTCAGTATCAGTAGCCATTGATCAACTAAGATGTAAGAAAGCAATTTGAGTTGAAAGGTTAGTTCAACCAACAACCAACGGGAAAGTAAAGGCAATATGTATTGGGGGAGTCACTACCAGAAGTTTCAAAATAAGTAATGGTGCATATCAATGAAAATACTCCGAAGATTCGCCCATAAAAATAGATTCCTTAGTGGTGCTTGTTGTTAGATCATTAGACCTCTCTGGTTGTATAAACGGTATTGCCTAACATCAGAAGTGGAATTGATTTGCTTTTTCACAATTAGTGTGATAAGCCTCACCTTACCCTCGGTTATTAAAGGCATTTTTGTGGTATCACGAGGTCACACACATACAGTTGTGCTCACAGATGCAAAACCTTTGGAAAGATGTATTTCCCCCAACGTGTTGGCCTGGTCTACATACAACTTTGTTTTACACAAAAACATCATCTGTTATACCTATTGAACTATAAAACCCACAACCTAAACCGAAACTGAAAAAAACACCGTAGAAAGAAAAGAAGAAATTGGAATTTTAACGAGTCACAACCCAGTTGTCACCCAATCAGGCTACTGCACACCGCTCACAAGAATCAATCCTAGAATAACTGCTGTGTGGAAGAGGCTGCTGTTATTTCAACTCGAGCTACGCTAGCAGCCTTGACATGTTTCATTGTAACGACCTCTTCAATTTGGCAAATTTGAATGCTTTCAAGTTCTTGAAGTAGCTCTTCAAACTTCTCATCGTCTTCGTGATAGTTATTGCTATTGTTATCTGCTTGATCGCTTTGGATAATCTCCTTAGGCTCTGGGGCAAAACTTCCCGGATTCGAAAAGACAGACTCAGTATCTGATTTTGATGATAAGCATGCTTCAATTTCATTACCTTTGACATCATCGTCTTCCATTTCAAATGAGCTAGTTGATTCTGCAAATGACAGCGGCGAATCTGGAACACAGCCAGTTTTTCCATAATTATAAGGAGCTGGGTTCTTGGCATTGGCCACAAGTGTGGTTGCCTTGCTCTTGGTATCGGCAACCGTCTTCATTAACCTTTGAGATGGCAACTTCCATCTGTCGATTAGTCTAGCTGGAGATCTCCTGGGAACAACTGGGTCATCCTCTGGTGGAGATATTCGCGTGCTTTGCATAGTAGCCATATTAGCTTCAAATGCTAAGGACGAGGTGAATAATAAGTAGTCTTGAAATTCAATCTCTGACATCAAACTTTGATACCACCTTTACTCTGTGAAGTGAAAAGTGGTAAAATGAATAAGAAAACTTGAAAACTGGGATCAGCAGACTGCTTATATTAAAAACCTTAACAAGCTTTTCTTTTGGTATTTGCTGCTGCTAGTTTAATCTCTCCCCCTTCTGCTATTTGATGCACGGTTATAATATGCTTTTGCGACAAAGTTTTTGACGTGTCCAGTAACGTGCCTGATGACTGTGAAAGATAGTGAAAGTAAGCTGTTTCGTCAGGGGGAAGTAAATGTAATGTAAGATCTAAGCTAATTGAAGTATTACTTGAAGTGGTAAATAAAAAAAGAAGAAGAATTTGAGAATTTATGTATGTTATTGATGGATTCGCAGTTATCTTTCTGGATGTTATTCCTAAAACAGAAATTGATCTTTAAACTTAAATAAAAGGGAAGAAGAGAAAATAAAATAAAATAAAAAAATAAGCCAACTAAATGTACGTCCAAATTAACTTGCAACTAAAAACATTGCATATTGCTAATAGCTACTTCACATTGCTGCGGTCTAAATCATGTCATACAATATTATTTTGAACTGTAATTGGTGTATGTATGACTATGTAATTTTTTAAAGTTGGCTGGTTGAAAATGACACAAATAGAAGGAATGGTAAAATAAAATAATATAAAATTTCTTTTTTTCTTCTTCTTCAAAGAATTAAAGTTATCACAAGGCAAGCTAAGGTTGGTCCAGTATGATGACGTTAAACTGAACCACTGCTTTGCTGGTTGTACTTCCTAAGTCAAAAATGCAAAAAGTTAACCATTGGCAAGAATATCTCAATTGTTTAACTTGGGTAAGGAGTTAGGAACGACTTTTTTGTTCTCTTTTCTAGGGACTTTCCTAAATAGGAAATGTAATTATACTTTAGCTATTGTCTCATGCATAAAGTATTAAATTGCTGACAGACAGACTCCACAAATATTCAGTTGAAACAAACGTCATAGATTACGGACAGTTGTTAAAGACTTGTTCACTGTAGATCTAAAGACAGAATTGGATTATTGAAGCTTATCCCCAACAGGGCAATTCTAACTGTGACATCATCACGACTGCTGAACTCTTTTCCATTTGGCTTCGCCTTGTTTACTCTGTTTCCCTTGTGAGTTCGCAAGGAAGCTATCCTTTCCCGCTCCGTAGATATATACCAAAAAGTCCGTCTCATTACAGTTACATACTTTACACACACTCTCTCTTGACTTCCTCTAATTTTTTGTTTTCTTTGTTGGTGGTCTATCGTCGCCCTCTGCATCCTCGTCTCCACTGGATGCTGCGGCATCACTGTCAAACTCTTCTGCAACATCCGAATCAGAACCAGATTGGAAGTCATCATCTTCATCCTCATCGTCATCTCCAGCGCTGCCCATATCTACATCACCATCGTCGTCGGCATCCATGTCTGCTTCTTGCTCCAAGGCTTTAGCCAATCTCTGTTTAGCAATCTTTTCCTCATTCTTTACCCTGACTCCTTTTCCAACGCAGAACTTCTCGATATTTTCCTGTTCCTCTCTATCGATACTGCCAAAGATATGCTTAACGGTGGATCCAATAATGTTAACCTCCAAATCAAATGTTCTTGATGCAGAGACTCCACCTCCCGTCCTAGACAATACCACATTACTGATCTCACTGTAAGGGATGTAAAGGGTAGGCTTTGTCACAAACAAAAAGCATCTCTCCAATGGATATAAATAACCTTCAGAAGCTTTGACTGAACACGAAATGCCTGGTTGTAAAAATCTCGATTGGAATGCACCCGGTATGACTAGCTTCTTCTCCGTCAAACCACGAAGACAATGGGCCATAACAATGTGTGTAGGCGCATCATACGTCTTTTTCAACTTATTTTTATACTTTTCTTCAAATTCCTCGTCGGTTAAATTCAATTCCAACTCAGTCTCCTCATCCTTTACAAATTGCAAGACCAAGAACGGATATCTAGTTTGACCTTGCCTCAATGGTGGATCAATCTGTATAATAATCAAGTGGTGAACTTCATCTGGCTTTGGTAGTGAAAAGATACGTTCAATTTGCTCATACTGGATTTTGTAGTCATAAGTCTTACCCCTCAATCTCAAAGAGTTAGAATACATATCAATATCGTAACGGCCTCTTGGAGTAAGAAACAATGCATCACCAAATGAGACAATGGCTTCTCCGGCAATTTGGCCAATATCCGCCTTCTCTCTCAACTGCTCATAGAAAGTTTGTGCTGCACTTTGTTCGCTCTCCATATTAGTCGAAACAACTTGTTCTTCTTCGCCATCCTCATTCTTGACTGTCTTGGTCTCTTCCTCAAAGGTTGTTCCTGGTACATAGAACCTCATTTCAACTACTTCATCGCCCATTTTCTTGTTGCTGTTATCAAGATTAAGCTCGATTGCTACTTCATTTTTACCGGTCAAGTTTGAATTCGAAATTGAATCGTAAGGAATTTCGAATGAAGGCTTATTATTGACATTGAAAATCAATTCATTTCTAGCCAAATCGGTGGTACCCCAGTTCCACCCCCTCAAGGAATGTTCCTTGTGTTCCAAGTTGACATGAAAGTTTCGGGTCAATTCTTGCTTCAACTGGGCAAAGTCATCTGGGTGGAACCCATCCAACAGAACTACACCTTTATTTTTAGTCTGAATTCTCAACTCGTATCCTTTGGAGCCGCGTGACCATGCAGTTACTAAAATCTCTTCACGAGGTAACAAGAATGTTTGTTGCTCTGACGTCGTTGATCCATTTGTTGCACTAGCACTTGCTTTCCAACCTAATCCGGAGTCTGCAATACGCATGCGCCCAGATCCTTTTGATTGGTTAAAGAATATTCTTTCAAAGTCGGTATTCACCATTGTGTATTATCGTGTGGGAAAGTGGTTGTCAACGTGTGTGTTGTTTGAATTGGCTTTCAATGATTTCGCAATTTTTCATTTCTCGAAACGCGTCTGTAAATGTGTACACGACTTTTTATACAAGCTACAAAGGTTGTCAAATAGTATACTTAAGTCAGCTAAATGTGTATTTCTATTTCATTGGTGAGTACAGTGGGGCTTCATAGTCATCTCTTTTCTCTGTACTAGGGCAATAGTCCAAGCTTTTTTCACTTTGAACCAGGAAAACACTGCAAAGACTATTGAACTAAATGGATGATTGTCAAGAAACGAAGTTTCGACTTTCAACTTTCCAATTCCTCTGTAAAAGTATCTTAGAGAGTTAAAACTTTTGGGTGGTTTCATTCAAACATCTTCATAAACTTTAAAAACTTGCCCACCTTCTTCTTGTTTTGATGCGAAATGTTTTGGAAAGTTTAAAGTAAAACTTCAATGCACATTAATTACACCATTTTCTACAAAGAGCTTGGCCAAAGGTTACTTTACAAATGACAAATTTAACAAGTAAGTCATAAGTGTTGCTAGTCTACAATTTAATATCACAGATACTCACTTTCACACGGCTACCGATCGGTCATCTGTCTCACGATTTGGTGTCTTTAAATTACACAAAGCCAAAAAATGAATCATCAAAAGTGGGATTACATAATCGAACAAAAACAAAAAAGAAACAAAAAAAAAGAAAAGCACAAGAGGTGACTAACTGAAAAATCTTAACAACGATTGACAACTTCTTTATTCAAACACATACTAAAAAAGTTCACTATGGCTAAGAAAGCAGGAGTTTTAGGAGCCACAGGTTCTGTGGGCCAGAGATTTATTTTATTGTTATCACAACACCCAGATTTTGAAATTCATGCATTGGGAGCTTCGTCAAGATCTGCAGGTAAGGCATATAAGGATGCCGTTAGCTGGAAACAAACCGACATATTACCCGAATCAGCTCAAAACATTGTTGTCCAATCTTGTGAGCCGGAAGGTAGATTCAAAGAGTGTGACATCGTGTTTTCTGGGTTAGATTCAGACGTTGCAGGTGAAGTGGAAAAGAGCTTTGTCGAAGCAGGATTGGCTGTCGTTTCAAATGCAAAGAACTACAGAAGAGAGAAAGATGTTCCATTAGTTGTTCCAATTGTAAATCCTGAACATTTGGACATTATAGAGAACAAAGTCAAGAAATCCCATGCCGAGGGTAAGAAGACCGGCTACCTCATCTGTATTTCCAACTGTTCCACAGCTGGTTTAGTTGCTCCATTGAAACCATTGGTGGAAAAGTTTGGTCCAATTGATGCATTAACAGCCACTACGTTACAAGCTATCTCTGGAGCTGGGTTCTCGCCTGGTGTATCAGGAATGGACATTTTGGACAACATTGTCCCATACATCAGTGGAGAAGAGGACAAATTGGAATGGGAAACGAAAAAGATCCTTGGTTTGCTCAATAAAGAAGGTACCGAAGTGGTCAACATCCCAGACGAGGATATGAAAGTTAGCGCTCAATGTAACCGTGTGCCAGTCATTGATGGACACACTGAATGTATATCGTTTAGATTTGCCAACAGGCCTGCGCCATCTGTTGAGGATGTCAAGAAGGCATTGAGAGAGTACCAATGTGATGCAGCAAAACTCGGCTGTCACTCAGCCCCAAAGCAAACCATACATGTTTTGGAACAAGAAGACAGGCCACAACCAAGATTGGACAGGGAGAGGGACAATGGATACGGTGTTTCCGTGGGTAGAGTTAGAGAAGACTCTTTGTTGGACTTTAAGATGGTTGTTTTGTCGCATAATACTGTCATTGGAGCCGCTGGTTCTGGTATCTTGATCGCCGAGATTTTAAATGCCAGAGGATTAATTTAGAAAAGTATGAACAATCATTAATGCAATTTGAAAGTAAACCCCTTGTAGAGTTTTTTTATATTTATGCTATGCGTGGGATGCTGTTCCAGTTTCCAGCAAACGTCATGAGTAGTTTAACTCTTCGTCTTAGCCTTATACATTGCCACCATCTATTGATGCTACCACTGTCTCAATAATAAACGCTTTTGCTTTTGTCATTTGCAGACGCACGCCGCATCGCGAGCATAAATTCTCACAGTTCTTTCTTACTAGCCGCTTGTCATGGCTGATGCTGCTATTGTCCTACAGTTAGCAACGCTCAATCGTGACAACTTAGATGAGCATGTATTCTTGTTGTACTCCGAAAACGCTCCTTTGAACAATTTGGGATTTGTCGATAAGGCATCTGACCACGTCACCATTTCACTCCCCGAGAGTAATATCGATCTTACAGTGAGGCAATCCATTTCACAATTGTCGTCAAAGCAAACAACGAGTACTACAGGGTACATATGTTGGAACACTTCTATTCATGTAGCAGACTGGCTACTATCTCCATTGTGTCCATTCAAGCTATCAAAGTCCCATGTTGTTTTAGAGTTGGGGTCAGGCGTTGGCGGCGTCTGTGCATCGGCCTTACTGAAACTTGCTGGTCACTATATTGCAACTGATCAAAGACACATTTTAAAACTATTAAGGGAGAACATCATGGCCAATGTTGCAAACTACAAAAGTACCACCTTGCCTAGATCGTCACCAAATCTGAATATCACCCTTGACGTGATAGAATTTGATTGGGAGGATGTCGACAATGGATACTTTAATGTTTCAAAGCTTGAAACTCAACCGATAGATGTAATAATTGCATGCGATACTATTTATAACGAGTACTTGGTGGGACCTTTCATTAATACGCTTAAAACCCTTTTACATTCAGACGCATATGCTTTAATTGCGATTCAGTTGAGAGATGCAGTGACAATTGAACAATTTGTTATAGATTTGGTACATGCAGATGGACTATGTACATCCGTAGTTCCTTCGAATTTGTTGAATGAAGGACTCAAATCGGGATACCAAGTTTACTACGTGACAAAAATACAATAGATGATTCTAAATCGAACAAAACAAGAAGAATCTTCTCAACTGTAGTCCTTTTTAGTCTGATTCTTATCACTTTTCTGCTTTATCTATCTCTCTCACAGTGTGTAGGTAAATGAACAGTAACCTGGTAGCTTTTCTCCAAAACATCACCAAATCTGCAACTGAGAAAAAAAGAGGAGCTCGTCTCTTAAGGCCCGTCTGACATCTACTATTCTTTCATAAATACGGCATTTTACGAAGCACATGAACTATCATTTATCCATAATTGCATTATAATCTTGTATATAAAATTGTTAAAGACATGTCCTTCACGTTTGAAAGCGGGACACCAATAAATAATGCCAAAAACAATTTCACTGCATTCAATAACAAGGAAACCAATCCACCATTGGCTAATGGAACTGCATTCAATGGCATGTCAGCATTTGGACACGGTGGTAATCAACAGAATACACCAAGCAAATCAAATTATGGTTTGGAAAAGCTTCGACCCAAAAGAAAACCAAATGAAACTTCAAACGATCGCTCAGGTAATATGTATATTCATTCTGGCTACGGGTCAAAAGACACAATCCTGATACTGAATAATGGTAATGGATCCTCATTGCAGAGAATTGACAACCAATCATCTCAATCTCAAACTTATTCGCAAGAAGAAGTCTCTTCAACTGGCCCACTATTTTCAAACCCTCGGGCATTTGGATTCCAACAATTGAAAAAGAGCATAAAACCTCGACCGACCCCCAAATACTTCTTAACACAGCCAAAGTATCTCGACACTCCACCGTTTGTGCAAAATGAATGGGACAAGCAAAACCAAATCAAGATGGAACAGATGGAGTCAGCAAACCAAGGTAAAGACTATCAAGGGCTATACGAAGACCTACAGAAACTCAGGGAAGTTGAAAGAAAAGAAATGGAGACTTTAGGACTTGTTGATGCTGAAAATACAGCAAAGAATTTGAATGAAGCAATAGCATTTCAAGGGTCGTGTTTGGATATGTGCCCTGTATTCGAGAGAGTACGAAGACAGTTAGAAAATAATGTCAACACATTGGAAAGAGATCCCCTGACTAATAAAATTACAAAGGCTAAAGCGGTCAAAGCGTTTTCAAGACCCGCAGCTGGTCAACCACCACCGTTGCCATCAGAAGTAAGGCCACCTCATGTTTTGAAAATCACCTTGAATTATTTAGTGGACCATGTGGTCAACAAATTGCCCGAGTCGCATTCATTTTTGTGGGACAGGACGAGGTCGATTAGACAAGACTTTACGTATCAAAACAGTTTTGGTCCAGAAGCAGTTGACTGTAATGAAAGGATTGTTAGGATCCACCTTTTGTCCCTCCATATAATGGCTGGCAGTGACGTTGAATTCTCGCAACAACAAGAACTAGAGCAATTCAACAAGGCTCTACAAACATTGATGGAAATATATCAGGACGTGCGTAATAATGGTGGCAGCTCACCCAATGAAGCAGAATTTCGCGCTTACCACTTGCTTAGTCATATTCGAGATCCCGAATTGGAGAGACAGATACAAAATTTACCCGACCATATTTACCAAGATGGCAGGGTTCAATTAGCATTGAACTTGCGAAAAATCATATCGCAGAATAATATAGTTGAACGTGGTGTAAAGAACTTGATTGGTGCATTGGACTTATATGTCGAGTTTTTCCGGATTGTATATAGCGATGCAACGCCATTGTTGATGGCATGCTTACTTGAAACACATTTCAGTGAAATTAGATTCTATGCATTGAAGGCAATGTCGAGGACTTTTCATACACGTGGGAAACCATATCAAATGGATACCCTTAGAAACCTACTAGGGTTTGATCTGAGTGAAAAGTTGATAAAATTTTTGAAATACTATGAAATAGATATTGTCATTGAGAATGGAGAGACATTGGTTGATTTGTTTAATAAGGAGAAACTTGAAAAGCAGTACAAGCTTAACTCATTTTACGATAAACCAAAGTACCCCCCAATACATTCATCGCAATTGAATCGCAAACTCAAGGGAAATGACTTAAAGAGTATCATAAATAGTGGTACTCCCAATGTCAGCTTCTACTTAAAGTCTAACAATGACGTTATTACTCCAACAAGGAAATTAACATCGAATCCAGTTGCAACTAGCTTTCAGCCAAGCCCCACCACATTTGCTGCTATAACTCCTGTTGGTGATTCATTTAAGCCATCTGAGCCAAAGTTTTCACCACCGCAATCGCAGAGCAGAACAATTTCACATTCCAAAACGGCCAACTTTCTGCAAGCAAAGCCTACTGCAATCACACTGGGCTCTAACATAACCTCAACAGGTCCTGCATTCCAATTTGGGCCTTCCAGTAATACAAACAAAGCAGCAAAAACGACAAAGCCTGAACCTACCATTGCAAACAATGATATTACTACAAAGCCGAAAATAGATTTTTCATTCAGCAAACCATTTGGAACACCACAACCGGCCCCACTTGTTCAAAATGCGGACACAAATAAATTGAAAGCTGAATCAAAACCGTTGTTCCTGGTGCAAGATGCCAAGCCATTGCCACAAAAGATATTTTCACAACCTTCTGCTCATGCAAAGGAGAGCCAAGTCACCGTAAAGAGCCCCGATAAGTTGATCAATCACCATTTGTTCGAAAAGGCTCTAAATGGGATTATACACGATGTGGTCACCAATTTGGTCGATTCTGAAACGAAATCAATTTTGACTAATATCCTTCATAGACACAATGTCAAAGTCCAACGCCTCAATATCATCAAGACTTTAGAGGACGAGTTGTTTTCTGCGTTTGTTGCCGAAGGCACTTATCAGAGTACATTAGAAGCTGCTGCTGAATATATGAACAATATTATTGTTCAGAAACATGCCATTCGTCAATTGACAAGGAGGGCGGCGAAAGGTGTACTTTCATACAGATCCAGACAGGCAAAAAGACGCGAGCTTCAATCTGTCTCCGTTGGAAGCTCTTTGAAACGAAAGTCGAGCAATGATCTATTGAGTTCCACTTCAGCGAGCAAGAAACCTAGATCTGACCCATCTATGACGGATTTTGTTAACAAGCAAAAAGAAATGAAACAATTGTGGGAGCCTTTAGACTTGAAAAATTTTGCAGACACATGTGCATCCAAGGTATCTCTTGACATAAAGGAAGAAAACGTAAAGCTCAAGTGGTTGCTAGTGGTGGAAAATTGGGAAAATGAGTATTCGAAATGGTTAATTGCAAAATTTGGGTTAAAGCCAAATATGGATATTATGGTTTATGAAAACCATATAGAGAGTGATAAAGTCGATTTGGACATCACGAGTTTGCCCAGAAAAGAGTATGTCACTAAGAACTTCCTTCGCGATTGCAGTTTTCTTTTATTTGAATGTGGCTTATGTATAGACTCGGGTGAAAGAATTAAGGATAAGTTGACTAAAGACGCCAAGGTGTTGAAGAAGATAATTTCCATGTGCGAGAGGTTCGCAAATTATAAACCCAGTGTTCTTGTTTTATTCTGGGATGCTACACAATCAGGAATATCAAGCGATGAAGCTGTGAAGTATTTGGGTTTACAAGATTATGCCACTACAAAGAGTTTGAAGAACCTCATTTTTTGTGACATGGCCAATGAACATGACAGTATTAGCCGTGTGCTCACCCTGTCTTTTAATAAAATTGGAAACGACTTCGACAGTGAGCTCAGTCCAAGAGGTGTGAAACAAGCGATTAAAGCAAGAGAGAAGCAAAGAATGAAACAAGAAGACGAACTTATCAAGAAAGCGCAAGAGGACCTTGCAAGAAACAACGACATCGTTGAAAAAGACAATAGTTTGATGGAAAATGCCAGGAAGCTTAGAAAGTATGACTACCTCAACCGCTCCATAAACTTCCATCACACTTCAAAATATGCAGATAACCCAACAAACACTAATGATATTGCCAACCGATCGTTGGCACAGATCATTGCTCGGCGTGGAAGCAGGCATAACTTGAGTCTGGTCAGTGGTAACTCAACATTTTTGAATACCTCGATGATGTCTAACAATTCCATACTAGGAGGGTTTGGCAGGGGTGTTGTTGAAGAAAGCACCCCAAATACATCTCCCAAGAGGAAACCAGCAATAATAGATGAAACTGAACTTGCAGCAGGCTCTGATGAAGATGATAAACTTCGCAAATTGAGAAGATTAACCGCGAGTGTTCGAAACAAGTACCACAAAACAGAAAAAGGGAATGCATAGAAGACTTGGTTATATTTTTAATAGAAAGATAGACACGTAACATTTGACTATCTCTTTACACCAAATACTATTCTCTGTAAGACGCCTAATAGAAGTGGAACTAAAGTAAAGAGTTTCCACGGATTAAAAGTCACTCTTTACAAAATTTAGTGAAAGGATTTCTTTTTTTGCCTCTTTCTCCCTCTCTATTACTGTTTTGCCTGCGTTGCCATTTTATTGCCGTTTTTCCATTTGTGAAATTTTATAATTTTGTCTCAATCAGACCAACGAAAAGAAAATCATCATCGTTGTTAACCGGAAGAGTAGCTGCCTTACTCATTTATATACAGACACAATCAACTAGATATTATTCCATTGGGTAAACCACTCCATCTATCTACACTAATTATCAGGATAAAACTGCCTCAAAAGGTACACTATTCAGTCTGGAAAATAAAATACCAAGCAAAGGAGAACAATGGATCTTTTAAAGGACGCTGCCAAAAACTTGAACCTTTACGAGGTCAAGGCGTACGTGCGTAAGGCACAAAATGGTATGTTATCATCACATTCTATACTGTCTGAGGTTTATCAATTACTAACATGATTTAGTTGCGATGAACTACACCGAGATTGAGTCCAAAGTTAGGGAGGCTACAAACAACGAGCCATGGGGTGCACCTTCGACCTTGATGGCACAAATTGCTTCAGCCACATACAACTATAGAGAGAGAGAAGAGGTTTTAGCCTTTATTTTTCGTAGATTTACCGACAAGGCTGCCAATGAATGGAGACAAATCTACAAATCATTACAATTGTTGGACTACTTGATCAAGAATGGAAGTGAAAGAATCATCGACGACGTTAGGTCAAATCTCTCATTAATACAAATGTTAAAATCATTTCACTACATTGACTCCAAAGGTAGGGATCAAGGTATCAATGTTAGAAATAAGTCAAAAAATTTGATCACCTTGTTGAATGACGATGCTCAAATTAGAAGCGAACGGAAAAAGGCCAGAGCAAATCAGAAGAAATTCGGTGGTGTTTCGTCAGCAGCATTTGGCGGTGCCTCCTCCATTGGAACTGGCTTGGGTGGATCCTCTTCCACTTTTACTGACGTTGATGATGATGAATTCAACAATAGAGTCTATGGTGATGGGGGTGTCTATGGTGAGAGATATGACGACCCTGCTTCAGCTTACAATAATGGAGCAACCGGAACCGGGGGAGACCAATTCGAAGAATATGATGTTCAACCTACTCCTAAGACGGCCGTATCGAAGGCAACTACCCGCGCTTCAAGAGTGAATGCTAGGGCTGCGGCCAAGGCAAAGCCACAACCACAAGAGCCTCAAGCTGATCTTTTGGGTGATTTGTTGGGATTGGATGATGCTCCAAAGCAAAATGCATTTAGCAGTTCAGGTGCCCATCCAGATGCAGAGGATGATGACGATGATTTCGATGATTTCCAAGCTGCGCCTTCTCAACCTCAAAAGCAAAACAACTTAACAAATAACTTGTCCAGTTTATATCAACCTCAACAGCAGCAACAGCAACAACAACATCTGTCACAATCTATTCCACAATTTCAGCAATTTCCATCGCAACAAAATGTGTTCAGTGGAGTCTCGTCATCAAACACAGGTTCTTCCTCTACTGGTCCCGCTAAAACCTCCAACAACGATGCTTTCTCCTCCTTGTTCCTGTCTGCTAAAACCAAGAGTAGTGGTAATAGAGCAAGTGGCTCTCAAGCAAAGGCAGCTACATCCTCTGCTACTTCGACACCTACTACAACTTCACAAAAAGATGATCTTTTCGGCGACTTTAGTTCAAACAATCAATCGAAGCCCACAGCAAATTCAAACACAAACAATAACAATAACAATGGAGGAGATGTAGATTTGTTAAGCTTTTAGAAAACTTAGAGAATTATATATGTATGTCTCTTCAATTCTTTTGTCTGGTTTAGCTTGTAAAGTTATCGGATATAAAAGTGCGTAGAAAGGAGAGAAAGAGAGATAAATTTCCTTCTGTCGGATTCTATGAAAGAAAAAATTGCGAGTGAGTCCCCATTTGTTTCTACATAGCAAAAGCTACTCGTTACGATCCACCCATTACGAATATGTTCAAATCAGCATTAACTAGAACCATTAACCCTACTGCTTCAAGGTTGTTTTCAACTACCCCAAGGGTCTTGGGAACTAAGGTATTCTTCCAAACTTCAATTGACGGAGAATTGCAACCACCAATTAAATTTGAATTATACGATGATGTTGTTCCTAAAACAGCAGAAAACTTTAAAGTTTTAGCTACTGGTGAAAAGGGAATTGGATACAAGGGATCAATATTCCACAGAATCATTCCCCAATTCATGTTGCAAGGTGGAGATTTCGAAACTGGAAAGGGGTATGGAGGTTACTCTCCAATTTGGGGTAAGAAATTTGAAGATGAAAACTTTGACAAGAAGCACAATAAACCTGGTTTATTGTCTATGGCCAATGCTGGACCAAACACAAATGGTTCTCAGTTCTTTATCACTACCGTACAAACTCCATGGTTGGATGGACACCATGTTGTCTTTGGAGAAGTGATTGACGGGTACGACGTTGTTAAGAAAATTGAGAGTTATGGAACCCAATCGGGAACCCCAACTGCCAAGGTTGTCATTGAAGATTCCGGAGTTGAAGAGGAATAAATAAATGCTTGTTTACAAAAAATACATTAGGTCTTTAGCGATGTAATCCTATAATATGAAACATTCTTTATACACCTTTTCAATATTTAAAAATAGGATCTTCTTCCACCTTGATCAAATCCTTTGGCAACTTCTTTTTCAATTGAGCTAATTTATCATAATCACCAGCCAAGATTCTTGATATAACCAAGTCATCTCTTTCTCTTATCTCCTTGTCAGACTTGTTTTCGTTGCTCAAGAACTCCTTGGCCTTGACAGTATCACCATGGAAGTATTCTTCCATAGCTCTCAACCTCAACTCCTTCTCTGCCCAATCTGGACCCTCAGCTTCTCTTGCCTTCATCTGGGATGTATATTTGACGTAGAGGACATAGGCAAACACCGGTAACACAATGTAGAAATATGGAATTTCCCATCCTTCAGCCTTTGGTGTTTCTCTTATAACCTTCCATTTCAAACTTCCCGTTTGTTCGTCCTTATATGGGATTTTGTCAATGATTTTACCAGCATCCTTGGTGACAAATTGGAAGTGGTTCAAATCCTGCGAGTTATCTTCAAACAATTTTAATTGATCTCTGGAAACCCCTGGTAATATGTAGTTCCATTCAGAATGGTTTCTTTTATAATATAAATTTTGCAATTCTCCTATAGTCTTGAATTCTTCATCTGAAGGTACTCTAGGTGTTCCATCTGGGTTAGTGTAGATCCTCGTTACAGATGGCAAGGAGTCTAGCTTTTGACGGATGTTTTGTTCTAATTGGAAATTGAACTTTCCTGGCTTGTATTTCAAAAGCGTCGAAAGTGGAAATTTAAAAGTGAACTTCATGTTGGCTATAGGGTTAGTCCGCGTAGAGCAAGATCAAGTATCGTATCAACCGATGGGTAAGTGCAAGTACGGGAGGTTTGAGTTACTAGTAATGCACAGGGGTCTCAATGAGATTGATTGTTTTCAGTAAAATTTTATTGGTTAGTTTTCTACGCTCGTTTTTTCTGTTGACAGTGAAAAAAAAAAACTAAAAAAAGCTGAAATTAAAAGAGAATTATCATTGATGCTACAGAACGGGTTTATTTTCCAACAGACATGTTCAAAGTCTTATTTGGATGGATATATACTAGGTGATATATGCAGTTTCCATACTTCTACCTCTCATCCAGCAGAAAGTGTTCTTGTCAAACCAAATAGAGAGTACTGAATCTATAAAGTATGTCACGTGACTATTCGGATTCACTTGAGAATATTGTAGAAGACAGTACTTGCTTCATATTGTTGGAGGATTTAATTCATTCACACCATATGGCTTTGGTATGTGTGCTTTCCGTCCCAATTTGTCGATATATGCACCGCTTTTCCAATCGAAAGAGCTGCTTAAGGCTTCAATTGCAATAAGGTTCAGTAAATTAATCAGATCTAGTCTATTCCAATCTCATCTTGGCTTAGATGAACCAAACCCTGTAAACCCCATGATTTCATTTATATCAGAATTCAAAGCGGCATGATTCACGTCTGTCTGTAATCTCTGTTTCTTTCGCTTGCTCTGCAATTTACGCTTATCTAACCGTCTCCTCTTCTTCTCATCCTCAAACTTCTTCCTCATTTCAACCCGCTGGGTAAAAGATGGACCTTCTCCCTGTTGCAAGCTTTTCTCCTTCATCCGTTTTGCAACTAAATTTTCCATGACACTCACAACTTCCTCAAGGGTTGCTCGTCGAATACCACCATCTAAAAGCTCTGTCTGTAGCAATTGATCTCCTGATTTATTCAGTTGGAATACTTTACTAACATGCTGTGGCGAGTTAAAATGATCTATCAATGCCAAATTGTCTCGAAATGACAAGTTACAGACAGGACATACAAACCCGAACCTCTTGTTTGTTCCAAATGTGGTGGTAGTAGCTTTATCCGGATTTATGAGGTTGAATGTTTGGACTGCATTTAGCGACTCTTCAAGTAGTGTATTTCTTTGCTTGATGTGTGTTTTAGAGTCATCGACATTTTTGTCAATAACGTATTGTGATGACAGGGTGACATGGTCAACCTTTCTCTTTTTATCGCGAGCTTCCTGTGCATATACATCAACATTCCACTTTTGGCGTCCGTACTGGTCTATTGACTTCTTATCCTGGTCCGACATGGCAGTTTATAGTGGGTGTCACTATAAGAAAGCATACTATCGCTACATTAGTTATTTATTTTTGCGTTCTGGCGCGTTTTCCATAACTTCAAAGAACAAAGGAGTTATGGCACAGTATGATATTACATCAATGATCAGTAAGCCCCCAAAAAAGGACGTTCACTCGGTAGATAAGCTTCCAAGTACAGCAGCTGGTCAAAAGTCGATAGTAGAAAAAGTCGATATGAGCTTAAAAAATGTCAAGTTCAAACAAGGTTGGGAAACGATAGGGACACATTTAATCCGAAATATTTCAACAGTACCAGCTCTTCCTGCTGAGAAAGTGAAAGTAGCAGCATTTGACCTTGATGGTACATTGATTGACACTAAATCTGGCGCCAAGTTTTCAAGAGGACCGGGCGATTGGAAATGGTGGGGGAAATCGCCAACAATGACCCCGCAAACCGTCGCAAAATATTTCAATCTCGGACATCTTATAGTCATTTTTACCAACCAAGGAGCTGTTGTTGCTAATAAGGATAGCAAATCCTATTCCAATTTGAGAGCAAAGTTGAACCTCATTTACAATGAGTTGGCAAAGTATAAAGTCGAATCAATTTACGTTTATGCTTCACCGAAAAAGCCACTGAAAGGCTCCACTTCAACTGAAGAACAACATAAATTGACTAGGAAGCCAGCCATTGGAATATGGCAGGATTTGGAAAGCGTCCTAGCCGAGAAAGGAAAAGTGATAGATTACGAAAATAGTTTCTACGTGGGAGATGCTGCTGGTAGAAAGCAGGACTTTCTGGATAGTGACTTCAAATTTGCCGAGAATGCAAAGATAAGTTTTAAAACCCCTGAAGAGTTTTTTTGACAGCCAGGATGTTTAGTGATACGCCATCAATGACACACGATGGGCATGTGGTTAAATTAATTCTCGGCATGTATTAATATTTACATTTAGGTCGATAGAATGACGATATAAAGCTTTGAATCTTTTGCATACGGACGAACAGAAGAAACAGAGGTCAACTGCACTCTCTCCTGCTGTTCTCTGTCGAAGGTGGTTTTTCAATTCGTAATTGTGAAACCTGTATTGATGCATCAAACCGTGCGTGCCTTTTAAATAGAAAAATTGTAATAGATTAGATATTTCAATAGTCTTCTAACATGATCTCCTCAAACTTTTTATCCATTTGGTCAAACTTGGAAACCAATGATTTTGACTTGCCCACTGAATCGAAGTATCCTTCAACATTTTTGATGCTTCTCACTTCGTTGTCATTTTTCTGCTTGGGCAACTCGTTCAAGACGTCGTAGTGTAAAATCAAACACTTGCTAATATCAGACACATCATTTTCAAATTTAATAGCTTCACTTGTAGTCTGAGGATAATTTTTGATAAGATAATTGGTGTCAAAAGTACCTTCCCTGGTATTCATCAAAAACTGAATGTGGTTTTTCAAGATAGCTGTGATCAACCCTGGCGGATAAGGTTTGTGAGCAGCATCTAAATCATTAATCAATGCAGAGTATCGCTTAGTTTCGTCAGCCTTTTCTTCGGCAACCAACTTTGAAGGATCAAGGACGACAATTTTCCTTGATGGATCGGCCTTCTTCAAACTGGATCTAATGTTTTCCAATTCTTCATCGGAATAGATGTAGGGAATGACATAGAATTTGTACTTTGAATTCAAATCGGAGGTAATTAACTTGTGTCTTCTCTTTATTCCCGTGCTTTGTTCGTACTCTTGAAATTCACGTTCCGACATGTATTGCTTGGGTTTTTTCTTGTCCACCTGGCCTGAAACAAACCAAATAGCGACCCACGATACCGCCACTAAGTACGCAATGTATCTAATTCTTGGTTCCTTTTTGGTTTTGGACAAGTCTTTGTGGACAATGACATAATTTCTGCAGCTAGCTTGTAATGGTATTCTCTTCACTGAGCCTAGGCTTAGGTTCAACCTAGGTGCGGCTATTGTCCTTCCCAATTGTCCTAGTCTAAACATGTTGATGTATAGATATCACGCAATTCAACTAAGCGTTTTGCTTTTTCTGATGTGACAGAAAAAACCAATATTTTTTTTTTTAATTTTTTTAATTTTTTTTCACAACGAAGACGAACAAGCTGTAACAACCACTGGCCATGCCCACTTCATTAGTTACTTTGTCCAGGTTCTGTGCCCATATAAAGAACTGCCATAATGTCACTCTAGCAAAGACGGCTGTTCCATACAATAGAACAAACTTGCAAGTAGCTATCCAATTATACAACCAAGGGTTCATATCAGGTATACAACGGGGATCAAATACCGGCCCAGACTTGGTACCTACAGATGTAACTCCTGACAATATAAATACAAGAAGGATATGGTTGGATTTAAAGTATAGAAAGAATCTACCAGTGATATCAAAGATCGAGATGGTGTCCAAGCCCAGCAAGAAAGTTGAACTAAGTGCCGAAGATGTAAAGACTTTGGCATCAGGAATGAAGGTTAGAAGAATTGATCAGTTGCAACCCGCAGAGTGCTTGTTTATAGAGCACGAGAATGAACTATATGAAATCAACGATGCTGCAAAGAAGGGATTAGGTGGTAAAGCCTTATTCAGAATCAGATAGGGAGAAAGGTCTTTTAGAGAAAACTTGTAAATACACGTCAAACATTTACGTCATTAAAATGGGTTTGTAGTCTGCTTTAAAATGCTGCTTTGGTTGAGTTGGGGCTGCTCCAGCTTCTCATATCAACTTGCCAGCCTTTCCAAATCATCAACTTCTCTCTAAAATCTTCAATCGAACTAAATTTGCTCAAATTCTGTTGCGAAGCCGATGCATAGTCGTTAGTTGTGAATAGTGGTTTTGCCGGTTGGTAAGTTGATCCGCTGTAAACAGACGTAGACGAAGTTGGAGCTTGCGTTGAAGATGGCGCTATTGTTGCTTGCTTTTTCAACTGCTCATTTTCCGCCTTTAAGTCGGTAATTGTATCTTCAAGATCCATCCTCGAGAGCTTGAGATCTTTGACTTCTTTGCGTAAGGCATTGATCGTCGTCTTTTGATCCTCGATTGTCTTTTGCAACTCATCGATCACCAGTGAGTCTGATTTGATTGAATCCAAATCATGCGATGATTTAGAATCCTGAGCTTTCGGTGCACTTGTTTCTTTGTCGTCAACTTTGTCTTGCGTGGTAGTCGCATCTTTGTTCGCCTCCAAAGATGTACTTTCCTTCTCCTCATTTAGTGCCTTTGATGTAGTCTGAATACCTTCCTCTATTCTTTCTTCCACAACAAGCTCATCCTCTGACTTTCCACTTTTATGATCTTTGGTAAGTGTATCACTTTTCTCCTCTTGGTCCTTCTGTTCCTCAACTGTTTTGTCGTTACTTTCTTTGTCACCTGCCTCACCCGAGTCAAGTAATTTTGGCTCATTATTGACATCTGCTTGTGGTGTGCTCTCCTTGCTCTCGCTGACATCGCCATTGTCTTTGTTTTCATCACCTGCCTTTGTCTTCTTCTTCTTGTCTTTCTTCTTTTTCTTTTTCATATCTTCAAATTTCTTACGAGCAGCCTCCAACCTTTGCTCCTTGCTCAATTCTGGTTGTTCTGCATTGTCAGATGGCTTTGATTCTGTGTCAGACATGATAAAAAGTATAATAGATAATTCTGTGTTGGAGCTTGTTTGAGTGAGATTATTTTTGAACACGCTTTGTTTTTTCTTTTTGTTATCGGCTCCAAATAGTGGCCAGCTGCACGACGGCCTCAGCTGAAAGAATCCTCTACTATATGTATTATCAAGCCCAAAAATAAGAATCCCCAAGAGCTAACAATACCAGAAGAATATATCTCACCTGTCTGTTATCAGATGTGTTTCCCTTCATTGTTCTTTATGGATGTTTGAGAGATAAAAGTTCGTCACGTCTGATTTTGATTAAGATAAATTGGTCCTAGAACTTTAACGGCGCTGAGATTTGTTTCTCTTAGAGTCAAGCTAGTAGCCTTTTTGCGCTTCTACTCTTGAAAAGCGTTTTGTAAACCACAGTTTCAGCGAGGCAGAGTGTCAAGAAAAGCTATAAATCATCTGACAATACTTACACTACCCCCTTGAATGCTAATAACCAGTCTCGCCCCAAATTATTCAGTCAGTTTCGGTAAGCTGTTGTACTTAACATTGGTTACTTGTCATCCCAGTATTCAATACGTAACAGTCTCTACTGTGACTCAATCGACTGCGGCTTAAACAAATCCCCCTCTAAGAGAAAAAAAAAAAAAAAAACAAAGGATCCACCGGCGGGATTCATCATCCGACGCATCAGGAAGCGCAAAATAGTCAAAGCCTAAAAAATTTAAAAACTAATTATTACTCATTCCCTATAACACCTCTAAAATATATAAACGATGAGTTAGCTCAACAGATACTGCTTTTCCAACTTCATAGGGACGTTCATTTTTCTACTAATTCAATGAGTCCAGTCTCTTCATTATCAATCACTGTTCCACAACAAGTGATCCACTCATCATCGCGTTTTGCATCAAACGGCAACAGATATTTTGACCCCCACGGAATTGAGCTACAAGACATTGAACAGACAGATGGAGATGTTAACAAAGCTTCGGGGTTGCAATATGACCCTTACCGCGAGCAAACCCATGAATTAGATACGTCTATGCGCCGACGCCGGCCAAGTGTTTCAACACAACACACAAACAGCTCTGTTGCTTTAATGTACGGAAGTGAAGCAAACCCCCATGAATTCCCAGAGGGTGGAAAGGAAGCAAACTTGGTGCTTCTTGGTTCGTTTCTCGGGTTGGTTGCTGATTTTGGTGTCCCAAATGCATTGGGTGCCATTGAGTCATACGTTTCTTCAAATCAGTTGAAGGATGTATCAAAGGCTGATATAGGTTGGGTGTTTTCCTTGCATTTGGGTGTCATGTACCTTGGCGGCGTATTTTTTGGAGAATTGTTCGATACCTTTGGTGCTAAGAAGCCATTAATAGGTGGTACTGTTCTCATGTGTGCAGGTTTATTCTGCACTGCAGAGTGCAAGACATTGTATCAGTTTGTTTTAAGCTTTTCGATTTTGACAGCAATCGGAACCAGTGTCGCCATGTCCCCCTTGATCGGGGCTTTGAGTCATTGGTATTTGAAGAAAAGGGCAATGGCATGTTCAATAGCTACAATTGGTGGTTTAGTAGGAGGTTCATGCTTTGCGATCATGTTACAGCAGCTATATGATAAAATAGGATACAAGAATGCAATCAGAGTGTTGAGCTGCATTTGCTTCTTTTGTATGAGCTGTGCCATAGTATTGGTAAGGGAGAGAAAAGTGAGAACTGGAGAAGTTGGTGGACAAAGCGGTGCACCAACCCGAACTGGCAGTGTCTCTATTAACGAGATGGAGCTGATTGAAGAAGAAGAAGAGGAAGAGATTGCAATAGTTCATGAAGAGGGCATTGACCATACCGCTTGGTCCAAAGTATTGGGGTTTCTTAAAGGTGCCTTGGATTTTTCTGTTTTAAAGGACATGAAATTTGTGTCCTTGACATGGGGTGTGTTTCTAGCCGAGGTGGTCTCTATGACCACATTGACGTACTTGGGATCGTATGCGTTGGAGTACGATGTTAGTGAGACACTGTCGTATTTACTATTGACGATCATCAATGTATGCGGTATTCCTTCCCGGTTGCTATCAGGAATATTTGCCGACAAGTATGGCAGATTCAACATGATGATGGTTTCATCAACATTTACTACCATATTCATCTTTGGTCTCTGGTATCCAGCAAAGAGTGCCACATTGTTATATGTGTTTGGCGTGATGTTTGGATTATCTTCATCAGCAGTGATATCTTTGATACCAGCGTGTACTGGCCAAATCTGTTCATCGGAACGATTTGGAAAAGTATATGGCACTTTGTACTTCTTTTTAGGAATCTTGACCATATTGGGTATGTATTTTGCTACATTGGTGATTGCAAGCGGTACCAAGAGCAACTACAGTAATTTCGTTTTGTTTGAAGGGGCTTTGAGTGCAACATCCATAATCGTGTGGATATGGGCCAAGTATAGCGCTGTTGGTTGGAAGTGGTGCAAGTTCTGAGAAATCTAGAGCCAATCTAGCAAAGGTTTTGCTGAAACTTTGGGTAATGTGTGATATGTTTTTTCGGGGGGTAACTTTATAGAAAAATAATCAATTTTCTACCTTGTGTATTTGAATTAAAGCCAACAAGTTGGAAGTATTCGCGATCGGTCCGAAATGTTAGTGAAACAGCGTTGAGAGAAATCTTGAGGCTGGATCTGGTTTTAACTTTGTTACTCATTTCATGGCATATTGAATTAAATTGACCTGCAGGTTAATTAATCTACAATGTAAACTATATGGTAAATAGAAATCAACACAGCTCATTAGATTACCTAGACTGTAGAAGTGTATTCTTCAAGCTTTGTCACAACTTGTCGTAACAACACGATTTTCAAAGGTCCGTTACCTTCGCCTTTTGTTCTTTTTTTTTGTGAACAAAATACGAACACTTATTTGAAAAGGCGCTTCAACGTAATAGTAAGGCGAGATTGATCATGGCATGATCTGTAGACCCATTTTTAGGCATAAACTGGACCTTTGCTTTACTTTTAACTATACTTTCATTGGTTGAGGAAAGTAGACTGCAAATCAAAGAAAAAGAAATAAAGAAACAAACAAAGAAACACAATATACACCTTGATGGTTATTGGCAATTTTAAAATTGTTATTTTTGTAACACGCGGCGACAAATTTAATTTGAAAAAAAAAAACCTTTTTTAAAGAAAAAACTGTTGAGAGTGTTGAGGCATCAATATGACACTCTAGTAGGAACCTCTCTAACCCAATTAAGCTTAGCAACATTAGAAGGGTTTTGCTAACAGAGACAAGAAATATTATGGGATGATAGTCGAAGTTTCGTTAAAAAAAAATAGTAAAATAAAAATTTGACGTATTTTGCTTGAGCGGTACAGATTAAGCAGATTTAGATAACCATCAAGGTATTTTATTTTCTTAGTTTCAAAAATGACACAAACGCAAAATTAATTTCTTTTTGTTTTATTCACTTCTTGAAGAAAATACCTTCTGCAAAAATTTAAAAATAAAAAACCTACATGAGAAAACTATTTACAGAATAACCTGGGCATAGACGAAACCACAGAGGTCACGATATTTGGGTATAGTAGTTATCACAGAGTATAGCTACAAACAATTGACTCTTAGATTCGGCACGGCATCTAATTTTAACACAATAACCACAACCTCATTTACGACCTAAAGGGCCTATTCTTTTTCAAATTTTTCACAAATCTTCAACAATAAACCCGTTCAATATAAAAGGACACTGCCATTCCCGGTTAGCTATCATTTATCCTAGTTTTTGTTCCCTATAGTAGAAGAGTCTTTTGTGATCCCCAAGAAACAATATACATCGACCTCGTTTATCGATACAAGCTTTTGGCATAATTTTACTACACATAATAATATCGACACATAGAACACATAGCTGCGTTGCAAACTTTACAAGATCAACATGAGTCAACAGAGTAGTATAGAGTCACTTTTCGAATACTTGAACAAGCGAGATGAATGTGAGAATACTAACGATTACGATGGTGAGCAATTCGGTGCTCGTATCTCAGCCATTTTCGTAATTATGGCTACATCAGCATTTGGAGCATTCTTTCCAATTCTCTCGTCAAGATATTCGTTCATTAGGTTGCCATGGTGGTGTTTTTTTGGTGCTAAATATTTCGGAAGTGGTGTGATTGTTGCAACTGCATTTATTCATTTGTTGGAACCAGCTTCCGACGCTTTAGGAGACGAATGTTTAACTGGGGTGATATCTGAATATCCATGGGCATTTGGCATTTGTCTTATGACTCTATTTGTGTTGTTTTTTTTTGAATTGGTGGCTTATCGTATAATCGATAAAAAGGTGAGTGCCATGAATGATGACATCGAAGAAGGTGGTGCGGGTGGCCACTCACATTCCCATTTTGGTGATGAATCGTTGTACGTAAAGCAGAAAGTTGACCCAAAAAAGGAAGAAATTGAGGACGATGCTGAGGTTTCAGAGTCTGGCCATGAAAATGACAAAGAGTTAGGGGCTAACCCATATCCAAACCATTTCCAACACGCCCACGAACACCAAGATCCTGGCGCTTTGGGAACTCCAGTCAATGACCAGAATAAGGAGCAATATTACGGACAATTGTTAAATGTTTTTGTGTTGGAATTTGGTATCGTTTTTCACTCGGTTTTTATCGGATTGTCGTTGGCCGTTGCCGGTGACGAATTCAAAACCCTTTACATTGTTTTGGTTTTCCACCAAATGTTTGAAGGTTTAGGTTTGGGTACCAGGATTGCAACCACCAACTGGGAGAAATACAGATTCACACCTTGGTTATTAGCACTTGGTTACACCGTTTGTACTCCAATCGCTATTGCCATTGGTCTTGGCGTGAGACACTCGTACCCACCAGGATCAAGAAGGTCTTTAATCACCAATGGTGTCTTTGACTCAATCTCTGCTGGTATCTTGGTTTACACTGGTCTTGTTGAGTTAATGGCCCACGAGTTTTTGTACAGTGGTGAATTTAAAGGCTCTGATGGTTTCAGAAAGATGTTGGTAGCATACTTTATTATGTGTTGGGGTGCTGGTTTGATGGCCTTGCTAGGCAAGTGGGCATAATTTATGGCAAACACTTTGAATTCTAAATAAACTTATTCTGCAAGTAACGGTATCCTTATAGATTTAATCAAAGCTTTTATTCATTTCTGGATAACAATGTAGTGTTGCTCGGTGTATGATAATGGCTCGTAGAGAACTACTCCGTTTCTATAAGATCTTGGAAAATACAATCATCTCCGGTCGGATATTGCGCTACCGTTCACTTGGGGAACAAAGAGACTTTCACAAAAAATAATTCCAAAATTAAAATCAGGTTTGCTTAGAGGAACGACCACATACTAGACGTACCCCTTGTAATATCAACGCTATGTCCTTAATGAAATTCACTATAAATAAGCTTTACTCGAAAGCAACCGTGCCATCTGTACAGCTTCTACGCTGCTACTCCGTTCCACCAAAGTTTACCGAGCAATACCGGGGCCCACCAAAACTTCCCAAACACGAGCAAGAAGAGTTTGAAAGATTACAAAATATTGCCCAGTCACAGATCGCTATTGATGATTATAACGATCGATTGCTAGCAGCACAGCGTGAAGCTGCTGCCGCTGCCAGCGGTGCTACAACTCAAGAGATTGAAGATGCAGTGAAACCGCCTGTGGTTAATGATAACTCGGATATTGGTACCTTTGCTTATTTGAAGACTATTCCCGAGTTTGAAGGGGATGTGAATCCAAAAACTGGTGAAATTGGTGGCCCCAAGCAAGATCCATTGAAACAAAGCGAGGAATGGACTTACAATGGCCGTACTATTGACTTTTAATCTGGCTACTTTGGTGGCAAATAGTGCATAGAGATAATACATATACTTTGAAGGAAATTTTAAGTGAACTTGTAGCATGGCCATCATATCTCTATCTTGATCTCATGGCATTAAGAATGACACTTTCTGAACACAAAAGTATTTTGTTTCTGAAAAATTGCACTGAACATCGATGAGACCAAAGATGGAGTTTGATCCGTTGGCCTTCTTCACACCTTCGTTAAAAGAGGACTCAGTATTTATACAAGATGACAGTTTGTCAGTCAAGGCTCACGTACAGATCGCCATCCATCAACTGGTCACAAGTGAGAGAGTAACGCTGTGGCATGATGATAGTTGTGATGAATGTGAAGAAGAGGAGGATGCGTTAATGCCACTTCATATCTTGGATTTGCCGATGCTACGTCTACAGCCTCCCTATCCTGTTCTCGTGACTATTTTAAAACTTTTGTCCCCGGATGAAGTACTCAATTTCGAGCCTAGTAACCGCCAACAAAATGCAAATCCTGATGAAGAGGCGATTTTTAGAGAGAAGGCAATTTCACTGATCCATTTGAAGAATGCATTGACATGGTTAAACAACAGTTGTCCTCGATTAAATGCATCTGCAAAATTAAGTCTTGTCCCACACTTATCGCTAGCTTTGCGAGCAAATTTCACAAATGAGTATAATGCTTACATGACTAGGATCGTTTCTAATGAGCTTTCATGGATGAGCGAGGCTGAAAAAGAGGAGGTCCAATCTTTGGCTAGCATGAGGATAAGCGAAAACTGCGGGCGTATGGCACAGCCACAACTTAAGAGGAAAATACATCTAGCCAATCTTGAAAAATATGGCAGAGAGTACATCTACTTGAATGAGCCGTCAATGACAAATGACAATCTCGGTTTGAAAACTTGGGGGAGCTCGCTAATTCTCGGGTCAAGGTTGCTACGTGTCAGCACTGGAAGCCCGTTTTTAAAAGAGCCTGTTCTTGAACTAGGCTCGGGAACTGGTCTTGTCGGCATGTGCTGTTGCTTAATGGGTATGGTTACTACACTCACTGATTTGCCACAAATAGTGCCCAATTTACAAACCAATCTCAAATTGAATAACTTGGAAAATTATTCTTGTGCTGAATTGGACTGGTCAGCACCTGGGAGCTCGCCCGTGTACGGAAAGTCCTTCTCCACTGTTGTGGTGAGTGATCCAGTATATTCAAGCCAACACCCGCACTGGGTTGTCAATATGATTAGCTTATTTTTAAATGATGACATTAACAATAATAGTGTCTTGATTGAGGTTCCGTTGAGGCCCAGCTTCGAAAATGAACGACAATTGTTGTGGAAATTAATGCTGGACCAATTTGTTGAAGTGGAATCTGAAATCGAAGATGGGTATGATGATTTTGGGGAGATGAAGTTTTGTTATAAACGGTTCATTAGGAAAATATAAGAGGCATTTGATATGTATGTTGTTATTTAGAATTATTAAGTCTCTATATCTATAAATAGTCTTTTAATTTTTTCAATTTCTCTACGGCTTCCTCCAACACTTCATCATCTTTACAAACGGCAAATCGAACGCAGTTCTCCAAACCATTACCTTGTCTTCTTCCTTCAGTTAAAAATTCGGTTGGTGGAATTCCTACAACACCAATCTCCTTGATCAACCAATAAGCTAACTTGAAATCCAATGTTCCTCTGCTGGATATCGCTTCTGGGAAATCATAATCCTCGGGTATCTTCAACTTGGACAAATTAACCAAGAGAAAGTACCCACCTTCTGATACAGTGTATGGCAATCCTAAATCATCAAACACCTTAGTAAACAACTCGTATTTCTTCACATAGTCACTTTTAACTTTACTAAAGTAGTTGAGTTTATCCACTTGTTCAAATGCTTGTGCTACTGCTTGTTGCAAAGGATGTGGTGTTGAGAAACAGATTCTTGTATGGGCAGCAGCAACATACTTGATCAATGGAGCTGGACCTTGAATATATCCCACTCTCCACCCTGTAGCTGCAAATGATTTACCAGCAGACCCAACTGTCAAAGTACGCTCTCTCAACTCAGGTAATGATTCCAAATTTGCTGGTCTTGGGAAATCCGGGGTAAAGTACAAATTTTCATAAACTTCATCACTAACCAAAATCAAGTTGTGCTTGATTACCAACTCGCCAATTCTATGTAATTCTTCCTTGGTGAAAACTTTACCAATTGGGTTATGGGGTGTATTGATAACAATTAATTTGGTTTTGTCATTGATACTTTTTTCCAATTGGTCCCAATCAATTTCCCAATCAGATGCCTTCACTGTTTCAGTATCTAACTTTTTAGGGTATTTTATCTCAACATATCTGACCTTGGCACCGGTCATTTCAATGTTAGGGATATATTGATCAAAAAATGGCTCAAACACAACTGCTTCGTCATCTGGAGTTAAGAAACCGAAAAACACAGCAAACATACCTTCATTGGCCCCAGTGGTTATTTGCACCTCTTCAATAGGCACATTGCGCCCGTAACTTTTGGAATAGTGGGAAGCTACCTGTTTCAATAAATTAGGGTTACCCCTCGCAGGCGCATATTGGTTAAATTGTGGCTTGGTTAATGCATCATCGACCGCTTGAATGGCAAATTCTGGAGGACTGTATGAAAAAAATCCTTGTCCCAAGTTGACTATTTTGGTGTCAGGGTTTGCCTCCTGCGCTTCAGCTGCTGTCTCGTTAATCAAGGACCAGATATCCTTTTGCCCAGGCTTGAGGTTAAAGTAAGGGTTGTGTAAGGAAGCTGGATCTGATTGTCTTGTGTTTGTCATTGACGAAGTAAATAATCTGGTGAATGGCCTATATGTAGTATATCTTTTCAACATACACTAGGTTCGGTTAACTCTGTTGTTTTTGTTTGCTGGTGACGCTTTGTATTTGTTTTTTTTTAATTGGTGAAAAATAGGATCTCGTTTGATAACGCAAAGTCTATTGAGAAAAATAAACGGCAACAAATTACGCGATAGGAAAAGTGTGGCGCTATCAATTCTAGGGTGGGAAAACTATTTGAAAATAGAGAACTATTGAGAAGGTTTGCAGAATGTAGGTAAAGTCATATGTTTGAAGCTTTACCTCATGTAAGGGCATCAGAAGGATCTTGTAAACCTGTTACTTTTAGTTTCAAATTTCATGGATAATCTGAAAGAAAGGTATCATATGTACTGTGAGCTGAATTCAACTGGCCCGTCACGTGATGAAACTAGTTTCTTTGATATTAGTCACGCTAAGCACAAGATGAGAGGAGTAAGGATTCAGTCCCACTAACATGAATATCACTTTAGGGAAAAGTAAAGAACGATCGATATTTATAAAGCAATTTCATTAAACCAGTCAAATGCTCGCAAAAAAACACGAAAAGGGGTTGCCTACCATTGGTCTATCTAAGAGACAAGTTTGTACAACACATATGACAAGGTTTAAATACAAAAAGCAACTGAAATTTGATCCAAGCAATGAACAAGAACATGTTATGCTTCATTCTATTTTTAGAAAGTTATTTCAAATATAAATGAGTTGCGAGGGAGGTGAAAGTCCTGTCTATTTTTAGAATAGAGTTATAAATCCGCAAACTTTCAAAACCAGTTTAAAAACGCCCTTTGCGCACAAAAATAAATAGAAATCGCTAAAATTTGCAACAATAAAACTAGTAATACCCCACTCCAAAAAATCACAGCACGCCAACGTAGCTAACATGTAGTAAATCCACTGCTTTTTGAAAAGAAATAAATAGTTGGGGAAATTCTTACCGTGATTGCTTTTTTCTGAACTTTGTTTGTTGCGTCACTGTTTAGATTGAATTCAAACGTTCATGTTTGGTAGACTAAAGAACTTGTTTGCACCTGCACAAAGTGTATACTTTGATGCCCCAGAAGATAATCGAAAAGATGAATTTGGTTTACAAAGATCAGTTAGCGGAGATCTTTACATTTTTTCAGAAAATGCCACCGGTAGCAGGCTACCTCCGCTAAATGCACATCTCACCACTAGAGTTAACATCCTTTCTTTGCTGGTCTATTACGGTAAAAGCAACCCTTCGAGATACTTGAAGCAATGTGAAGATGTCCAATTCGTGGAATTTGCTACCAAAATAAGGCAGCGGATAGTGCTCCTGGTTCAAAAATTGGTGAGACTTGTGATTGAAGTTGCTGAGGCATGGAACAATACACTAATGTTTAGCAATGAAGTGATAGGATTCATAATGCAGCAGAGCATGCATTTTATTGTAGGCTCAACGTATGACTCAGACTTGGTGGAATCCTTTTGTTTGAGTCTTTTTGCAGATCCAAAAATCACCGAACAGGTGGAGAAATTGCACAAGGTTATCAATAGCCTGAAGTTTAGAAAGTTCCGAAGGGATATTAGTACGCGTATGTCCTCCGTCTTTAATTTGACTGTTGACACCGGGGACTTCTTTGCCAATGACTTGGTTTCAAAATTTATGGCCCTATGGATGTTTGCCTTGTTAGATATAAATTAAATTAACAAATAAATAATGTGCTCTATAAATAATTTCTATTTAGTGACTATACCACCGATATTTTTGAGTTGTCGAAATCGTATTGGAACCCTTCTGAGGTTATCCAGTTTTTAAAATTAGGATTTTTATGAATCACTTGACATGCATATCCTGTGACTAGTAATCCGGGTGGTCTGGATCCACACAGCTCCACTGCTTCGCCTAACTTTGTCAACGTCGTACGAATAACTCGTTGGTCGGGACAGCTGGCACGCTCGATTATCGCCACTGGTAAATCAGGTAACCATCCTTTCTCTTTTACCAAAACAGGGATCAACTCTACTATCCTATGCAACGCCATAAGAAAAATTGTCGTTCGGCTCGGGACAAATGTGGGCAAGTTTGGTACAGCACCCTTTCTACCTGTACCGGTGCAAATCAATACCTGATCAGCGACTTCTCTATGGGTCATTGGTATACCAGCAACCACTGGTGCCGCCAATGCTGAGGATATTCCTGGTATCACAATTGGTTCAAATCCATGCTCGGCGAAATAGTTGTATTCCTCTCCACCGCGTCCAAATATGTACGGATCACCTTGTTTCAACCGCAAGACAAACTTGCCTTTTTGTAAAGCTTCTAATCCTAGTGATAACAACTCCTCTTGTGCACGTTCGGCATTTCCAGGAAACTTACGAGCAATAAACAACTCAGGGCCATGGACTTTCGGTATGAGATCAAGAACTTCTTGTGGTACTAGTTTGTCAGCTAAGATTAAATCCGCTTGGTAGATAGTCTGTAATGCGCCTAGGGTCAAAAGTGCCACCGATCCAGGCCCACTTCCAACGAGAGCAATTTTGCCTTGTTTCGACAGCACTTGAACATCGACTTCTTGTGTGTTACCACGCTTGTATTGATCATAAGCAGACCGCAAGTCTTCCACAGATAAAGTAGCCAATTTGGACAACGGATAATACTCGACAATCTGTGATAGCCAACGATTTCTTCTCCCCTTTATTTCCTCTTGTGTTTGGCTGAACTCGTGAACTAGTGAATTAAATTTGTGTGTATTTATAGAGTCATCGTCGTCGTCGCCAATCTCGAAGCTTATTTCGTCTTCAATTTGGATCTGTCGACGTAAATCACCAATCTTGTTGCAGATGACATCTATGTTAGTTGGTAACTTATGGACGATTTCTCGTCTTAATCTTGATGCTAATTTACAACCTTTTCCATTCGTTGTAACTCCAAGTTGGAAATCCCCCTGATTGTATGTTGATAATAATGTGAATGTGCTGAATTGTGGGGAATCTGTTGTATTTACTGGTATCCTCAATCTTTTGCAAAGTCTGAAAATAACCTCCTTCAAGACCTTTTCATGTTGAGGAAGAGTGACAAAAACTCGGTCAACAATATTATCCACCTCGAGGCGACCTATGCCTGTTAAGTAATGATTGATCCTAGAAGCATAATCTGGGTCCTCCCTGATCACCTCTAATTTCCTGCTGCGTTCATGTTCTGTAACACTGGCTGGTAGATCAACATTTTCTTGAACGAGAAGTATGGGGTATGCATGAGAATCAATTATTGAGTTGATTCGTAGACTTGTCACGTTTGAGTAGCCTATGAGAAGTACCTTCTCGCCTCTCATATTTAGCGATGCTAGGAGATTTGTCATAGTGGTGATAATTTGTTGGTGGGTGTGCCTCAACAAGTAAGGTTTCTTAGTTGCAAAATGTTCTTGTTTTATGTTTTTTTTTTCACTGTTATTGAAAAACCCTCTTATTCCCTATCTAATTATTATTACGTAATCGAGATGGTTTTTGTCAAAGAAAGTGTGATATTACGCAATATTTTGTATTATGTAATTACCAAGTAAGCATTGGTGTATCGATTATGTAATTACATTTACCTGCATATAAACAAAATTCTCATCGATGAGCTTTTGAGTCGGATGATTTGACACTTTTCAGTTTATTTGCATAAAACTTTCAACAATCAACCAACAGCAGATCTCCAACAATGGCTAAGCGTACATTAGGATTGGGTAAAGCAGCAAAAGCTAAGAAGCAAAAAACTGACAACGAGCCAATTCGTAATAGAGATAGTAAAACTGAAGAAGAAGCAGAAACCTCAAACCAATTGACAGTAGAGCTACCTGAAGAGGTCGATGCCAATGATGAAATATCACAATTGAGGGGTCTTTACAAGACATATATAAACTCAAATCGCGATAATGAGTTAATAATTAATGGTATCATTCACGAATGTGATCGATTGTTGCGTAACCAAGAGGAAGGTGCTTCATTACCACCCACGTTCTACAAGATTTATTCAATCGCTTTGAGCGAACTTGCCAATTTCCACACCGATGACGCCAAACAAATTCAGGAATACTTCGAGGCCAGTTTGGAAAGAGTAGATACCGGTTTGGAGAAGCACCCCGATGATGTTGAGTTGTTGTTTACTCGTTCAAAGATCTTAATCAATCAAATAGTCTTGCAATATGTGTCGCAATTGAAATTGAGCAGTGAAGCTGATGAAAAAAATAAGGTCAAAGACTTGCTAGACACTGCTTTGAAAGTGTATGAGCTGGCTGAGCTGAAAGCTGGTGAATTGTCGAAGTACGATGCTTTTAATGATGAGGAATACTTTGATATTTTAGAGGCAGTGGATGATTTGTTGGATATTGTCGACAACTTTGGAAGAGAGGAAGTTGAAAACAAAGACGATAAAGAGGAGACAGGAGAAAAAGGTAAGAAGGATGAAGAAGATGAAGAAGATGAAGAGGAGGACAACGAAATTGAGTTGGATGAGACTCACCCATTATACCCAATAAAAAACACAGATGAATATAACCAGTGGTGGAGGGATCACACCATCAAATATCTTGATAATTTGAAGAAAACTACCTCACCTTCTCAAACTTTGCTTAGGGAAGTGAACCAGAGATTGGGACAGTCCTATTTACAAGAGTCCGAAATTCCAACCAATGTGTACACTACTTTGAAATATGATGAGGATTATGCCGGGTTAGAAGAGTTAGAAGGATTAAACATCATCCAAGCTCAAGAGATAGCCAAAGACCTCATACACAAGGCATTGGAGCATTTAAAAAACGCAGAAGATAGAGACGAACCTGAATCTTGGGTCAATATAGCTGAAGCTATGATTACTTTGGGAAACTTGTACGAATTAGACTCAAAAGAACAGGAAAAGTTGTACGATGAGGCAGAGACAATTTTGAAAAAGGCCAACAATGTCACCAATGGAAAGTATCAAGATGTGTTAGAAAATCTCCTAGGTAATTGATAACCCCCCCCCCCCCCAATGTGAGTATGATCAAACTAACGTGGTGACACTAGTGTGTTTTATTTTACTACGATAAATAATCATTACTTGCTTGATATGACGTATAAACTTTGTATAGTAACTAAAATAACCGCTAACCGCCGCAATTAAACTCTGCTGGCAATGGTGCTCTCGTTTTGTAACTTCATAGCATTGGTCTCATGAGCATCATCTTTACAATATTGTAGACCGAGACACATGTGGTCCTCTAATAACCTGTGCTTAGCGCAGAATTTACCTTGGCAATGTGAACAAGTGCCCACCATCCTCAAAGGCGTTGAATTGCAAGATTTAAAAGAACACTTGTTCTTTTTCTTTGTCTTCTTTATGGTTGATGAAGCGGCAGTGCTATTGCTCGTGGTTGCCGTCGATGCAGCAAGATTGCTGGAAGAAACTTGCGGCGATATTGGTGGTGTGTCAGTACTTTGTGCCATCAATATAACTTGTATAGATTCATTCTCGGGTTTCATGCCCAATGAAGATAAAGATTCGTTGTAGGGTTGTAGCTTCTGCCCATTATAAATCAATTTGAACTCCTTGGGAAGTGATGTAGGTGATGCCACTTTGACACTGTTTCTCAAATCTTCAACTGTTGAATTGTCGGGAACGGTGACTTGGAAGGATGATTCGGTAGATAATCTGATTGTGACTTTCATTTTTTGGAAAAAGTGTTTGCAGTGCTAGTGATATGGAGAAAGGAAGGATAGGAGTATCGATGAAGTGTTTACTAATGCTGGTGTTGTATAATTTGTATAAGTTGTATATATAAGTGTATTTTTTGGCCAGATAAGAGAGAAAGATATATATTGTGGTTATTAGTAAATTTGGATGATGTGTAAAACCAGATAGTGTAAATGGTAGCGTGGGTGGCAAACAAAAAGAGTCACACAGAGTTCAGTTTTAAGTTACACAAAGAGGGTCATATTAAATTTCTTTTTTGGCTGTGCATTTCTTTTTTGGGTCACTTACTGTTGTGGGTTGCTCTTTTTGTCGCAAAATTCAGTGTCTCGTAACATAGTTGGCGAAACCAAAAACAGTCACTGATTTGCAATTGGTACAAGAAACTGAACACATCAGAGAGCTTGTCAAGGAGGAAGAGGCAGCAAAATCTAACTTAGTAAAATTGTAACCAGTACTATTTCTATAAAAACAAAATCAGCCTATATATATATTTAACCTTTATCCAAGTAGGACCTAATTTCCTTAATTTCCTCCATGTTGGATTGTCCTTTAACACTCATAACTTTCGTAAACTTAGCATCCATTGAACCCACATGAAAAGTAGTGGCTAATCAATGCACGTTGGTGCCTAGCAACGCATTGTTATACGAAATCATTAGCACTTATTGAGTCTCTTGCAACATTCTTCTTGGCACCACCCAATACAGTCGATTTAAGATCACGTTTATTCACAGTACGTGTTTCCTTCGTTTGGGTGCTTTGTATATCTCGCTTCACTTCTGTAGCTTGTGTACCTGAACCTACGGTTCTTGCTTTCAAGTCGAGGTTTGCTGGAATTATAGTTGATAAAGCCAATGGTAGGAGAAAAAAGATTGATGCATGCATAGTATGTTGTCAGCTTTATGTGATGTTGAAAGATAAGATGAGTAATAGTGTTGCTTTTTTGATTTTTTAAACTTCTTGGTTAATCTTGTTGATATTTTTGCAGAGTTATATGTATTTATATAGATCTGTGTTCTAGGTTGCAACACTGCCCCCCAGATTGGGAAATAATTTTTTTCGTACCTTATTGTGTTGCAAAGTCTAGAACGATAAAAAAAACCCACGCGCGAACAATTGTTTTTTTTTGCATGAATAATGAGCTTCCCGTCTCAGGCGAACAACGCCTCCCCCTGGTGCAAGTATTTTTGTTTTCTTTATTTTTTTTTTTGCTTTGCTTGCTGGTTTTTCTCTCCCCTTAAAAGTTTATTTCCTAAACAGGTGAAAAAGGGATTATGAAACGCATACGAAACGAAATTTTTATTCAACAGCCCTCTTTTTTTCTCAACTCATAGGGTAGAAAAGCCTTGCAATCATGAAACAGAACTTCATGAATGTACACAAGGAAACTTCATTTACTGAGGTTCTTCATTAAAGTAATTACCGCCTACCTACTTATTCTAGATTTGAGTACTTTTCCCTCATTGCTTTTCTCAATCTCACTTTTGCGTCATCAGTAGAGTCAGCTTCGCTACTTATTTCATCAATTGTATTAGCATTGGTTTCACCATTGTCGCACAGCTTGTCCTCCTCCTCCTGGTCAAATTCTTCTGACTCCTTTGTAAGATTAACGTCATTGGCCTGCTCCAAGTCGGCAGCAGCAAAAATGGGAATATCCGACAAGTTCAGTAAATTGAAATCCAAAGACGAAGCACTTGTCTGTCTTTGTAACTTGTTAAATTGACTCTCTGCTTGTTGTCTTTGGACACTAATAATTTCAAACTCTTCGTCTTCAGTGACACCGTTGTATTTTTTGTAAAACTGTTCAAAATCAGCAAACATTCCTGGTCCAAATTTATTGCAAAACTCATTAACTCTCTGGCGCAATTCCTCTCTTGTTTGTTTTAATTTCTCAATTTGAAACCTATCCTCATTGATACTCAACATAGAGAGGAATAGAGGTGCAAGTGACTTGTAGTAATCAATTCCAATTTCCCCCATTCTCAATGAGGCGTAGGTTGTCAATACTGCCCAGCCGTAAAAGATGATAAAAATGATCCAAATTGATGGTTGGTAATTGCCCAATATTTTTGACTTGACAATCAAAATTGTTCCAATAACGGACCAAAAGATGTACAACATTGGTGCCAAGACCATGGCTACTAGTATCTTCCATGTGCTTAGCACATCTTTTGCTTTGATTTTAACTACTGACGCGGCTAGGGCCTCCTTTGCTTTCTTTCTTGAGATTCTTCGTGATATAATAAACACCGGGCTGAAGAGAAAAATACCTGGTAGACTTAGCCCCATGAATAACGAAAATTTGAAAAACCTAGTAATGAACCGCCAAACACTTGCCACTCTATTTGAGCGATCCAACGACTCAACTTGGTGATCGTGTAGATTTAATGCTCTCAATTTTTTGTTGTAATCCAAAACCGATTCTTTTAACTCTTTGACGTCAGGCTGATCTTTGTATTGATCATACCCTTTTATCAATCTCCTATTCATCTCAATCACCATGGGAAGGGGTATATTATCCCTATTTCCAGAAGTGTACAACCTTCGTGCTGCCTGCAACACCATCAATGTTTCATAATCATTACATGTCATTGTCACTTCTTTCAAACCAAGTGTGATTGTCTTTAATAGCTTGTCCACCGCCTCCCGAGAGTTTGCCTCGTATTTCTTAGCCATATTTTCATCGACAACTATTGGCTTACCAAATTCAATCACAACTCTTGATCTAAATTTGTGCGGATGAAAGTAATTTAATCCAACAGGGACAATACTAACTGGTACAACCTCGTCATGCTCAGATGTCCCCTCCTTTATCGTTTCAATCTGTTTTGCAATCGCGCCCAATGCCATTATGGCCACTCCTGGTTTTAATGGTAATAAATCAGGACGATCATGAGACCCACCTTCAGGGAAAATACCCAACACCTTGCCGTCATTCAAGTGAGTGAAAACGTTTTGAAAAACAACGTGGTTATCGATATGAGGGGCAATTTTAAACTCGGTCCCATTTTGCAATTTGTCGTCAATTCTCTCCTGAATTTCTTCTCTGGGTGATGTGAATGGCTTCTTCAATAAAAGCTGTTCATCATCAAAGATTTCCTGGATTGCCCCATTACCTAAGGAGTTTGGCAATCCTATCAAGCCTTTTACTTGGCACTCCGTTGTGAACTTGGTTCCTGATCCTCTAATAACTCGGTTATCTTCTTTGTCAACGAATATTTTACCAGTACCCTTCTTTAACAAATCCTGTGCTCTCTCTACCGGAATTGCACTGCACAATTTAGCTGCATCCCCAATTATTCTCCTGTCGTATGATTTCTGAGCAATCAAAAAGGCAATACGACGACCCAGGTGTTCCTTGACTTTAGCCATCACCACAATTCCGTCAACAAATTGGTTATGATGTGGAGCAATGACAAAAATTACTGGACCTCTTCTGGGAATATTGAAACTTCCTCGTGATTGTACATCACGGAAGAATGTGTGTATGACCAAGTTGAAGAACCATAGAACAAGGTCGTATGATAGCAATCTAAGAATGAGGACGATATAGTAGGTAATAGGCCTTGATTTGGCTTTGTGGGGTAAAGAATGGACTTCCCCTGACCTACCATCATGAGTTTGACTTTTTTCACCCATGTGATGATTATCTTTAGTAATTGTGAAGTTGAATTGGTATTAGGTAGAAAACCAATTGAAGCTATCAGGGACAAGAGATTTCTTAGATGGCTCTGTTGCTTGTGTTATGAAATAGTTTGGAAAAAGTTTTGTGAAATTCAAATATCTTTGTACAATATTGCTCGAGTGATTTTACATGTGATGACAGCAGCCCAACAAAATACAGAAAAACATGCACAGGATTGAAAAAAAGGAAGAAAAATTGATACTCCGAAGTGATACAGTTGTGCAAAATGCTGCAAGGTGTGTGTTACTTCGCACTGTATACCACCCCACATGTATGAATTGAATACGATGCAAAAACAGAAGTGTTGTTTCCTACGGAAATTGCAGGCACTCAGGTCGTGTGTTTTTGATTCCCGCAACCTATGCAAAAAGACCAACCTGTAAAACCGATAAGCTATGCATTTACAAGGATTAGATCACAAATGGGATGAAGAGGACATCATTCGAATGATTGTAGATTAATTGACTTTGGCTGCCGCATTAACGTCAATCCAAATTTTCCACAGAGTGACTTACAAAGGGCACGGCTGTGTTATAATATATCAACCCGGATATCTATCGTATTTATACAGTAAACCATATCTCTCACCGTAGCCCATCTATGTAAAACATTCAGCACTCCCTCCCCCATTTAATAACTCTCCTTTCTCGCCTATTTAATCTTCTCCGGCAGGAACTTCATCCTTCAAGACTTTATTCAACTTCAACTTCATCTCCGTTCTTTCATCACCACGTAATACATCCTTGACAAAGTAAACATCACAATCTAACTGAACCATTTGCAAGGCACCCCGAAGTACACCGCACAATACTTGTGAATACCACAATTCTTTGCTGATTTTTGGGTCGGCGGATACAGGCAACTCGACAAATTCAGTTAATGGATTAGGTTCCGGTATTATCAAACTGCAAATCTTGTTATCGTTTGACCAATTTTCCACTTGTGGTTGGATGTTGAGAAATAGTCTGAACCCTAATTTGGATATGATATCAGCAGTCTCTTTAAACGAAGCACATCGTTTGATACCAGTCTTGGCAAGAAACTCTTCAATTAGCCTGCATCCGATGTTGTACCCCATTTTGTCGAGTTGGTTGTTGATCTCCTGGTAGTTATTGTCAAAGTCTCGACATAATTGAGCAACAAGTGATCCATATGTCAATGTGAACAACTCTGAGTTCTAAAGTTGAAGTTAGTAAAAGCATCACAAATGTAGTGCACTATAAGCTAACATACTATCTTTTCCACGTTGCCTTTCCATATATCATCGCCAGTGGACTTTTTAGACATGACTGATGATGTACCTTTTAGTGGGATTGAGTAGGATGGAAAAAGGTTCACATTCAAAATTTATTTTCAAATTAGCACGCGCGATAAAATGAAAGATACCCAAATTTACAAATATAGAAGACTAATATGCAAAAGTTTATGTTCTATGTTATTAAAAGTCGTTACTAATTAAGATATTATTCAAGATTAAAAAGATATGTCAATGAGAGATTAACTGGGCTCTCTCCTTTTTTTAAAAAAATGGTTTTTTTAAATGGTTTTTTTAGTTTCCTCTCCTGTTTCCTTTGTAAGTTCAGTTTCTTGCTGATAATTTTCGTTCTCTTGTTTACTTGAAGGCCCTCTTCTACTCTTTCTAGCCAAAAACTCCTTATATTTCTCCAATGTGATATGGTTCTGTAGCTCCTTATACTCTTCCACAAATTCGTATCGCGTCTTGTTGAACGTATCCCAAAAAGTGAAGAATGGTTGTGAGAAATTGTTTTTGATTCCCCAAATTTGGTGATGAATGTCATGATATACTGAATTGTTTGGAAATACGATTTGAAAAATGTCCCAAGGCAACTTGTAACCACAATGGTCATCGACAGTCTTTAACGTAGCAAACGTGTACAAGACAATGCATTCACGTGGACTTAATCCAGTTGCCAATGATGCAACACCAGTTCCCAATGTATCCAATAAGAATCCTTCAAGTGGGTCATTATATAAAGCTCCAAAGGCATATGGGACATACAAACGATGATGACGCGAGTGGAATCGTCTGTATAAAGTCTTATTTACGTGCATTAAACGATGGAGCCAGAATTGCCAAGTGTCAATAATTGTAATTGCAATGCACAATCTGAGAAATGGCCATCCATACATGTATCCGTAATAGACAACCAGGTCGGGTACAAACTTTGGTAGATAATTATGTTTGAGTTGCCACATTGTATAGTACTCGTAACCAGTCATGGGTGTAGGGTCAAAATAGAAAACAACAAGACCAACAAGGGTTTGAATGAAATGTTGCAATATAACATCCCTGACAACTTCATGTAATGTTACCTTGTTTCTTTTCAATTCGTCCTCACTAGGATGAATTCTGTATTTCTCGGCCAATTCATAAACGTCAATGATGTGGAAAAACATAGAGTACGACCAGTATGCAATTATGGGAGCCAACAATGCTGTAATCCCATCAGGAATACCAGGAATCAAGTCTGGCTTCTTGGTCAACGTGAGATTGTTCGTTGAGTAGTACGATGACTCTGAAAGCATCAGAGAAAAGTTTTGTGGTACTTTCAACGCATTCATTGGGGCAAGCTAGTGGTAGGTAGGTGGGTAGTAGTAGTAGTAGTAGTGATAGTAGTGAATGTAATGTATAATATTGGAGCAGTAGTTAAGTAGTTTTATAGGGTTTGAGATATGGTTAAAGAAATAAAATCACGCTATAAACTTTTTCATAAGAAAGGTCACTCTGTATTTATTTTATTTTATTTCTTTTTTTTTCTGTCTCTGTCTCTTTCTTCTGCTTTTGGTGTATGTCTACTAATATGCAGGATGAAAACATTTCTTTTTTTCCCTTTTTGTTTGTCTTTGGCTTCGTTGTTTTTGTTTGTTTGTTGTTTGTTGTTTGTTGTTTGTTGTTAGCATTTGTCAATTGCTTTCCCGTTCTGGACTCTTACTTCTGTCGTGTCACATAATGTGTCTTTTATTGTACTGTCTTGTGTTGTTCTAGTCTGAAAAATATCAAACTGGTTGCGTTACTGCGATAAAGTACACTTCGAGATTGTCAATTTAATAGGGGGAAGGTCCGAATTCGCGGTGATAAGAAATTCATTACATAGTAGAGTTTTCTACGCCGATGAAAACGCGCTTTCCCATACTTCGTCTAATTTAACCCCATCAGCAAAGCAGTAGTCTTGCTATTTAAAATACCCATATGCATTCATCAGGTTACTATCTCTTGGAGCAAGCTAAGTGGACCAATGTCTCCCCTATTTTGTTTATTTTTTCTCCTCCTAATCTAAAAGATCAATTGCGTGGTTTTCCAACGGGTCGCTGATTTTCGCCGGAATAGAGTGAAGAGAAAAAGAAAAAAGTGATTATGTCATCACTGGAACAGGGCCAGAACGGATGCAAATTACAAATCAAAATTAGTCAACATTATTTTGTGCATAATACTAACAGTAGCTACTTAAAACTATCAAAACAAAGTAATCCGATCTATTGCAACAGCCTTTTCACTCAGGCTCGCCAAATATGACATGTTCTCGATTGTCGTATCGAAAAGCATCTAGAAAATCACTACTCTCAGACACATTGCTTCTAATGTAATTGTTATCAGGAGTTCCATTCAATATATCATCAAGTTCCTTTGTGGTTGTGCTAGGAACAAAATATTGTTGAAAGTTTAGCACCTCTTCCAACGCCCTATTGTCGATACCCCAACTGATCAACTCATCATTAAAAGGCTCGGGGTCACTTTCCGAATGCACTGTTGGCGACTGGCTATTTCTCACTAGCTCCGGCTCAAATTGTTTCAAGTGGTTTATCATATTTTGCAAATTTATCGCCCACCTCTTGCTGGTAATATTGAAGTCTGCAGAATTGTTTAAAATATTATAACCGTCCATCAATGTATCCTGCAACACTGAAATATAATGAAGGTCTGGTTTAGATGACTTTCGTTGCTCTAATATGGTAAATCCTATAATTATCGATGCGAAAAAGCACGCTGATTGAATTGTAAATACCTCTTTTCTATGGGGGTTATGGGTGACGAAAAATTTCAAGAGTTTAATCACCAAAAAGCTAGCCTTGATACAGGCTTTGCAAAAATTCATCAAGCTTTGTTCATCCTTCACTTGTTGTTTTGTTTCGGGTTTGAGTTTTCGTGTAACCACGTAAACCAAAAACGGTCTTGTGAGTGTCATGATTCCATACAACTGTCCAATATGAACAAACACATACAAATAATTGTTGGGGTCGGTACCCGATTCCATTTGACTTTCCATTGCTGCACTCAACTGTAGTTCTTTGGGTAATTGCACTGACCAAATCTTTAATTGCAAGGCCAAAATATGGGCTCGTTTGATATTAACAACCCCATCTTTAAATATATTTTCCACAATCTTGGCATTAATGGCCGCACTATCTGAAGTCGATTTCTGGGCCAATATTCGAATTTGCTCAACCTCCTCTAAATTATCAACATCTATCATACTGTTAGCATCATCATAATCGTAAGCATTAATCATTAATGGTCGACCTAGATTGACACTACTGACGCAATCACACACGTAGAGACTTCTCCATAATCTCCGTCTGTGATTTAAAATATCCCTATCTGTTATTCGATTGTTAATGCAACGACGATGTAAACCCAATGCCTGTGCTATTCTAATTGCACTGCCTAGTTGTATCCAGGCATTTGAGCGATTGCAGCACGATTGGAAATAAAAATATTCAAGAAAATAAACCTCACACATCCAAATCTTGCCGTCAAAGACGTTGCTTCTAAGCAACACTTGTGCCAGGTTAAAAAATACCTCCAGAGTTGGTAGATTGAGGCACAAATGACGCGATCCCTCACTAAATAACCTTCCAATGGCAAACACATTATATAGCAAACACAACTTTTTTGAATTACAGTTAACAGGGTCCCGATAAATTTTTTCAAATACGTATTTATTGAAATGCTTCATATTGAACACGTAAAATGTATCGTTAATGTTGGTTTTGAAAAGATCAATCAAGATAAAGGCATCGGCCTTTGAAGGGAGCTGAACAGGGACAGGAAGGTGTCGGTAGTCAACACTTTCGTCTGTAATAAATTGCTGTACTGGATCATCGGTAAAGCGGCTCGATCCAGAGATATCCCTAAATAGACTTCGGCATTCACCTAGTAACGAAAGGGCACTACTTTCTCCAAAAAATCTCAAATTTCCAGCCTTTGTCGTCAAGAGTCTCGTATACTGTCCGTTCAAATTTGAAAGCCCTTCTTTCGACTCTTGGTCCTTTGTTGCAGAAGCGGGCAAGGATCCACTTGTGAGAGCCGTTTGTAGGTTTTCACAAATAATACTCAAAGACAAAGGCGGCAGTGATGCCTTTCTCATCGGTTTGTCTGGCATGGACGTTGAATATTGCTTTGGTGAGTGAGTTAGTGACGGTATATCTGGCTCTAAATCGTCATTGTAGTGAGATGCATTTACCGAATGGATGCCATTCAGTTGCAAGTGGTCGCCTTCAATGCTCAGATTTAATTTCATTTTTTCCAGGTAAGCTTTAGCCTTGAGTGATCGACCATCGACTTTGGTATAGATACAGTCTAGTGACTTTGTTTGACAATAATGGCATGGAGTTAGTCCATCACACTAAAGGCACTAATGTTAGTACTGTCTGTTTCTATGCGTCTGTGTGGGGAAAAAAGTGGGTGAGTTTTACATACTTTCATTTTGCGTTTTTTGCACACATCACAAGCTCTAGAAACCTTCTTCCGTTGCACTATAGGTAGTACCCTTGGTCTGCCCTTGGGTCGTGGTATCTTTTCTGTCATTTATTGTATGTAGTGGATAGCCAAATGTAGTCGTGCTATTTGCGGTCTTGTGGTGGTGCGATTTAAAACGGGCTTTATTTCCCTTTTTTTTATATTTTTTCCATTTTGCTTCTTCCCCATAAAAAGGAAGCGTGTAAAATTGGATAAGCAAAAAAAGACTCACACAACTGCCAATAATGGGGCCCCCAAAAGTCACTGCACATTACACAAAGCTCTTACCGATAATTCGGACTTTACTAATTATCAGATATAAGACCAAACACTGATGATCTTTTGATCTGGCTCTTGGAAACTAACGAAACTCAAAAATTATAGGGAAGAACACTAAAACAGTATAGTCATAACGAATAAGTCAATAAAGTGTAGAAATATATCTTTAATACGGCGCCTTCTTCCATCTAGTTGAACTTCTTGTCTGTTTTAGCTTTGTTCAACTTTGGACAAGTCAGAGTATTTTTCATATTTTGTAGTTAGCTTAGATCTTACTTTGTATTTACTTCCCCCTGACGAAACAGCTTACTTTCACTATCTTTCACAGTCATCAGGCACGTTACTGGACACGTCAAAAACTTTGTCGCAAAAACATATTATAATCGTGCATCAAATAGCAGAAGGGGGAGAGATTAAACTAGCAGCAGCAAATACCAAAAGAAAAGCTTGTTAAGGTTTTCAATATAAGCAGCCTGCTGATCCCAGTTTTCAAGTTTTCTTATTCATTTTACCACTTTTCACTTCACAGAGTAAAGGTGGTATCAAAGTTTGATGTCAGAGATTGAATTTCAAGACTACTTATTATTCACCTCGTCCTTAGCATTTGAAGCTAATATGGCTACTATGCAAAGCACGCGAATATCTCCACCAGAGGATGACCCAGTTGTTCCCAGGAGATCTCCAGCTAGACTAATCGACAGATGGAAGTTGCCATCTCAAAGGTTAATGAAGACGGTAGCCGATACCAAGAGCAAGGCAACCACACTTGTGGCCAATGCCAAGAACCCAGCCCCTTATAATTATGGAAAAACTGGCTGTGTTCCAGATTCGCCGCTGTCATTTGCAGAATCAACTAGCTCATTTGAAATGGAAGACGATGATGTCAAAGGTAATGAAATTGAAGCATGCTTATCATCAAAATCAGATACTGAGTCTGTCTTTTCGAATCCGGGAAGTTTTGCCCCAGAGCCTAAGGAGATTATCCAAAGCGATCAAGAAGATAACAATAGCAATAACTATCACGAAGACGATGAGAGGTTTGAAGAGCTACTTCAAGAACTTGAAAGCATTCAGATTTGCCAAATTGAAGAGGTCGTTACAATGAAACATGTCAAGGCTGCTAGCGTAGCTCGAGTTGAAATAACAGCAGCCTCTTCCACATAGCAGTTATTCTAGGATTGATTCTTGTGAGTGGTGTGCAGTAGCCTGATTGGGTGACAACTGGGTTGTGACTCATTAAAATTCCAATTTCTTCTTTTCTTTCTACGGTGTTTTTTTCAGTTTCAGTTTCGGTTTAGGTTGTGGGTTTTATAGTTCAAAAGGTATAACAGATGATATTTTTGTGTAAAACAAAGTTGTATGTAGACCAGGCCAACACGATGGGGGAAATACATCTTTCCAAAGGTTTTGCATCAGTGAGCACAACTGTATGTGTGTGACCTCGTGATACCACAAAAATGCCTTTAATAACCGAGGATAAGGTGAGGTTTATCACCTTTTGTTTTTCATTCAACTCTGGATGACTTGGAGTATTATATTTTGAAATGAAATTCATGCAAATAAGGAAAAAAATAAAGATTGTTAACGGACTTTAAAGTACGAGATCACGTGAAAGCACGAAAAAAATAATGCACACGAGCTAAAGACATTTTACTAATCAGGAACCCACTTTTGTACTAGATTTATCTTTATTGTTAACGCTTTTCATTGAAACGAGATGACTTTCTTATAGCTTTAGTATGAAACAATAAAACCGTTCCCATGTCCTCCAAGAAAGAATATTATTGTCTCGGTTGTTTATTTTCTTTTGCCATTCTTGAGTTCTACAATTGCAAAATTAACACTACATCAGTATAGTATTACTCATAACCTTACATCAGCCACATCACAACTTAACTAATACCCGCATAGGTGAAAAAAGAACAAAACCAGAAGCTGAAATAAGGTTAGACTACCGGGAAAATCAAAACTGTGGCTATTACTGTGGAGTCTTTGAAATACGGCAATTTAAAGACAATTTAAGACAGTTTCAGCAAACATTTAACTATTGTACCTGAAATTTTCATCCCAAGCGTTTACATTTGCTTGTATTTCAAACTCATATAAAAGTCAATCAATATACTACCTTATACAACATTGCGAGAAATGATTCCATCTTCAGCAGCAGAAAGTATAATGTCTTCACTACATAGCAAAGACCAGGACAAAGCCCAAACACACGGGTATGAGCTTGAGGCAGGGCTTCCAGAGACAGACTCAACATCCGATCACCACATTCATCACACAGAAAACTTGAATCGAAGTTTAAGTCCTAGAGTTATCAATATGATCACCATTGCCGGGGTTATAGGTACTGGGTTGTATCTCGGGACGGGAAAAATGTTGGCTACTGGTGGGCCATTGAGTTTATTGTTAAATTATATGATCATTGGAGTAGTGGTGTTCTTTATGATGCTATGTCTTGGGGAAATGTCTGCACAGTACCCCGTCAGTGGCTCATTCACAACATACGCCAAGAGATTTGGTAGTGATTCACTAGGATTTGCAATTTTAATCAATTACTGGTTCAATGATTGCTGTAGTGTAGCTGCCGATTTGACTGCACTACAACTAGTCATTCAATATTGGACCGATTTCCACTGGTATGTGATATCAATCATATTCTGGGTATTCTTGCTATTCTTGAATGTCATTCATGTGAGAGCATACGCAGAAGCTGAATATTGGTTGGCGCTTCTCAAAGTTGTCACCATTATTATATTTTTTATCGTCAGCATTATATGTAATGCGGGAAGGAACCAAATGCACGAATATATTGGGTTCAAGTACTGGAGCTACAAGGATGCGCCATTTGTTAATGGGTTTAAAGGCTTCAGTTCATTGTTTGTTTCAGCAGCTTATGCATTTGGCGGTTTAGAGTCTGTTTCCTTGACTGCTGGTGAAACAAAGAATCCAAACAAGACGATCCCCAAAACAGTAAAGGCATCATTTATACGTATCATTATCTTTTACGTGTTTACTGCATTTTTCATTGGCATGAATATTCCGTATGATTATCCAAATTTGCTGACAAAGACAGTTGCCGTGTCACCTTTTACAATAGTATTCCAGCAAGTCGGAAGTAAAGCTGGTGGTTCATACATGAATGTTGTGGTACTTTTATCAGTATTATCGGCGGGAAATCACGCATTGTTTGCTGGCTCGAGGTTGGCTTACAATTTGAGCACCCAGGGGTACATTCCCAAGATTTTCTTGCCACTTAACCGGTTCCAGATACCGTATGTTGCTGTCATTGTCACATGGCTAATTGGAGGTTTATGCTTTGCTTCAGCATTCGTTGGAACTGGAGAGTTGTGGTCATGGTTGCAAGCAATAGTGGGGTTGTCCAACTTGATATCTTGGTGGGTTATTGGTGTTGTTTCCTTGCGTTTCAGAAGAGGCTTGGCCAAACAAGGTAGAACGCATGAATTGTTGTTCAAAAACTGGTCGTACCCTTATGGTCCCTTGTTTGTGGTTATCTTTGGTGGTTTCATCATTTTGGTTCAAGGATGGTCAACATTTAGTCCGTTTAGCGTAAATGACTTTTTCCAATCCTATTTGGAATTAGGTGTGTTTCCAGTTTGTTTCTTAGTTTGGTGGCTTGTAATCAAACGTGGCAAAGATAGATTTGTACGTGCAGCTGACATGGACTTTGACACAGATAGGTATATTGAGTCACCAGAAGAGTTAGAAAATGAGGAATATGCTAAATCATTGAAAGGCTGGACCAAATTTAAACACAACTTTGCTGACAATTTTCTTTAAGTTGAGTAATAATAAATCGATGTTGCATTTGGAAGGGTCATTTAAATAATTTTTTTGTTTCTCTTTGTTCGATATTTGCAGCCAAAATGTTTCATAATGTATATATAAAGAACAACAACTGCTGTTAAAACAAATGACTTCCATTGACTCTAGTCACCTCCAATAATGTTAATATACTTGCTCTTACTTTTTAAATTCACGTTGGCCAAAGTTGTTGTTGAAGAGTTGGTTCTTTACATACCACAAACTTCATCCAGGTATTATACGATAGATATTGATGTTTACATGGGCCCATTTGAGCTCAACACTACATTTTCCTATCTCATGCTAGGCAAACACAACGAGAAACGGGTCCTACATGGAACAAAGAAACTTCGCTGGTCGGCTGAAGCTTTTGAATATGCTGCTAATTACTCGCAGCAGTACAACTGTTCCGGGATTTTGGAGCACTCATATGGGATATACGGAGAAAATTTGGCATATGGTTACACACCTGAAGGTGCTATCGAAGCATGGTACAAAGAGGGAGAGACTTATATGTATGGTACAGAGGATGTCTACAATCATTTTACGGCCATGGTCTGGAATAGTGTCGATTCCGTTGGATGCGCCTACAAGCGATGTCCAAACGGTGCGCTATACATTATCTGCAGTTACTATCCACCAGGAAATGTTATTGGGTATTCTTCTGACAACGTCTTCCCACTAAAGATGGTCACATAAAATTCTCGACTCCAAATCGATGTAGTTTTCAAAAAATGATTTGAATAAATCGTTAAGTCTGATAATATCGTAGGTTCCTCCAGTCTCTCTGATGGAGTGCATAGACAATTGTGGGTTTCCCAAGTCTAAAGTCCTAATACCCAACTTTGAGCTCAACAATGGGCCAATGGTAGAGCCACATGGTGAATCGTTTCGAACCACAAACAACTGAAGTGGCACTTTGGCCCTATCAGCAACTTTCTTCAATAAAACTACACCGGGTGAATTTGTGGCATACCTTTGGTTGGCATTGATCTTGATCACTGGACCCAAGTTAATTTGTGGACGGTTTTGCGACTCGTACGACTCCCCATAGTTTGGGTGAACTCCGTGTGCTTGATCTGATGAAAGCAAAAACGATTTTGAAATAACTTCGTGGAAAAAATCCACATCTGAGTTTCCTTCAAAGTTGATCTTGGTTAAGCGCAGTAATACGTCAGGGAGAAACGATGAGTCTGCACCATGCAGACTACGAGACCCAATTTCTTCATGATCAAACAAACTTATCAACTGAATACCTTTCTGATTTGCCAAATCGTCTGCAGACTCAATCAAAGATTCTGTTGCTGCAAAGCATGAAGTCAAATTGTCCAATCTTGCTGAAAATATGAATTCGTCGTTCAACCCACCGATCTCAGATTTTTGGTGGTCGTACAAAAGGAGTTCGAAATCCTCAATTTGTTCTGGTTTGACTTGTAGCTCTCTAGCAATGAGTTCAATCAATGATTGATTGTGTCTCGAGATAACATTTTGCACTGACTCGAATTGCTCGGGAGTCATTTGCAAATTAGGGTCATCAGAGCAACTTTCCAAAGCAACTTGACCTGCAATTGGGACTAGCTTAGTTTCCTTATTGAATTCAAATTTGGTATTCGCTTCTCTGTTTAAATGAATGGCCAAGGTAGGTATTCTCAACAACGCTTTATTTATTTTCAACAATTTCGGCACGTACTTGCCAGCTTCGTCGACGTACACTCTTCCCGCAATTGACAAGTCTCTATCAAACCAAGTATGTGCAATCAATCCTCCATATTGCTCGACGCCAACTGTAATAAACCCCTCAGAAGTTCTTTTGGAAATTGGCTTGATCCTCAAACATGGACTGTCGGTGTGAGCCCCAACAATGGCAATTCCATTCCCATTCTTGTATTTACCACCCACTGTAAAGGCGATAATGGAGGATCCGTTCCTAGTTACGTAGTATTTTCCATTCTTTTCAATTCTTCCACGCCAATTGTTTCGCTCGACAAGTTCCTCAAAACCAGCATTTTTCAACAGCTCCTTGACGGAATTGACAGCATGGTACGGTGTTGGTGAATCGTTCACAAAGTCAACAAAGTTTTGAGCGTATTGCAAGGAAAGCTCTTTGGATGTCATGATGGTTGATTTCTACAACAGTGGGGTGTGAGTGGGTGAATTTTCTTTTTTTTTCTTATCCTCATTCCTCTACGGCACAAATTTATCCTTTCCATGACACACAGTTTGAACAGTGGGAAACACAATAGTTACACCAAGTTTCAATCGAGTGTTACGGTCTACGCTGGGTTAGGCTCGTATGTTTATATAGTTTTGTATATGCCTGTTGCTGTGTGTGAAAGAGCCTATACTACTGTTAAGCTCCCCACTTTTACAGGACTAGCAAACACGGATGATGTTAATGAGCTTCTACATTTAGAGTTTTACCGTTATGTAGGCATGTAGAAGAGAGCAACCTAAGGGTAACACCATCCAGCTTTAGTCCACCCATCATTTCCTTACGAGGTTGTTGCAAAAAGGAAGAGCGCAAAAGAAAAAATTAGAAACGAAATTAACACGTTTGATCAAGTGTACTCAAATATGAACTTTCTTGCATTACTAGCGCTTCTACCATTTGCGGCCAGCTCTTTTGCTCCCTTGCTAGTGGCATCACACAAACTAGTCCCCGGTTTACAATCTGAAATTAATGAATCGAATCTCAAGCCTCACAATGTCACCTCGGTGACCAACATGTTGAAGAAGCTAATAACTCAATGTTCATCAGATGCATACGTGATTGTCGACCAACCAGGGCTTACATATGAAGATTTAACTGATAGAAATAAAGGCAACTGGCCCTTTTTAATCAACTACTTGTACATGTCTTCGACTATAGTTGGATTGCCACGGGTCGATCTGGGACTCGATTTGGACTTTATTGAAGACTACATAATAAGCACTTGCGATGCTGAAACAATCAACGTTTGGCACGATGATGACAATGAAGTTACCGACTACTTTGATGTAAGAACCAGAGTGATTAAAGTCACCTTGAGTCCCATTACTGGAGATCGAGGTGCTCATTTGCGTGAACACGATGAGTTGATTAGGAAAATCTTGCGTAAGCTTCCTTCACCACACTACACAATCATCTTGACAAGCACCGATCCAGGAATGACCCATCCGGTCCCCGGATTCATCATGAGTGATCGTCCAGACAACTTTGAGATTTTTAACGATATTGTGAATAGCCCAAAGCACAATGGAGGCGTGGAGAAGAACGACCGATTCCACAAGGTCAAACCTAACTGGAATCCAGCGAGAAATACCAATGAGCGATACATTACAAATAGAAAGAAAGACGAGGTTCATTTATTTGACTACGACCTATGGGTGAAAAACGAAAAGCTAGTTACCACTGTTTTGGTGATGATATTAAGTTTGTTTATGTTAAAAACACTTTCCGTGATTCAAAGCATCAAGCAAAGATTTACCAAGCAGCGAATTCCAATGAGTAAGAAAACCAATTGAAAGAGGATCAATCCTCAAGAATAACACTAGCATCAAAATAAAAAGACGGATCCAAACTTGAGATGTCGGCAGATTTGACTTTTCCATCCATCAATAGCTCACTCATTATCTTACCCGTACCTGGAGCATTATTTATTCCCCAACACGAGTGACCTGAAGCAAGGTATAGGTTGCTGACATTCGTTTCGCCTATCAAAGGTCCGCTGGACGAAGGTACATCTAGTACCGGTAAATAGCAAGCTTGTCGTCTCAATATATGTCCTTTCTTCAAGTTTGGTGAGATTTTGCTCACTTGATTGTAAAGCTCATCACATTTGGATCGAACTACTTCAACATCGTCAGTTGTTTCAGGCACGTCAACGGTACTGTCACCTTCCCCACACACGTAGACTTCATCTTGTCTAGCATAAATCTCCGGCGAAATATAAGAATTACGAGCCACTTTGAGTTCGGTGAATATCGCATAGGGGCTGACGGGTTGATCCTTGAATGGTGCTATGGTAATAGAATGGGCTCTCAAACCAGATATAGGACAATCGGGCAATATTTTGGAAATCCAGGGTCCAACTGTTAAAACAGTTTGGTCGGCAACTAATTCGATCAATTTGTCCTGGTACTTATCACTGTCTTTTACAGATGTTGGTTGATAAATGACCCCCGTGGCGGTTCCTGTCTCCTCAGAGTATGTAATCTCTTCGACTTTTCCGAGAATCAACTCCAACGCACCCTGGGAACACTCTACTGCCTTTCTGAGGATAAAGTTTGTAAATTTGTATGGATGAACTTGTGCAGTTGTATCAGTGCCACCCAACTTGGAGCAGTTATCAATAAGTGAAGATTTGATCCAATTCAAACTTGACGGAAGACCGTTTTTTGGAAAGTCCAATTGTACAACCGAGGACGACCTCGTGTTTCTAGCTGTCTTTTTGGGCGGCTTCTCGTTAGTGGATGATGATGAATCACTATCATGTGCTGTTACTTGTTTGAAGCTATCCTTGAATAAGTTATTTCTATCTTCCACATTATTGTCATTTTCTTCTTCGTCGGAGTCCTTCACGTTGGATATGTCACCTTCCAATGAAACAGTGGTTAATCGCCTGTATCCCCATTCTTCTGCTCCATTATACTCATTAGCCAAACTTTGGTGCAAGTTGAACGACAATGACACGATTTGTTCCGGGAATGCCCACAAAGCAAGCAATCCACCTGCCTTACCGCTAGCTCCTCCCGCTACTCTCTTACTCTCGATCAATGTAACATGGTATTTCTCCGGGTCAAAATGAGGGTGCTTGATAACAAAATACGCTGTACAAACACCTATTATACCAGCCCCTACTATGATTATATGTTTCTTTCCCTTGTGTCTTCCTGATGGCTCAGACTGGAATTGCAAGTAGTCCACATTGTTATTACTCTCCATGGTTGATTATTGGTTATAGATTGGGGGAATACAATCGAGTAACACTTTCAGCGAAGCAAACCCAAAAAAAAAAACAAAAAAAAAATAACAAGACAACAAAATAAAAATAATAATAAAATAAAATAAAAATAAAAAGTGATTCGATTTCAACTTATTTTATGGATTTGTTGTCGTAAAGCAGGATTTATCTGTTCGGTGGAAAGTTTGTTGAACAGTTGGAAATGTTCTGAAAGTCACCACTCTTGTGTAGTCGTTCTTTCTCGCATTCAAAGTTTGTCCCACGTTTGGCAAAAGCTTAATAATATTTTTTGGTATTCGCGTGAAATAATCAGCTGTTTTTATTGCCATTCATTGGAAAAGCGCACGACATGTATAATGCATACGAACGGATAAGATCTATTTCAATACACACATACGACAATGGATCTTGTGTCAGTAAAACTTTGCTTGGAAAAGGGTAATAGAGTTTATCCTTTTTGTCCATTGTCAGAGATAACAATTTAAATTTCTAATTTCGTCATTTGTTATAATCCACTACTCTTTTTCACTTTTGCAACCAAAGATGACTGACAACAATCAGCTCGTGAAACGAGGAAAGTTCAAAGCTTCCAAAGCCAGCCAGTTCATGGTTAAGATTCCAAGGAACAATGAGCTTGACCTTGATGTTTCCAACTCTGATGAAAGTATAGATACCCCGTTGCTTGAACAAGATCTGTCAGTTGGTGACAATGGTGTCAACTGTAGAAACTCGTTACAGTTACACATCAACTCGATGTCCCTGAATAAGAAATTGGGGATTACAGGCTATACAAAGAGAGTCCGCGAAGTGGAGATTACAATGACTCAAAATCACACCTCTTCGTTTGACAACTCGTGCCCTTTGGAAAACCCCTTTATTGCTGGGGGGTCCGAGGTTGACGAGAAGCCTCCAGATGTTAAACAAGCAATCGATCTTACTTCAAATGTTACATTTATTAAATGGTGCGATGAATTGAATTCTATACAAGAAGAAGAGCAGAGACTCATTAAACAGCTCTTTGTTGAGAGGTATAAGTTGTACATGAGATACGACTTGTTGAACAAGGTGTTGACCAAATATGCTAGTCAATTGAGTGCCGAAAATAACCAATTAAGTGAAAAATTTGAACACATCAAGAAAACGTTTTCTGATATCCTTAGTCTCACCGTCTAATGCACTATTCAGCAAAACTTTACCCCTGTGACAACCATCCCATTTGAACAAAGAACTCATAAATCTTGGAGGCTTTATTAACATCGATCTTTAACGCCTGGCGAGCATCTTTTTTCTTCAACACTCCATTGTTCTTTACCGCTTCTTTCATCAATTGGTTTTTAATCGCTAGATATGGTTTTGGCAAAATTCTCAAAGTCGCACACAATTGCTTTTCCTCAGGTGAAAGTAGCTCAAAATCAGCCGCATGGCTTATATCCAACGGTGCTCTATTCACCGGAGCTTTTGGCTTGAAATCGGGCTGTGGCGAAGGGAATTTCTTGCCATTTCCATTGATACCTGGAGTTGCTGAGTGTCTGGCACTGAGTGCTCCATTGCCCATCCTTGTGTAATGTGCACTTCTAATCACCTTATCCTTCTCAAACTTTGCCCCATCTTCAAGAGTGATGATACCATTCTGGCGCCAAGATTGTAGCTGTTGTATTCTAATGCGGCACTTTAACTCTGTGAGGAGATCACGAGTAAACGAATCAAAATCCTCTGGACACAATACTCTTATGAACGCGTTGACCTTTTTCAATAAATCCTTCTCCTCCTTTGACTTTTTCTTGTCGTTGCTAATATTCTTTCTATATTCGAGGAGATGATTCAAAAACATGATTCGTTTGCGTTCTGCCCTGGTTGTTAACCGAGAGTTGTATATATCAAGAATGGTCAATTTCAATTCAATGTCATTTATCAGGTCGTCTGGGTCAAATATCATATCCTTTACTGGAACCTCTGCCTCGTTTTCTGCTTCATGGTCAAACTCCAACCTACCAGGCATAAACCCTTGAACTTCGTGGCAGAGCGGAACCGAGGATGCAGGCTTGCTTTTTGGTGGTGGCAAAGGCATATTCCGCCTCTTCTCTAGTCTCTCCTTTCTTTCTTCAAGAAACTGCAATGGAGACACAGAGGTAAAGTCTTTATTCATTTCAGGCAACGGGTAGTCCTTACTCTCTAGATAAATCTTGTAGTAATGTTGTGCCACTTCTTCCTTCGATCTGTTTCCAATGTGATCCGCTATGTCGGCCCAATTTCCCAATCCAAACGTCTCACAGCCTTGAATCAACAACAATTCTTCATCAGCACCCCAATTTCTATCAAAGATCGGATAAGTGTTTTGTTCGATTATTTGATAATCGTGCCACGGTTTATGGTCCCCCGTCGTTAGTCCAGCCGCAAAACAAGGGACACATAGATCATAATCGGCACATATAGCACATTGTACTCTTATACGATTAGTACAATCAGTGGAACATACATCGCAATGGAATAGTTTATTTCGTGAATCCATCAGCTAATATCGTAATTTTGGTGCGATGTTTCCCTCTCCCCGCCAGAGATTGTCTTGTGTGTTGTTTCGGGTTGTTGTTCAGTGTCCGTGCGGCTCAAAGGTGGGTGGTCGTGTCCTGGTGTTAAGAAATTAGAAGTCACATTTATATCATGTGACTGGAATATTTTTAGGGCTATTAAAATTCCGTGCGAGAAAATTGAAATTTTTTCCAATGAGAATTATCAAACACAGAAATAGTAAAGTATCAAATCTACTCTTACACATCATTACAGAGATAACCAGCAAATATGGTATGTCGTTACGATAGAGTGGGCAGTAATGGTACACAAGGGTATTAAAAATCATTCTTGGAGATAGAAGAGATCATGGAAATATTGAAGTCAGGAGACTAGGGAGGACTAGCAATGCCATGGAACCTAAAGGTCACATACAATGTTGTACCTCAAAGTTATATTCCAGATAATACTGTACCCGTGTATCTGTATCACTGCATTTGTCACTATCGACAAGATTACTAACTATTTTCATCCAGGGACGTGTTAGAACAAAGACTGTCAAGAGAGCTTCTAAAGTTGTCATCGAAAGATTCTACCCAAAGTTGACTTTGGACTTTGAAACCAACAAAAGATTGACCTCAGAAATCGCCGTTATTCAATCTAAGAGATTAAGAAACAAGATTGCTGGTTACACCACCCACTTGATGAAGAGAATTCAAAAGGGTCCAGTTAGAGGTATCTCTTTCAAATTACAAGAAGAAGAAAGAGAAAGAAAAGATCAATACGTTCCAGAAGTTTCTGCTTTGGACTTGTCACACACCAACGGACAATTGGAAGTTGATGCTGAAACCGCTGACTTGGTTAAATCATTGGGTTTCAAGATCCCATTGCAAACTGTCAACATTTCTTCTCAAAGAGGACCAAGACGTTTCGCTAAGAGAAACTAGGAGTGGCTGTTGTTGTAAATTAGGCGTATAGTCAAATATAAAATATTGTAATAAGGAGCAACTTTTGCAAAGCGTAGACATTTCTATATAATATCTTTTTGGTAAATTTCGAACGCGAAAATAACAACAGGGAGAAACACACACACAACTTTCATGACGGCATGAGATTCTTACCTTTTATAATACCCCTTGCATACGCCATTCAATGGTTTCCGTTGGACTCCAAGGGTGAGCTTCCTCGATACGAACCTTACATTCATGGACAGGAAATTGCATTTGATTGTATACAGCGTAATATCGATAACGGTGAACACAAGTTTGATCAACAAAATAAAATAGTTTACGGACCCTTTCCAAAATGTGAGGAAACATCAAAGCCATTGAGCTTTAAATATGGAGTCAATGAGGATTTTAATTGTACCATCCAGTTTACCGATGAGTTGTTTCATTTGTTTCAGTTATACCTTCATGAAGATGTCCCATTCAGTTGCAGATTACCATTGAGTTCAGAGGTTACATCGATAGAAAAGGGCGGTGCATACGTGCCGTTCACCTTTGGCTTTAGGGGAACCCTCACCGACTCACATATAGATGTCGACCATTCAATGAACGTGTTGATCACGAAACCGACTAGTAACGATCCAGATCAAAATACATTCATAAGTGCAGTAGCCTATGGATCAGGGACAAACACTACTAGGATAGTCATTGGTGATAAGCTTACGTTGAATTTTGCTGTAAGATGGTTAGATCTGTTGCAACCTAAAGGATTAACGAAAAGAGGTAATGGCTTGCCCTACGACGATGGCTTTTACAAGTTCCCTATTGAATTCATTCCGATTAGCTACCAAATGCTATACTTCTACCTAGGTTTGACATCTGTCGTCACATCCACATTGGTGCTCATAGTCACATACAACTGGATTAGTCTGAAATTGAGAAAACATAGGTATTCCCCTTTGGATGCTGAATCTAAGCGGGATTGATCTTTTTGATGATAGCTTGAATTACCGATTTGACTTTGTCATTGCCATCAATTTCCATTAATCTGTTGACAAACATATTAGTTAGCTCCTTGTTGGGATTCTTGGCTTTGTATGCCAAAAACTTATTAACCGATAATTGCAACCCGTCATTGCTTGTTCGTATGGGTAAGGTTATGTCGATAAATACTGTCCTGTTGTCATCTGGATATTCCCTCTGAATATAGTTGAGGACATGGTTGTACAAGTAATCTCTATCTAAATCTTCAAACTGATCAATTAATTGTAAAAATCTCTCCACAATGTCAAACCCAATGGCTTTTACGCATTCGTCAAATATGGCCAAGAATACATCCCCTCTTAGAGCAGGGTTTGTGTCTGGATTCCCAAGCATATTCATATCTGCATCGGGAAGATTGAGTGCGGTCTCGGCTTGCGGTAAAACTATCATGTCATCGGTTTCCTTCTTTTCCTCTGATTCTGTCAACAACCCCAAAAGCTTCCTTCGGGCAAGAAGTTTTGAAATATAGGTCAATTCAAATTGGGCGTAGCTCAACCATAGCGCGGTGGAATCTGGATTAAGTCTTAGTCCTCTCTGGAATAACAATCTTGTGCCTTTAGCATTGGCATTGACTTCAAATTCGTACTTGGCTGCTGACAACCAAGCATCAACATTCCGCGGTTGCAATTGCAACAACCTTGAATAGATCTTGTATACTGCCTTGATCGCTCCATTATCTTTGGCATATGCTAAATACTCGGCCCATAATTGTTGATCTCCAGGGAATTTCTTGGTTCCTCTATCAAGTATGAACATGATTCGGCGAACTCCAGCCCAATCACTGATACTCGGTTTTGTATCGATTAATCCCACTTTACTCAACCTGGTATACCTTTTCTTGCGCAACTTTTCCAAATTGTTTTCAAATTCACTATACTTTAGATAATCTCTTGGTCGACTTCCACGTCCGGTGATTCTATGTTCGAAATCAGTCCGTCTTCTCATAATCATGGTAATCTCATTTTTATCAAATAGTCCCTTAACCTTGAGGTCCTCTAATTCAGGAACCGACTGTTCCAAGTAATATCTAACTTTGTCCGCCATTGGTGAGATGAGGTTTGGCTACAGGAAAAAAAAAAATTCAAAAGAAAAATGAATTTATTGATGTCTCGCCGTTTCTGTGTATGAAAAAGATTCTATGTGGCTGCGAAACGGAATAACTTGCGAACTTGGGAGAGAAACTGCAAGAAGTGACTGGTTGTATGGCGTATTCTTCTGCGTATTAACTTAAGTACATATCTAATTTTAATTTTGGAAATTTTCAGGTTTGTTATTGGAAGTTGAATCAGTTTTGACAACAAACTAAGGAACATGCACAGGACTTTTATATCACAAGGAACTATTGAGAAGGTAGAGAATATAGACTAGTGGTCGGGTTTAATCCCAAATTAGACAATGGAGATATTTTGGGAATTCAGTCGACTGTTTCAACATAGTGGAAGATTACCATTTTGTCATTGAGGTTGGCTGTGTTTATGGAAAGCAAATGTAACTTCTTCATGAGCAACCTCACCAATTGAGGTGCAGTAACGCCTTCAATGTCGGCAATGGATGAAATTGACAGCCTTTTGGTTTTCATATATAAAGAGAAGAAGGAGCATTGAACAGTATCCCTGCCTAAGTACAGTAGCCCCTTCGCCATAGCATATTGGTGAAAGTGGTCCAAATTTATCACTTGGAAAAGCTTTGAATATTGCTTGTTGTCTTTCCATTAAAGGCATTCCAATACATGGAGACTCTTCCTTCTTCCCAATGAAGAACAGTAGAAGCTGTAGCAGTTTCAAAAGTTTAAATAGTGGCAGTTAAACTGGCAGCATTCTAACTTTGATCTCGCCCAAATGATATTATCGTTATATTGTTCTTGAACATTCTACAATATAGAACGTATACTAAATCAATAACTCACATACATTAATGAAGTATATAACCAAGTGGATAAATGCTATTTCCTCGGATAAACACTTCTGAACGGCAAATATGGCGTTCATGAAAACTTTGTGTGTATATCACCACGGAAGCAAATATCTGAATGGCAAAATACACATAGATTTTATCGTACAATATTTCTACGAAAGATGTACCACTTATTTGCACTGCTGAAAATGACAAAGGGTGGAATTGGGAAAGCCCAATTTTTTAAACTTTTAATTTAGTGCATGTTTTAGGCATTTTTTTTGCAAATAAATTGTGTATAAAAAAGCACAGAAAAACTTCCTTTCATAATCATCAGAACAAGGCTACGGAAATGAGTGTTAGAACCACAATAAAAGTATTCTTTAAAGGCTTTTGAATCATTGATCTGTGATGATTGTCGTCAAAGCTTGAGATACGATTGATATTCATTCTTAAACTCTGTGTGTGTGCCCAATTTTCCTACTGCAATGTATGCCGAGGCTAGAGGAGGCTTAAATTTACTTAGGGACTATATTCTGTGCTCAAAGTCAGCTAAAATGTCGTTCCGATGAAATTTGTTGCCAGAGCCGCCTAAAAAATTGTGCATCTTAAGGGGCTAATACAAAAACATTACCTGTTTCTCGGGCCTATACCCAATCAAGAATTTGGTGTCTGGCGCAGTCGTCAAATTTTATGCTCCATTAGCTAAGAGGTTATAGCGTCGTGCTTATAGGCGAGTTCCGACTTTTGGACTTGACTGTACCAAAGTCTTATTGAGACGCGAAGATCGTGGGTTCAATCCCCACATGGAGCACTTATACTTTTTTTTCTTTTCTCAACATATTTTTTTTACTATGGTTCAATCCCCTTCAGGTGTAGATATGTGTTGATTCTATACGTCGTCTGTTGATCCTTAACCCTCCATTTACAGCAACTCCTTTAACCTACTACCTTATACAGGAATTGTAATCTCTTTATAAAAAATGCAGATTTTGTGGATCTCTAGATGGCATGGGGATATTGTTTGCAATGCTTTCTTGAGCGTACAACCTGTTCACAATAAGTGTTTGGGGTATCTAATTCAAAACTCAGTCAGACATCTATAATGTTGGTTATTTACTAGATTCTTTGTGTAAGAGGGTCCACACAATGAGCAAACCTTTTGACCACCCCTTCAGGTTTACCCAAATGTTTTTACTGCAAAAAAGAGAGAGACTGCCTGTGTTCTCTGTAGTAGCTTAGTTATCAATATATGTGGCTGGATTTTGTGGTGAAATTACACGCTGTGAAGCACTCCCTCCCTTGATAAAATCCTTAAGGAAGCTGATTACATCTACCAAACTTTAAAGAGCACGGAATTTCCATTTTTAAAAAATAGAGTCATACCACTATATCCACATATAGCTGATCTTCGATGCAACTTCCTATTACAACTTTAACTTTTACTAAATATCAACTTTCTAATACTTTTTTAAAAAGACCCTGCTGACCGAGATTAATAACGACACCGGAAATGTCATTAAATATTTCAAACTTCATGCAGTTGAGCTTTTTACAATTATTATGTTCAAACGACAAAGTGTACCAGTTGGTTTAAAAGGAAGGGAAGCTAGAGATGCAAAGTTTCATAGATTTGATTTATTAGACATCAATCGTTCGAGTTTGTAGAGCCCACAGGGCTGAAGAACTATAAAAAAAACACGAGGCAATTCCTTTTGTCGACTCTAGCTTTAGTGGCATGATAAGGTTCTGGAAGTGCTTTCTAAACCCGCCCAGAAATAATTACCTAAGCCGGCGCCGACAGCTACGGCAATCATGTACCATCCGTTATAGGTCATAAACACCAACATTAGGAAAAACGAGTAAAACACTTGGAACCCGTATAAAACTCCTCTTTGTGTTTTAAACTTGCGTTGTTGGGTAGAATTGGTATTTGATGTTGAGGCTGTCAACGTTGCTAATGAGTTTCTCTCCCAATTGGCAACCCATCCTTTGACTAGTTCATATCCTGCTGAGATTAATACAATAACTACCATCGAAATGAGGAAACCTGAGAAGGATTTAACATGCCACCATTTGAACACTACACAAGAGTTGTTCCAATCCCAAGTAAACAACATCTATAAACATAGTTAGTGGGTGATCTGATAAAGCTAGATTCAAGGTTTACATACATTCATTGAGCACATGTCATCTGGCATTGGATGTGAAGGCATTGGCATATCATGGTTCATGGTTGTTTGTGAATGGATCATTCCGTTCTAATGTTGTATTTGTGAACAAGAAGAAGAAGAAGAAGAACCTTTACGAATCGTGATTTTGCTTTTTCTTCTGATTTTTCCTTCGTTTAGGTGACGCCGCAGAGTCCTAGAAAAAGGAGAGGGAAAAGGTTTAATTTCCTTGCTAGAGTATGTTCTTCCCGTTCTTAGTTTAACTCGCTTGAAAGGATCTACGTTACCTGTGGAGGAGTGGAGGAATGGAGAGTAGGACTGACTATACTTACGCTATTCTAACTTTGTTCCTTGGCTGTAAGAATCTTATACATTTACTTTCTTGTGTAATGATTTTTATACTGTTATGTGTAACAAAATTTCTAAGGAGAATGAACACCGAAAGATATGCCGAAACAGAGGAACGAGTGTATGTGTGGTAGGGAGTCATGTGTTGATTCCTATTTTGTCCGATAATGACTGATTTGAAAATTACAAAATTTCCGCGCTATATTTTTATTCTCTCTTTCTCTCTTTACAATAATAACTAAACGATGCTTGTTTAATAACTATTAAATAAAAAAACAAAAAAATACAAAAAAGAAACTACCGGAAGACAGAACAGAACAGACAGACAAGACAGACAAAAAACAAAAGAAAAAAGAAAGAGCAAAAAACAAGGCCAAAGTCATGCGCTTATATACAGGATGAAATGATTATTTAATTTTTATATAAATATGATGATGAATGTCTCTTTCAATTTACATTCACTACTAATCCCCAATTGCTTTATTAACAAACACAATCGATATCAATCAAATAAAATAATATTATCCTAATCTACCATGAAGATTCTTTCAACAGATGAGAAAAATGCTCACATGAACTATTTGTTGTCACAGGGGGCTAAAGGTTTAGTTTATGGTGGTGTTGTTTCTGCTGGTATATATTCATTCTTCAAATACAGAAGACCAGCTAGGTTTGCCACTTTCACTGCTAGTGTCAAGGCGGCCATCATTGTTGTTCCAACCATTGGTATTTCTGCTTTCTGGGCTGATCAAGGTTCATGGGAGTTCGACAAGATGATGCATCAATCAGAGTATACGCAACAACAAATGTTGGAGGAACACAGGAAATTCAATAGCTTATCTACATCAGAAAAGATCTTTACAACATTGGGTGCCCACAAGTATCAGATTATTATTGCTGCATGGGCTGCATCGCTTTATGGATCATGGACCATTATTAATAGAGACAAAGTCATGACCACAGCACAAAAGGCAGTACAAGCAAGAGTGTATGCCCAAGCCATCACAGTTGTTTTGTTGTTGGGTACCATCTTGTTGAGTTTAAAAGAAGCTGAAATTAACAAGAGCAAACCGGCACCACTCCCTCATTGGAAACAAGTTCTACTTGAAAAGGAAGCCGAGAAGCAAGAAGATGAACATAGATTAGCAGAGGAAAAGCGTAATGCCGCTGAAAAAAAGGAAACTTTATAGAGATAACTGGGGAAAAGCTGCAGAGTTCAATGGCAGGTCTTATTGGAAAATTAATTTTTTTGACGGTTTAACCGAACACTGGGTGCTAATGCGTGTGTGTATAATAAATGTGTATATAGTTTGATGAATTTTGAAACGATAAATGTGATGATAGCTTTGTAAAGGGGATGTTGATGGCTCTGCTAGTTGGCACAGTATCCAACTCCATTTGAGTTAAAGTGCGCATTGGATAATTTTCTATTTTCATTTTTTTTTTTTTCATACCGATTTTCAAACTGCTAACGAAACAGAGGTCCCCATCATTGCTAGACCATCAGCAACAATGGCACCTAAAGTCAAGAAGACAACGCCTCAACAGGATGAAAAGCTACAGGCAGTGGTATTGACTGACTCCTTTGAGACTCGATTTGCACCATTAATCACCACCAAGCCAAGATGTTTATTGCCTTTGGTCAACGTTCCATTAATTGAATATACGATGGAGTTTCTTGCCAATGCAGGGATATCGGAAATCTTTCTTGTTTGCTCATCGCATGCTGATCAAATACAAGAGTATATTGAGAAATCCAAATGGAATGCCACGGTTATTTTGTCATTGGAGTCACGATCAATTGGTGATGCGATGAGAGATATTGACAATCGTGGACTAATAACTGGTGATTTCCTTTTGGTTACTGGTGACATTGTTAGTAATATTGATTTCAAAAAAGTGTACGATTTCCACAAGAGTAAGAAAGCTCAAGATAAGGATTACATGATGACGATGATTTTGACTCAAGCCTCACCATTGCATAGAACTAGATCCCACATTGATCCAGCAGCATTTGTTCTAGATAAGAAAACAGACAAGTGCATTTATTACCAAGATTTATCCAAATCATCCATTGATATAGATCCTGAATTGATTGAAGATGTCGACGAATTTGTCATTCGAAACGATTTAATTGACTGTCATGTTGATATTTGCTCACCCCATGTACCACAGATTTTTCAAGAAAATTTTGATTACCAATATTTAAGAAGTGATTTCTTGCGTGGGGTTTTAACTTCTGATTTGTTGAAAAAGACAGTTTACACATTTATAAACCAAGATTATTCCGCCAGAGTGGAAAGTTGGGGCACTTATGATGCAGTTTCAAAGGATATTTTAGCTAGATGGTGCTATCCCATTGTTCCTGATGTTAATTTAACCGACTCATCGTACGCTTTTGAATTTAACAACATATACAAGGAAGAGAAGGTTTTACTTGCCCAATCATGTAAAATTGGTACATCAGTAGCTATTGGCAGAAATTCAAAAGTTGGTGATGGAAGTAGCATCAAGAAATCTGTAATTGGAAGAAATTGCGTCGTTGGCAAGAATGTATCCATTTTGAACTCATACATTTGGGATGATTCAATAATAGAGGATGGTGCCAATATAGAGTCCAGTATTGTGGCATCATCAGGACATATCAAGGAGCTGGCAACAATTTCCAATAGTATAATTGGGTTTGATGTAACTGTTGATGCTGGTGAAAATGTATCCAATTGTAAGGTCTCTAAAGACGATGGAGTTGAGGTTGAGGGCATGTTGTCACGTTTGAAACTCCTCAACCATTCTGATGAATCAATTGCATCCGTAACCAAGAAGAAGAAACGTACCCATTCACGAACTAGAAGACTTTCATCCAACTCAATGATGTCAGAACCAGAAGAAGACTTTAGTGTCGAAGGTGTAGCAACTGTTTGTCGGGCAATTGAAAACAATCATGACATAGACACAGCACTCTTGGAGCTAAACACTTTACGTATGTCAATGAATGTCAACTATCATGATGTTCGAAGTGTAACCACTGAAGCAATCTTGAAGAAAATTGTTGATTTTGTATCCACCGATACATTGAAGCCGCAAGAAGCAGCAACTAAATTGTTTACTCATTGGGGAAAAATGTATCGTCGACAAACGTTTACTGCTGAAGAAGAAGTCGATTTATTGGATATTTTGGAGGAACAGATTACCGATTTAGATCCTGAATATCATCAAGTGGTGCTTTTCTGTGCGTTGAAATCATTGTATGATTTAGAAATTGCTGAAGAGGATAATATACTCAAATGGTGGAGCAAAGGTGATGTGAAAGCTCAAGTTAGAGGTTTGGCCAGTAAGTTTATTAATTGGTTGGAAGAGGCGGAAGAAGATAGCGAAGAAGAGGAAGAAGAAGAAGAAGAAGAAGAGGAGGAGGAGGATGAATAGGTGTGTATCCTTTTTGATTGTAACTACTTCAAAACTTGCAAAACCATTCTTACCTTACCCCGACACAATTTCTATAGAGCAACAAATTGAGTGAAACACTGAGCACATGAGCGTAGAGCTTCTAATCCAAAAGGTGTGTTCTTTTACAATTGTTCTATATATACACGTTCATACAACAAGCTTATTTTACATAGAACCGTTCATTTCAATACAAGGGCATCCCTTAATATCCTCTATGCACAAGTTGTAATAATTAAATAGCAATTTACTTAATTTTAAAGATTACTCTTGTAGTGAAGATAAAAGCTTAGATTTCAAACTGCCTATAAAAATGTATAAAATGTGCTGATTGAGCTACTTATATAGTTTCCCAAATCTCCCACAACCACCTAAATTACCAAAGCGTATCAGCTTAACCACGTTCCTAACAAGGCTAAATGATAGTATGTTTCCGTTATTGGTAAATTTAGCATTTGTAGTAAAATAATCGGTAGCACCTTATATATGGTGTAACAGTTTGCAAAAGCAAAGTTTAAAAAAGGAGGTTGCAAAATGCTACATTACAAGGCATAAAGCGATGACTTGTACATTAAAATTTTCACGACAAATCAAGCGCTTTGCAAATTGAAATTGCATCTCCTTTAAGCAACTGTATCTTTTGCCAAAACCTACCAAGATGAAGCCCGAAAGTAAGGATGGTGGTAACATGACAACCACTTTAAAGAGCCTAGTTTCAATTCATATGCAAACTGAAAACCTTGTAAAACACCACGTCAACCAAATCGAGAGTACACTAAGAGAGATAGAGCAAATCTCGGCAGAGGCTAACCTCAAAGTGACTCAACGCTTGGAAGAAATTAAAAGGCATAATGTGATGTTAAAGTATTTAATTGGTGGAGAGATAAACCAAGAGAATCCAATAGACAAAATCGATTTGGATAATAAGAGGCCGAAACAAACCAAATCAAATGGGATAGCACGGTTCTTGCTTAGGACTGAGCAAAAAGGAAAAGCGGCGTAAAGTGGTGGTCTCAGTTTTTGGTTATAGTTCTATATATTTTTCTTAGAAGAATGTAAATCAATCGATATGTCCATATCTATAGTTTAATGGATTAATGCTAAACACACTGTTGCCATTGCTGGCATCTTCTAGCAAAATTGGTCTAAGTCTGCTTTTTCAAGTGGCATGATTGTCGGGTCGTAATGATTCCAGAACAAACTCAAACATCATGCGGCTTTGCGTCTCGTATAAATAAAAATAGAAAACGAAAAAGCTCAACTGTCGCGCGTCGTTTAGAGACACCAGGAAAAAAAAAGAAAAGAAAATTGAAATTTAAAAGAATCATATGATACACGTAGACGATATATAAAGAGAGAAAAGGAACCATCGCCTCATTCCAAACATCTGTTAACTAAAGCAGATACCCAACCAAGTGAAATTCAGAGAGCAATGACCACAGAATACGACGTTATTGTGATTGGGGCTGGTGTAGTGGGGCCATGCATAGCAACTGCCTTAGCTAGACAAGGAAGAAAAGTGCTCATCATCGAACGAGATTGGTCAAGGCCCGATAGAATCGTTGGAGAATTAATGCAGCCAGCAGGTGTCAAAGCTTTGAGGGAGTTGGGAATGATTAATGCCATTAATGACATTAATGCTGTTGACTGTACGGGATACTATATTCAGTATTACAAAGACCATGTCACTATCGACTATCCATTCAAAGACGTGGCACAAGTAACCAACCCCGTGAAACCATTGGGAAAGGAGTATAAGCTAAGACTGGACTCAACTATAGATGTAAAGAAATGGGACGAAGATGAGCGAGTTCGTGGGATTGCATTTCACCATGGAGAATTTTTACAAAATTTACGAAGTATATGTAAGACAGAACCCAATGTCACAGCACTAGAAGGCACAGTGACAAAATTGGTACGTGAATCAAATGGTACTGTTGTTGGTGTTGAGGGTAAACGACAACAAAATGAAACCTTCCAGTATCGAGCCAAATTGATTATATCATGTGATGGAATTTACTCCAAGTTCAGAACCGAATTGGGGGAGAATAACGTACCTTCAATCGGATCTTATTTTATTGGGTTTTATTTGGAAGATGCCAAATTGCCAGCACCAAATAAAGGACATGTCTTGTTGGGCGATCACGCGCCAGTGCTTATATACCAAGTATCGCCTAGTGAGACCCGAGTACTTTGTGCCTTCCGATCAACTAAACCGCCTTCGGCTGCCAAAAATGAAATCTACAATTACTTACAACAAGATGTATTACCAGTGGTGCCAAAGGAATTGTATGCTGCTTTTAAACAAGGTGTCGAAAAGAAAAAGTTTCGAGTTATGCCTAATCAATACCTTTCTGCCAAAAAGCAAAATCAACGTGGATTAATTTTGCTTGGTGATTCATTAAATATGAGACATCCATTAACCGGAGGCGGAATGACTGTGGGGTTAAATGATGCTGTTTTGTTGGCACGGTTATTAGATCCCAAATCAATCGAAGATTTGGACGATTATGATTCAGTGCAAGAAAAATTAACCATATTCCATCGCAAGCGGAAAAACCTTGATGCTGTAATCAATACGTTATCAATTGCATTATATTCGTTGTTTGCTGCTGATAAGAGGCCATTAAAAATCTTGCAACGTGGGTGTTTTAGGTACTTTGAACGTGGTGGTGATTGTATTGCTGGACCAATTGGGCTATTAAGTGGAGTATTACCATTTCCCATGTTATTATTCAATCATTTTTTCAGTGTGGCATTTTATTCTATTTATTTGAACTTTATTGATCGGGGTATTTTGTTCCCCATTGCTATTTGGGAAGCTTTTGAGGTGTTGTTTACTGCTGTTGTTATATTTACACCTTATTTGTGGACTGAATTGGTCAAGTGAGAGGGGGAAAATGGAGGGGATTCTACTCCATATACGATGTTGCAACGTTGTTGGTATTTATATATATATATATGTCTAGTAAGAGACGTTAGTTAAGGAGGGCTTTTAATACTCTGCCTATTTGATTGTCATTACAGGGTGTGTGACGCAAAAACATATTCTTTTTCTAAGACAAAAGAAGAAAAAATGAAAAATTGTTTAATTTTTTTTGGGCTTGTAAGTTTCACAAGATCGATAGTGAAGCTTTTGGGCTAAAATAGATAGAGGCTTAGATCAAGGAAACTGTGTAAAAGGGGATCCAAGTTTGAATTACTGTAAAATTTCATACTCTAATTTGATTTATCGCTTCTGTTTAGTGGTCATCAAGACCAGGTCCTTTCTAACCGCGGGGAATAATCGGATCTGACCAGTTTGTGTGTGTGTGTCCCATTGGAAAAAAAACTTTTGCTGGCTTTGCTAAACAACTAAAGGTACAAGTACATAATGATTTTAAGTACTGGCGCATAAAAAATTTCATCTTTTCCATTGTTAACAAACCCAAACAAAAGGGGACTCTAAGAGCGAAACAAAGTCATAAAAAAAAATTCTGTCTCATATAAGTTGACCTAGATTGCTGCTCAATTCTTCTTCTTCGTTAATCTATCACACCAACCACCAAATTATTAGCAAATCAATTCTACAATGAGTGATTTACCATTGCTTGGTTCATCTCGCCAACAGTCCCATTCGTTTATTCAAAATTTCTCCCATGCCACCAAGTTAACCTTGAAATCTTCCCCCGTCAACTATTTACTTGTATTTGTTCCATTAGGATTAATTGCTGGTGCATTAGATTGGGGAGCCAATGCCAGATTCTGGCTCAATTTCTTTGCCATTATTCCCTTGGCCTCAATCCTCGCATTCGCTACCGAGGAAATTAGTGAGTATGTGGGACAGACAGTAGGTGGGTTGTTGAATGCTACATTTGGTAATGCAGTTGAATTGATTGTTTCAATTATCGCTTTAAAAGAAAACCAAGTTCGAATTGTTCAAGCATCTATGTTGGGTTCGATTTTAAGTAACTTGTTGTTGGTTCTTGGTTGTTGTTTTGTTGCTGGTGGTATTACTCGAGTTCAACAAACATTTAACCAAACGGTTGCACAAACAATGTCGAGTTTAATGGCTTTGGCTACTTCTTCATTGTTGATTCCTGCTGCATTCCATGCTTCTTTACCAGCACCAAACGGAGACAAGGGAGAATTCCCCGAACCAGGTACTTCTGATGACTTGATTCTTAGTTTTTCACGTGGGGTTTCGGTTATCTTGTTGGTGATTTATTTATTTTACTTGTTGTTTTCATTAAAGACTCATAAATCGTTGTTTGAAGAGACTGGTGCTTTAGGTGATGACCATGATGCTAACAACACTTCATCCGACGATATCATCACCGGTAAATCAGAAGACGACCATTTGCTGGTTTTAGGTGGATTAACAGTTTTGTTACTTACTACATTGTTGGTTTCAGTATCGGCCGATTATTTAGTTGGCTCAATTGACGAAATTGTTGAAAAGTCTGGCCTTTCCAAAACATTTATTGGTTTAATTGTTATCCCCATTGTCGGTAATGCTGCTGAACATGTGACTGCAGTCATTGTTGCCATGAAAGATAAGATGGATCTTGCTATAGGTGTTGCCGTGGGATCTTCTTTGCAAATCGCTATATTTGTTACTCCATTTATGGTATTAGTTGGTTGGATTATTGACGTGCCAATGTCATTGTATTTCTCCACTTTTGAAACGGCAATTTTATTTGTGAGTGTGTTTATTACTAATTTGGTGATTTTAGATGGTGAGAGTAATTGGTTAGAAGGTGCGATGTTGTTGTCAACATATTTGATTATAGCATTGGCATTCTTCTATTATCCTGATTCTGCTGGGTTATAAGAGAAGTCAAGGGAAAGATGATGATTATCAGAAGTACACGATGAAGTAACATTGTTTTGATTATATTTTTCTTGTTCTTTCTGTTTTGTAAGCTTAAGGATATTGTAATAGATAAAAACTTTGGTTAAAAGAGAGCGAAAATACATTGATGGAAAGCAAAAGATACACTGAGCTTTTTACTCTATGGAGCGTTCTTTTCTGGCCTAGAATTGAATTGGACTCTTTCTCCTGGGTTCTGCATATGGATCATCATGGCTGTGTCTCATTTCAAAACGCGACACGAAGAAGAAGATATGACGCGAGCCGCGAAGGAGACTAGCCAATGCTGCAGGATCTAAAAAAACAAGCCGCACTGGCGGCTTGATCTTGAAGTTTGAAATACTTAGTTTCGCATTGATTTTGAATGTGTTAGGGAAATCTAGTCTATTCAGATGAAGTAGTTTAGTTCTATTGAAAAGCAGATCAGTTGAAAGAGGAAATGGTAAACGATTGGATTCAATTTGTTGTAGCTGAGAAGAAATTAGCTATGTTGATATTCCGCAAGCCAAATTAGAATAGTAAACAAAACACTTCTACCATACTGTCTGAGAGGTACAATATAATCACATCGGCAGTTGTAATTTTGAGGTATTTTTTTTTAACTCACCATCGGATACAAACTCGAGCCGAGATAGATAGAAGGTAACCATTGTGGCGAAGTCAATGACTGGATGCTGGGAGGCGAGGAAACAAAATGACCTGGAGAAAACAAAAAAGATGTAGACAAAACTGAGAGACTGAGAGAGGAACAATGGGCCAATGAAGAGCACTAAAGTGTTATTGCGTGATCAATGTGTTGTTAATGTAAGACATCTCCGTCCATCGCTGCTTTGTCTTCTGTAATTACACGATACTATTGATTAAGTAAGACAATTTAGTGTAAGTGTAGTTTGGAGGAGACTGTTTGTTTGTATTTTGTTGTTTTGATAATTCGCGTGTATTGTGATTTGACGCGTTTTGCAACTTACACGTTAATTTTTTATTTTTTATTTTTTATTTTTCTCTTTGGGCAAATTAAATTAAAATTTTAAATAAAAAAAACGTTTCTTAGTTTTTTCCTGTATGTAATAATATAATAAGTTATAAGTAATTAACTGAAATTGGTAAATTAAAAAAGAAAGAAGAAAATATTAACATTGGCGATAGATAGATATAAACTAAAGAGGATTCAGAATCAAGAGTAAGTTGTTAATCGTAACCTCCTTTAAATATACTGATGATAGTGTTTAAGCGCCCACCAACTTTGTCTTTAATGAGCGTCAAAAGTGAATAGTAGCAACTGAAAAAAAAAAGAAAAAAAGAAAAAATATTAATATCAGCGCTTAACAAACAAAGCACAGTCTGATACACACAAACGTTTTTTTTTCTTCACCTTTCAACTGATGTCTCTCTCCCCACTTCTGACAGGGCTATTCCTTTCAAAATTTACCCAAATCAAGAAAAACATGACATTAGCTAAAATAGGACACTGGTATCATGAATTAAAACTGAAACCACAGTCATTGCTATCTCTCTTTTTGGTTAGCGCTGTCTTACCACTTGAGGTATACAAACTACTTGCCGAAAAGAGAATAGTACTACGCTTTGTAAATGTCACTGGTTTCTAGAGCTTTTCTGTAATTGTACAAAACAAGTTTATCTACTTTCTCTTGTTTGTTGCTTGGGACTTCCACTGCTTTATGTGTAAGGATAAGTGTGTCTTTGTAGTGTTGTTGTTTACTAGCTGTTTTCTTCTTGCCCCTTCCATATATTTATGTGTTCTTATTCTTCTTCTTCTTCTTCTTTTAGTTATTGTTATTGTTGTTTTTGCAACTCCTTTCCCAATAAAGTTTTAAATTTTAAACAGCAAGGGGGTGTATATTATATAATATAATTTAGCTAGATTATATAAATATTATGTAATAGAATGAGAGTGAGTTATGTAATTGCAATATAAAATTAACCAACGCGTGCAAAAAGATTGAAACTGAAATTTAAAATTTGCAATTTCCTAATTGGGACATGTACCTTGTTAAAGTAATTTTTTTTATATATTGTGTTTGTACTACTTTTTATACCAAATCTAATTCTTTTTGGCGTTTAGGAATATGTATAGCTATATCTACATTTATATATATAACTTTCCAATTTATTCTACTTCCATACAGAGATATAGCTCTTACTCCTAGAGGTCATTCATTTTCAGGCATTCATATATATATATATATACCACTTCACCTTCAATCCACATATTTTGCAATCCAACTGGAGCTCAGTACCACACACTCACATCACCTAATAACTACTCCTACATAAACACACACACATATATAGCACCAAAATGTCTGATAGAGAAGCATTGAAGATATTTTCAAGACAACCAGTCAACTTGGATATGATTAATTTCCTTGTATCAACCACAAATTCAATAATACAAGTTAAACCACAACAGCAACTCCCATCACCTGCATCATCGACGCTGCTGTTGCTGATGAATGGTACATCAGAAATTGTATCCATCAACCCACCAATCACTTTAACTCAATTTATCAAGAATTTAATCAAATACTCCAATGTTCAAACTCCGACCCTTATGGCTACTTTGGTGTATTTGAACAAATTGCGCAACTATTTGCCAGCTAATGCCGTAGGTATGGAAACCACCAGACACCGTATCTTTTTATCCGCATTGATTGTTGCTGCAAAATCACTAAATGACAGTTCACCATTGAATAAACACTGGACCAAATATACTGATGGATTAATGTCTTTACAAGATGTTAATTTAGCTGAACGTGAATTAATTTCAATATTGAATTGGAATATCACCATTACTCAAGAAGAATTGATTTATACTTTACAACCATTCTTGATTGGTATCAAATCATGTTTGTTACAACAACAAGAATTGGAATCAGTTCAAAGAATCAAGTATTACCGCTTGACGCAGAAGAAGTCCACCAATTCAATATTATCGTTGGGTTCAAGAAGCTCAACTCCAACTGTGGAATCACCTCCAGTTTCTTCAACTTCACTTTCATCTTCATTATACTCATCATCTTCATCTTCTTCTTCAAATTACTCATTGCATAATGGTGTATCTGCTTCATCATCAATCGCATCAAACTTGTCTCAATATGAAGATGTTTCACCACCTCAATACACTTACAAGTCAAATCAACAACATCAACAGCATCATAATCATCATCACAAGCTTCCATTATCTTCAACATCCGATAATAACTTGAATACCCTAAAACAACCATCAGCCCAAAGTCATAATCAAATGATGCCGCTGCAAATTCCAATCTCCAAATCATCCAAGTTTGGTGGCCAAAAGGATAAAAATCAGTACTTGGCTCCAATTATTAAAAAGAAGAGATCCATGATGAGCTTATTGACTTCTTCAGGTAAAGTTGTCGCATAAACTTAAAACAATCCCTTCTTTTTATATTGTTTACTTCCTTTTTTACTTCGTTGGAGATTCTTTTTGTTCATAAATGGATTTGGGAATTGGGCTTATTTTTTTTGGGTTAAAGATTTTTAGGATTTTGTTTTGAGGAATTTGATATTCTTCTTGTAATGGATGGTTTTTTACATTAGGTTTCATAGTAATAATATACATTGTAATATTACATTGAAGACTGTACAAATTGATGTTTCATATATGTGTGTAAAGAGATGCCAAAAGAGGAGCAAGATCTACATCATAGTTCATCTTCAATACAACTCTCGACTAAAAGATATACACCTCCTTTCTCTATATCCATTCTACTCTCAATGATCATGAGGGTCTTCCTTTGGTGGTTCTGGATGTACTTCAATAATAGTATCGATTCTCAAAATAGAAACACATGCCTCCAATGCCGATTTCAAAGCCTTGATTTTAGAAATTGTTGGTTCCAAAACTCCCTGAGTAGCTTCATTAACAATCTTACCATGGATTAAATCCAAACCATAATTCTTGTATTTTTTCCTCTTTTCATCATCAGTCTTGGCTAATTGTGCAGCAGCATGATAGGTTCTTAATTTTGATACTAATTCCGATGCATCTTTAGCAGCATTGAGGGCTAATGTCTTGGGGATAATCAATAACGCAGCTCCAAATTCAGCGATTGCCAATTGATCTCTTGAACCCACCGTGGATGCAAAATTTTCCAAGTAGATATTTAAAGCAGTTTCAACTGCCCCTCCACCAGGTACAACATTTCCACTTTCCAATGTCCTTTTAACTACTGAAAGGGAATCATTTATCGACCTTTGCATTTCATCTAAAGAATAATCATTGGGACCCCTTAGAATTATTGAACTTGATGAATGCTGTTTAGTACCCTTGATTAATATACATTCATCGTCACTGATTCTTGTTTGAACCACTTCTTGTGCTGAACCCAAATTACTAGCTTCAAATGTCTCTTCACCTTCTAAATTACTCAACGATGACACTAACGTGGCACCAGTGGCTCGAGCAATTCTTCTCAAATCTTCCTTTTTACAACGTCTAACGGCCATACAACCGTTTTCAACAAATTCTTTTAAACATAAATCATCAATTCCCTTGGTGGTCAAAATAACATTGGCACCACTAGCTATGATTTTCTGAATTCGTTCAATAATAATTCCGTATTCTCTCTTTCTAATTTCTTCCAATTGATCAGGATCTTCAATATTTATTTGTACACCCATAGCCATTCTTGCCTTTTGCAAATTGATATCAAGGCATGCAATCTTGGCATTCTTAACCTCCTTCACCATGGCTTGAGATGCAACAGTACAGTTCAACGCATAACCTTCAACCAACACGGATTCCAATGCTGATTTACCATGGGCCTTTAAAATGTTTACTGCTTTAACAGGGTACTTGGTTTCCCCCTTTGTGTTTGTTGTCTTTACAGCCAACATTGCATCAACAACAATCTTGCTGAAGAAATCAGAATCAGCTCCAATAATCTTGGATGACATTGACGTCTTGGCGATATTTATCAATGTTTCCTTTCCCAATTGGTCAACATTCTGGGACAAGATTTGGTTAATGTATCTAATCGACTCCTTCAACGCCAACCTATACCCACTTATAATTGTAGTGGGGTGTATTTTATGTTTGACCAACTCATTAGCACGTTTCAACAATTCAGCAGCAATAATAACAACTGAAGTTGTTCCATCTCCAACCTCACGATCTTGCTGTTGGGCCAATTCAACCAAAATTTGCCCAGCTGGATGCTGAACATCTAACAATGCTAGAATAGTAGCTCCATCGTTGGTTACTGTGACGTCTCCAATATCGTCAACTAACATCTTATCCAACCCAACTGGTCCCAATGATGACTTGACAACATTGGCCACTGTTTGTGCAGCTAAAACTGTTTGGTTACGCACATCATCACCAGTGACTTTCTGAGCCCCCAAGAATAACGTATCTGAACGAGCTGCAGAGAACATATGTGATTGAAGTAGTTGCTTTGCTTGTTGTTGAAAGAAAAAGCTCCCTCTTGTCTAGTACAGTTGCAACAGAAAATTTTTATTGACAAATGATTCCAACTTTCGCGCAGTTGAAGAGAGAACAAAAGAGAAGATTACAGAAACATTGAAAATTCTAATGATTGCAACTAAAGAGAGTCATTGACGTTGAATTTACTATCGATGAATGAATTCAGGTTGTTGAATGTGGCATTGTATGCACTTATTACACTGTAGATTATCACTGTCAGTTCTTAGATTGTGAAGTGGTGTTAACTTATCACTAGAGGTATCTGATTTCATAACCTGTGCACGAGAGATCATCGACTAGTTCAAATAAACATACCATCTATTAGATGAATGTACAATATATCTTCAAATATGACATGAATTTCTGAAACTATCGGGAACTCAAACTGGACGACTACTGAAAACTTGAAACTCTTTGCTTCAGTAGTTTCGTTTGCAACGCGTTTTGAAAGTACCTTACTACCTCTTCCTTTGCCTATTTATAACCTAATATTACATCCTAACTTCCCTCCTTCAATAGCTCAATACACACTTTTTAAGGTTAAAGTTTCAAGGTTGTTCCAAACTCAGTTTTGATAATTTCCTATTTGGGTTGCCTATCAACAACGCCGCAGCAATAGCAAAAGTCATGTGAGCAAAAGAAAATTCAAATAAAAAGACAAAATATAAACAAAGCACAAATGCCACTCTTTTTTTGAATACCCGATACTCCACAACTAACCCAAGCTGGCGTTAGCAATGTTTAGACTCACGGTTAATCCTGGAAGGGCATTGACTACTCAATTTGTTTACAGGCCACTTTGGAACGCGTCAATTCCTCACCAAGCTGTAAAATTCTTGACTACCAAAACCGCCAAATCTCCAGAAGCAAAAGCACTTGATCGTTTGAAGGAGAAGATTAAAACAGCCAAAGCAAACAAAAAGAAGCTCGAAAAGAATCTTAAGGAAAAAGAAAAGGATATCAAGGCTTTAGTCAGTCAACGTAAGAAAGATGCAGTGGCTGAGGAAAAGGCCAAGTTGAAAGAAAAGAAAGAATTGGCAAAACATCAAGCCTACTTGAAAGATACATTGAGAGAACCTCGTCCATACACAGTGCAAAACTACTTTGCAAAAGTAACCAAGACTCCAGTGACAACATTAACTCAAGGATTTAGTGCCTTATCTGAATCTGAAGTAGCCAAATACCAGAAAGCAACTGATGAATACAACCATGCATTAAAATCCATATTGACACCAAAGCCAGTGTTAGGCCCTACTTCAGGATACCAAAAGTTTGTTAGTGAAAATTATCCTCCAAATGTCACTGCTGCTGAAGCAATGAGAAAATTGGCTGACGAATGGAAACAATTGTCTAAGGAAGAAAAGGAATCGTATCATGTGCCTGAAGTAGAAGTGGAAAGAATCAAAAAGATTCAAAGGGATTGGGAACAAACTAGAGAAAAGGAGTATCCCAAGTTAGTCAAGTTTAAACAAGAGTATAAATTTACTATCTAAAATGTATTAACTAAAAAACACGAAATTATTGCTAAAAACTTGTACAAAAATCTATCATCGAGTTTAGTTTTAATAAGTGAAATTGTAAGAACATGAAAACAGCCTCGTATCTGTGACATCAAGTTATCTCACCTTTATTCTAATTCTTCTACTTCTTCTTCTTCTCTTGCTCTATCATTTCTCCCAAGCGCTTCAACACTCGTTTCAATTCATTAGGCAAGATTGGTTTGGATATGAAATCAACCATACCACATTCAATACACTTTTCGCGATCATCACCGGCAACATTTGCCGTCAAGGCAACAATCTTAGGAATATAATCTTGCTTGTTCAACTTGACATATTTATCAATCAATTCTTTCGTGGCAGTAATACCATCCTTGGTAGGCATTTGAATATCCATTAATACCACGTCATATTTTTCATCTTTTTCCAATAAGGAATCACACTTTTCCAAGACTTCAACTCCATCTTTGGCATGGTCGGCTTGAAATCCCAATTTTTCTAAATATTTCAACGCAACTTTATAATTTAGTAAATTATCTTCAGCAAGAAGAATTCTCAACAGATATTCATCAGCCAATTGGGCCGGTGTTATGACATTGGGTTTTGCTTCATGTTTAACATCTCTAAGTAATCTCACTACCCGCTCACGTTGGAAAGGACATAATAGCGCTTCGTATTTGGCACTTTCACCTGTCAATGGTTTACCAAATTGGGCCAAGATGACCACTTTGGCACCTGGTTTCAATTCAGGTTCAAAATGGCGGAATTCATCATACTCGTCCAAATTGATAAACAAGTAATCGTATTTCCCAACATCTTTCACTTCATTGGCATCGCGGACATCGTCCACCGATAGTTCGAAAAATGTGATCATATTCTTCAATGAAGCACCAGTTAAATCCAATTTATTCAAGATCAATGCTGATTTGCCTGACAATTCAATCTCTGGTTTATCAAACAACAGCACGATGAAACTAACGTTAAAATAGAAAGTACTTCCAACACCTTCCTGACTCTCAAATCTAATATCACCACCCATTATATCGGCCAATTTTTTCGATATAGCTAAACCTAAACCAGATCCACCAAACTCGCGTCGTGATGAGCCATCCACTTGTGAAAAAGCCCCAAACACTTTCTTTTGTGATAGTTCTGGAATACCAATACCAGTGTCTTCCACCGATATAGTAACTTCATATCTATCGGAAGTTAACTCCAGTGCATTGCAATTGATAATGATGTGGCCATGAGTCGTGAATTTCATAGCGTTACCAACCAAGTTGATAATAATTTGCCTTACACGTGTAACATCACCGGTGACGGTATTAATCTGGGGACAATTGTTGAAAAACACCAATTCCAAATCGTTATCAACAACTTGTTCTCCTCCCAATTGTATAGCACTTTCAATACAATCGTTAAGTGAAAATGGAGAATTTTCCAACGTAAATGAACCATGTTCAATTTTTGAAAATGCCAATATGCCATCAATGATATTCAACGTTACCATTGCTGAGCTCTTGATGGCTTCCACATACTCTCTCTGAGTTGAGTTCAAGGTTGTATCCAACAAAAATATTGAGCACGATAATAGTGAATTGAATGGCGTTCTAATTTCATGAGACATATTAGCCAAGAAACTTGCCTTTTCTGCTGTAGCATCCTCGGCCGCCATTTTGGCAACTTCCATTTGTGAAATCAACCTTGCTTTACCCATTGCCACAGATGCTTGCGTACAAAACAAGTTTAGTAAATCACGCTTCCGACCATCAAAAATCGCCTTCTTCTTATCCTTTCTCGAATCCACTTCCAAATACAATGCACCAAAAACTCCAAATTGGTTCTTCAAAGCAATACACAAGATTGTGGAGCAAGAATTGTAATTGTAGTAGGGATCTTTTCCGAATCGATTGGTAAAGGCAATATGATCGTCCTCCTTGTTGATAGTTTCTCCCGATTCTAAAACGTGCACCAACAATTGATAAGGACAAACATCAATTCGTGAACTCAAGGGCTCTTCATTCAAGCTATATATGTGTTGAGCTGAGCCAACAGCCTGGATTTTTGGCTCTCCGTTCATATACACAACAACACCATAGTCAACTTCAGCAAATTTGATAGCGCAAGTCAACAATTCAATCAAAATGGTCCTCTCATCACTTGCCTCAGATATTCCCAAACAAGCCTGTATTGTTGAATTCAAATCATAAGCATTGTTGGTATTTGAGCTTTTATCGGTCCGATGTCTAGCCTTTCTTGATTTTCTATTCAATTTCATTTGTGATTTCATATCATCGCTGACGGCATCATCGGTGCTGATCGGTAGATTGGAAGGTATTGTTTTTGAATACCTTGTCCTTTCTTCCTGATGCTTAGTTTTGTAAATTCCGGCCCAATTAGACATGGACCAATCCTGCTCGAGATATTTTTCAAATTCGTCCTCTAATTGTTTTACAAATTCATGGAAATCCAATTTCCTCATGATGTCAATTGCCCGTTTGACTAATTCACCAATTCTTCTTTTGCTCTTATTACAACTTACCAACCACCTAGCACAAAACACACTAATCCAGGATACGTCATACCAGTTTTGCACTTTTACACCTTGCTCAATAGCTTCCTCAAAAATGTCAAGAATATCCAACAGATCAACAGTGCTTTCTCTAATTGCTTTCAAAGCCAGTAAGAAAACGACTCTATTCGCAAACATTTGTTCATTTGTCGATGCCCACAACTTCATGCGGAGGTAAATATCATTAAAAATGGCTGTCTTTCTTTCTTCCAGCTTTGCGTCTCCTTTCGAAGAAAAGGTGATGAGAACAGCGGACACGTAATAGTAATGATTTGTATAAAATAAAAGTGGGAATGATTCGACAGCTTCATGAGATTTGTTCAAAATCAAGTCAACACCTTCGTCATACCTCCTATCCACCATAAACCCATTCAACAACACAACAAAGTAGCAAAGTTGGCTCAAATTATCTTCGTTCAAGATTTTTGCTTCATGGCGTGCCTTATACTCATCAACAGATAGACACCCAAAAACACAATCCTCAGAGTCAAAAATAAACTCTTGATCATCCAGTAAGTCAAATTTTTGCCTCTGAGACTTCCTTCTCTTTATCAGATACGAGATATCATAAGCTTTTCCACCTAGGAGGAGTACGAATGTCTTTGCCGTGGCCAAAACTATACGCAATTCTCCAAATCCCAGAAGCAAATCATTTTGGGTACTTTCTGAGCTTGTTTCAAAATATTTAAGAACCACCAGCATTGGTTCAAAGTAAACAGCCAATGTGCAAACATAGCATTCATACATTTCGCGATAGTAATTAATTGAGACATTGCTAGCTCGATTAACCAAAATCATACCAACTTTACAAAGTTCTTTGGCTCTTAATTGACCCGAGGATGTGAACTGACTGGCAAAATCAGAACCAAAGTCACATATAATCATAGCCGCAAATGGCGAAGGCCCATGTTTGTAGATAGCATGCATTGCTTGCACAACTAAAAGCCTTCTACTGGCATTCTTTTTAAATATGATCAAAGACGGCAAAAGTTGACTTATCAAGTGGTAAATGAGCAAAAGTTTTGGCGATTCGGTTGTTTTAGCCCTCAAGATATTTCTAATCTCGGGAATCGATATTGGTATCTTTGACTTTAGTTTTTCATAGTCTTTGATATTCTGCTCCTCGTCGGCACTAATTGTGATTCCAAGCTTGGGTAAACTCTCAAAACTTATTTTAATTGCTTCTTCAATTTGGCCCATTTGAATTTTGCAACGAACCAATTGGTATAGAAAAACAATCCGGTCAAATCCATATTTTTCTTGGGCTGTGTTCATTACTTCCAAGCATTTATCATACTCTCCGAAGTAGTAATGATTTTGTGATACAGTCAATATTGATTTAAGTTGACGTTTTGAGTCAAGATCGTCAACTAATTCGCCAACGACCTCAAACAACTTTTGAGCTAACTTCATGTTGTAAGTTGATGATGCATACCTTCCGGCTTGGACCAAAACCTCAATGTACAACTCCTTTTCCTCCAGTCTTGCAACTTGATAAGAGTTGCGAAAGTACCCCGCCATTTGTAAATATCCCCCAATGTTTAAAGTCTTTTCCTTACTTACGGTCTTGTAATATCTCAAGGCACAAAGTCTTGATAATTCCTTGTATCTGTCCGTGGCAACCAAATCGGCGATAACATGGACCACTATAGAATCATAAAAGAACCTATAGCTGCAATGTGATGCTAACTCCCAGATATCATTATCTGATAAATCAAATGGTGATTCATTTGAGGAGAGCAAGTCAAACGGAACCTTATAGTATGTTGTTGTTGGTAAAAGTAGCTTCGAGTCAACCATTACTGATAAAGCTTTGAAAACTTTGTCTATCGGTAAAGCAGATGCAACTATCAAGTCAGATAGATGGAAGCCTGGCCCCTGCGAAATGATTGCCGCAAATTCGACTAAGCTTTTGACATCTGGATTGATCGACGCGGACATAAAATTCTCAATTACTTCGTTCCTGTTCATTCCATAATTTTGCGGAGATAAATTATCAACGACAAAACGGCCATAATTTACATGGCCGACGTAATAGCAATGCTGTGAAAACCTTGCCATACATATCGCATACTGAGCCAACATAATATTTCCCATTGTTGCTTCGTAAAAGTTTCGAGCATTGATATTTGCGTCATTGTTTGCTCTCAGGGGCTTTTGGTGCTTCTTCTCAGTTGTGGTCTTGTTAATCATCGACGACATGCTGCTTTGTTCTGGTGGCGAGTGCCCGCCATGCTTTGCTGACGACGTGTTTGCACCAATCACCTGCAGAATCCAACTTTTATATGCATCTGCAGGTACTTCTGGTATATTGTAAATATGTAGCGACAAGCTGGATCTATTGGCATAGTCCTTGAACCTTTTTTCCTTCTCCACACTATCAATTTTTTCTTGAAACTGGTCAGCATCTGTCGTAAACGTGGTAACAACCTTTAAGCACATATCGCTGATATCAGCCTCGTCGTCAAAATTCAATATGTCACATAATATTCGCCACGACTCCTCAGTGCACCAATGCAGGTCATCGATAAAAATTGTCAAGCCTTGCAAACCAACCACTTTGTAAAATGACTTTATAATCGCCCTAAATTTGACTTCCAATGTTGACGTTGCTTCTTCTTTGATCGCACCCCCTGGTGAGTTTGTTCCCAGCTTATGTTGATATATGGAAATATATTTTTGACCCAATAGCTTTCGCAATTGGGGAATAAGATAAAACAATATGCTCAAATCCAAGGGTATATTAGTGACAATCAAGTCACGCCAGCTATCCTGTATCTCCTCGGAACATTCCAAAATCTGTCCAATAATTGTTTTAATACCTTCCAAAAGTATTGAATATATTGAGCTGCCTGTATCCGAGCAAGAGAACTTCCAAATGCAATAAAAGTCATATTTGAAAAAAGCCCCTACACGCATATCATTCAAAATAATGGTCTTGCCAACACCGCTTTTACCACTCAACCAAAACAAATTGACACCGCCGTCAAATGTATTGTTGTATTCCTCAAAGATGCTCTTGTATAATTCATCACGACCTATGAACTTGGCTGGACAAGTAAATATTGGACTGTGGCCAACTTTTTCTGGATGTTTCATCTTTTCCTTATTGAGATAGATATCAAAATCACCCGTCTTTTTCCAATGGTTCCATACTAGCTCCCCCAAAGAACCAACTCTATCGATGTAGTGGTTTTTGATTAGTATCAAATCGCTTAATAACGAATAGCAGTCGGTGTATCTATCCAGTGGATTCTTCTCAAGACACCTCATAATGGTGGAACTAAGTTTCTCTGAGATCCAACTAGGTGCCAACAAGTGAGGAGCAACTGGCTTTTGAAAAATGTGCATGCGTACAATTGAATTTGGATCCTCGCTTTGGAACGGTAAAGTTCCCAATAGCAATTCATACATCACAATACCAATGGAGTAAAAATCTGATCGGTGGTCCACCATCTGATTAACAACACCCGACACTTCTGGGGCCATATATGGAATCAAGTCCGATATTTCGTTCAAATGGTTTTTTCTGTAACCGTATATACAGTCTTCAAGGTGAGAAAAGGCAAACTCCCAGCCAGTGATCCTGATATCATTCTGGTCAGTTTCAGATTTCAACAAGTTCATACTGGTAATACCATTATGAACAAACCCGAGTTCATGTACCACGCCCAAAGTTTCGATAACTTTTATCAAATCAGAAATTATTTCAATTACTTTTAAAGGGGTCTTGGGACTGCTTGTAACTTGCTCGGTCAATTTGTTAAACAACGAATTTGTCGAACTGGTTGCACCAATTGGACCTATGCCGTTAAAAAAGCCATTTGATTGGTCAATGGACTCACTAGGTGTGTTTTGTGTAGTGGAATTCCCGCTTTTTATTGAACGGATACCTGAGCCATTAGATGAGATGGAATTGTTTCTCTCTGGATGAACTTCAGAGGCACCACAGCTATAGTCACGGAACGTCTTGTAGTCATTATCGTTGTACACCAAAGCGACTCGTTTTTGTTTCTTATGCTTTTTTTCTAATAAATCGATGTCTTGTTGACTTATGAAGCTAAACGTTAAAATTTCCATTGGATACAAAATACCCGGAATTCCTAGTGGCAAAGTACTAAGCCCGTATTTTTTATCCGTTTGTAGTTTTGGCCGTTTAGTGTCGGTAACAAACTCATTGGTCAAAGTTTCATTCGACCATAATAGATGCGTCTTTGGGGGGTTGGTGCCCGATAAAACATACCATTCATTGAGTAGTCTTGAAAGCGATAAATTCTTTAAAATATTAGGAGATATACTCAACACAACCTTTGAGTTAATCTCGACAAAGTCCTTTCTATTACTAGCCAAATTGCAAGTAAAGTTATCATTGTGGATATCGTTGGTGCCCCCCACTTTCAACCCATGAAACAATAAGTTAGTTTGATAACTGGAGTTCCCAAACTGTCTAACTAAGTTATAACCGGGTATTGTATCTGGTAGCATATTGGAAAAATCCCGATACTTGGAATCTGAATTTCTTGGGGATTTGTGGGTATTCAAGTTTTGATTTAAAAAATCCAAATGATCTCTGATATAGTTGACATTATTCAAATAGGATGATTTACCCAACACTACATTTTCTCGTGTTTCCAGTGAAAGCGAGGAACTCTCTTCGTCCATTGTAAGTGCATGAGACGAGCTTAATGAGTTTAAATCTTGGTCATCATCGAATAAGGTGGTGATGCTTTGATTTGGATTAATGCCTGATCTTTTTTCATCTTCATACGCGTCAGGGCTCGATGTTGGGTCAGTGAAGTAACCATTGACGCCATCGCTTGGTATACTAATACGCGAGGGTGGCTTTATTATTCTTGATGGCTCAATACCATTGTCAGGACTTAATTCATAGTTTAAATTCAATGCCGATGGGTTTTGTGAAACTGAAAATGAGGAGCCAACTGGTAATGATGAATTCAATTTCAATTTTGCCAAATTTTCCAGAATTTGTGGAGGCGACAAGACACTCTTTGCAACAAAATCGTAATCGAAGGTTGTTCTTCTCAGGACTTCTGGACGTTCTATTGGTCTGCTTGTATTATTTGATGTAGCACCTGAGAAAATGCTATTATTGGTTGTCTTTGCAGCATTTACATCGTTTGATGTAGTTGGAGAAAGATTTTCCATTGATTCCCTTCTTTCACTGGTAGGAGACGTCATAGTAGTGATGTTGGGCTGTTTCTAGCTAACTTCCTTCTTTGCTTTGATAATATCTCCACAGAGGAGATTGTTTGCGAATAAATTGTTGGGGGAGTTCAGGTATGGTTTCTTGTGGTATGTGGTACAGCCAGCCTTTATTTTGTTAACGGGTGGAAGACTAACTATAGTAGTATATGGGTTATAGTTTGGGGGAAGTTGGTTTACTAAATGTGATTATACAGTCCCTTAACGAATGGTTTAGTAGATGTTGCACACGTCTCTCTGTTTCTCCTTCTAGAATGTTGTTAAAAAGAGTAATAAATGGAAAGATGTATGTTCAAATGTTGAGGTATCTCTGCATTTGCAGTTTTTCTTGCCTTTGTTTCTTTCTTTCTTTCTCTATGGATGAAAGAATTTTTGGACAAGATATAAACCTTTTTTTGTTGGGAATGGTAATTTTTAACAATGTTTAGAAGTTCAAAGGTGGAAACACTAACGGGTAATTTTATGTTTCTATTATTACTTCAAACCCGACACTAACACGAAGAAAAAGCACTAAGACAAAACACTAAGACACAGCAATAAGACAAATACTCGTTTTTGTCTTCTAGTAGGCTGAGTGAGATTGAAGATGGGTATTTTGTTGTCTACGTCTCAATTTTCTTTCTGAGAATGAACTTTCTTTCTTTTGTAATTTTTCTTTTCTTTGCTGCCACTTTAGACAACTAAATTATAAAATTACACAAATCAGTGTTACACAGATGGATTTATTCTTTCAACTATTTTATTTTTTTTATTTTTTAATTTTTTTTGGACAAGAACCAGAGAGTAACAAACAATATTACACTAGCTTTCCCCTTCTACACAGACAAGCAGTTTGGTATCAAGCAAGTATTAGTAAGCAAGAAAAGTACTGTAAATACCATCCCTTTCATTAACACAACTCACTTTGTGTGAGACATGTGTCTAACTTTCATATCTTTGTATATCTTTTATGTACATTCTATGCTTTATTTTTTATTTTATTTATTATTCATTATTTTTTTTATTGCTCTTCTCAATAATGCACAAGATGTTAAAATTACGGAATTCCATTTTTGTTTTTATTTTTTTTTTCGGGGGAAGGAAAGACGTTGGCCTCGAAAAATCAATACATCAGCAAGTGCTTGTTAGTTCTACTGTTCATGCCTCACACACTTATTGTCCTACACGAAAGGTGTTTTGAGTAAAAGAAAAAACGAGTGTAGTTTAAGGTCTAGTACACACTTTCTCTCTTTCTCACTCTTGATTAAATTCCATAGATTCGGTTTTCTCACTTCAAATACAATTCATGCAGTCAAAAGTATGTTATTGTAATGCATTGTTCCTCCAAAAACTGTTCACTAATGTACTATTGTTTATCAGGTATAATCTAAAACACATGGAGAATGTGTATGGTATTTGTCTTTGAAATATTTTATCTTTTTTTTTTCTCTCCATGCAGTAGAAAATTGAGGAGCTGGCGACTGGTGGCTAGTGGTGGCTAATTTTAACATACATCGAGGTGGTGTAAATGTCAAAAGGTTCCACGCAGAGGTATATTAGCTATGGAAGAGATTTATTTCGAGTATCTCGCCCCACACATTATCAGACCCTTCAATAGAATTTAGAATAGATCTGCTCTACCACATAATTGAATCAAAAACGGTCGATCAACCACAATAACGAAAACCTTAAAAACTAACACATTCCATTTACCATTTTTATATACTCATATGTGGGTTTTAAAACACGCACACACAACACAGCACAACATCTACAGCAATAACCAAATTTATCATCCTGCATGCATAGTATACTTGTAGTGCTTGTATTATTCTAACTTCTAGAATGCTTAAACGCATCGGTCTAATGTCAAGAAACTGACTGCCTCTCACATGTACAACTGAACAGTGACATACATCATACATGTGTGTCTCATATTATTCGTACTATTTTCATTACGGCAATACAAGCTCAAGATGGGTGTTGACGTTCAGAAGTATAGCTGCAAAGTCTAAGGTACATCTAGATTACAGTAACTAAAGAATTTAAATAAATTCATTACCATACTGCTTTAATATCGCTAAAGACCCATCCCTGGCTTATTCTCAGAAAATCATGGTTGAATGTACCAATTCCTTTACACTTCATTTCAGCTCAGTCCACGGAACCACACGAGAAAACTTTCTTTATTCCGGTGTTCCGCTCGCCTTCGTTTCGCACTTCTATTACGCATAGCGGCTTTGCCAAAACGAAACTTTCCACTGTGCCTAATTCTCATTTTTATTTTCATTTTCACAATCTCTATCTCTTGTGGTTTTGATACCGAGGCGTGTATTTCCTTCTAATAGAACGTAGTTTGTTACCGTTTAGGAAGTTTTATATTGTGTCGTGGAAACTTTGCTTTACCTGGAAAAGGCAATTCTTAGGAACGGGTCATTTCGTGGTGTATAGTAATACGAAGTTAGGGCAAGATATTTGAAGACGCTGAAATTATCTTCGCACCACCTACATTACAAAGTACGCATCTATATTTCAAAAAGTCAACGTTTTTTTAATTAAACAAAGTATGAATACTATTATCTAAAAAGTTCCAAAAGAATAAGATCAAAACAACCAACCTACCACCACCAGATAATCTCTCCACTTTATAACCATCGAAATACAAAAAATGAGTTTTCCTCGCTCTAAAGTTGATGTTATGAATCAATCTAGCTCACAACAATCAAAGGAAGAAAACTCCTTCACCAATATCAAAAAAAGCACCAATTCAGCAGTCCTCTCCTCCCTCTTCGCAAACAAGAATTGAAAAAAATTAAATAAAATAACCGAATCAGTCACGTAATCGTAAATCTTCTCCTTCCCTCTCCCTAAGCAAAAACATTGTAAGGAACTTTCTTGACATTGTATTTGTTACCTTTTCTTGTATGTTTGGTTGGAGGAGGAACATATCTTGGCTCACCAAGGTCCTTTTTCCTAAACATGGTGATTCTAGTGCTTGAGGTCCCGTTAGAGTAGACTGAAGCCAAATCAGTGTGGGAAGAAACGCCATGCTTGTAGTGACTAGAGTTGTTGGTGTTGGCAGCAAACAACGAAGCTCCGGTGCTTGCCACTGATGACAAATTGGTGGTACTATTGGTGGCAGTGACATTTCCGTTTGGAGCAAACAACGACGAGGGCTTTCTCGATACAGCAGTTGACGAGTTAGAAACAGTATATCCAGAATCGGTCTTTCCCATCATAGTTGGACGCGACACACTTGAAGTTGACTGGTTAGCATGTGTCAATCCGTAAGAAGATGTTGGTTGCCTGGGGAGCGAAGCCACGGATTGTTTCCTCGAAGGTGCTGGTGTCGATTTTGGGGTTGAATTTGTGGATTTGGTAGAAAACAAGGATGATACTCTCGAAAAGAATCCATTCTTTTTAGCTGGCAAATGGTTTGGCTTGGCATTAACAGTCGAAGTGGATTGGTTTCCTGATTCCAAGTTAGTGACAAATGCATTGAGCATATCGTAAGTGGTATCGTTGGCTGATACAAAGCTTTGCACACTTTCATTCTTGTTTCCAATTTTAAGCGAAGTTGATGATCTAGCCTTGTGCACGTACAATGGTTGTTGTTGATTCAGGGTATGGCTCATTGTTGGTGGACTATTGACTCTTGGTGTTGATGGCAATGAAATGAGGCCAACGTTTTCTGGATAGTTGTATCCATTTTGTTCAACTTCCTTCTTCAACACAAATGAGGACCTCATAAATCCCAATGATGCTCTTGAGTTTGAGTTAACAGACAAGGCAGAAGCTGAGTAACTCTTGCTAAGTGAGTACATTGATGGTTCTCTCTTGTGGCCACGTTGTGGAGGTTGTTGCACTTTTGTAGCTGGAGTGAAAAATTGGAAATCATCTGATTCAGCAGAAGCATTTCTTGTGTGGATACCAGCACCTTTAACCATATTGCAAGAGTCAACGCCGGATGAGATTGATGATTTGTAGTCAGAATGGTGTAACGACAACGAACTAGTTCTGGAATCTGACTCTTCACAGCTTGAACCTGAGCTAGACTTTCTAGTATTTAACTTGTTTTCATCGTCGGAGTCATATTTAGATGAACGATCGTCATCTTCCACTATTGGAGCCAATCCCTTCAAACCAAATGACTGGTAGTCAAAAGTGCCTCCAGTCAAGCCACCTCTGCACAAGGATCTCTCTGGGATAGAGCTTGAGACCTCCTTGTGTTGTTTGTTGATGAAAAGTTCCTCTTCTTGTTCATCGACTTCTGATGATTCAGGCGAGGAAATCTCAATTGCCTTTGTAGCGTCCACATTTCTTCTCCTTTGTCTTGGATCAAATGGAGAATCATCGGTTGAATCATCGGACAAAGAGTCTTCTTCAACTTGTGGTTTAGCTTGAGTACCTTGCAACTTGGTGAGCAACGAAGGGGTGGGTTGTTGGTAGCTCTCCGAGAATGAGCCTCTTCTACTTGCCCTTGGAGTTGTAAATTCATCAACATCGGAGTCAGCAGCCTGGTCGTCTTCGTCACTTGTGAATTTGGAGTTTGTAACTATTGAAGATAAACGTGAAGTTGATGGCGATGGTGACATTGAACCTCTTTTCCTCCTTGGATCAAAAGCTGGCCTAGGTGGAGTAAAACTGTTTTCTTCCTCTTCGCGTGGAGTTGGCAAAAACGACTTCAATGAAGAAGAAATATTGGCTTGGTGGACCTTTTGGAATGTGTCAGCCGTTGGGATTTGAACCTGGATTGGTGATTGGGCAACGTCAACAGATCTTCTGAAACCTTTATACTTGTCATTAGCCTTCAAATCAATTTCAATTGAGTTATCTTTATTCAAAAGAGATGGTTCTTGAATTCTGCCAGGCTTCACATCGAAATCCATAACTGGGGTAGATGGAGTTTGTGGAGTTGGAGCAGAGTCCATGACTGGTGTCTCAACTGCAGCAATACTCTGTTCACGAGTCGTAGTTCTGGACAAGTTTCTTTGTACATTCAATGGTGGAATATCTGCTTCATCAATAGAGCTGGTTTCACTTGGGATATCATCCTCAAATTGCAAGATTGAATTAGCAACAAAAACGTAAACCTTGATCCAAACCAACTCCAAAACACTGGTCCAATGAGTGTTTAAAACTTGCTTAAATGATGTTATCAATGCATTTCCCATTGGCTCCAAGTACTTGACAGCTGTTTCAGCAAATCTTTGGTTCTCCTTGACAAACTGGTACAAAAATTCATCCAACAAAGCACCATCTTCAATGTTATCAACAACAAAGGTGAACAAGTCAGCAAAAATGTTTGAATGTTCGCGGATTACCAACTCATCATTGTGGAAAATTTGACGCAATGATCTGTTTTGATCAAATAAGTTTGGATACAATCTTTGAAAGAAACCGTCTTGATCAGTTCTTGACCATGAAGTCTTAATATTGTGTACCTCGACTGGACCCAAGTTCAACTCAGACATCGTGGTGATATATTGTATTTGTATTATTATTTACTTCTGGTAGTTAGTTTGGTATTATAAATATCTTTTATTGAATTTGTATTTGCAGTGGATGGGTATCAATATTGATAATCGTTGGTTGGTGTAACGAAGTTGTAAATTAAGTGAATTTGAAGTTTAGAAACAAAAACTGCTGACGAAGCGTCAACAAAATATGAGTATCTCCCATGGTTTATATATTTGTTATTAATATGGTAAAGTAAGGAAAGTTGAAAGTTGTAAACTCATGGTGCAAAAAGATGTTTAATTACTCTTCTGGGTTATCTTTTTTTCTTTGGTTGTGAATAAATATTAAATCTAAACTTTTTATGTTCTCTTCATTTATTTCCTTTTTGGGACATTATGCATAATGGGTTAAACTTTTTGACATACTTTATTTGGTAATTTAGAAGAAATCTGGAAATGTATTAGTATGTAATTCTTAAGAAACTGGCATTGTATGGGTTCAACAATAGTGTAGAAGATGGAAGGGGTAGAGGAGATAAAAAGGGAAGAGCGGATTTTAATGAACAAAGTGACTTTGACGACAGCGTTATCTCCTCGAGATCGAGGATCTTTGCGTTGTTGGAGTTCGAGATCTCATACCTGCAAAATCATCCGAGAAGTAAAACTCACAGAGAACATTCGCTGAGGGGAAGCTCACTCCACGCAAGTTTTGCTGTAGATCGAAGCTCTTGACCTATGTAACCACTCACTATTACTTCCTAGAATATTAATTTTGTCATATTGGTGTCCAAAAATTTATTGTTCAGTCACAAAAAAAGAAGAAACTGGAGAAAAATAATTTCCCAATCGGGAAGGACAATTATTTGCATTGCCAACTGGACCGTATTTGTGTATATAAATATATATATATATAGGAGGAGACGTTACCCCACTGGTATATTGTCAATTCATAACCCTAGTTGCTGCTTTAGATGAAGCGAGCAAATCTGATTGTTCCTCTATCCAGTTTAACTTCTCCTTTCAGTTTCACTATCAACAAAAATTTGTCTCAAATCAGTATATCACCGTTGCAATAAAAAAGCCTCTGTCTAAGTGCAAACTCAAATTGTTCAAACAAAGAAAAACAATAAAAAAAGCAGGTACACAAGACATCCAATAATACTGAAAATTGTATAACTTTGTTAAAATCCTATAGGAGATAATACAATCACCCCTTTTATCTCAAACGTTGTCAACATTTCTATAACTATTATGCATTAAAATTAAGTTCTTTCTATATAGCTAAAATTAAATTATGATACCTCCTAAATTAACCTTTAATGAAGGGTTACCACCTTTTAATGAGTTTGCCAATTGCTTCAATTGGCCATGTGTGAATAAAGTCTTGAAAGGGGCGAGTAGTTGATCGTTATGCTCTCTGAAATATGATGCTGACATTGAATAAATAATCAGCTCATGAAACTGGGATTTGTAGTGGTTGATCAAGTACGACAAAAACTTTGAGTTCCCTTTCTTCACTAAATCGATGCTATTTGGCATTTCTTGTGTAGAGTTGTACGTAAACTTGCCAAAATTATGTGTATAATGGTTGTCTTCGTCATGTGCAGCCAATTGTTGAAACATTGACTTGACATGGTAGCATTCTTGACAGCTGCACGTATTCACTATCATGTTCCTTGTCAATTGAATGGAAGGTGCCCACCAGTTGAAGAAATCCGCTATTATCAAATTGCGCAAATGCAGCAACACATGTGTAGCTCTATTGAAGCTATTCCAATCAATCTTGCTTCTGTCGTTCTTGACAAATTCATTGACACGGATGTAAATATACTCAATGCCAGTAAATTTGTTAAACAAATTGGACAACTGGTTTGACAACAAGAAAGTATACTGGTCCAAATTGCTCAGCTGGTTTTTTGAGTTGTGATTTACTATAGCAAGATTTCTCAATTTGGTAAAGCAATGGCTGTTTTGCGACAATTTGTGATAAAACTCATTGATACACGAACAGTCGGAATGCAAGCAATTAAATTTCAACTCCAAATCGGTAAGCTTATTGAAATTAATCATCTGGTAGTCATTAAAGTTTATGGCTGGTTTATTGAAGGAATGCGAGTATGATATTGACACCTTTTGCAAGTTGGGAACTTCTGGATTCAATGACAAAAAGCATTGGGTTGAAAGGGTTGTATTCAAGTTTAATTGCTCCAAATTAGGCATCTTCACTCTTTGAGTAGGGAACTGGACGTCGCCAATAATTGTTTCAATGAAGAAATCCAATGTTTTCAAGTTTGGACTCCAAAGGGGTAAGGAAATCAACTCTTGGGCTCCAAGAATAGACCAATTTGTCAAGTTCCAAACTTTTGATTGCTTTGATCCGCCGATAGAATCGACCTCATCATTCTCTTCCATAACTTCACAACAATCTTTCCACAAATACTGAAGAATTGTTTGGTTTCTCCGTATATTGTCGATGTCAAAATTTATAAATTCAATATTGTGCTGTTTATGAGACCAGAAATCTCCCAATTTTTCATACAATGCCGAGTAATCATATTTGCTAAAGTTTGATTTACAATGCAACTCTATCGACCGTATTTTGAGGAAATTCAGGAGTGTTAATGATTCAACAAACTTGTTAAAGCAGTTGATATGAATATAGGTGCAATTGTCATTCTCCACAATAGACTTATTATCGTCGTCATAAACCACAATCTCACGATAAAGTCTTGTGTTGGCAAGTACATTGAACTGCTTTGACGTTCTTGCCACTGATGCTAGTGTTGATTGATATTCACACGAGGTTGACAGTATGTCGCGTAGTTGCTTGTTTATTATTGTTTCAAGCAAATCAGTGTATATATTGTTGAGATCCATTCTTTGTAAACTGTGTGTGGTAGTTGTAACGTGGGTTAGTTATAATGAACTTCCTTCCAATGTGACTTTGTAAGAAGCTCTATATGTTTGTAAAGTGGGTTGTTGTTGTTGTTACTGATTTGCACCCAGCAAAAGGATGATCATATATATATATGTATATGAATGCTACACTCTACAATAACAGTCATTTGCATTGTTGTATGCAGTACATACTGTGTAAAAATACGGGGTAAGTGGCATTCTAGTGCTTTGTTGTATACAGTACTATTTGAGTTTCTTTTTCTTCCTCTTTTTGTCTATGGCAGAATTACGCGCAATTATTTTCGGAGCTTTACTTCCGCACGGCATTTGACATTTTACTCTACAATGCCAAGGCATTTATATACAGTGAAACAAAGATGGGTGCCACACCGTACAAACGGCACAAATTTAGCGCTAGCTCTCAGAACGACTATATATGTAGGAGCTGGATGTACGGAAGCAAGAGCGGGTAGGCATAAGAGAGCTACGCCTTGGCGAATGAAACGCCATGAACGAAAGTTGGTAAAAGCCTGACCTTCAAAGGCGGTAGTTGCATTGGCACAAGCAGCCAAGATGTTTGAAAGGGAGAAAAGGAAGCTGAGAGGAGTAAAAAATAATTGCCGCCTGTCAAAACCTTTGCTTCTTCTTCTCTCCCTCAACCTTATTATTATTCTTCTGTTTATTTTAGGTTACGCTATTTGCATCACAATTGATCGCTTAGCAACACCTTTCCGCTACAAAAAAATAAAAAATATATGGGTGGTGAAACATGGAGCATGAACCACAGAATAAATAAATTCTTTGTGGAGTTGGAGTCCACAAAACAACCATGGCGTCTCATGATAAAAATAGAAGATGCTCTTACATTTTGCCCTTACCCTTCCCTTTTTTCCCACTTCGCCGCGGGCACCATAAATTCTTCGTTTTCCTCATTTTACTTCTTTTGTTTGCGCTTAACTTTTTTGTTTTTGTTTTGTCAACATTTCGTCCGGCCCATTTGGTAAAACTTATGTTTTCCGCTTGGCCATTGGTTACACAAACCCAATAAAAAATATTTCTTGTTGTTTAATGTACATGCCACAGTGTGATCACACTCAAATGGTTGCAATTCTAGATCGTTTTCCCCTTTCAGGAGTGATGCAGTCACCACAACAATTCTACTGGCCTTCAGAGAAGGGGTTGACAAGTGGTTAACACAACTGTAGTATTACTAGTAAGTCATTCACGATTTACCCTGAAGCTACCATTTTGGTGAATTAATATATGCGCTCCTTTCAGAGCCAGCTTCCCTTTTCGACACAACAGAGAAAAGAAAATCAGCATCAACATCAATACTTCATACAATACACACGGAGGTGTATAGTTTATAAATGACTGAAGATGTATTTGGACCGTAATCTAAGGACATGCAGGTACTTGGATTAGTTTGGGTAGGGGGAGGAGATAGAATAAACTCAGTCGTGGAAAAAGCATGTTTATTTGCATCGCGAGCTAACCTATTAAGGCTCCTTCCTCAAGCCTATGAGTAACCTAGAATTTGGCATTTTCAGGTGTTCTGAGACATTACAAATATGGCAATGCCCTGTCGTCACGAAGTGCTAGCTACACTCAGCTGATGTGCATGCTGGAGGTCAAGCTATCAAGTTTAACCATCTGTGTCTTCAAAAGTCTTGTATGTGGTCACTGAGGCTGATCAGTTGAGAACAAGGACCAAATTTACTGGTTTCAGCTACTTTTTTTTTGGTGTTTTTTTTTTTGCAACAACCACCACCACATCCACATCCCAAACACAGAAATGCATACACTCAACAGCTTTGAACTTTTTACCGATTTTCTACTTACTCAAGGCGATGAGATTCTCTCGCTGCCTATTAGTGGAGAAATTTGGAAAATAAGGGGTGTTTTCCACGAATTTTGCAAAGACGATACCTATCACATCCCCACCACATACACCGATTTTATCGAATACCTTCAACTATTTCAAGATCTCAGCGGGAGGTCGTTACATTTTTCAGCAGAATTTTCACTTTTATCGATACATTCGATCAACAGACCAATATTAACTTGGATTAACTGCATTTCGTTGAGGATTTTACACCATCGTTTGCTAGGCAAACCATTACCGGTTGAGGACAATGACAAACGAAAGGAGGCCTCATCGTTGTTTGACCTTATTACTGAAAAGCAATCTGAAGGACCTCTTGAACTAGCTAAGGTGGCTAGACTATTACCAAGGGTATTAACTAATTTCATTCACAAAAGTTCGGCAAAGATAATCTTGGGAAAGGAAAGAGCCAAATTAACAACACTCAATATACCATTTCCCCAAGTGTGCAATGACAGTAAGCACGCCTTGATGTTGGCCAGCTCTGGACTAAATAAAAGAGAATATGCCCTGACCTCAAAACAATTGGCACCAGAACACGTTGTCCATCAACGATTGCATCAATCTAGAAATATGCTACCTGTTGGCATCTACCAATGTTCATTAAACAAGATTCATTTTCTTCCTATTTATTACAACCACACCGATGTGAATTTAGGAGATTGCTCTTATTTGGATACATGTCACAAGATGAAAACCTGTCGCTATCTCCACTATTACACTTTGAATCCTACAAAACCAAACTTGGTGTTGAAACAAGAAGAAAAGCGGTTAGATTACACTCTTGGGCAATGCTTCACTGATTCGTTTCGAGCCATCACACCTCCACAGTGGATCAACTGTGATGTTCGGTATTTGCCTTTTAGTATCTTGGGGAAATTTGCTGCAATTATTTCTGACCCTGCGTGGGACATTCACATGTCTTTGCCGTACGGTACATGCAAGGACGATGAATTGTTGCAATTACCTATGCATGAACTCCAAGATGAAGGTATCATCATGCTTTGGGTGACTGGACGCTCGATAGAGATTGGACGTAAGGCACTACTCAAATGGGGCTATCAAATCAGCGATGAAATGATCTGGATAAAGTTAAACCAGTTGAGAAGAACTATAGTCACAGGGAGAACCGGCCATTGGTTAAACCACTCAAAAGAGCATCTATTGGTTGGGCTTAAGGGCGACCCTTCTTGGCTCAACTTGCGAATCGACACTGATGTTGTGGTGAGTAACACAAGAGAAACTTCGAGAAAACCTGATGAATTCTACGACATCATAGAACGATTAGTCGGTACCCATGCGAGAAAGTTGGAGATCTTTGGCCGAACTCACAATACGAGACCAGGGTGGTTGACTATTGGCAATCAACTACAAGGGGTATCACTACACGAGCCGGAAGTTAAATACAACTATGACATGTATAGAAGTCAGAACCCAAATTGAGAGTCCATTTAAATAAAAACGCACAAGAATAACTACACTCTCTCCCCACATCTCATCTATTGAGCCTTGGCGGCCTTTTGAGCCTTTTCCTTCAATTTGAAATCTCTTACTCTTTTTCCGGCCTCGTTATCCATAGTCTTTTTCAAATCGGTTCTGTATCCCAAAAAGAATGCAACTTCAAACGCAACAAAAAATGGAGCCAACACCAAAGCTTGCAACAAATTGTCGAGCAAAGCTGGGGCTCTCTTTTCGTGCACCCCGTGTCCGTAAAATTGAGCAATCCAAGCAAAAGTATGGGCAGCAATTGCATAGTGAACAAACTGGCTCGATGTAGGTGATGTGTATGCCGATAATGATCTATAGTAATTGCCAATGTAATAAGCATAAGTCACCAACACGGATGCGGCAGGGACTCCGACCTTGACATCCAACGAGATGTAGTATAAACCATAAACCCAAGCAACGACATTGCCAACATTGATCAATGGATTGGACGAGATAGATGGTAAAGCAACTGGGATTAAAAATGTAATTGCCGATAACAAAATTATTGGAATACAAATCAAATGTATTGTCACATTAGTGTTGTTGAAATGGTATGATCTGTAAAAGATCAAATGTTCTTGTAAGGAAGTCATTTTTTAATTGGCTCTTGTAAAAGCTTGGTTTTTTAGATAAGGAGTTTGTGCAAATGTGACGAGGTGTCGCTTAAGAAGTATCTAGGGATCCCTTTGATTATAAATAGGTGTCACCCTCCTTCACATCTCCCCACTTTTTTCTTTTTTTCTTTACTTCTTTGTTTCTTTCTCCCTATTGACAAACCCATCTTTATAATATTAGTTTCACAATGGAAACCCTAAAAGACGGAAAAAAAATAAGTCCCGCAGTTTATTCTCCGTCTAAATTTCTATTTTTAATTTTTTATTTTTGGCCCTTTTTTTAACAATAAGAGACCGTATGTCTTTGACCTCGGATTTAGACACAAAAAAGACCCCCAACTTTTTAAATTTCAGGACCATTTAAAGTAAATTGTTGATATCTCTATTCAAAATCTATCTATACATCACTCTCTAATATCCAAGCTCGGTCTTTTGACCAATCTGTTCTTCTTTCCCACGGATTTGTCGAACTTGGTAGCTTGGTTCAAGTCTCTACCGACATTGTCCAAATCTTTGACCTTGTAAATTCTGACAATCCAATTCTGAGACGTAAAAGCTTCATCAACAACATGCAATTCTGGAGGTTCATCAGCGGGAATTTGTTGGTTTCTGACTCTATCGGCTCCATCACGGCCACCGTATAACTCGGCAAATCTATAATAAGACATCTTATACATCAATGAATCCTTCATGGCCTTGGATGCTTCCCTATCGACTCTATATTCCCCTCTTTCAGTAAAGTAGTTTCTTTCTTTAATCTCGTCAGGCCAGATACCTTCGGCAATTCTCACCATCCACAAGAATTTATTAATATCGTCTCCTGAGTAGCCGATAACACCGCCAAAAATCACAAGTACGTAATCGACATCGTGTTGTTTCAAAATTTCATAAGACACATCTTCAGGTGAAGACATGGCTTTTCCAACAGTAGCAATATGAGTATTGTTCCAAGTGTTGTTATCAACCAATGTGGTTCTATCGGCCATACCACCAATTTGGTATCCGTAATCCCACCAGGACATAATCTTGGCATCTTCAGGTGTATTCATTCTCAACCAGTAGTAAGCTTCTCTATAATCATCAATAAGAATCTGTGATCCATCTGCGGCACGAGAAGCAAGCACGACGGAAGGCGATGAGTACGCATTCGAGGTGACCCAAGTACAATGCATAACAAAGTAGAACAAGTAGAATGCAAACGATAACAAGACAATCAATTTCGACACCAATGCAGCAATTGGCAACTTTTTGTTTGTCTTTGGCCCACTATTTTCGGTAAAGATATCAACAACATTCAAATATATGTCAAACAATTTGGACAATGCAATTGCACCAGCTATACAAATGACCGGAGTCAACGTCAACATCAAACGAACCATAACACCAGCAAAATAAGAACACAAGACACTGTAAATGATGACAAACACGTGCTCGTCTCTCAATTCCTGGAAGCACAAGTAAATACCTGCTGGGAACAACCAAATCAACATTGAGGTATCGAAAAAGAATGCAGGCCAAGCGGTAGGTTGATGTTCTGAGACTGAAGCAATAATAGGAATGTGGATTTTGGCATAGCTGGTGTCCCAAAGGGAGTAGAATCTACCTGTCCATGGAGCAATCCATCCCATAGCTGTTAATCCAAACAACGCACCAACACCCAACACAAACACCAATGAAGCAGATACAATCAAGAAAGATTTGAACTGCTTTGAAGGGACTTTAGATTTTACGTAGTCACCAAAAGCCACTAATTGAAGCAATCCAAAAACTCCCAAAGCTGCCATATGATCATTTGATCTAATTGGCAAAAATCCCACAAACGGAATCTGCATACTTGCCAAAGTCCCCAATGCGTACCATGTGGTGTAGGCAGTGTACAATTTAGGGTTATATCTGCCCATCAACAACAATACAAACACATGCAATGGAACCAAGTTGGTAATGAACACATAGCCACCCCAAGCACTAACCATGTAAAAATAAAACAATGCGGTCAACGTCGCGTAAAATATGGAACCCAACTTCATTGACTTGATCCAGAAATAAAACGTAGCCATCAACAACGTAATTGCAATAGCTTCATTATCATATGATCCAGCAACTGATCTAGAAATATAACCAGGCGCAATTCCCATAAATATTGCTGCCAATAATCCAGCATTCGAGTCCTTCATCTCCTTGGTCAAGAAATAAGTAGCAATTGCTGTCAATCCACTAAACACGGGGGCCAACATGACACAAATGTTTCTAATATCAACCGGTAAACTCAACCATTCTCTCAACACATGCCATATAGCACCCGAAGTTACCATCAATCCAGGATATAGCGTACCCCCAGTGACTCTTCCCAAAGGGTACCATGTTCTATCATCAAACCAGTTTAAGAATTCATAAAATGAATGTGTTACCAAGTACTTAGTAGCTCTGAAATTGAACCATGGGTCAAACTCATGGATAATCGATTCAAATCTAATGACTGAAAATAAACGTGACGATATAGCGGCCCCGGCGATTGAAATCAAGATAATCACCTTAAGTAGTGTCCTTATTAGCTCGATGTCAATGCCCAAGACTTTTAATTGGGATGATTGTGTTTTCATGGTCTGATTAGTGGTTGCCATGATGTAAACAGATGGAGGCTGTATCTAGCTTTGACGTTTTTGAAAAAATCAAAAAACAAAGAAAAGTTCGGCACAGATATCGCACACGGTGTACACTGAATTCTTTAATGTCGCGACTTTCAAGCAACACACGACACAACAGTTCACGTCTAGAAATATCAAGAGTAGATCAAATTTTATGGAATGGTTAATAAATATATTGTTAAAAAGACAGACTGAACTTAAGCTACATATTACTGGTTTCAAAAGGAGCTCCATGTCCAGTTTGCAGGAACACTTCCAACCAATTGCTCAGTTCTATTAGCACTGTTTGCATCGCCACCAGCACCGACAATATTTCCCTTGACATCAGCTTGGTCTCGCCTTGACGCGTTCCTATCAAGATCCTTGTACAGCTGCCGTATTTGCTCTTGCTTCGACAAATGTGATGGGTTGCTTATAACATTATTCTCAACATGGCGATTCAAGTCCATTGGTGATGGCAGTTTAGTGTTTGATATATTGACACCAAATTCCCGTTGAATAAACTCGTTATATTCCCCTATGCAATTATCACAAACTTTTGATAACGTTCCTCTTCCACCGGTGGTGAACTGTGCCATTCGATTGATATACAACGAGTGAGACGTATGCTCTTTGCAAAAAATACCTCCGCATTTGCGGCAATGATGCCGCCTCTCAAAAAAGTTAAACGTTTTATTACATGAGGGTATGCCACAAGTTGTTACTGCCTCATCTTTCACCCAATGCTTTCTCGTTGGCGGAGCGCTAGACGTATAATCAAAAGTTCTGCCCAAGTTTCCTGTGCTGAGGAATCTATTCAACGACCCCAACTTTGGAGAGTTGCCAGACTCAATAGACCTTGAAGAGTCGGTTGATTTGATCGACGCAGTTGATGAATTTAAACTTTTCTGACCAAAAGCCTGCAAATGAGCTTCATAGTTGTTTTCAGGACTCTGGGTGGTTGGCGGAGTAGAAACCATGTCTGGTGAGTTCGATGATGATCGATTAGGATAGTCATAAGCACCGTTTTGTGTCATACGTAATACAGCTGGTATGTACATCGGTGTTCTTAATCCCTTGATTTGCTGCAACTGTCTTGTAGATCTTGCATTTGCATTTTTGTGGTGGGAATTTGGTTGTGGCTGCTGCAAGTGACACTGCACCTGTAAATTATTAGTTGGATGGTTTTGTGGTGCTGATGAGTTCAGCGGCTTTCTTCTGGTATTAATGTCTTGTGGTGGGATTACCGCTGCAGGAACTCTTGATGAGATTGGTGGGAAATGGGCTCCATTTGAATGTTGTGTATGCTGTTGTTGTGCACCAGCCATTTGCTTGGAAGAATCTAGTTGGCTCTGGTACTGCAAATCTCCAGGTTGAGCATTATTCCTCAATAGATTTTTTTCTGTCTGTAGCTTGAGCGAGTCCATTTGCTGCTGTCTTAGATTCTGATGATATTGACTAATATCGTTGTCCTTTGTTGACGCGTCTGCATTTGCTATTTGTCCCTCCGGTAAGCTTTCCAACGATGGCTTTGCGCATATTTGAGAATGGGGCGACTTCTCTGAATGGATAGTGGAAGAAGAAGGGGACTGTGAGGGAGCTTTTGCCGTCGCTTTTGGTTGTCTTGTTAGACTGGCAAACGATGACAAGTCAACCTCCGCCGGTTGGTAGGGCTCCTGCCCTTTTGACTTCAACTTGCTATCGCTCTCCACATGTTTAGGAATGACAATATCTTCTGAATTCGTAATAGGTCTGGGAGACAAACTCAACTTTTTCAACGCATTCAATGTCAAATTTCTTTGTTGTGATAAAGTCTCTTCATCGTTAATTTCCTCTCCACCTTCATCATTGTCGCCATCATTGCTTGAGCTGTTGTTTGTAGTGCGCCTTGATTTGTTTCCATTTGGTTTATCGTGAAATGGCAATTGCTGACCAATTTGCAAATCTTCATTCAGTTTTTGGTTGGATAAACTTGACAATACGGGTGCTTGAATAAATGACTGAAAGTTCTTTGAAGTGTTCATGGCGGAATTTGATCTTGTAAGCTGGGCACTATTTCCCTTTGTACTACTATTTCTGTGCAACGTAACCCCATTCATCATCCCTGGTGGTTGACTTGTGGCGCCATTAGCTGCAGTCAATGGTTGTATTTGGTGTTGCTTAAGCGATTTCAAGGATGCTAGTGATAACACCGACTGATATGACTGGGTGCGAGACTTGCTCAAGTCCTTTTTCGTAAACATCAAATCTGACTTGTTGTAGGATTCCGATGATGAATGTTGCTCGTCATTCTGGTCATGTGGCAGATTTTCTTGATTAGAGCCACTATTATGACTATGATGAGACGAATTAGGTGATGGTAGTTGTTGTTGATTTTGCTGTTGTTGTGGCGGTTGGGAATCTTGCAAAGACTGCGTGTCCGATTGTTGTTGCCTTCTCAACTCGCTTGACGAGCCTTGGCTTTTCATGTCACAAACATCGCCTCCCTGACTTTGTTCTACCCCACTCGTTTGTTTGTAATCATTCAGTTGCTGGTTGTCTTCAGTGGGCTTTATATTGTATTTGGTGTTGTCAGTGGCACCGGCTGACTTGTAGTCATTGTTATCTCTATTTGTTGTGTTTGCTGCGGTGCTTTGTAATACCGAGCTCGCAGTCTCTATCATAATATATTGCACAAATTAGTAGCCTCTGTAATGTACTGGCAGGAGTATTTGGGATGAAGAAGTAGGTGTGCCTGTATGTATAAGTGTGTGTATGATTAGTGTGCTATATTAAATGGATACTAGAAAGGGGTGTAAATGTTTTCTGGTGCAGTGTAACTTTTTTTGTCCATGCAATAAAGTGTTATTAATTTATTTTTTTGTACAAAAGTAAAAATACAGAATTAAAATTTAAAATTTAAAAGATACACATACAATCAGACAAGCTTTTCTCTTTCCCTTACAAAAGAAATATTCTTCTTACTCTGTTCAATCGTACCGATTATAATAGTCACCTTTCAAAAAAAAGTATACTTTCACAGTAAAAGGGATAATAAATGTACAGAAAGGAAAATTCAAAGTAACCCACAAAATTAGACGCTGTTGACCTTTATAATAAGTGCCAATGCCCATTCTAGCGCTGCTCAGATGGACGCTCAAAACCAGAGGTAGAAAGAAAAGACAATCAAAAGACGAGAATGTAACGGGTGTCACAAAAGTATGAAGCCTTTTTTTTTTGTCTACATTGACGAATAGATTAGAGAGACAAAGAAAGAATACAAAATTAGACCATTTTCGACGTATCTGTGTCGCTACCATGTAGTTTCAATTGGTACCGCTGACACTTTTTGCTTTATCCCTCAAAGAATGCTACCAACTAGTAATTAAAAATTCCACTGATCTAATTGGATAAACAGAACAACCCGGGGAAGAAGGAAGGAAGAACAGGGAGAAAAAAAAATTAAAAACCAAATATCAATACCATACAAAACATAGAAGAAGGATCTTTACACTAGTCTTTTAAAGGGGGAATACTATAGAAAACAGTCTTCATATCCACGTCTCAATCAGGTTTACTATCCCTTTGCTACACAACAAACATATCCATATCTGTATCAACCCAAAATGATTTCCCGTGTCGGTTTATTAAACAAACAAACTATAAATTTAGTTGTCAAAAACACCATCAACGTCACTAGAGCAAGAACCACTGCCCTTCATGGTACTGCAGCTGCCAACTCCTTGCTTTTGAAAAGACTTGTATCAACTGTTTCCTCCACACCAGAACAAGAACAAGAGGTACTTGTGGCACAACGTAAAAACAGACCTGTGTCACCACATTTAGATATTTATCAACCACAGTTAACGTGGTTATTGTCCGGGTTACATAGAATCACCGGTGTTGCTATGGCTGGTGCTTTTTATGCATTAACTTGTACATATGCTGCCACCTCACTCTTGAACATTCCATTTGATGCTGCCACTTTAGTCAATGCTTTTGCAAGCTTGCCAGTTTACTTACAATATGGTATTAAGGCTGCTGCTGCTTTCCCATTTGCTTTCCACTCATTTAATGGTGTAAGACATCTTATTTGGGATCTTGGTAAAGAGTTGACCATTAAAGGGGTCTATCGTACTGGATACATTGTTTTAGGGGCTACAGCTGTTTTCGGATCATATTTAGCCTTTTTCTGGTAAAAGTATAGATAGACTAGTTTTTAATTGCATGATGTGTAAGACACCCTTTTGTAGGGGACTACTTTGTAAGACGAGGTTGAAAGGACTTCAAAAGACCTTCGTCAATACATTTTGTATATGTCCATTCCCGCCTATATCAAATGCTCTATCCATTATTGCCTATATATCATACATATTTTTCATAATCTCGCCCTTTAATTCAATCGACTTATTTCCAAATCGGAGTCAAAACATAAACACGGAGTATCATTTGTACAAAAACCACAATTAAATTTCATTTTTTTCTTCATAATCGTATCGTTATTAATGGAATTACCTTTGACCACTTCAATTTTACTAGATCCACCTTCTTGGGTGTTTACTTCATTGGCGGTTGCATCATTATTTTTTTCCTCATTGTTGTTGTGTATCATAACCTCACCTAATTCGGTCTCTTCTATCGGTGTAGAATCATCCAACACCAACCTGCTTAAAAAATCATGTTCATCAACGTGGAAAAAGTCAGCGTCGTTGTCTTCACTGCAAGCTCCATATTTATTCGCCTCGTAATCTAAAGATAAACTGTCTCCAGTACTTTTTATCTTATCATCATTGGTCAATATTTCCGCTGTCGATGGAGATGCTTCGATCGTCTCTGTTTGCAAATCCATCTCCATCAAATCCAAATTGGGATCGGTAAATAAGTTTGAAGCATTCAAAGGTCGCAACAAGTCAGGAGTAAATGGTTGTTTGGGACTAGTGTGTTTAGGGGTGGTTACTGACACTGGTGTGGAGGAATTCTTTTGTTTTGCACCCGTTGAAGTGTCTCCCAGACGTTTATTCATCTTCTTTTTATTTGTGCTCTTCCCATTTGTCTGATTCAACAATTTGAAACGATTCCTCAATTGAACATAGCTATCGATTTGTTGATTTAAGCCATCTGATGTAGTCGTTATAGATTCACTTGGCTGTCGCTTAGCACTCTTGATTATATCTGAGGATTTGCTAAGATAAGTCAAAAATTTGTTTAAATCATTAAGATTGTTAATTGAATCCAACTGATCGCACTTTGATTTAGTTAATGTTGACGTTATTCTTTGAGAATTGGGAGAAACTTTGGAATTGTTTTTTAAAGCATCAAAAGTGATTACACCATTTTGAACAAAGCTTAGTTCTTTGATCTGTTTTGTTAGTACTTCAACGTAGTTTCTTATGATTTCCTGTTCTTTCAATTTAGACAAATAGGACAACTTCAACTCTGATATTTGCACATTTGGGTCCTCTGATTTGATTGGGGGCGGTGGTGGAGGTAAAGGAGAGGGCAACAGCAATTTCAGCGACAACTTTTGTTCTGATTGTACTGCCACTCCATCGCTGGTGGTTTCCCTTTTTGTAGTTGGTTTGACTGCAGCTACAGTCTTTGTTGGTGGGGAGGGGGTGGCTGTTTGCTCCAATCGCAGCTCGGTAGCCAAGGGTTGTGTTGTACCACTTGGAACAGGATCCTTCAGTTTACTGATAACTGCTTTACCACGCCCATTGATTTGATCAACAGTTGTGGAACTCCCTGTTCCAAATTCTTTCTTAACAGAGATTGATGTTGATGTTGCTGCTGCTGTCGTCGTCGTCGTCGAGCTCGTTCGCACTGTAGTTTTCTCCAATTCGTCCTTTACATCGTTATCTTTACTACTCGCCTCCGATTTTGGCTTTGGTTTCCGCTTTATTCCATTAACTTGATTCTTGGTTACTTTATCACATTCTCCCCCTGTTGGCTTTCGACCAGGTCTCGGTCTAGGAGGTAAAATCCATCTCTTGGATGTATTTAAACTAGTTGCATCTTGTGCCAATGTTTGTTTCATTTGCAACTGGAACTTACTGCTGGGTATTGGATTGAATTTCGTGGTCATCGGTGTTGAACTTGATGGTTTGGGCGCTATAGCTGGTTGAATTTTGGCATATTTGGGTGCGATGTTTAGTGGGTGTTGCCGTATATTTTGGTGCTGTTTGTGCGGTATCCCTGAGTTCTTTCCTTTCGGTTTTACATGGTGATTGTTGTTTTGTATCTGTGGTTGTATCTGACTTGGAGTTTGTTTCGATATTAGCTTTGGTTGCTCAGTTTGATTAGCCGGTGCCGAAGATTTATTAGACACGATCAGATTCGCAGGCGCCGGGCCCAGACTTCCTAATGAAGCATTCGACTGGCTCTTTTGTATACTTAGTGAATTTCCGTTTGTCTGTGGATGGCCCACAACTGTAGTCGGCAATTTTTTTGTGGTCCCATTCAATGATGGCTTAACCTCCAACCGCGTGGTTGACTTATCATCCATAATCAATCGTTATTAAAATCAAATTACAGCGGTGCCTTTTGGCTACATCTAGGTTATATAAGCCTCCCCTATTTCAAAACCTCTTTTGTTGCTTAATAGCGATTTTGATTTCGAAAGTTGTTCCTATATTGGCAACAAAAGTCTGGGGATGCTCGGGTTAGCCAATTCAAAATTGTATCTGCGAAGGGGCGTGTGGATATAGCAAATAAGTGCGAAGTAATATGGGTAGTGGTGCTTTATTTTCTTGAGTAGTGTAACACTATCAGTACCCTTAGTCGGTCGTTTCGATGAATAAAGATCTCCTGGTGTTGCCCTCACCGAAAATGATTGAAAAATGGACCTAATTTAATTTTATTCCGGTGAAAAAGCTTTGTTAACCGAAGCAGAGAAGAAAAAGAAGAAAAAAAAGAAATGTAAAATAGATCACGATAATACCCGAAACTATAAACAAAAGCATAACCAGTTGCAACAATAACAACAGCACCCACAACCAGCATCACCTAATGTCAACACCATCAGATAAACAACACTTGTCAAAACACAGCCAGCATCAGAATGCTCATCACAAGCCACATGTACAGATCTCTACATCCACAATAACACAACGACAATTGAGTCATTTGAACTCACAAGTTGCACAATTGCATGCCAATTTATCAGACTTTAATGATTTAGTAACCACTGCCAGTGAGCAGTACAAAAACATTGAAATGTTGGGTAAGATTCACGCTAGCTTGCTAATGGGTAGCAGAAAGATATTCGAAGAAGAGGCCTTTGATAATCAAGCGGATCCGAAGTAGGTTTAGGGTAAGGGTGGGACGTTCCCTTTAGCTGGATTAGAGGGGTTCCGCATTGACAATAATAGAGTTTACCCTTGGCAATAATAGAGTCTACACGTATGGTTAATTCAAAGGGAGTCTTGTACACTATCAAAAATACTATCAACTATATACACGAGTATTATACAAAACTAACACTTTTTCCATCATATCTCCTTATTTTCTTGCTGTTCTTGCATCTCTTTCAACTTTTGTTTATACAACTTCTTCTTTTCAATTTTCTCCTTTATGAATAAATCCCTCTCTTGATCCAAAAACTCTCGTTTCTGATATTGGGCTACACAATCCAAACTGGCCTGATTTGCCGGTTTGCACTTTTCAATAGCTTCAAGCGGGTTGGCGTACAGGTTTGAGCATTCAATGTACCTCCTGATTAAATCATCGCATTTAGCAAAAGCCTTCTTTCTCCATCGTTCAAAAATTGCTTTTTCTTCTTTTGGTGTTATGATCCATGCTGGTAAGTTGGGATTTGTCGGGAGTTCAACGTCAGAATATCCTTTTTTCTTCTTAGGGTAACTCATGCTAGGGATAGTAGGGTAAGTTTCTTTGGTTTATCAACTGGTGATTTTTTTGTCGGTATTTTTTTTCCTTATGTTAACAATATTGGAGTGTAGCTTTGTGTGACAGTACAGATTTAAGTAAATTTGACAAAGATTGGCTAGCTTAAGCTATAGAGCTGTCAATTTACAGAAAGTTCGGGTATTTATAGTTCATGCATTTCGTTTTTATGAATCGTCAATTAGCTTTAGTCAAATTTCGTATCACTGGTGGTATGTACACATAGCAGGGAGTACTTGCTATAGCAGTGTCAATTTTTTTAGTGTCACTTTTGGTGGAAGTCGCGTCCATTACTCGACACTATAAACAAACATTTATCAACAACCATTCGATATTAATCATTCACTATTGTCAATCTACCTGAGACATCTAAACAGCTACGAAGAACTACTGCCTTTTCATTAGAATAGTTGCACCTACTGCAAGTACATACTTTACTATCTCTCAACCAAAGCAATGAGTGATGATTCAGAACCACAACAACTGCAAGTCGCAGATACTTCTGCTGACCAGTCACTTGACGCAACAGTTGCGCTTCAGAGACTTATTGATGAGCTAAATGAAGGCGATATACTACTCATGGCTGATGAAATTGAAGCCTGTATAGCGCGCGCTAAAGCTCAACGTGAACAAGAAATAAACCAATTAACAAACACCAATGATGATCTAAAGAACGAAATCGAGCGTAAACAGCAACAGATACAGGCCCTCACTAAGATAAATGATATCAACGCAGAACTAATCGAGAATAGTTCTAGCATTGCCAACTATGAGTTTTCCCCCATTGATAAATCACAAGACCTTTTACAAGCAATTCATACAAAATCGCAAGAACTTTTCCATTTAAAAGTGGATATAAACAAGGAGAGAGATGATTTGAATGTTGCTTTAAACCAGTTACATCTCAAGAGTGCTAGATTGCGCAATGAGTTGAATGAAATCAATGAGAAATTGGAAAACCCGGAACCCAACAAAAACATCGATCCGCAAAAGTTAAAAGATTATGATTTGGCGTTGTTGAAGATTAACCTATATCGGAACTTGGGCATACGTATTGAGCCATTCAAGAAAACAAAGCCTTTGGCAGAACTAGACCGTGGTGAGGCTAATGTTGGAGGTTTGAATGATGATTTCGTGGAGGATGAACCTGAGGATGTCCTTATTGTCAGAGGTGGCGATCAGGCACAAACTTTGCCTATTGAATTGAGCTATTCCGAAGAGTATATATCGAAATTTGTTTGGGAAAATATTGACTGAATATATTGGTTATTGTTCATCTATTCATTAAATACATATATACAAAGGTCCTCTCTCTCTCTCTCTCTCTCTCTCTCTCTCTCTCTCTCTCTCTCTCTCTCTCTCTCTCTCTCTCTCTTTTCCTTGCATAGTGCTTGTCTAGCAATATCTGTGTACTTGTTCTCCTATCGCATCCATACACCTTTTAGAAGTACTTTGGATTCTCTCTGAATGACAATTTGGTCCATTTTGGTACCCTATGAATTGGCTTTCTATAATCACGTGAATGCTTGCTAAATGTGGTATACTTATCTCGACTCTTCATGTCGTTAAATCTGGGCATATCAAACTTCAAATGATCGATCTTGGGGTACCCTGTCTTGTCGCCCATTTTCTTGTCACCTTGTTGCAGGTGGATTAAACCACGATATATTTGGTCAATGTTTGCATCGACTTGTTCACTTCTTTTGCGCAAGTTGACACGTTGTGTTGATGTGATATGTGGAGTAAACTTCCACACGTATCCGCCCGATCTGACTAATGAAGGAAGCATTGTGATATGGTTCTGAAGTGTGAAAGTTTGGCTACTGGTAAGCAGTTTGAAGAAAATAAAGAAAAAAATTTCTGTCTTGTCTCGTCTTTGTGTGCTACCATGTGATTTTGGAAGTTAAGGCGATTCAATAAATCAAACTAATCGTTTGTTTGTGTTGGAGCTAATGGTATCCATTAAGAGGGAGATCTAGTGAGTAAGTGAAAAAATTAGTGGTATTGGCTTTTACCAACTCTTGTTTGTTTGATATGGTTTTATGTGTCGCTAATAAATTAGCAACAAAATGATGTAAAATTAAATCAAGAGTAGAAGAAATATGCAATCTTAACATGATCAAGCACCAAGAGACGATTTTAAAATTAATTGTAATAGGAATATGGCCGAATCCAGTAGTAAATACAAGAGTAAAATATGATTCTACAAGCAATGGCTTTAGCAGCAAAAATCTGTTTTTTGAATAAAACAATAAAGTACGTATAACTCAATGCCAAAGCAACTTAAAGCTTTAGTGCCCTAACAAAAGTTAGTTCAAACAGTAAGCTATATACACTTATCTAATCAATATTACTCTTATTGAAAGTTTCTTTGCTGGTACCAATATGTTCATAAAACATGCACATTGATTTCGCAGAGGTTAAGTAAATGTTACGTAAGACGCTCCGCACAAGAATATTTTGGTTAAAGATAACACTGACCACATACACTTTTAACAAACACTTTCCAAGAGAGCAGGCTGCGGACGTTGAATATGGATTCAGCTCTGCTGAAATTTTGGTCCAAGATCGTATGGTTACGTTTTGATTTCAGAAAGTTGAGTTGTTGTTTCCGTGTTCGGTTCCAAGCAGGAGAGTAGTCAAGAAAGCAAATAACTACTCCCCTGCACATTCCCAATTCACTGCATAATTATGTATTACTTATGTCAGAGACGTTTGGCTTCGAGTGACCTCCACAGTGTTTAAGGAGTATCTTCTTTTCTTTTTACTGTTTAAATAGCCGGTGAAACCACTAAGTGTCAGAACAATGCGCGATCACCGCAATGTCGGATTTACGTTATTTGCAGTTAGTAAGTAAACCAGCTTTAAGGACAGTCAAGAATCTATAATGGCTCCGAGTTGTTGCTTTTTATTTCTCACATGATATGACCCAGGTTCCATACACTGCAGAGGAAAGTCGTTGCACAAAGAAATACTCAAAATCTTTACTTTGTTGAGAAAAAAGAAAATGAGTAGCTTTACCTCTACTTTGAGATAGAAGTGGTTATGGCACAGTGAATACAATTCTTACTTTTTGGTTTTCTTATTTGTGCTATAAACTCAGTGGATACTCACCGTGAGTCACGAAATGACTTTGTTGTGACTCAAAGCTTCTGAATCACATCTCTTCGCAAGAATGTCGCACTGGTCAAAAGAAAAGAAAATTGCAAAACGCACGTGATAACATTTAATTCTTTTTTCTTTTTTTTATTCTATTTTGCCGTACTATGTGAATAAAAAGGCAAACGCATAAGAATATGCACATGTTTCCTCTATTGGAGGAGGGGGTTCACCTTTGTTATCTCTATCTTCGGAGTTTGTTCTCTCTAACTTGCCTCTATCCCAACTGGTATTCATATAACCTATCAACTTGAATTTTGTAAAGGTGACGTATTTTGTATGAATATTTCCATTTTGGGGTATAATATTCAAAATGCGACATGCGCTTTCTGTGTTTGAAATTCGCGGTCTTTATTTTTTTTTGTTTTCGTAAGTTAATCTCCGAAGTTTCGGAATTGCGAAAGAAGAAAATTTTTTTTGCATGACGACATTGAAACTAAAAATTTTAAAACAACAATTAGAACAACAAAGAGAGATCCTTTTAAATGCATAACAGCTAAATTAGTCTTTTTTTTTTTTAAAAAAAATGCATAGTGAATGATGTATGCAGCTCTAAGGAGAAAAATTTTCTTCCGCTGTTGTGTTTTTATTTTTGTTTTTGCAAAAACGTGGATAGATTGCTCTAAGTGAAAATTTCAAGTTGTGCTTTCATTTCTGTTTCACGTCTGGCTATGTCAACTAATTTGAATTCATCAATTGCAGTTTCAATACACCCTTTCAAGAGAGATACGCGTAGGCTTATGTGACTGTACACATAAGAGGAGGTTGGCTCACCACGTGTAACCCTCGAACTTATGGCATGATTTTATTTTTAGGTCTATTGTAGGCAAGGCATTGTATTGTGTCGTTTTTTATTCTTTTCCGCCCTTTGTTTTTTTGACACATTTGTGTCTGAGGGGGAGAGGAGGAGAACGTGGGAAAAAAAAATTTTATTCGATTAAAAGTGGCATATGATAGTAGCCCGAGGAGTTTTACGGCGCGCGTATAAACAATTCACACGATTTGAGACTACACCGTTACGCCTACTACGCCTTAACAAAACCCTTTTCTACAACATTGGTAAAATGATAATGAATTGTAAATATATGTATATTTTGTATATTTTGTAAAGTTGAACTATGTACGTCTTTCCCCTATAACAATCCAATTTCTCTCAAAAAAAAGAAAAAAAAAAGCGTGTTGTAAATTAAAAAAGCAGCTAAAGCGTCTCTTTGTATAAAATGCTATATGTATGAAATGTTGTTGTGATATGACACAGGATCTTACTCCTCTCCATTATCATCGACAGCAAAGTAGAATTAAAACCTCTCCAATTGTATTCCCAGTGTAAAAAAAGATGTCAATAGTAATGATGTGGATATATAATCGCCACTAAATCATCTGACAACTAGCCCCTTACAAGGCAGTCAACCATTTACGATAATTGTGTGATGTGGAATTTATCAAATCATTGCTGGTTGTATTACTGGTATAATTGGTGTTGGATTTAACTGAGTAATTCAAATCAAAGTAATTCAAGTCGTAATGACTGTCATCTTTGGTCTCAACATCAACATGCGAAGCCAACATCAAGGGAGATGACACTGATTGTAGATGCTGTTGTTGTTGTTGTTGTTGTTGTTGTTGTTGCTGTTGTTGGAGGTATAAAGCTGGCGTCAATAATGGTGAAACCATATCGTTTGGCGCATGTTCATTATTGCTGCTAGTTGATGCTACTGACGATACTGAGTTGTTGTGATGGTACTGGCTTTCATTGTGATGATGCACTGATGGGTATTGTTCAAACGAAGTGGTAGTATAGCTATTGCTAGACTGTATTGATGATTGATACTCTATCGATTTACACTCTTCCGAGCAATATACTGAGTTGGTAGGACATAATTTGTCACAATGTATACAGTAGTTGTTAAATGCGAAATCAGACATAGTGTGTAGTTTATAAAATTATATGCTGGTTGTGGTTGTTGTAGTGTTGGTTTAATAAAATGCAAAAGTGTTGTTATTGTAAATCTCTATAATTAAGGAAAAAAAGCAAAAACGTGGTACTATTAAATGAATAACAGTATCAGTTGGTTTAAAGTGATTGTGGTGTTCGTTGTAGTTTGTAGCAGTCAGTGTCACTTTTAGCTTTAAAGTAAAAATGGTTCTAGTTGGTTAGTTTCTAATTGAAATATAAAATGAAATGTGAAAGTTGAAAATTTTTCTGTAAATTTGGAATTTGATCTTCCTTATATATGTGTTTAAGAACTATGGCTTGTGTATTATGAGTAATACACATAGTTTACACAATAACCACTGCAACCACCACCACCACAGTTGCGTATTTTTTATTTATATTTATTTTTTTAAATTTCTATTGTTTTTTTTTTTTAAGAATTTCTGGCCACGAGTGGTTGCAATTCATCACATAAAATGTCGTACAGCAAACAAAATGTCTCTTCACGCAAACAGACACACACCTGTGTGGTTAATTCTAGTCCTTTTCTCGGAATCCAAGGCTTTTCATTTAGACCCAACAGATACACAAAGACATATACAAAAAGCAAAAAAAACATACCACATGCTTACACACACCACACATACTACACATGCCACGCCTTTTAGCTAGAAAGGTTGATTCCTCCTTCTCAAATGAGTAATAACTTCCTTTCCTTTTTCTTTTTTCAAACATACATAGACTTACATAAGGCAAATGTCATAGGAAAGAAAGTAAAAAGTGACATTATTATTATTACCCAAGGTGGGTGGTGATATTATATGAGCAATATTACTTCTCTCTCAAAAAAAAGCAAGAAAACTTTTTTTCTTCTTTTTTTGTTTTACTCCTCACCTTCTCTCTTTCGCCCCCTTTTGCTCGGATCGCCCCATTATTTATTTTTTCGCGCTGCCGTCCCATCCCATTTCACAACTCCCAGTACGAACTCCGACTTATTTGACGCACTCATTTCTCGGGTCAGAGCGCAATGCAATATATAGGAGAACTAAAAAGAAAAAGCAAGCTTTAGAAAATTATCGTTATTGCGTTACAGTTGGCGTATTTTGTGTTGAGCAAGCAATCATACTAACGAGAGAGAAAAGTCTCATAGCGCTTACAACATTGCAACAGGCTTCATCATCTACTCTATGGGCACAGACAGGGATAGAGGGAGAGAAGTCTTACACAGCTCTAGACTAATACTAAAGCCAACGCCACATAATATAAGGAATAAACAAAAAACCGAGGCAAAAATACGATGCATACATACAAAAGTCATTCTATGCATCATTCGCAACTTCCAGTATTAGGATCACTCTCATACGTTTAGACACCCTCTCTCGCTTTTAGAGGCGCATATACGTTGGCACTTAGTCTTAAATCTGCTTTGCAATAATGTCGTCCATCTCCCCACCCTCCTTTATTAAGTATGGACATTTTTGTTTTGATATTTTCTTTTGTTTGGAATTACCCCTCGTGGTGTCTCATTTTGTTTGTTTTTCTTTTTCTTTTTTTTTGGTTTTTCCTCTATCGTTTGTCGCAAGGTGGCGACACAGCGTTTCGTTAAAAATCTTTTTTTTGTTTGAGCCGAATCTGGGGCAGGTTGGAGCAGTTCGCTTAGAGCATGTCTCAGTAACAACAAACGGCATAAAAAACTAGACTCAATGCATTGAACTGGAACTTTTCTAAACCTCTCCTTCAAGGGAATAAGTAGAAAGTGCTGGTCAAGGAGCTTATAACTCTATAACCGTTGCTTTCAAGATGTAAACACTCTCTTTTCCCCTTTTTTTTTCGTTACCCACGTTCTTAATAAACACCACACCGTATAAATAAATGAAAAATTAAAAATAAAAAAAAAAAACGAGAGGGAAAGAGACATTTTCTACTACGCACGTTTGTTAAAGATTTGGTGCACACACTATACACAGGTATACTATAATTACTGTGTATGTATTTTTATACTTTCCTAATTTGGATATCTAAGTAAAACATATGATCACCATGTACGTTTCCACGTGAATCTATGTGCAAATTGAAGTCTAGATCAATTGTCAGAAAGAGAAATGTCGCAAACAGCTGTAAATGGCATCGTTTCTTATGTTGTGCTATATGAAAGGAGTAAGTCTTTCTAACATGGCTTGGTGTGTTTTTGTTTCTTTGGATGTTCTGGAAATGACAGAGGATGGATTACTGGTCATTAAAGCACGCAAGTCTAGCCACTAAACAATGCATTTCCTCCAAGACCCTAGAGACGAAGCACAGTGGGCTAAATGTGTCTTATTTTTCTTTCTTATTTCTTATACGATCCGAGGATTCCTATACGTTTGTCTCCCTTACTCTCCTTTTGCAAAAGCTTTATCAGGGGTCAGAAGAAGATAATTACCCCCTAGAACCCCAAGCCTAGTTCTACAAACCAATTTGCCTAAATTTGTAGTGTATTTCTTTGACCCACGTTTCCTTCTCTGTTCTCTCTTTTAATTAGAGTGTTTACAGTTTCCTGTTTGCGTAAGATAAATAATCCATTTTTTTGTCTTTCGTTTCAAAGCTATTATTAGAAATTATGCATAACACACATAATTCAGAAATATACAAAAAAATTCTGCAACAGAAGAGAATTTTCTAGAACCAATATTACAGCCACAACTCAAAATCTTTTTTTATTAGTTAGTAGTACTACTACAGTTAAGATAAATGCAACGCTTCATACTCCTGTGATTTCAGGAGATGAGAGTCAACACCTTACCCCTTTCTGCGCCAAAGCGATTCGTCAGTTCTGTACTATACAGTTGCGACTTTTTTGTATACTGTGACGTTTTCTTTTTTTCCTTTCTTTCACGCTACCAGCCACGTTCGAGATTCGAATTGAAAAGGAGACATTTTTTTAATTTCTATTATATTGACTTTTTGCTTTCTCGCAAATGCATTACATCATGCGCATTGGCTAAGCTAATAGAAAGAAATCAATACAGCAAATCGGGACAATTGGAGGACAGTTATAGATACTCCGCATTTCGTTAAAATTCCCCGAAACCGGCACATCTAGACAATTCTCAACTTCAGTTGTGGTGAAATACTAGTCGAGCAACACCTACAACCACAGTTTATCATAATCTGAAGTGACGACTAAGAGATATTTCGTCAACCTTTTTGCCAAACATCACTGGTGGCTTGGCTATTAATTGGCCAGCAGCAAATGAGTCACCATTATGTCGCTTTTGCCCCTTTCGGAATACTTGTAATCTCGAAGCTCGCTGTGCGTATATCTTACGTTAAGGCAATGAAGTGTCGACAAAACAGTGGTGTAATAGAATGGCTCTTTTCCAACCGTGTCTACTGATCGAATTGATAAACAAAAACAAAAATGAATCTAGATGTACAGCTTTTTAGAAAAAGAACAATAGGCTTGGCAAATTAAAAAAATAAAGTCTTGTTTTTTCTTACAATGTCGTGTCACAAAAATAAAATTGCATTCAATCACTTGATTCTCACATATTTATGCACACGACTGACAAGAAATTTGTACTGGTGTTCACTTTCGGAGTTAAATCACCTTACCTCGCCACCTCGCAAAACAGTAGTATACTTATGAATGAAGACTGTCTAGTTTGGCTGACTGTTCATCTGTTTGCATTTTTCTTTTATGGCACTTTCGGCTACAACCGTGTCATAGATATTTGGAGCACACTTACCAACAACTGTCAAGCCTCCGTAATTCTGCCTACCCCCGCCTCATATGGTTCGTCATCTATTTGTTTTGAACGTCCCCAAGACCGCTTTGTCATCAATTTACGGCTCCCACAGATCCCCCAATAATCAAGTGCCTCCAAATGGTATGCAAAATAAAAGTGAACGGAAAAACTCTCGCATCGTAATTAAAAGTAACTCTTGCCTAGATACAACGAGGTCAAAACTAACGGTGAATCAGTCCACGAGTACTTAGTTTGCAACAAAGCAGATCCTATATAGACCGTTTTACATGGTAATAGCAACACTCACTACATCTAAAACTCTCCTCCACCTCAATTCAACCACTTACATTACATTATTCATCTTCTAACATGTGACTTCTTTTTGTCTCATAAAAAAGCGCGACATATTGTAAACAAAAAGTTGGTATAAAATAAAACGAGCGGGGTAAAACTGGAAAAGCAAACGTTTCTGCTTTATATACGGGGAAGGCGACTATGTTATTTTGTCCGTACTTTGTATCTTTTGGGCGGCAAGTGACATCACTCATAGCGCATATTTTCCAGATCCTCGGATTTGTAGTAGAATAAGAAAGAGTAGCAAAAGTTTCAAATAATAATAGGGGCACAATTTTCTGTCTCTCTGGATCTGTGCTGCAAAACCCCACAACAAATACAACTTTAACATGTATAAGGGTAAAATCTAGGAGAACAAAATTCGTGCGACATTTAGGTTGACTTAAAGTAAGGAGAGGTCAATCATCAGTTGCGAATTAAATGAAATATTTTTGTTGCTGCAAAATTTTTGCTATTATTTGCAAATAAATATCTGCAATAAGCTTCTTCCTTTCTCAATTAATCTCTACATCCCAGCATTTTGAAGATCTTTAGTAACAATATCAAACCTTTGACCAAGACATTTGGTGAAGTATCAACTAAATTTATATGAAACTACAACCAGTTTTTCGATGAACTTAGTTAAAATATAAAAGAAATCCATATAGAGAGCATCCCTATACATTCTTGTACTTATACTTCAACCTATCCAACTCCTTCACTGCTTCGCCAATTTGATTAAATGTCGATCGTTGCATTTGGGGCAACGCATAATTACAAACACTCAATGCAGCAAAGTAATAGACTTTCGCCTTGATGAAATCAACATAAAGCACTTGGATTAGAACTAACACATTGGTCAAGCTAACCAACGTCATCAAATTGAGCGTTCTCTCAAAAAGCGTGATATTGTACTGGTGTTGCTGTTGTTCTTGTATTGATATAAGGTTGAGAACTACCGAAACCAAAGCGAGCAACAACAATGATTTGTCATGCACATCCGTTTTGATGAAATTCAACGATATAATGACTACTACTTGGATTATGTAGAAATAAATGAGTAATTTGCGATATTTGTGATATTGATTCATGTTGTAGTTATTGAGGTGATTGATATAGTCAATTTGATCATCTTCATCAAGGAGGGATGATTGGTCAATGACCAACTTGTCTAATCGACGTAATCGGCTGGAGCTGGAGCTGGAGCTGGCACTGGCTCCTGTTCCTGTTTCTGTCGCTGTAGTGTTTGTGTCATTATCGTCGTCGTTACTTATAATTGAGGGCATGGTGGTCTGGAAAACTGCAAATGAACTCCCCACACAAAAATGACGATATCAAATAAATTTCACTGAGAAAATAAAATTTGCCAAGATGATCGGGTCGCTACCAAATTATACAACATTTGTTTAATTTCAAAAGGGTAGAGTCTAGCGATAAATTGCTAGTAAATTACTTTTCATACGTTCTAAATCACCTCATCCCTTGCTCATTCGGATATAGAAGCTGTTCAAACCCACTAGATGCCATCTTTAAAACGATTTCGGAATGACTTGAGATGTAAAATTCGATTTCGACAAGACAATACATACATTCAATTGATCTAAAGCGAATAGCATTTGACAATTGCTCTATTCACCCTACGTTGCATACTGTGACCTTTTGTAAATCGCGCCGTAACTATTTTATACGACAATCATCTAAATGTACAGGACACCCTGTACTATTCTACTTAGTAAATGAAAGACTGTAAACCTGTGATTGAACGCTTAAATAGGTTAAAGTGAGTCGATAAAATGGGTCGTCCGATTGGTGAAAGTGCATAGGCTATTCTTGATCTGTAGTAACTAAAGATTGCAAAAACAGTTGGCGCTATAACTTTACACAAAATTAAACGTACATTGTTAAGCAGGAAATCTAGAATCGCTATATATTTCACCACTAGTGAGCTCATTTAAAGACAACCAGTTCAGAAATACTTAAGAGAGAAAGCACTGTTTCACCCCACATCAGTTTTAGACTTTCTTTTGGATTGTATTTTCTTCACATAGAATAGTGGGTACTTTTAGTCGACGCGATTCTCAGAAATAATATTTTTAAACACGGTTTACACTAATCGCCCGCACCACTTGACGACAAAAGATTTTCCCTAGGGTACTACACTACAACGCACCGCCACTCTACCGATCCTCTTACCCAGAGATAACTCACATGGAGGGTGGGCTACTTCGAGACTCAATCCGAAGCGATTGAATTGAGTTAACCTAGAAGCAGAAAACTACAATGCTCTGTCACTATATTTTTCAACGTCTATCCTTTCTTTAGTCAATCTTCACTGCAACAAGGTAGCCAAAGAGAGGAACCCTGTTCTTCACCCAACTAACGCAATGCTTCTTGGCGTGCTGATTATGCAAATCTCTTACGATAACGCCAAGAATGGCGTCTTGGTACAGTTTCCCACGTGGAATAGAATACGAGGACCACAACGTAAGAAAAATTAGAAGTAAGCTTTTCCATATGGGGTGGTGTGACTCTATAGTCTAAATAGGCTTTTTTCGTCTACAAAGTGGTGAAAGAAATAGACGTGAAGTCTAAAAAAACTAGAACCACTCGATTCCTAGATCTCGAATCGTATCATAAATTGGAACCGCAACTCTTCTTTTTAGAAAAAAAAAGAGAATGTTTTCCTTTTCTAATTAAGTGTTGATCGTCCACTTCCCAGTTGCTTCGCGAGTCAAGTCCATAAATAAATCTCTGTTACGAAAGAGGCTCGAGATGCCATCTCCATCAGTTTCAGGAAGGAATGTCTTTACTTTTTATGGACAGCTACCAACACAAAATCAAGCGATTCACTCCTCTAAAAGGGTTAATTTTTGAAAATAGTAAGGCGGAATACGCGTTTCTTTGACAATGTACACAATAGTAAATAGACAGAGAAAGGGAGTAGTTAGTTAGAGTTAGCGTACTTTGTATTGTTTTCTTAATTGAGTAAATGACAAAAAAAAAAGAAAAGAATAGACGACAATAGTAGAATATTATACAAAACAATATTCTCTTTACGAAATACTAGTAGTTTTGTAATGATCTGCACTACTTTTTCGAGTAATTAAGTATTGTGGTGTGGATGTAAAGTGTCAAATCTTAAAAATGGTAGTGTATAATTGTAAAATAATATGTATAAGGGGCTAAAAATAATTCTAACTTCTCTCTTTTGTTTATTGTTTGTTTGTTATTTGTTTGTAATTTGTTTGTAATTTGTTTGTTATTTGTTATTATTCTTATTATAGTTTTTATGTGGCTTTTGTGGCTCTGTTTCAAAAAGATTTGAGGACTTAAAAGAGGCGTGTACCGTTGATCAAAACAAAAGTCTAAAATAAAAAGAGATTTGCCTTGTTTCTATAAAAACAACTTCAAAAAGGTTTTCACAGTTGGAGAGATTTCAAAAGACAAAACTGACAACACACAACACAACTTCATATCATTCTTAACTGACAGTTCTTATACCACAAGACAATCATCACCTCCCTTTTTATCAACAGTAGAACCACTACCACCAATCATCATCCTCATCACGGCACTTGAAGGACAAGTATCACGTGCTCAGTTATTTTCGAAATAAGTGCAGTAGCAGAAAGAGAAAGGTGTGAGTGAAATAAACAACAATATTCCTCAATAACACACCATTCGTCCAATAAACACACTGCCAAAAGACATATTACACTCTGGGGTTTTTGTTTCCCATTTCACTTCACATACTTTTTGATACCTTCTAATCAACATTTTCGTTGTCGGTAATCTCATTCATTCGCTTTAACAATTTTAAGAAAATCATCTTATCTTATACCCAATTACCACAACTAAACCCCGTTTTTATTTCATTACCCACTTAGTCAATCATTTTGATATCCTTCCCAACTACAGTCGTTCTTTCAATTTTTTTTCACACATAAACAATGCTTGCAAATACCAACTTGAATATTGTTTCAGCCGTTTATGTATTGTCATTTATATCCACGGGTTATGGACAACCAATTCATATGCCAAATGGGAATGAAATAAAGAGAAGAGCCGAGAATATTTTTGACAAAATCCAGGATGCAGCCAATGGTGTATTCTATGGAGGAAACCAAACATCATCATCGGTCTCTTCTGACCCAGCTTCATCCACGTCAAACACGCAATACTTCCAGTCGATTAGTCAATCGCCAAGCACTGACGACTATGCGCCAAGTTCCACCACCTCAGAGGAGGGAAAAATCAGTAATAATAGGGACAACAGTGAAAGTAGTAGTGATGACAACAATGATGAGAACGGATCTACTTTCGGTGGTTATGGCCAAACTTCTAGTGATGACTATACTTCAATTGCTACAACTAATGCTGACACTACAAGCATATCACCAGGTACTACATCAACAAATGAGCCCTTTTATCCAACTACATCTTCCAGTAGGACTTACACAAGTTCCACTGACGAAACCTCACCATCAACACAAGCCCAGCAAACATCCTCGACTGGTAAAGATGCAACAACGGGAGAGTCAACGGCGTCTAAGCAGGATGTTGATTCAGATACTTCTGTAACGTCTTCCACAGGAGGAAATAGACAATCAGCTGCACAGGTTCAATCGAGTACTGCCCAAAACTCTTTTAATAATGAGAGAACAACATCATCAACTTCATCACCAACTTTAGCTTCGCCATCTACTGCTGCAGGTGTTCAAAGTAGTAGCGACAATGGTGCTGAATCGTCACCAACTACAAGCTCGTCACCAACTACAAGCTCACCACCAACTACAAGCTCGTCACCAACTGCTGCAGGTGTTCAAAGTAGTAGCGACAATGGTGCTGAATCGTCACCAACTATAAGCTCGTCACCAACTATAAGCTCGTCACCAACTATAAGCTCGTCACCAACTATAAGCTCGTCACCAACTTTAGCTTCGCCATCTACTGCTGCAGGTGTTCAAAGTAGTAGCGACAATGGTGCTGAATCGTCACCAACTACAAGCTCGTTAGCATCAGCAAACTCTTCACCTACCACAAGCTCGTCATCGACAACCTCAAGTGCTTCACAAGCACAAGAGTCTGAAGCTCAGGCCGCATCTGCCAGTAGTACATTTTTGGTTCAGGCCAGTTCAATGTCGCTCAATTCTGCGACATCTGGTGCGTCTCAAACTACTTCAGATGGAGCAGCAGTAACATCGTCCACCGGTTCACAGACCTCAACTGACACTAGCTCATCATTAGTTGATGCTTCTTCTTCTTCCTTATCCAACACAGGTACCATCGATGCTACATCTGGTGTTGCAGCTAGCACTTTTGGAAGTTCATCAGAGACTTCACAGTCGGTGACGGGAACTCAAGAATCTTCTAGTCAACAATCTATAGAATTTGCAAGTCCAGGCACAACCTCGCTAGCAAGTTCATCTTCAGGCGGACCTGTAACAACTTCTTTTGCATCAGCATCAGAAGCAACTTTGGACAATGCCTCGTCGTCTTTAGGATCTTCATCATATGAATATACACCAAGCTCCAATGAACAACTGGCTACAGCTAATGCACAAGCATCATCGTTGACTTCGAGCCCAGTATATTCAGACGCAGTATCATCAGCCTCACCAACAGCTACATCATCCATCAATGAACCAGCTTCGTCATCGAGTTTGGTCCAACCATCAACTGATTCACAAGGACCATCTACTGTTGCCAGTGTTGAGTCTCAACTGTCACCTATTAGCTCAGCTTCTAGTTTTGTTCCCCAACCATCACCATCAACATCGGAATCAGAATCTGTTGTTGTTCAGCCAACTAGTCTGCCCACTGATACCTGGAGTACAGTTTCACCATCTGATGCTCAATTTTCGTCATCTACTACACCATTGGAATCACCTGTTGTTTCGGGATCAGCTACATCGCAAGTATCTCCCACGACTTCATCAGCTGAGGTATCTACTGCCACCTCGAGTCCAATTGAAAGTTCATTTGCACCTTCAGTAGTTGCACTGTCGGCAGAGCCATCATCAGCACAACCATCATCACAAGAATCATATGTTTCTCCGGAGGTCACTTCTGCCACCCCATCGTCAGAGTCTTTTGTTTCGCCAATAATCTCATCAGAAGTGCCCTCGTCTGAGGTCTTGTCATCGGTACCAGTAGTCACGTCAGCTGTTGAATCTTCATCACAAGAATCATATGTTTCACCAGTGATTACGTCATCTGAACCTTCGGCATCGCCAGTGATTACATCTTCGGAATTTTCTACATCACCAGCATCAAGTTCTGTTGTTCAACCATCAAGTGAGTTATCAGCGGCTACACCTATAGTTTCATCTACAGAATCATCAGTGGTATCCCCTTTTGTGTCAAGTTATGTATCGACTTCAGGTGAACTGGTTACATCTTCGCAGGTTTTAGGAACTCAAGCTAGCAGTTTGCCAGAAACACTGATGGGGGTTAGTAGTAGCGGAATTGATCAAGCTACTTCAAGTGTTGGATCTTCAGCTACCAGTTTGGTGGCTCCATCGGAAGAACTGGGATCTTCTGGAGCTCCCTCAGCTACAAGCTCACCAGGTGTATCAAGTGTTCAATCATCTTCAGGGGTTGCAACACCAGCTAGCAGCAGTTTTATGAGTCAGGTCAGTGGCGTCAACTCAGACATTGCGGCTTCCCCATCAGCAGTGGAATCATCCAGATCGATTGAATCTTTGGTTCCATCAGCTTCTTCAGCGCCAGCTTCTGGTTCACCTCAAGTAACACCAGCACCTACATCAGCACCAGCATCCTCAGCCACCGAAATTACTCCAGGTGCAACTTCAGGTACAAGGACCACCAAGAATTGGTTGCCATCGTCATTGGTTGTGGAACTGAGCTCAAGTGATGATTCAACAGAAACCGATAGTAGTCATTCCAAACCAACGACCACTCCTTCGTTGAGCCCTGGTTTACCAAAGGCGATTGCACCCGAATTGACCAGCACTCCGGGTGAAGATTATGACGTTGTTACAGTTGGTTTCAAGTCAGCCTTAAACTATCCATTTGTTGTTAATAATACAATTACTTCAGCCCAGATCTTTGAATATTTGCCTGGTGTGTTGACTTATCCATTTGATGACACTAAAAAGTTCAATGAAACTGTTGTCAAGCAATTGATTCCATACCAAGCTACCAATATTGACTACACTATCACGGTCGCTGAAGTGTACTTCCCTACAAACTATATCAACAAATTGAGTCAATATATTAGTAACCAAAACTCAGCATTGTACAAAAACCCTAGTGATATTGAAAACACGTTGGCATCATTGATTGACTCCAGAATTCCATTGACGGGCTTGGTTGACTCCACTCAACTGAATTCAGGTTCGTCTTCAAACGGAGGTGGACTGAACAATCAATATGGATCAATGGATGCATCATACAGTGGAGAGAAAATTACCAACAAGGGTAAAATAGCCGGAATTACAGTTGGAGCTGCCGCTGGATGTGGATTGTACATGACTTTAATGATTCTTTTGTTTAGAAGGTTTAGGAAGAACATCAAAAACATTGAATTGCCACCAACTGACACCGAATCTGAATACACGATGTCTAGTGAAGGCTCATCAATGACCGAAGGAGCTAGCGCTGCCCCATCTGGAAATGTTAGTTCGTTACCGTTTGATTCCAACTATGGCGGGATAATTATGCCCCAGCAAGGATACCCGGAACCAGAGTATCATATGGATGAAGATTCTCCAAATTATTTACAAGACCCAAGTTATCAACCCCAGTATCCACCACAAGTACAACATATGGATAGCAGGAACAATTTCGTATGGCCATAAGTTATTAATATTTTAAAAGGAGTTTATTTTTCTCAAAGTGTATATTTAGTATGTATAAAATTTGTATACAATAGAAGACAATCAATTGAATAAAGAGGTGTATCTTGCTCTTTTATTTCGCGACTGACTCTATAAACTTGTATAAATCATTAACTAAATTTTCAGCATCTTCATCCAACACTTCAAAAAGATCCAGCACCAATGCTGATCTTCCATTGAAACTATTTGTCTCAAGATGTTGTTTAATGACATCAACGAGAAATTCGTCTTGCACACCAAGATACTCCTCCACCAAGTTGATGATTTTGTCATGGATTTGTACCCTCAATTCTTTACTCAAAGATTTAATCTCAGGCAAGTCTGACAATTTCGGTTTGGTGCTTGCTTCGAGTTTTTGCTTCTTGGCTTGTGTCTCTTTTGGTTCATGCTTCACTTCACCCTCGTGCTCTTTTTCTTCAGCTGCTGAATCCTCTGCATCCAACTTCATTTCCAACAATCGTTTTCCATTGCGTTGTTTCAAGTAATCATTATATCTGTAGGTGTACATTGTGGTTATTTCCAATTTCTCATAGTTTTTTAACTTGTCAATTTGATTCAACTTTGAATCAAGCAAATCAGCTTCGTAATTGAGTAGTTTTCCCAATTCAGTTTCCAATTTTAACTTTGAACTTGCTTGTTGCTTAGTGACATCTTTGAGATGAGATTGATACTTTAGATTGTATTCATTTGTTTCGTTCTCATGGATCATATTGTAGTACTCTTCATCATTCAAGTGTTCGTACTGATCAGGAATAACGATATCTTCTTCCTTTCTAGACACATCAGTTGACGATCCTTTCTCTTTCAATTTCTTCTGGTCCCCTGATTTTTCCATCCCGTTGAACAATTCATTTAGTTTGTTTCTTGTCACCAATCTATCATGCTCAATTTGTTTTTGTCGGTTCTCCTTTTCAATAAGTAGCATGCGACTTCGAAACTTAATTATGTCCTTGATTATTCCCTCCTTCATCTCGTTAGGGACATCGATCAAATCATTATAATCAACTTTGTAGTCTGAATAAGATTGCATGACCTTGTCAAGTTCCTCCAAACCTTGCACTTTCGGTTTGGCAAAATTCTTTGTTGTATAAAGTATCAACTTCAATTTGCTCTTTAATGAGTCTGGATTTGAGCTTGGTTGGGAAGGCAAATTAGCTAGTTTATCACGAACTTGATGACTATAAATCATTTCAACCTTTGGTAGGAGCGTGTCTATATGACTATAAGTCTCGATAAACCATTTTGCATCTTCAACTTTATCAAATTTAACAAGAATAACCTTCAGGTCTGTGAACTCATAGTTGATCTGCGACCAGTGGAATGAAGGATGACGATTTGTCGATTTATCGGTATTTAAATTTATCATACTTGCAAGAACTTGCTCTACGACAATATTCTTCAAATTAGGAAAATTATTGAAGACAACAGTCGATAACTGCTGCTGCATATTAGTGGGCTGAATGGTTTTAATCTCAATCAATAGTTTTGGCTCATCGTTTTCATCAATGGCTTCAACAGTAGTGTTTGATACTAGCTGTTTTTTATTCAGTTGTTGCTCCGAAGATTGACTAAGAATCTTGGTATTGTTCAACTCAATCAAGTTGGATGCATCAAATTGGCTTGCAGTGGGTATGTTGAAATTCAATGGTAGGGGGGCTTCTGGTGTGGTTTCTTGTTTAGCTGACTCATCTCTATGCTCCGATAGTAGGGATATTAATTTGGAGTTATTACTTGATGGAATTGTAAATGGCGATGTATATGCAATATCAGAAGAAGCTGAAACCGGCATTGTGTTTTAACTATGCAGTCTTTTAGCTTTTGATGGTTCTGTTGAAAGCTTTGATGATGTTGATAATGTTTGTCAAAGTCGTGAAACCAAAGCTGACGACACACACACATACGCAGACATTTTGAAAATTGTTAACACAGAGAAGAGATTAGATCTACGTAGACTGGGTATACTTACAAACAACGTCGATGACTACACTACTGCATCTACCATCTGATTTGGAATCTGAATCTAACCCGGACACCTCATCAATTAACGAATATGCCGATCAGATAATACAAAAAGTGGAAAAGAACCCCAATGACATTGACCTTTGGAATCAACTATTTAATAATTTAGACCGTTTCATCAGTGATAATGTATCCCAAGATGCCACCTCAAAAAGCTCACTATCTGATGAAGTGAAAACGAAAATACACAACACTTACAAGAGTTTGTTAACCAGATTTCCCTATTTAGAGGAAACGTGGAAAAAATGGCTGATTGTTGAATACAAATTGAATGGGATTGAAGCGTCTATTGATATACTAAGAATGGCAGTAGAATCTTTCCCCCATTCAGTTAGCTTATGGAATGATTACTTGGCTGCTTTGAAATCAACACAAGCTGCTGACCCTCAACAATTTAGGTTTACATACAAGGAAGCATTGGGATATAATGCTTATCATTTCACTTCTCACCCGCTTTGGGATAAGGCAATCGAATTTGAAACAACACTTCAGCAGAACTCGAAGGAATTGTTGGAATTGTATTTGAAAGTGATTAATGTGCCCCTCTATCAATATGCACAGTACTATAGTCAGTTTTCCGAAATTAGCAAGAATTTTGACATCCATGAATTGATGGATAATGAGAAGTTAACTGATTATGTGGAAAAATTTGGCAAATCGAAAATCGATGACTTGTCGTTAATAGAGAAGCATCAAATTATTGATGATTATTTTGCAACTGTATTTGCCTCAACACAAGCAAAAGTCAGCTCGAATTGGGAATACGAGCAACTACTATTACACCAAGAATTTTCAACTAACCGCAAGGGAATCGAGGAAGAGCGAAGTGCATGGGTTGAATATATTGATAGAGAGATACTTGCTTACAAAGCGCATCAAGATAAAAACCAGTTTGAATTTGTTCGTAACTTGTTTGAAAGAGCATTAATACCAAATTGTTTTGACGAAGAGTTATGGTTGAAATACATTAAATTTATCGAGGGGTCAATCCTCCCCGATGAAGAGAAACTTGAGTTAGAGCAAGAGATATATCTACGAACCAATGCCAAATTCATTCCATTGAACCAATGTACAATGAGAAAATTATATGCTTACCTTTTGTTGAAACGAAATGACACTGAGGCGGCAATTGAGTATTTATTCGATTGGATGAAGCTGCTTAGTGGCACATCAAGACAGTATTTTAAATCGCCGTACTTGGAAATGACTCGCGAGATTATGCAAATTTGGAAAACGTTGCAAAGCCAGGCACAGTTTCAAGAGACTTTGGAATTTTGCCTTGGCAATTATTTTGATAAACCTAAGGAAGGCAAGAGGGCGAAACCAGAATCAAATGGAGTTTCAGGAGAAAATGCCTCGTATCAATTGCTGGACGCATTGTTGATCCTGTTTGCCAAATTTCTAAACGATGATTCAATTTCATTAGTTGTTGATTCCTGTCTCGATATATACAAGCGTCAAAGAGATTCGGTCAAGATTCGCACCTTATTTAACAAGTATCACAGAGAGAATAGTTTAGTTAAATCGCCATCGTTTTGGAAATTCATGTTTGAATATGAGGCAATATGCGAAAACAACTTATCAAACTTGAAACTAATATACCACTTCATTCGAACGGAATCGCAGTTGTCTAAATCAACAATCGATATGTTTGTTGACTGGTATTATGACATTGCATCGACTAACATAAGGGAATACTTGTCAATCAACAAAGGCCGTTCAGATGATTCCACGATCTTGAAAGACTTGGAATTGTCCAATTCAGTATATTATAATAAATCGACAGGAAAACGGTTAGCAAAACATAATTACAAAGTTATTGATAATCCAAAGTACATGACAGACTTAGAGCAGGCTTATCTTGATCAAAGTGCGAAGCAAGCAGGTCATCCGGGTGTCTTTATTGACGCTAATCCAGAAATCACAAATTCTTTCATGAGTGGTGGCAAGTATATTGATCTCACTAGAGATGCAACCCCTGTTCCACCACTACCCACTTTCAAAGGGGTTGAAAAAGTCCAGACTTTAGGCAAGAGGAAGAGCCATAACTCTCGTGCACTAAGGAAATGAAAACGAGGAGCTACAATACTCCAATGAATAACTATATATACCTGAACAAAATTTAACCTATATATCATCACTTTGACGACCTATTACCATTAACCCATCTCTAAACGAAGCCTTTCCATTGCACCTATTGTCGCCGTAAACCTCGATAATTTGCAACTGAGGACAACTGCCACCAATCAAAGACAAAATCTCGTTATCAACAGCTCTGACAAATGATGCATCTAAATAAGTTAATAAAATCAATGGTACCTGCTGGTAATATTTGACATTTGAATCTTCTTCATGTCTTTCTCGCAATTTTTTCTTGAATTGGTGCTTGTCATCAGTGAAAATCTGCGACAAAAAGTCACTGGTAATTCGATGCAACGAGTTAATACTAAGCTCAACTAGTGTATGACAAGAGTGGTTTAACAACGCATAGACAGCCTCATCTCCTAGGTCGGTACATTTCATCAAGTTGACTTCGATTAATCCACCAGCATTGACTTTGGAAAACTGGTTAAATGCAGTGGCAAATCCTTCATTTGAAACTTGATCCAAGTTTTTCATTGAAATCTGGGTTAAATTATGGCAATACTTGGAAACTCCATCAAGCAAGAACTTGTCAGTTAATGCAGAACACCCATCGACATTTAAAGAAACTAGAGAATCTCCAGTCTTTTGCAAAATATCGACAATCAAATCATCTGTCACCAAATCTTCATCTGTGGGGTATGATATCTCTAAATGTGTTAGTTTTGATTGCGCAATGTAATTTGAAATCTGATTATATGCATCTTGCTGGTTTATTCCATCCAACCGTGACAACTTTAACGAAGTCAAATCCTTACCGCAGTTTTCCAACAAACTCAAAAGAGAGTCGTTACCAAACCTATGGGTATTCCTTATTTCAAACTTTTGCAATCTACCTCCAACTCGATCAAAATATGCCTGCCACATCTTATCACTAATCAAAAACGGACCATTCAACGCAAGTGAGTGTAAATGGGTTAGATTGGAAGCAAAGTATTCCAAGTTATCATTGTGGAACTGCCCGCACATAAACAAAGTCAACGATTCCAAGTTGGGGCAATAAGAAGCAATTTTGTTTAATGAATCAGAGTCGACATTAGAACAATCCCAAAATGCAATATTCTTCAAGTCGGGGGATAAGAAAAGCGAAATTGTTTTATCATTCAACGATCTGTTCTTTGACAAAATCAGAGATATCTTGTTCAAATTAATCTGACCAATATCTCCCAACACATCAACGTCTTCGATATTCTGGGTAATTTTCTTGATGCATACATCTTGCAACTTGGGTATCTTGACTGTAGTTCTATTTAACAAGGCCTGGGCTACTCTTTTCCTCTTTTTTCTAGCATTCAACTGATTACTTCTTGCTCTTCGTTCATGTTCTTTTAGCACTTTATTACATGAATCACACAAGTACCCTGATTTGTCCTTGATAAATCTCGAATACACTGATAATTCAAATTTGTCACCACAATCAACACACGTGTCTTGCTCTCCAAAGTTTTTCATATTGGCATTATCCAAATCATCACCATCGTCACTGTAATCGTCATCTGCACTGCTATCGTCACTACTATCATCGTCACTGCCACTGCCATCACCAGGCATGGCACGCTTACGACTAGTACCGCCTGCATCTTGTCTTGCAGCTCTTAGCTTACGCTTGGCCGCTTTTCTCATTTGAATAATTTCGTCGTCTTCATCATCATCTTCTTCAACTCCTCTTGTTGGAGTAGACAGTTGGCGACGCGATCCACGTCTGGAGACAAGAGGACTGCCAGCAGCAGACAAATTCTCCATAGATGTCTCACCATGTAGGTCCTCTTCATCATTACCAGCACCAGCATCTGCATCAGGAGTTGTCTCCTGAGTGGTGGTTTCGGTTGTTGCTGTTGCTGTTACTTCTGCTTCTCTTGCACGTCTTTGTCTAAACGCGTCAGTGATACCCTCGCTTTTTAAAAATTCGGTTAAGGCAGAACTGGGGCCTTTGACATTTCCTTGTTTTCTAGTTCCTCTAGCCATGGTGCTAGTATGTAACTGCGTATGCTGTGTTGAGGAAAGTTGATGACAAATAGGTGTCTTGTGTAGGGTGTGGGTGGATGATGAGATTCATTCATGTCTCAGTTGCAGCAAAATAACACAAACTGTGAGTACATATAATATATGTGTTTATGGATGTAGTCAAATGTCTTTATGGTTTATATGCAGTATACATACTAATTTCTTCTTCTTCGCATTTTGAAAAAAGTAAAACGAAAAAAAAAATAAAAATAAAAAAATCGCCACTATCTGAGAGAGAGAGAGGAGACACACACAGTTATTGGTTTACTTCGAGTCTTTTATTGACAAGGGAATTTTCAGAATTGGTATAACCGTTGATACAACCATTGATACAGAAATCCAAGATGCAAATCATTTTCAAAGATTTCAAAAAACAGACTATTCCAATTGATGTGGAATTGACTGATACAGTATGTTTGTTCCTAGATACAGCATTTCAATCCTCGAAGCAATTAGTACTAACGTTTATCTATAGGTTGCGTCAGCTAAGGAAAAACTCGCACAAGAGAAGGATTGCGCCTCGTCACAAATTAAGCTAGTTTATTCGGGTAAGGTTTTACAGGACGACAAAACTTTAGAATCATGTAAACTTAAAGAAGGCGCATCGATAATATTTATGATCTCAAAGGCCAAAGAGACTCCAACTCCTGCCCCCGAGAGTTTGGCACCTGCTGCTGAAGCAGCTGTTTCAGCATCAACTGGTGATTCAACAAAGGTTGAGCCAGCAGGATCAACCCCAACGGCCCCAGCTACTAATTCGGAAACTGCTGCTAATACTGAAAGCACCACCGGCTCAGCTGCTGCTGCTGCTGCTGAAACTAGCGAATCAGCTTTTGCTTTGGGCAGTGAAAGGGAGACAACAATACAAAATATCATGGAGATGGGTTATGAACGACCCCAAGTGGAAGCAGCATTGAGAGCCGCTTTTAATAACCCGCATCGTGCCGTTGAATATTTAATAAGTGGTATCCCCGAATCATTACAACGTCCTGCTGTACCTACAGCAAGTGGAGCCGCACCATTAGCTGAATCAACGACGGCCGAAGTATCTCGTGCTGATGATGATGAAGAAGAAGGTGATGCAGAAGAAAATGCAGGAGAAGAAAACTTGTTTGAACAAGCAGCTGCAGCAGCTGCAGCACAAGAGCAAGGTGGTGCTGGAGGTGCTGGAGTAGCAGGCCCTGGCTTAGGATCAGGATCAGGAGCAGGCATTGGAGGAGGAGGAGAAGATCAGCAAATGCAATTATTGAGAGCTGCATTACAGTCCAACCCAGAATTGATTCAACCTTTATTAGAGCAATTGGCCGCATCCAACCCACAAATTGCCAATTTGATACAACAAGATCCTGAAACATTTATTAGAACATTTTTAGGTGCTGGAGGAGAAGATTTAGGGTTTGAGATTGAAGGGGAGGAAGGCGCCGTTGGAGAAGGGGGCGAAGGTCAAGATCCAGAAGGCACTATACGTATACAATTGTCTGAACAGGATCAAAATGCCATTAATAGGTTATGTGAGTTGGGATTTGAACGTGATTTGGTGATACAAGTGTATTTGGCTTGTGATAAGAATGAGGAAGTGGCTGCGGACATATTATTTAGAGATATGTAGAGTTGGCAAAGTTATATATATATATATATATCACTTGAAAGTGTATGTAAGTTATGTGTAGCTCAGTCTAATTATTTTTCTCTTTTTCTCTCCCTATCCGAGTCTATATGTCCAAGTCTGATAATGAGGTGATTGCTGTGCATTTCAGTTTATCTTCATCTGAAATAGGCGCGTTTCCTGGTCTAATAACGATGTAGCTGCGCATTCCTGCTTTCGAAGCAGCCTTAACTTCATTGACATTGTCACTGAGAAACAATACCGATTGGGGATCCTCTTCTTTGCCAATTTCTTTTAAAATTTTAGAGTATGAAGTGTAAACGGTTTTATGACCAGCGGTAGTTATGTCAAAGTATCCACTCAATTTGTTATTCAAATCAAGTGACTTATCTGAGCCATTAGCAACATGTCCAAATAGCAACTTTTGTGCGCCGATACTACCTGATGAATAAATATAAATCTTGTTGTTTCTATTCGGGAATGATTCGATAAATTTGATAGAATCAGGATAAACTGGAGCTTTCAATTCACCAGATTCGTAGCCTTGAGTCCAAATTACTCCTTGTAATGATTTCAACACTGGATCTTTAATATCATAATCCACCAAGTTTTTTAAATAATTGTAAATCGATTGTGCTGATTCAGTTATATTTGCCGGCAAATTGTCCAAGATGCTGACTATTGGATCATCTGAACCAACATGATTCAATGGATAATCAAACTTATCTAGCTCACCGGGAAGTTTAGCAATGAAGTATGGGAATAATGTATCTTTAACGAATGTAATTGGACATACAGTTCCTTCTATATCGAGAACAACAGTGTGTATGGCCATTTCTTTTGCGACAGACAAGGGGGAAGGTGTATAGATAATGAACGGTGCAACTGAAAAAAAAAAAAAGGGTTTCTCTTGTTTCTAATGCTTTATTAACTGGTGAGCAAAAAAGTTGATTACTTGAGCAAATTCGGGTAGATGTGGTAGTGATGGGGTTGTATTCTTTAGCCGCTGAACCGCTTTCTTCGTTCGAGATTTCTACAAACGTTGCTGGAGAAAGAAACGGAAAGAGAGAGAGAGAGAGAGAGAGAGAGAGAGAGAGAGAGAGAAAGAAAAAAACAAATAAAAAAAGAAATCTCTCTAAAGTGTGAACCATGCGCAAAAGATCACAAGCGATCCCATTGTCAAAATATCTCTCTAGAATGAGATATGCATAAAGATGTGGTGGGTGAAAGATGCATTAGAAAGTAGCTTGGTATAAGTGATCCGTACAAATTTGTATAATAATTGGGCTATTAATTTACTAGTGAATCATTATTGAAAGGAGAGAGCGAACTTCAATGTTGCAAAGGTTTGATCTTCACAAATACCACCTCCATCAAGACTCAAGACTATAAGACTATAAGACTATCAATCACACTCTTGGAGATACTTTAGTGTCAAAGCAAAAGAGTGTAGACTCAATAGAATGCTTCCGGAGTTATTGCATAAACCAACAAAGGCATATCTCCGTGGTGTATGGTGGATGGTAAAGGTGGGGATTATTCTCTTATTGTTTTTTGCCACATGCAATGGAATCTTTTCTAAAATTTGAGATACAAAAAATATGCATATCCAATCTATTCAAATTGTGTATTTGTGTTAAGAATGAAGGCGCAAATATATTTTGGTTTTGTTTCTGTAAATGTTGCCCCTTCCCCTCCACTCCCATACATATATACATATATACATATATACACACATATATATTTGTCTCTTACTTTTATGAATTGCTAAAATCAGATAACAACAACAAAGTGTGAACTATTTACACAAAAATAAAAATAAAAATAAAAAATATTATTCTGTTGGGTAAGAGAGAAAGAGAAGAAAGTAAAACTGTGTCTATTTAAATGCTTCTATCTAAATGCTTCTATCTGAATGCTTCTATCTGAATTGAATGGTGTCAAAAGAAGAGAAAAGAGAAGAAGATTTTTCATATGCCACCACCTCCCCCTCACCCCCCCTCACCCCCCCACAAGCAATATGGGTCAGTAGCAACACACATCTCCTACTACTAGCATATATGTTATGAAACAAACAAGCTCGGGGTCTGATTGCTATTTGTATGTATTGTTGGTGGGGAGGAGGGTATATATTTCTACAGACATACCAATAGCAATCAGTAGCAAAAGCTGTACTGTGTTGTACTGTGTTGTATTTTGTATTTTGTATTGTGATAATATACACAAACAATCAGAACAAAAACAATCAGAACAAAAAAGAAAATAAAAAAGAAAATAAAAAAGAAAATAAAAAAAAAAATAAAAAAAAAAAAAAGAAATATGAAATTTATAACAACTACTGTAGGATAGCTGTCTATTTGTTTTTATATTTCAATTTCAACTTCAACTTCAACTTCAACTTCTATAAAAGGACAGACTATATTTCTAGAAGAAGAAGAAAGAAGAAGCTTGTTAAAGAGAGAGACGAAGAACCGCAAGAGAAGTTAACCACTATATTATTCACGTCATACACGCCATCAAAACATTTTCCTACCCCTCTTTAAAGCTTAACTATTTGGACAAAAATTCACCTAGAACACAACAACTACAACAACTACAACAACTACAACAACTACAACAACTACAACAACTACAACAACTACAACAACTACAACAACTACAACAACTACAACAACTACAACAACTACAACAACTACAACAACTACAACAACTACAACAACTACAACAACTACAACAACTACAACAACTACAACAACTACAACAACTACAACAACTACAACAACTACAACAACTACAACAACTACAACAACTACAACAACTACAACAACTACAACAACTACAACAACTACAACAACTACAACAACTACAACAACTACAACAACTACAACAACTACAACAACTACAACAACTACAACAACTACAACTACAACAACTACAACAACTACAACAACTACAACAACTACAACAACTACAACAACTACAACAACTACAACAACTACAACTACAACAATGTCCAATCGAATACCACTTTATGAAGAGTCCAAGGACTATATAAACGAAGACCACATTAGTGAGTTTGCCAAAGCGTTAGTATGGCAAGATCATGATGATATAACAACCACTCCAACTACACCTAAAAACGAGCCCTTAGATTTTGGTGATGATGATGATGATGATGATGATGATGATGATGATGATGATGATGATATGTCATCGCTGGCAACTGAAGAGATAGACCAAGATACAAACAATAATACATTGATTGGAGAAGGAGCAGAACTTGGTATCTCACCAACTCCTAAACCAGACATGATTACATCAAAAAGTGATTGGTTTCCTGTAAGTGCCGCCAGTGCCAACTCCAAATCCAAAACAAATACAAAAAACAAGGCTAAGAAATCGTCATCCCCTATAGCCTCATTACAAAATGAATTTAGAAATAGTATAAGTTATACTTTACTACGATGGCCAATACTTATAGCTGTGTTCATCTGGGTAACAATTTTAGGTTCATTATATTTTGCCATTAGAGTACATGTGGCCCTAAAAGAATATTTCTTTACTTGGAGAGGACAACGAAAGAAATTGAGGGAGAAGTTGAGACAATCAAAGTCGTATGAGGAATGGGTTGAAAATGCCATAAATCTAGACAAGTTTTTAAATTTGGACAAGTGGTCAGAGAACCCTAAGTTTTCTTATTATGATTACAAGACGGTGGGCATGACCATTGCAAGATTGAAAAAAGCACGTGCAGCAAACAACATGCAAGAACTACAAATATTACTTCAAGGATGTTTGAAACGGAATTTTGCTGGGATTGAGAATAGACAGTTGCATTCACATAGATACTATGGAACCAAAAACTTGGTACAATCGTATTACGAAGAAGTATTACGTTGCATAGATATACTCACTGATTCGAATGATGTTTCACCAGAGATCAAGTACAAGTTTTTCAAGATTGTACTGAAGAATTTTGGCAAGTCGGCTTTGTGTTTGAGTGGAGGCGCCACTTTTGCTTACACCCATTTTGGAGTTGCTAAAGCCTTAATTGATGCGGGACTATTACCGAATATTATATCAGGTACATCAGGAGGTGGATTAATCGCGGCTCTATTATGCACAAGAACTGACGAAGAGTTGAAGAAATTGTTGATTCCGCAGTTGGCAAGGAAAATCACTGCTTGTGAGGATCCGTGGTATGTATGGATTCCTAGGTTGATAAGAACTGGTGCTAGATTCGATTCCGTTGCATGGGCCAGGAAATCAAATTGGTTTACTAGAGGATCAACTACTTTTGAAGAGGCGTTTGAGAGGACAGGCAGAAAGTTGAATATTAGTACCGTTCCTGCTGATCCCCATTCACCGGTAATCTTGTGCAACGATATAACTTCTCCTCATTGCATTATATGGTCTACATTATTAGCATCATCAGCAGTTCCAGGTATCCTTAATCCGGTGGTATTAATGATGAAGAACCCAGATAACGGCGCAGTTGTTCCATTTTCTTTGGGCAGCAAATGGAGAGATGGATCGTTGAGGACAGATATACCTATTGATGCACTAAACACATACTACAATGTGAATTTCACCATTGTATCCCAAGTCAACCCACATATTTCGTTATTCTTTTTTGCGCCAAAGGGAACTGTTGGTAAGCCGGTTCCAGTGTCCAAAAGCCGAACAAAGAGGGAGAAGTTTGCTTCATTTAGAGGTGGGTTCATTGCCACTGCATTGGAGCAACTATTGCGATTAGAGATCCGAAAATGGCTACAAATTGTTAAATCGTTAGATCTATTGCCGCATGTATTACAACAAGATTGGTCAAATGTTTGGTTGCAAAATTTTACTGGCTCAGTGACAATTTGGCCAAGAAACAAGTTGAATGATTTTTGGTACATCTTGTCTGATCCTACTGAAAAGCGGTTGGGCGAGATTATCATGAAGGGTGAACGCAGCATGTATCCAAAGTTGCTTTACATCAAAAATAGAATCTTGGTGGAAAGGGCAATTGAGCGTGGTAAACGTGTCGCCACGCAAGCTACAAAAGAAGCTCGCATCAATCTTGAAATATCATCCAATCGTAACAATGGAGGCATTGTTGACATCGTCGTTGATGATGACGATGAAGACGATGGCATAGTTCCTAGTGACTATGATGTTGCCAAATTTAAGGAAAAGATTGGAGTGACTAATAAAGACTTTGAAGAGTTTGCGGCTGGATTTAGCGGTGCTGACCATGACGGAGATGATGAAGATGACGATGAAGATGAAGATGATGCATTCGATGAGGACTTGTTGGTGAGGGACATGTATGATGACAGTGATACATTTAGCAGTCCTTCACCCCACGGTCCATCACAGTTTAAACACAGACGCAACACCGTGTTTTGATTATATAGACAATCACGAATTATAAAACAGACAAGACAAGACAAGACAAGACAAGACGAGATATTTTTTTATGTTGTAGTGGTAATGAAACTTTTGTAAAAGCTCATTGTAATCGCTCTGTCATTGCAAACGCATGAACTGTAATCACTCTGCTACAATCCACTATTCTCTTTTCCACATTTTCTTCACTTTTGCGTCAAATTTTCCCACATCACCAATTTCACCTTCAACTTCAGCAACTTGTTGTAAATAAAACAAACATAACTCAAAACTCTGAGTCATAATAATTTGTTTCTGCTCCAATGTGAATGGACTTAGGACCCATGAACTCATTGTTGCTTTACTTGCTTGAACTGGTTTTGGACCAATTCCAATTCCCAATTTCAAACACTGCAACCTTGTTTCTTTCTGCATCACTGTCATCAAGTTCTTTATGCCATTATGACTTTCATTTTTCTTAAACGTTGATAACTTGACCAGTGGGATATCATTTTCAAAATCATCGTACAAAATAATGACAATAGAATCAGGGGGTAGTTTTTCAGTAGCAATGACTTTGTTCCATGCTTTTGCGCTTTCGTTCATGTAGGTGTTTGATTTGATGAATATTAGACTATTATCGGCATTACTAGTTATGGAATATGTTGATTTGGGAACAAGTTGTTTAACGGTGGATGAGTAGTTGTCTAGTAGTATTTTTAGCATTAAATGGCCGGTGGAGTGTCGGTTGGAGGGCCCTGGATTTCCTATCGAGAATAACACCAAGCTCATCCTTTATGACGAAGATGAAGTTTGTTGTGGTAAGTAGTTGCAAAAAAAAAAAAACTAAAGTACCTTTAGGGAAGAGATTTTGTTGCGCTGGAATTGTTTGTTGACAAAAATTGATACGCATATAAAGTTTCTTTATCCTGTGCAACACAAATTATACAAAGAAAGGATCCTGAGGGATAGTTTTTCGTAAACATGACAAAAGATGAATTGAATGAGATGGATAATGCAACACCGTCAGAAATTGAAACGAGCAGGAATGATAATGCAAAGAATAGTGAAGTAGAGGAGGAATTAGGTGACAATGATAACACCACAAGCCTACCGGAGGTTAAGGAATCGATTCAAAACTCTGCATTAAATGATTCTATCGAAGAGCCACAGGAAGAATTAAGTGAACCAATTGAGCAAGGGAAAGGGAGCGATGCATTGGCAGACAAAGTTGAAAGTAATCTTGAAGAGACCACAGCCAACGAAATTGAATTTCAGAACAACATCACAGAGGCAGCAATTGACGGCTTGAAAGAAGAAGCAAATGAGTTATTACATGACGACCCGAATCAATATCAAAATCAAGAAAAAGAAGAAGAAGAAGAAGAAGAAGAAGAAGAAGAAGAAGAAGAAGAAGAAGAAGAAGAAGAAGAAGAAGATGATGACGACGATGATGACTTTGATGATTTTGCTGCTGCAGAACCCCATCCACAAGAAGTTGACACAACAGATGAATTTGACGATTTCGACGAATTTGAAACTTTTGAAGAACCCACCACCGACAACAACAACCAAACTCAATCCAACGTGGACCCTGCATTTCCAGACTCTTCCTTTGCCAATAAATCGGAATTTGAATCGAGATTATCCCAACTCTTGTCCAAATTATTCATCACTGACGAACTTGCTTCATCACCATCTTCCTCTGAACCACTTTCAAATTCACAGAATGCCGTATCTGATCAATCTACTGAATCGTTGTTAACCGATAGATCCAAAACTATCTACAAACAAATTTCCACCATGCCTTATTTACATCCGCCAAATTGGATACGACTGGATATAAGACATAATCTCTTGATTAAATTGGGCATACCCATAAACCTTGACGAATTGAATGCCAATGCTAGTGCCAACCCCAATGTCAAGGTTACTATACCACAAGCCACCACCAATACATTGTCATCGTCATCAGATATTACCCAGTCCGAGAATACTGCTGATCAAAACCATTTGGCTGTTCCACTGCAACGTCAACACCGATCACGGAAAAAATCCATTAGCGAACAAGATATAAACTGGACAGATTTCACCATCCCCGACTTTGATTCATTGAAATTAACCAATGCTCAAATCCAAGACTTAATCACAACTACAAATGAAACATTATCGAAATTTGAAATTGATTTAATGGAAAATTCATCATCACAATATTTACAACAAGCTAAATCGGAAGTACTTGATGCCAAATTGCATCAATTACGACTGAATCATCAAGAATTGTTGAAAATGAGTTCAATTTGGCAACATCAGTTGCATGAAGTACGTAAAGATTATGAGATTTATGAACAAGTTGTACAAAGTTGTATTGGGTATTCGCAAAAATTACGTCGAGAGGAAATTTTGGAAAATTTGAAAAAAATGAAACCTTCTTCGTCATCTTCATTCTCATCGTCATCGTCGTCATCATCTTCATCGAAAAAGAAGAAATTTTGGAAGAAATAGAAAAAAAAATTGCTACTATACCAATAAAAGGGTGTATTATTTAATGAAGTGAAAACTGTCTGATATTTCAAGTGTACTTAAAATATATAACTATAGTACATAACATTTAAAAAAGAAGCAAAATTGTACATAAGATTCTCTAAATTGTAAGTTTAGTAGTAGTAGTAGTAGTACTTTTTAATCTAAGGTATGAAGTTGAACAAGGCATTAATCTCATCATTTGGATCGAAACCTGATTGTAAATTCATATTTATAAATGATGAATCCATAAAATTTGTTTGGAATCCAGGAGTGGATGGATGGAGCGGTGGAGCTTGAGCTTGAGCTTGAGCTTGTTGTTGCTGCTGCTGCTGTTGTTGTTGTTGAGCACCATCATTAAAGTTACCACTAGAACATGACTGCGGTGGTGGCATGCTAGCATTGTCATTGATATCGTCATTGTTGCCACTAGTGCCTTCTTGCCCCTGTTGCTGTTGGTGGTGTTGTTGTTGTTCCACTGGTGCTTCTCTCGTCCCACCTACATCATATATATTGCTACCCAAATCCTGTTCATTATTTGGAGAATGGACTACTGATGGAGCGGCACTAAAAGTAGGAAACAATTGTGTTGGATCGAAATTTTCAAAAAAGTTTTGCTTGTTGGGAATATTTTCCGTAACAAGACTGATATCTGGAAATGAACGAGTTGATGAATCTGGCGAGGTCTCACTTGCCGTTTTATCACTTCCATCCGCACCATTGGCTTGCTTCATGGGTACTTTATACTGTTGAATCAATTGTTCAATGACTGGCGTTTGTGAAGTTGGAGGTACGTTTGGATTACGATGTTGGTATTGTTGTTGTTGTTGTTGCGGATTCAACGACGAGCGTTGTTGAGAAATAGGTGCACGAGCTTGCAGTTGCTGCGTTTGGTAATCATGGTAACCAGTTCCACCCGGGGACACACCAGAAGTAACCGATGAAGGAGAGAATTTTGATGTAGCAGGTGAATGTTGCTGCTGTTGCTGTTGAAATTGGACTTGTGGCTGTTGTTTGTTAGGTTTTGGATGTTGAAGAGGCTGTCTTGGTGGAGGAGGCAACGGTTGCAGCTGGGACTGGCGTGAATTTTGCCGCGACTGTTGTGGCGATTGCAGTTGCAGTTGTCGCAGTTGTTGGTTTCCATATTCCATCGATCCTTGCTGCTCGCTTCTAGTCTCATTAGCTCGCTTCTCATTCAACTCATTGATCATCATTCCGCTTTCAATGACACTAGCACGTTTAATCTTATCATTAGCATATTTATCAAACAACTTGATTAAAACTGTAACCACGGGGTAGTATTCACCCAACTTTTGTACAACAGCTCTTGAAACAAGCAATGATTCACTTGCGGTGGATGCAATCACTGTATTAGTTGAGTCAATGTGATAAATCAACATAATCAATGCACTAAATGCAATATAGACATACATCGTCGGCACGTACTTCAATTGATCTCTGTCCATCAAGATTTTTGAGATAATTGAAATCATTCTTGCTGATTGGAAACTAATACCCCAACTTGGATACTTGTAATTGTTTGGGTTTGTTGATGAGGATTTAGCCATTCTCATCAAGTTTGAACGATGAATCAAAAACAATCGATTGTAGTATTGAGAATTAAGCAAGCACGCGTAAAAACTTTGTGATGATGGGTCACCCAATGAAAATACCAATTGTGGTGGCAAGTTTGTAAACCAAATACCCATCAACATATCGCAATGTTCAATAATGGAGAATGCATTTCTTCTCTTCATTGATTCTGATCTAATGCTATATTGGTGCTTGATGATAATCCCGGTAATCTCTGCCAACTTGATCAAATGAATAAAATATAACGCATGCGTTTCATTTACGTTGTACAGAGAAGCAACGCCCAACTCTGGATCATTTTCATCAAAATCTTCCATCGTCAACATTGGAACATCACAATCATTTAAATCAATTGTAACCGGTCTGCCAAAAGCAATGGCAACATTACGATCCTTTTCAAACAAACACCACCAAATTCGCCTCCATAATCTCTTTTCCAGGAGCGATAAACTGGACAACTTTGTCACATCACGCTGAAAACCAAATCCTTGCGCAAGTGCAACAGCGACCCTTGTCCAGTAAAATGAGTTTTTCGTTACATCCTCTGGTCCATCCCAATATGAACCAATCAAAATCAAAGTTTGAATGATAGACAAAGGATCACTTTCATAATTCATTTCGTACAATGCTTTTGCTCTTTTGAAAAAAGTTATACTTGCAAGATTTGTAGATCCATTAGCATCTAAAATTAACGGGTTTTTGGACACTCTACTTCCACATAATAATACAGCATGCAACACCATCAAACTGGGACTGTCATTAGGATCATTAAATTTTTTCATAAACAATGTACGATTCAACACTGGCATCAAAGGGTGTACGTGTTCAAAATAGGACTCAATTAAATCCAAGGCCAATTCTCTACTTGGAAGTAAAAAGGCGCCTCTTAATTTCAAAATCTCCATTTCAACAGCATCTAAACTGCTATCAGGCAAGTCAAAAACGTCTTCAGCCAATTGTACATGGTTTTCACCAAGTTTATGAGGATAAACCGCAATTGAAGAGGACCCAACATAAGTTAAGGATGGTTTACCCTTGGAGGTTAGCAATTCCTTCTTATGCATTGAGGGTCTGTTTTTATATGTTGATGTTAACGAGGGGGGCACGCTAATTTGAGATATATTCAATACAGGTTCTTTTGTTGTTTTAGTTTTGGAAAAGCTTGAGTGATGTACTGAAGAGATGTGACTGATTGTTGAAGCATGTTGATTGTCACCTGGTACATCATCTAGGGTAGCATGCTTGGAAGTGGGTGATATTGCTTCCTCCTGCTTGACTGTAGTTGCTTTTGCTGTATTGGCTGGCGTTCCAACAGAGCTTCCTGTCGACGTGTGATTACCAGGCGTCAGTATTGCCGTGGAAGGTGCTCTAGCCTTTGCCTGTGGATCATTACCTTTTTCTGGAGTAGCCACGGCAGCAGAGGCATTAGCAGAAGCATTAGCAGAAGCATTAGCAGAAGAATTAGCATCAGCATTAGCATCAGCAGCTTGTGCAAGTTTCTGTTTTTTCGACTTTGACTCTCCAGCTTTGTTGCCTCTCTTTTTCACTTCAGGCAATACACAATCACAGCCAAATGTTATGCAGTTGGTACAGGGGATATGAATTTCAGCATCACAACGCACTTTTCTCGATCTACACACAGTACATGCTCTAGAACCTCTAGGACGTTTATACTTGATAGTGAATGCTTTTGGTTTATCTTTGGGATTTGTTTTATTCGAGGAGTTGTTACTGTTGTTGTTTTCATTACCAGCGTTGGATGTGGTGGTAGCTCCATTTGTTTGATGATTGTTTTCCTGCTGATCAGTATTCAAGTTGAAACTATCGTCATGTTCCTTCTTGATTGTGATTGGTGTATTACTACCACTACTCATGATGATGATAGTACTGAGATTGTTGATGTTGTATACTGTTGAAAGTTTGTCTGATCAACCTGTAAAAGGAAAGTAACTAACTTTAATTTTAGTTGATTTTTTTTTTAGTTCCGAGTCATACTTTGTCAAACGACACAGACAGAGAGAGAGAGAGACAGTAAATTCCATTTTTGTATATTGGTTCCCAATGTCGTAAATTCCCTTGCGACATGACATCAAACGATATACATCTCTTACTTTTCAATAACATACTATGCTTACAGTTTTTCACCGCGACGAGAGCAGAGCTTCCACTTGTAAAGTGGAAACTTTGATCTTACAGTTGTTTTACTCTTACTCTCTTTGTATTTTTTCCCTTTTTGTTTTTGTTTTTCCATTTTCCATTTTCCATTTTCCATTTTCCATTTTCCATTTTTTTTTGGACCGAGGAGGGAAGGGAAAAATTCATAAATAAGAATAGACAATAATATTCCGCTTTTTTTTGTTTTTGTCTCTCTTAATGTTTACTTTCAGTCGGTTGGTAAAACGGTTATCGGAGTTTGTATGGTACGAATTAGTACAGGTAACAAAGTAATGTATGTATGTAACACCAGTTACCCATTCTTTCTTCTTAAGTTAAAACATTTATGGATCAAGTCGTAATGAAGTATTTGTGTTATAGATGAAAAGAGTAGTAAATGATTGTACCCAATTTTTAAAAAACGGTTGACAACATTTGTAACCATCTCTCTCCCTCTTTAAAGAATAGAGTATGTATAAATGTAGAAGAGTATTTCCCATTTCTGTTGTTTTATGGCAAACGATAGGTGAAATAACCCCCTTCCCCCACAAAAATACCTGTATCTGTGGCTTTAGACTTGGCGTCTATAGTTTATTACTCTACTAGCTGCTGCATATGTCACTCTTTAAGTCCGAGCGCTTTCTTTGTGTTTTTTTCAATGCAAAGTCAAAGGGTCTAAAGTGGCACAGATTTTGTTAGTAAATATATATGTCTGCTGTTGCAAACACAACTCTTACTTATAAACGTGCTTAAATATTGAAGAAAGAATATACTTCTTTCACCTTCATTTCCCTAAGAAGAACCTTCTTTTCTCATTTCCTATGGTGGGACAAGGATTTAACCATATATAGTCTTCCATTAATATGGTCTATGGTCGTGTACAAATTCCAGAAGATTTTGAGTGGACTTGGCAAAGCGCAGGAAAAAATCCACAACCTTTTTACATATTAATTTCTTATCGAATTCAATACCAAAGCAAAGCACAGTCAGATACCGTAGGTCTTAATTTGGCTATTATTGAAAATGGAGAAGAAAGCTGAGGAAACACATCATGCTAATGAAAGCTACCTCGGCGATGACTTAGAGAAACAACAAATTGACGATGACGGGTTGGAAACAATTTCAGTTTCCCATGAGCAACATCAAAAGACTAATCAATCCCAAGATAAACCAAAGGGAGTTTTTTTTAGCATTTTTGAACCATTTAGTTTCTGTTCGTTTCTTTTTGATCCTTATTTTTACCCACTTTTTGTTTTCAAACCTCACGATTTCCAGACATATTGTATCCTGTGGTCTCTAGGGATGTTGTTGATTTTCGTTGAGCAAAGTTTGCGAATATGGAGAAAATTTACAAAGCGAGGAATTGTCAAGAATAGTTTAACTTGCGTTTTGGTGACGGTTTTCATTGTGAAATTAATCGTGATAATGTTGGCAATAATGCCATATGCAAAGAATGTTCCATGGTATGAATTGTACGAGAAGACACAGAGTTTGCTAAAGATATAGATGTAATAAATGGATGGATGTCGGATTGCTTATTTGTAGGGACTATACTCATCTTGAGATTGATAATTGACAAGGTCTTGCTTCCTTTCCTTGACTAAACAAATTCAGAAGTTGCAAGCAACTCGGGACAGTTAAAGCCCAGAGTAAAGCTAAGCTGGTTCAGCATTAGAAACTATTACATGTATGTCAAGAATCTATATCAGAGTATCAGTGACGAGGTTTTTTCCAGGTAACTGCTATTTGTACAGGATATAAGATATCTAGACCAATATATTATTTTAAACTGGTGTCAACATCACAGTATAAATATCAGCTTTATCATAAAAGTAAAGCGTAAGCTCTTGTCTAAAAATAAATAAATAAATGAGCAAATTATAAAGCCTTTTTCGTTTTTACAAACTTATCTCCGCGTAAGTTTAAAAACATACTTTTTGCGCTTTTCAATGGTGGCTTAAATTCAAATAACTTTTCTTCTTTTATTCCTTCTTTGTTGATACAAACATATTCCAAATTAACCATTTAATAAAAATATATTATTGATTAGGTCACTGTTACAATGAATAAAGAAATTGATGCTTATGATAAAGAAAACGATTATTTCGTCTCTAGCCAGTTGGAAGAAGAATCTCAAGAAGGTGCAAATGAAACTGATATTACTGAATTGATTCCTTTGCCATTTTAACCCTCAAATCAAAGCTCATCCGACCCTGAATTCCAAAAGGCAATCAAATTGATAGTCTATATTGATATTTAGATTTGTTATTCATGAACCAAGAAGTACTACTTTATACAATAGTGAATTGGTGACAGAGATTATGGTATCACTTACGCTCATGATATTGGGTTCAATGGTTTCATTATTGATGAAGGCATCTAAAAGTGGAAGTTTCAAATCTAAAGTGGATCTAGTTGTTGCTATACGTGATTGCTTAAAATTGCTTACGATAGCTTTGTATACCTTGTTACGAGAAATAAAGGATTGGTAGTGGGAACAGAAAAAGAAAACACTTGCAACAGCAAAAGGATAGACAATGGATCGAATGCAACCGTTAATGAAACGGATAACCGAAACCATCTCCTTTAAGAGAAAAAGGCTATTTTTAATCGACCCGAAGGCTCAATTGTACGTATAATCACCTTTTGGTGGGCTCAATGGACACTTTTAAAGCATAAACATATGTTGAAGAGTATGACAGTTAAGGAATTAGTTACTAAGATCCATCTTCATCGTTCTTGATGTGGTGATGATGTCGATTAAGTTGATGGCTAATATTTTCTAGTGTTTTATAGTAATTCTTTCGAAGGGAGTGGTGTATTGCTAAATAGAAATTGATATAAATCACGTGATTGTCATGCTTATCTGAAAACAATCATCATCTCCCCTTTGCAAACATCATCATCAACAACAACAACAATAAGACAATAGAAAAAAAAATTTTTTTTTTTGTTTTTTTCTTTTTGGGTGATTGCAGCTTTTCGGTTTTTGTAACAATAGACACACACTACTACTACTACCTACTACACACATAGAACTTGAAAAAAAAAAATTATTCACTAAAAGGTTTGGTTGTTGCTCATTAGTACAATCCTTCAAATTTTGGCCTTGTTTTCACTGGATAGACAGCCGTACTTAATTAGCATATCGGACATCTAATACTTTTTTTAATTTCCAAACCATGTCGAATCAAGAATCGGACGCTGAGAAAAATATTGAAATCTGGAAGGTCAAGAAATTGATCAAGTCATTGGAATTGGCTAGAGGTAATGGTACCTCGATGATTTCCTTAGTTATCCCACCAAAGGGTCAAATCTCATTAATACAAAAGATGTTGACTGAAGAGTATGGTACTGCATCGAATATCAAGTCAAGAGTTAACAGATTGTCAGTCTTGTCTGCCATCACATCGACACAACAGAAATTGAAATTGTACAATTCAGTACCTAGAAACGGTTTAGTTGTCTATTGTGGTGATGTCATAACTGAAGAAGGAAAAGAAAAGAAGTTGAATATCGATTTTGAACCATTTAAACCTATCAACACCTCACTTTACTTGTGTGACAACAAATTCCACGTTGAGGCATTGAATGAATTGTTGGAAAACGATGACAGATTTGGATTCATCATCATGGATGGTAATGGAGCTTTATTCGGTGCGGTCAGTGGAAACACAAGAGAAGTATTGCACAAATTCACCGTCGATTTGCCAAAGAAGCACGGTAGAGGTGGTCAATCTGCAATGCGTTTCTCGCGTTTGAGAGAAGAAAAGAGACACAATTATGTTCGTAAAGTTGCTGAAGTGGCTGTACAAAATTTCATAACCGCAGATAAAGTCAATGTCAAGGGATTAATCTTGGCAGGTTCAGCCGATTTCAAGACTGAATTGAACAAGTCTGATTTATTCGATAATAGATTACAAGCAAAAGTCATCAAGATTGTTGATATATCATATGGAGGAGAAAACGGGTTCAACCAAGCTATCGAGTTATCGGCAGAAACATTAGCCAATGTTAAGTTTGTGCAAGAAAAGAAATTATTGAATGAATATTTCGAAGAGATTAGTCAAGATACTGGAAAGTTCTGTTACGGAATAGAAGACACATTGAAGGCATTGGATTTGGGTGCTTGTGAAAGAGTTATTGTTTACGAAAACTTAAACATTATAAGATACACATTGAAAGATGTTGAGGGTGAAGAAGTAATAAAACACGTCAACCCTGAATTACCCGACAAGTCGTGGCAGGAAGATAAAAAGACCGGAACTGATATGGAGATCGTTAAAGAGGAGTTGTTTTTGGAGTGGTTGGCTGAAAATTATAAAAATTTCGGTGCTGAATTAGATTTTGTTACTGACAAATCATCAGAAGGTGCTCAGTTTGTACAAGGTTTCGGTGGTGTTGGTGCTATATTGAGATACAAGGTCAATTTTGATCAATTGGCCGATGACGAGTCGGAGGAGGACGAATACTATGATGACGACGATGATGATTTCATCTAAATTGTGGAAAGAGAAAGAAATGGTGTGTGTGTGTAGAAAGTTGCTGGTAATTTTATATAGAAGCAATTATATATACAACATTATAGATGAAAATAAATGGAGGATAGTTTCTATCTATTTACCATCTCTCAACTCCTGTCTCTTTTGTTTGGCCTTTTTCTTTTGATCTTTTTTGACCTGCTTGGCTTCTTTCAATTTGGCGATTTTATTCAATTTTTGCTCATTGCTAACTGGTTTAATCTTGCCACCATTCTTTTGCAAGTCATTCAAGGCATTGACTTTATCATGTCCAACCACGTCTTCATGATGTTCACCTGTTGCCATTTGGTGGGCTAAGTTTTGTAATCCACTAGTTAAATATGATCTTCGGTTATTCTTCCTAATAGGTCTAGCTAACAACTCCTTCAATTCGTACTTGTACTTGTTCTGCTCATTTTTAGTCAACTTTTTGCCTTCTTGTCTTTTCCTCTGCTTTTTGATAATATCATCTTCAAAGTCATCCAAGTCGTGTAAATCTTCAACGCCCAAGTCTTCGGCTGCTTGCTTCACCCACGAATCCTCCTTTCGTGTTGCAGTAGAGGATATTCTTGCATCGGCTAATTTAGATGCTAGTTCTATTCGTGGTCTCAACTGAGCCACCAAATCCATTTCAATAGGTAACAACTTGACATCGTTATGAGCACCCAATCTCTTATTGCTAGCATTTGAAGCGACTATCTTACGCAATTTCCTCAATGGTCCTGAAGCTTCTTGTGGCGAGCAAAACATCACCGACACACCTTCTCTACCTGCTCTTGCCGTCCTTCCAGACCGATGAATATACACATCGGCTGATCTGGGTAAATGGTAATGAGCCACATGATCGATTTTAGGTATATCCAACCCTCTTGCAGCAACATCAGATGCGACCAACACGGCAGTCTCATTCTTCTCAAGAGCAGCTCTGAATCGCTCTAATGATCTCAATCTCTGCTTTTGTTCCATCGATGAGTGGATAGCAAATGCAGGAATTTTCAAATTCTCAAGTAATGGAATCAACCTCTTGACCGAGTCTATGGAGTTTGCAAATACTAAAGTTGACCCTTTATACATCAACAAAAAGTAATACAAGTACAAGTCACGTTCAGTGGCACCACATTCAACTAAAGCTTCAGTGATTTGCCCCGAGACGATTTCCTTGGGATTGGCATCAATTAAAACCGGCTTCTTGTCCTTGAAATTTAATTTTTCATTCAATAATTCAATGATTTCGTCATTTTGTACCAAACTGTTGCCATCAATTTGCTGCCTTTGATTCTTTTGCTTGGGTTTTTGTTGCTTGTCCAATTTGCCAAACAAGTCTCTTGAAAAAGTAGCACTAAACACCAATGTTTGCCATTTCCAATCAATGATCTTCTTATTCTTAGGTCTGTTTTTGCCAAACAACTCCAATATCTTTTCAAATTCTTCAAAATGTCCATCTTGTAACAACCGGTCAGCTTCATCCAATACTACAATATCCGTCAGACTCATCCTCTTGGCCAATTCAGAGTCATTTTCACACAACTCCAAAAACCTTCCTGGGGTAGCGACTATGATTCCAGGGCCCATCTTCAATAATCTTTGTTGTTTTTGTATCGCTAATCCACCAGTCACACTCACGATTCCCCTCACGGAAAGGGGCGAGTACTGAGCCAACTTGTTCAAATGGTCAACCACTTGATGGGCTAGTTCTCGTGTTGGGGTAAAGATTATACCATTGGGCGAATTGATTTTCTTGTCATTGACATTCTGTTTCACTTGGTCCAAGGATTGTAGATACTTTTCAAGGATGGGAATTCCATAGGCGAGTGTTTTACCTGAACCAGTAGTGGCTTTACCAACCACATCTTTACCTTCTAACGCAACCGGGATGGTTCTCTTTTGGATTGGTGTAGGTGTAGTAAAGTTCAAATTCGCGAGACCATTTAAAGTGTACGGGCTGAGGGAAACTCCAAGTTCATTTTCGGACCACTGTGGTATATCTATGTCATTATCATCGGGCATAGGTAATTCAAGATTGGCAAAGATGTTGTGTTTTAGTTCAGACAGGTCTCGGTTCTCCTCTGCTTCGCTATTAGGGGTCTCTTTAGAAAGTATATCACCCTTGGAGATGTTCTCATCTTCCTCATTGTCATCATCAAATCCCGTGAACTCTTCTTCGTCAATAATGTGATCGCCCTCTTCTTCGTCTTCATCTTCATCTTGTTCTTGCTCTTCCTCGGCATTGTCGTCCCCTTCATCCACCTCATCGCCTCCTTCAACACCCTTTGTCTTGTCTTCTTTTACAACAAACTGTGGTTTCCCATCAACAACCTCAACATCAACTCCATCAATTTCCTCTAGTCCAAAGAATCCTGTGTAATCACCCAAATTATCGGGTATTTCAACTGGTTTCCAAGCTAAATCATTGATCTTGACAACCTTAGACTCTTTTTTAAGTTTTTGCTTCAAAGTCGGGGGTTTTCTAGGCTTTGATACCTTGTTTGACCTCTTATGTTGTTTCTTGTTGCTCTTGTTATTCGGCATGTAAAGTATGTCTGCTGAGTTGATTAGTAGTTAATGCTTGTTGTAAATTGAAAATTATATTTCCATCATCTCATCTGAAGTTTACTTACACAAAAAAACACACAAACACTTGAGTTTCACACTCTATCAGAGGGCTTCAGTACTTCACTTTATACAAAGAGAGGACCAACCTTGCTTACTATATTTGATTGCCATTTGAGGTTGAGCAAGGAAGATTAAATTCAATCACTTTCATTAGGCCTTCGAATATAATGGCAAAAACAAAGAATGCAAAGAGAGGCTTACTGGTTCGATCTACTTCAATAACTGGAAAGACAGGTTTGGCCAAGCAGAAGAATTTAAAGCCCGAACACACTAGGCAAATAATCCGACGGTTTCATATCTTACAAAAGAATAAACACACAATTTTAACAAGACTCGGAATCAGTGCAGCTTCAGTTGAAGACCAGAATTACGACAGTATAAGGAAAGAGGGCCTATACCAGACAGAATTCAAAAACTTCAAAGTACCAGCCAAGTATAGTGACAACGAGGTGTACCGAATTGATAGCGGACTAACCAAGTCAGACTTGACCAGAGTTCTAGCGAGAATTGATTCCGAAATTGAACAGAGAGGTGGCATAGATGTCTATCAGTCTGCATCCACCCAAGGTCAAAATGGTAAAAGAGGAGGAGACTCGTCAAAGAAGCTAGTTGAATGGTTGAGACTTGACGGGTACCAAGCAAAATTGCAAAATGTGAATGCTTTGGAAATTGGGTGTCTAAGTCCTAATAACGTGATATCAATTGCTGGAATCTTCTCGCTGGTTTGCCGGATTGACTTGAATTCACAAGACCCTGCCATTGAACAACAAGACTTTATGCAGCGACCTATTCCAACAAGCGAAGCAGAAAAATTCAATTTAATTTCATGCTCCCTAGTGATAAACTTTGTTCCATCGCATAAAGAAAGAGGAGATATGTTGGTTAGGATGACCAAGTTTTTAAAGAAGCCCAAGAATGGAAGTTTGAGTAGCTTATTTCTTGTGTTGCCATTACCGTGTATTTCAAATTCACGGTATTTTGACAATGATAGATTACTTGAAATCATGTCGGCTTTAGGATTTGTGCAAACGTACTCTTATGAGGCAAAGAAAGTGGCATATTGGCTATTTGACTGGAATGGAAAGACAAGCAAGAATGCAAAATTCCCGAAAAAAGAGTTACACTCCGGCTCACAGAGAAACAACTTCTGCATAACCTTATAGCTTGGCACAAGAGGGTTTTACAAGGTCCAATTGTTTAAGTGCTTGTTCATCTCATTTTTTTTTTGTTGCTTCATATATTGACTAAATATTATTCCCACCTGCGTATTACACTAGGCATCAGCGACATGTTCATGTTCAGGCTTTGCATAGCCCGTCGAGGTAGCCATTTCCTCTGGTGAAGGCGGTATCCAGCTTCCCGACTTCCATGGTAGAATTCCTTGTGCATACATTTCATCAACTTCTTCCAACGTCAATCCTTTTGTTTCCATGATGCAAAAATAGACAAACACCAAAGATGCAGCAAGACATCCTGTAAATACAAATCCGTAATAAAAGTGGATTGAGTTGATGATGAATGAAGATGTGAATGAAATGAGGAATCCCCAGATCCAATTCGAACCAATTGCTACCGCCATTGCTTTGGACCTGACTCTTAATGGATACGTTTCTGACAAAATTGCATAAACACCACCAGCCCAAGTAGATGCAAAAAAGAATATGTACAAGCATGTAATGAAAATCATAGCTCTTCCTGTTGGCAAATGAGTTGGTGAGTTCTGGAAGTCGTCAGTCATATACAAGTTTGTTGACCCAAGCACTGAATAGATAACAAAACAAACAAACATACCTGTTGAACCAACCATCAAACAGAGCCTTCTTCCAAATCTTTCAATGGCCCAAATATTGACAAAAGTGGAAAGGAAATTAACACAACCCAAAATCATTGAAGTTTGAAATGAATCTTGCAAACCAACTGCCTGGAAAATCGTCGTTGCAAAGTAAAAGAAGTAGTTGTTACCTGTCAATTGTTGCAATGACGCTAATGCAACTCCAGTTAAAACTCTCTTGAAAATTGCTGGTTTACCCGTAATCAATTCCTTCCAAGATGCAATGCCTGCTAATTTCTCCCTGTCGATACCTGCTTGGATTAGCTGCAATTCCAAGCTAACTACTTTATCATCAATTGCCAACTTATTGGACTTTGCAATTGAAGCTCTTGCATCTTCAATCCGCTTCTTTTCAACCAAGTGTCTAGGGGATTCAGGCATAAATAACATACCTACACCCAAGAATATAGCCCAAAGGAAGCACAACCCAAGTGGAATTCTCCATTGTGCTGAATTATCCAATTGTTTAGTACCATAGGTACAGCAGTATCCAATGAAGATACCCATTGTTATACACAATTGGAAACAGCACACCAAAGTTCCCCGTAACACTTTTGGTGAAGATTCGGAAATAAACATAGGGGAAATGACCGAAACAGTTCCGACAGATAATCCCGTGATGGCACGGCCAATGCAAATCTGGTACCATTGGGTTTGCGACGAAATTTGAACAATGATTCCAATAACATAAATAACCATTGAAAACATCAACCCAACCCTTCTTCCATAAATGTCTCCAACTTTGGAAAAAATCAATCCGCCCACACAACAGCCAATATTGAAAATTGAAATTATCAACCCCGTTCGTATATTGCTCAAATACTTTTCGCCTTCGTCGTTAAACTCTCCAAATCTATCTATAAAGTCAGTCATATTGACGAATCCTGAAATTGTACCTGTATCATAACCAAACACAAACCCACCAAAAGCAACCATAAAACATAAGATTGTAATCAAAATATATTCTTTATAGGATTTTTCTTTTAACTTTTCTTCCACATTTTCCTCTAAACTCTGAACGTCTTTGTTGTCAGACGAATCATATTTGGGGGTGTGTTCCATATTACGTCTTAACTCGTCACTTGCTACGAAGCTATCGACAGACACCATTATACCCTTGAATTAACAAAAGTTGTAAAAAGTTGTTAGCCTGTGTGGGAAAAACTCTGGTAGTATATACTGGACGGGTTTTAGGATTTTAAATTATTTAGGAAACTCCAAGCCTTTATATCTCATTATTTTCGCAATCAAAAATGCATTACCGAATAGCGTTGAGTTCCCTCCATCTCGTTGTAACATATTACACAACCTTTTGTTTGTTACTAGTTTACAATTCTTGGCTTCACCAATATTATCCAACACTTGGCAAATTGATTATGACATTAGGTAACAAAATAAATAATAACTACTTGATTTATCCTGCAACATTGCCACAAGCCAAACTGTAACATCACTGGAGTAAGTTACACAAAACTCAAAGCCCGGAAAATAAAAAGCCAAAATGACTTGCAACACATATACAGAGGAATTCACTGGCCACAAAGACGTCATCCTTGGCATTTTTGCATTGCACAACTATGTAAGTACTTTCTAACATCAGTTGGTAAACCTACACAGCCCATCTGGTTTACCTCATTGAGGTTAAATCATCGGTAATCGTTGGCTATAACTTATTTGTCGTAAATTCATGTCCCAAAAATATCTCTATAAAATCTATAAGTTAGGCCCACACTTGTAGTTGCTCAAAATAGTCGATCCGTTTACGGTCAGCATTATTTATATGGAGAACCACCGATGATCTCAAATCATCAACCATGGCCGGATGTCCGCATGTCACAAAACATACCGATCCCATCGATTCTTCGATGCTGGTAAGGACAACTTTATCAATGTTTGGTCTTGACTCGACAAACGTAATATGTGGCAACTCGTGCTTGATTCTTTGATCAAACTCTGTTTCTTCATCAGAAGTGGTAAGCACACTTGAATTATTTGCCAGGTCCAATCGTCTTTTTGGCACTTTCATTAGTGGTGTTAATTCATTGGTGTCTAACAATGCATCTGTCTCAAGCGAATTTATGCGTTTGCGGAAATCATCTGCACTGATGAAAGAGTTCGGCCTCGTGACGTAAACTATGGTCTCAATGTCTTTGCCACGCAACTGTAACAATTCATCATAGAACCAAAACAAGGACGAAAACTCTCTTACCACCCATATTAGCTTCACCCTCTGTTTAGACCCACGATTTAATAGTTCCATGGCCTCTGCGTATATACCAGGTATTCCATTACCACCAGCTATAAATACAGAAGTGTTGTACTTTCCTGCCGGTGTTTGCTCTCCATATGACCCTTCAATGGCTACTCGAACTTTTGTGTACTTATCCTTGTGGGTAATTAAGTAATTGGACATCGATTGAGTTACCCCCTTTTTAACTTTGATAAACAACATTATCTCATCGTCGGTAGCAGTATATGTAAATGGGTGAGATTGCCAGAAACAACTTGGGCGCAAAAAATGGATAAAAGCATGTCCTCCAGGAACTGCTTCCCAGCCATGTGGTTTTGGCACTACGATCTTTAATGTTTCATCTGCTAGTAGGTAAACTTTAGCTTCTGGGAATCCAAAAGACCATAGACGGCACACTCTTATAAGTCTGTCAAAGGCCCAAATCATAGCTGACACATAGTAGAACCAGACACAGTACAACTGTTCAACATGTATCCAAGCCCCAAATATAAACACTGCTGCGAGAAGAATATGGATTAACAAGAAGGCCTCGTACCATTTCCGGCGCAACACTAAAAGCCCTTGAATTAGGATTGCAATACCAGCATACGTTGCAGCTACTCCGTAATAAATATATGGTTTAATTTCAACTCCCCTTATTCTTATGTATAACCCGTAGTTGACTGAGTGAATGAGTATAAGCACGACGACGATCCTTGAAATCCATCGGTGTAACGTTATAAATGTCGAATAATCCCACCTAGTAACCCATTGTAAAAAGTTATTCCTACCTCCAAAAAGTATGAGCAATGGCATCATGCTACTCGATAATATACTAGCCCTAACAGCATAATATCTAAGGTAAGCCATCTTCCTACTTTGAAACAACGGATCCCCTTCAGTGTAACTGATGTTTTTAGTCAAAAGGAATATGCAAAGTGCTAGGAATGTAGTCAATATTAAAGTCTCGGCTCTAGTTGGGACTAAAAAATCCAAAACGTAAGCAAATCGTTTTTCATTCGTCTTTCTTCGGCGTCCTGTGGCAGGTAATGAGATCAGCTTTCTAAACCAGTTAGAGAGCGGGTCAGTTAATCTCTTATTCAAACCATGAAAGAATATTTTGGACAAATTTCCCACTGAGACCAAGACGAACACGATAACCCAGTAAAGAACCAAGTATGCCCCATAATTAACAGATAAATCGAAATTGCCCAAGAAGTTGTTGTAAGCGCTCTTGAAAATAAACGTCTCAGTTGTGTTCAACTTGACAGGGAAATCAACTACTGTATTTGGTTGGAAGTTGGGGATATCTTGAATGGATTTTGCGTGATCATGATAGTAAGTTTCAGCATGCACGAAAGCGTCACGTTCAATCGTTCGATTGTACTGCTGGCACATTTCCAATAACGAATCAGTCTGGTTGGGATGTCCCTGTTGGTAGCAATGAGCAATAGTGGAAAATGCATTAAAGTTGTTACAATAGCACCATTCAAACGTTCGGTTCATATCGCAAAAGCGTGCAGTCGTCAACTGTATCTGATAGTTACATCCAAAAAAAGCAATCTTTGGTTGTCCATATTTATGAAAAGGAGCCCCTATCCTGGCTGTTTCTGGTGCTATTGCGGCCAAGGCAGATATGATGAAAGACACTGTGAGAACTCTCTTCAATAGTCGATGAGTGGCATTCTTTGATCTGATGGGTATGAGGAAAGGGAATAGGACTATTCCCAACACTAGGGAAAGGTATAATGCAATTGCATACATTTGGTAGTAAAATATAAAGTTTTTCTACTTCTGATCCGTTTGTGGTGGCTTCCTAGTTGTGGATCCTGCTATGGTCGAATATGCGAATGTATATATATTTATACAGTTTAGATCAAATAGATAAAAAATGGCAACGAAGAAAAAAAAAAGAAAAAAGAAATTGAATGATGAAAATTTTCCGAAAATTGATTGAAATACTATTGTACTGCATGTAGACATGTATTGCCAACCAATTATTTTTTAGATAACGGGATTCACAGGCAAGTGATAAGTCACACAATGTATTTATCGGTAAATCCTTTCAATTCTTGCAGTTTTGGTGTTTGTGTGAAAGGATGGACCATTGTAATTACTAAAAACATAGAAGTATCACACTCAGGGATGACCAATATTAAAGTTGTGGCGCTATTACATTTGCTAAATTTTTGAAGAAAAATATTTAAACTTTGCTGCTACCATATCCGGTTCGGAAAGTTTCAAATCCACAACTGCATCATCTTAGTACTACCAAAGGTTTCAGTTACCCATAGCACCGGTGATCTATTCTAATCTAATAGGAGGAGGTTTTCATTTGGACAAAGTATAATGCGTTGACTAGGCTCGATATTGGCTATTTCCAAATTCAAAGTCGTGTAATATGTTACAATTACAAAACTGATTACGAATCAATCGACCTGTCGTTGCATCTATTGTCAATAAACCAACGATTATGTTTAGTAATATTTGCAACTGTTTATAAAACCCGTAAATATCCCATTTCTTTTCATTCATTCACCCCATTTTATCTCCTTACCACTACTGCAATCAAAACTATGTCGATTCAAACCAGAGGATTACGAGAGGAATACGTTCCATTACACGAAATCAAAAGACCAATCCCACCCGTATTGGATTATCAAAAAATAGATGCAATGGTTTCTACATTGAAAGGAGTGCCCATGGGATCAGCTACTTGCAAAGTTGAAGATATAACTGAAGGTGAACTACCCCCAATTGATGTTTTTAAAATTAGAGATAAGGGTAAAACTTATTACTTTGCCTTTGGCGGATGTCATAGATTTCAGGCATATGATAGACTAAGCCAAGGTGATGGTGGGAGCAAGGAGATAATGGTCAAGAGCAGGATAATTCCTGCAACCAAGAAGACGTTGGAATTGTACTTGGGCTCATCTGTCCAGGTGATGTTTGCCGATATGGAGAAGCAAGAAGAGGAAAAACAGACTCTGTAGATGTTTTTGAGGACTTGTGTATATAGATAATGACTACGTATTATGCTTTATGCCCAAACTTGCGATTGGTCGTAGAAATGTATAGCTTTACCTGTTGCATTGTCAATTTTCTGGCAAACTGCTGCTCTAATATCATCTACCAACTTTGTATGGCCACAAGTGATGAAAGTCACTGAAGTTGCACATTCTTCGATGTTGTTTGCCACTAAACTTGTAACATCAGGTCGACCATGGAGAAATCCGACAAAACTCAAATCGCTTGTAATACTTTCATCAACACTATCCAACAGTGTCGTATCAAGTGTATACAGCAGTGGCACCAAGTTGCATCCAATTTCTTTTTCTTCTACCACTCCTCTTTGGATATCTCCTGTCTCTTTTGGTTTAACAAAATGGCCAGTTACATACACTGTAACTTGAACCGGGGTCTTTTGGAAAGCCTTCAATTCGGCATGAAACCAACGAATAGATGAATAGTTCCTAATAATCCATACCAACTTGACTCTTTGGGAGGAGTCTCTGCTTACTTCCTTAACACAATGGGAAACTTCTTGGTATATCCCAGGTATTCCACTTCCACTAGCAATGAAAACCATCAGATCTGTTTTAGCAACTGGCATCGTCGCTCCATATGGCCCTTCAACCCCTACCCTTAGCTTGGCATGATGATTTGGCTTGGAAGCCAAATACCGGCATAAACTAAAGGTGAATCCCTCTTTAACTTTGCAATAGCAAACCATATGCTTCTTATTTGTTATCGAATGCATAAATGTGAAAGGATGAGATTGCCAAAACCAACTGGGCCGAAAAATATGTATGAATGCATGCCCTAAAACATTTCGTTTCTGCCATGATTTAGGAAGCGGGATGTCAATTTTGATCAAATTGTCAGTAACCAATTCAACATCGGCAAAAGGGAACCCAAAAAAATATAAGCGAACAACTCGTACAACTCTATCCAAGCCCCAGATGATTGCTATGAGATAAAAGAAGTAAACAAATCCCAACTCATTAACATGGGTCCAACAACCCACGAGCCAGCAAACTCCCAACACAATATGTACAACTAGAAATGTTTCATACCATCGTCTTCTCATATAAAGAGCACCCTGAGCTAACATTATAGTGCCTGCTACTATCGCAACAACTCCTGCTCTCAAGTACCCAGTTTTTATCTCCTTGTAGTAAAATGATCCAAGAAGCTTCGTGTATCCTATGGCATGAGTGGCAGCCATTATAACCATTGTTCTAGCAATCCATCTATGGAATACTAGAAATCTTACATACTGCCATCTAGTAATCCATAAAAGAATGTTGTTTCTTCCTGCAAATAAAACCACCAACGGAGCCAACATTGTCGATATTATTCCAGATCGATCAACGATATACCTCAATTGAGCATTGTTTCGGGTGTAAAAAATTGGATCTCCTTCAACGGGATCGGTATTTAAAAAGGTCATTATAGTTAATAGTAACAAAAACACTCCCAAAATCAAAGTTTCAATTCTCGATGGAATCATAAATTCAACTGGTCCCCATGATTTTAATTGAGCTTTCAATTTCCCCCTTAATGCCGGTAACAACACGTGTTTTTGAATTAGTTTGATCCCAGCACTGTTTAGACTTGATAAGTTTGGAAATATGTATTTAATCCAATTCGCTACTGCGGCTAGCAAAACTACGACCATCCAGTATCCATATATGACAGTACCATAGTATATTGAATTGTCAAAATTACCAAGATACTTTTCATATGCTCGTCTATAAAGATCCACCTCCTGCGACAGCAAAAATATTGGATGGTCAATCGTTGGGTTGGTGTTATTCGATGCTGGCACAGATAAATTTGCGGTGCTTTCAAGATACTTTTGAAATGCAAACTCCACATTCTTCTGAGTCAAGTTTATTCCACCATTTATTTGACAAAATTTCTTTACTCCTTGAATACTCTTCAATTCCACTTTCCCTTCGTATGATAAGCATCCTAAAACTGATCCAAGCCAATTAATATTATTGCACAAACAAGTGGTGTTGGATTTGTAAAACGTGCTATCCTCGCAGTAATTTGCATGAGAGTTAATTTGGTAGTTGCATGCATATGTCGGTATCATGTCCTTATACCGAATACAAGAAAGGTTTTTAGATTTTGGAACATTCGATGCATCAATGAATTGCAACAATGTGATCAAGCTGAAAACAAGCATTCAGGTATTCAGCAATTTGTGATTGATGCAACTGTTGTATTATCCCTTGACAGTTTCGATATTACGTGAGAACTTTATAATGAATTGTCGAACCATGGTTGTTCATTGCTAAAGCAGTTGTAAAAACTATCAAATGAAACTGCAAGAAATTATCCAAATTTGAAAAAAAAAAACACACATTATTGCACATATCTTGGTCCTATATGACTTTGAATATATTAGATGAGGTCATCCTTAAGAAGACAAGTTGGACAGGTTGTCATTACCAATTGGTCCAGACTTTGACATTTTGGGGGGGTATAGCACAATCTAATTTAACTTTTCCTCAAGTCGATATTTTTGTAATGAGAGTTTGGCGCTTAACTCCGGCCATTCTCTATTTTCCTAAAATAACAGATTGCAACACCCATTTAAAACTGCAACGAAATATATTGGAAAACTATCTACATTCTATGAAACTAGATCTAGATTGGATAAATAATACACATTTTGGAAAAAATCTTTAAGCCCAGACTTGGACTTGCTCGTAAAAGTCAACTCTCTTTTTGTCTGGGTTGGTGACATTCTTGGCACAACAATGGCGGATCTCGTCAACCATGGCTGAATGTCCACAGGTGACAAATGCAACAGACCCACTAGACTCGTGTATCTCTTGGGGAATGATATCCTTAATCGAAGGTCTACCTTCTTTGAACGTGACATGCGAAAGCTCCTTCTTGATAATGTCAACGATTCTATGTGTCGATTCTCCTTTCTCATCATATGAGTCTTGTTCCACTTTAGCAACTTCTTTAATAGAGTCATGTTTCTCGTCACTAGAGTTTTCTTCAACCCGAACCTCCTCGTTGATTGAGTAATCCTTTTCTTGACTCAAGTTTTCAGAATCTTCTTCCAATCTCTCTAATCCTTGGAACCTGCTGTTGAACTCATCGATAAATACATGACATGATGGCTGTGTGATGTATACAGTTGTCTCGATTTTGGTGTCTCTCAAGTTGAGCAACTCTTCGTAAAACCAGTACAAAGATCTCCACTCTCTGACAACCCACTGCAACTTCAACTTGTTTTGAGCGTCCTTGGTCTTCTTAGCAATGTCAACGACTTCGGAGTAGATACCGGGAATACCGTTACCACCAG